GCTTTCTCCACGACGTGCATGATTTTAAAAATTTCTATCATGTTCAATAAAATTCTATCATGTTGGTCTTATTCTCAAGGCATGGCCAGGCAACCTGATTACTGAGCAAGCACCCTGACTGGTTTGCAGAGAAGTTACCGTATTTTTTGCTCTATAAGACTCACTTTTTCCCTCCTAAAAAGTTAGGGGAAATGTGTGTGCGTCTTATGGAGTGAATGCAGGTTGCGCAGCTATCCCAGAAGCCAGAACAGCAAGAGGGATCGCTGCTTTTGCTGCACAGCAATCCCTCTTGTTGTTCTGTCTTCTGAGATTCAGAATATTTTTTTTCTTGTTTTCCTCCTCCAAAAACTGGGTGCATCTTATGGTCTGGTGCGTCTTATAGAGCAAAAAATACAGGTAGATGCTGGCTCTCAAATTTTCCGGTGGATTTCCCCAAAACTTTCCTCATGGCCCCAAAGTCTGGTCTTCTGGGCAAGCAGGTTAGTTGCACAAGAGCTTTCCCACCCATAATAATTGCACAACCTGAAATTGATCGTATGCGATCAAATCCCACAGTCTGGAATTTCCCTCGTGTTACATGGGAGGAAGGAAGTCTGGAATCGAGATGGGAAAAGCTTCAGAAAAAGGTCACCAAAATGGTCCAAGGGATGGAGAGACTATGAGGAATGGTTGCAGCATTTTTTAGTTCAGCAAAAAGCTAAGAGGTGACATGACAGCAATTCATAAAATTCTGCGTGTCCTGGAGAAAGCAGGTGGAGAAAAGGTCTTCTCCCTCTCTCATCACGCCAAAACTAGGGGATGGATGTTGGAAAATTCAGCTTAGTTTAGCCCTGTGCTTCTTCATGCAGCGCGGAGTTAAACTATGGAACTCCCTGTTTTAAAAGAGGACTGGGCAAATTCAGGGCGGAGGAGAAGGCGGCTGAGAGCTACCAGCCATGATGGCTGTGCTCTGCCTCTAGGGACACTGGCCTGATTCAGAAGGCTCCTCTTGTGTTCTTATGGGCTGTTCTGTCAAAAGACAAAGGAACCCGCAGCAGGGAGGAAAAGGAAGCATCAGGAGAGGGTTTGCCACCCGGCACCAAGAGAGCTTTATGGGAGAGCTGGACCATAAAGAAGGCTGATCACTGAAGAATTGATGCTTTTGAATTCTGGTGCTGGAGGAGACTCTGGAGAGTCCCATGGACTGCAAGAAGATCAAGCCTCTCCATTCTGAAGGAAATCAGCCCTGAGTGCTCACTGGAAGGACAGATCCTGAAGCTGAGGCTCCAATACTTTGGCCACCTCATGAGAAGAGAAGACTCCCTGGAAAAGACCCTGATGTTGGGAAAGATGGAGGGCACAAGGAGAAGGGGACGACAGAGGACGAGGTGGTTGGGCAGTGTTCTCGAAGCTACAAACATGAGTTTGACCAAACTGCGGGAGGCAGTGGAAGACAGGAGTGCCTGGCCTGCTCTGGTCCAGGGGGTCACGAAGAGGCGGACACGACTAAACGACTAAGCAACAACCTAGAGGGCAGTGGAGATTCCTTCCTGAGCCTGGGCAGGGAGTGCCATCTAAGTCCAAAGGGGAAAGTCTCTCCCCTTCTGCACACATTCTCCTTCCAAACCATCTGATCAGAGCATTTCACTTGGAGCAAAGAGGGCGCCAGTCGGAAGGCCTCCTCCCCCAGCCTGCCTTTAGCAGCACAGCAGCTTGGCAGGCAGGAATCCAACTGGCAAAGCTCCCCTCCGTTTTTATCTCCATGTCAAAAATAGGTCGTGGACTAAATTTCATAAGGTGCTATGAGTGGCGCTTTGGCAATGAATGTGGTGTTCCAGGAAAACAGGAAAGACTTATCTTGGCGTTCCTTCTGAACTTAGCATTGAACATTTTATTTTATGCTATTGTGGGGGTTTTTGGGGGGGTAAGAAATCTGTATTTATTTATCTTTTGAAGGACATGGGATTCAAGGTCAGGCAAAAGAACAGATCTAAAAAGACTAGGTCTGTAGCACTGCATGGATGCATCCCTCCAGCTGATTTGCGTGCTGAATTCCAGCACAACAGCCTCAGACAGACTGAGCCATTGGCAGCAGTGGTAGAGTGGTTAGAGTCATGTGGACCTTAGCAGGTGACAGCCTGCAGGATCAGGCCAACATCCCATCTGGCCCAGCATCCTGTTCTCACTGCGGCCAACCAGATGCCTCTTCTGGGAAACCCACATGCAGGATTCGAACACAGGAGCAACTCTCCCCTCCTGCAGTTTCCAGCAAGTGACCTTTCCACTATACAGTTCTATGATTCCTGAGCACAGCCAGGATTTATTGGGGGGGCAAGGTTTACATGGGGTGGGGGCAGAACCAAGTTATCTGCGAAGCAACTGGTCAGTTATTTAAGTATTTTGATTTTGATTTACCTGATAATAATAATAATAATAATAATAATAATTTATTATTTATACCCCGCCCATCTGGCTGGGTTTCCCCAGCCACTCTGGGCGGCTTCCAACAAAATATTAAAATACAGTAATGCATCAAACATTAAAAGCTTCCCTAAACAGGCCTGCCTTCAGATGTCTTCTAAAAGTCTGGTAGTTGTTCTCTTTGACATCTGGTGGGAGGACGTTCCACAGGGTGGGCGCCACCACCAAGAAGGCCCCCTGCCTGGTTCCCTGTAACCTCACTTCTTGCAGAGAGGGAACCGCCAGAAGGCCCTCGGAGCTGGACCTCAGTGTCCGGGCAGAACAATGGGGGTGGAGACGCTCCTCCAGGTATATTGGGCCTTTTAGGGCTTTAAAGGTCTATAATGGACCTTGGCCAGCAGAACAGCTTATTTTTTTACAGGCCCACCCCCACCCCCCCACCCCCCAACACGGCAGGGCTGGCTTGCCAGGTTTTGCAGTAAGTGTAAGGCAACACTCTGCCAATCTAAAAAGCCCCCAGCGTGTTGGAACAAGACGGAGATAGACTGAAATTGCAGAGTTTTGAAAAACTAAAAAACAAAGTGCGAGACTGGCTTCATTATTATCAGATAATGGAGGCATTTAAATTGGACAGGAAAATTGGCTTCCAGGTGGAAAGATCCAAATTAGAAACAGAATTGCTAGAACCCAAAACTAAGAATTTGTCAAGAATGTACAACTTGCTGCTGAAATGGAATACTCAGGATGAAACGGTAAAATCGGCTATGATTAAATGGGCACAGGACGTTGGACATAATATTATGTTTGCTGACTGGGAACAGTTATGGACCACAGGTATGAAATTTACGGCATGTAATGCCTTAAGAGAGAATATTATGAAAATGATATACAGGTGGTACATAACCCCAGTCAAGCTTGCGAAAATCTATCACTTGCCCGATATCAAATGTTGGAAATGTAAAGAAACTGAAGGTACATTTTTTCACCTTTGGTGGACGTGCCCAAAGATTAAGGCTTTCTGGGAAATGATATATAATGAAGTACAAAAGGTATTTAAGTATACCTTCCCTAAGAAACCAGAGGCCTTTCTCCTGGGCATAGTCGGCCAAATGGTGTTAAAAAGGATAGAACTTTCTTTATGTATGCAACAACAGCAGCAAGAATACTCATCGCAAAGTATTGGAAGACACAAGAACTTCCCACGCTGGAGGAATGGCAGATGAAACTTATGGACTATATGGAATTGGCGGAAATGACTGGTAGAATCCGCGACCAGGGAGAAGAGTCGATGGAGGAAGATTGGAAGAAATTCAAAGACTATCTTCAGAAACATTGCAAAATTAAAGAATGTTAGAGTGATGTTGGACTGAAAATAAGCGGTTTCCAGCTGTACAGGTTAAAATTAATGATAGACTAAGATTAAAAATTAGGATTAAAGATGTTTAAAGAAATGGAAATTTGACATTAAGAGGGAAAATTTTAATGTTATATGATATTAAGACTAAAGATCAGGTTTATAGAAGTTGAAGTTATATATTTCAATATCTTATTAAAGCTAAAGATTGGGATTTAAAAAGTGGAAAAGAAATTGCTGGACAAACAATTTGGATTGGAATACAAAAGAGGGAGGTATGAGGAAGTCCAGAAAATAAGTAACTAAAAAAACGGAAATGGAAAAGAGATATTGTTTTTAATTGTTATGTTTTTTGCTCTTTTATTGTTGAATCTTGTTTTTTGTTGTGTTTTTGTTATATGTATTGTGTATGTTTTTCTTTTCTTTCTTTGTTGTTCAAAACTTTAATAAAAATTATTTTAAAAAAAAAAAAGCCCCCAGCGTGTTGCAAGCAAAAAGTCCTAACTGATCACTGACCATAATGAAGAGATGGGTTGATGGAGGGACCCCTAACCACAGCACTAGCATCTATCGTGTGTAACATTTCTTGCACCTGAGAACCTGGGCTGTAGTCCACTGGATCTCCTTCTGCCAACCTCAACAATCTGCTAGTCCCTAAGGCACCAGCAGATTCTCTCTCTCTCTCTCCCCCCACCCCAGATTTCCTTCCTCTATCTCATACCCTCCCACATTTATCAGATGAAAATAGGGACCTTCTTTTCAATATTATTATTATTATTATTATTATTATATTTTATTTATACCCCACACATCTTATTGGGTTGCCCCAGTCACTCTGGGTATATAAAACATAAACATATATAAAAACATAATAAAACATCGAACATTAAAAAAAACTGCCTTATACAGGAGAAAATGGTGATAGACCACCCCCAAACAAGGAGATAAGTAACTATAAAGCCTTTAGAAGACATCTGAAGGCAGCCCAGTACAGAGAAGTTGTTTGTTGATTTATTATGTTTTTATATATTTTGGAAGGCGCCCAGAATGGCTGGGGAAGCCAGTCAGTTGCTATTATTATTATTTGAATAGGACGTCCCTATTTTCACCGGAGACATGCCGGAGGGTACGCGCTTCTGCTCTCCTCCTCAATCCCCTAGTCCTTAAGGAGCCCCCGATTCCTCGTGCGCGCGCAGCCGCTTCCAGCCGGCTCCCTCCGCGCGCGCCCCTCGCCGCCTTGCAAGCCGACGGAAGCACGAAGCGCTGAATTGCAAAGCCCTTTCTTTCTCTCTCTCTCCACCCCCACACCCCCCCGAGCCCGGTGCCTGCTGGGAGATGTAGTTCCCCTCTCCGTCCGCCGAGCAGGGCAATCCGGCGGCGCGCACGGCCAGCAGGCGGAACCAGCCCGTTTTGCAAAACCGCCTCTCTCCTTCTCCCTTTTTTTTGGGGGGGGGGGCGGTGGTCTTTGCAAGCGGGATCGCGGGGTGGGGGTGCAAGCTTTCTCCCGAGGAGCCGGCCCCGATCCTTCCGCGCGGGACCCCCTTGGGGCGTAGGGCCCGGGTGCGCGCACCTTCCCTTTCTGCAGACGCGCGCCCGGCGGGGTCTTCCTTCCCACGCCCCGCGCACCCACAGTTTTTTGGAGGGGTGTTTGTGTGCGCGCGCGCGCCCTTCCCTCTTCTCGCGCAGCCCAGGATCGGGCGCAGGAGGTGGGCGCGCTGCGGAGCCTGCCGCTCCCCCGAGGATCCGGGCCCACGGATGGCCGTCGGGGCTGCCGCGCAGGTAAGGCGGAGGCGGAGGAGTTCAGCTGCTTTGATGTGGCCGAGAGGCAATTAGTCCTCATTTGCATGCCTTCCGGGCCCCAAATGCCACCCAGGGAGGAGGAAAATCAGCCCTCGGGGGGCAGATCTTCGGGAGGGGCGCCCGGGGGTCCCCGGAGCCGGGCATCCCGGCTGCGCGTTGGCAAAGGGGCGCAGGGGTCGTCCGCAGAGGAGAAGTGTCAAAATAACCCCCTCCCTTTTTGGTTCAAAGTGCACATGGCTAAGGCCACGATCCTGCACCAGTCGCCTTGCAATGAATCCTAGAATGGTAGCCCTGGAAGGGGCCCCGAGGGTCATCCATTCCAGCCCCCTGCAATGCAGAATCTTCTGCTCAATGCAGGACTTGAACCCGCCACCCCGAGATGAAGAGTCTCCCGCACTACCAATGGGGAGGTTTGCACGAACTTCTGCAGAGGGGCAGGAGGAGACCCACAGGGGTCACTCAGCCCAGCCCGCCTGGCAAGGCAGGATTCGCACCTGAATCATAGAAATGTAGAGTAGGAAAAATCGCAGGTCGCCGAGCCCAGGAGACACAGATTTGAGGCAATCCGTAGTTGAGAATTTCCATTTGGGACCACCGAGTTTTGGCCTCGCTCAGGGCACCATATGAGCAAAGTCCGCCCCTGTTGAAAGGGACCCCTTGTGTCATCTAGTCCATCCCCCTGGAATCTTGGCTAAAGCATCCCTGACGGATCCAACCTCTGCTTCAAAACCTACAAGGAAGGGGAGTCCACAGCCTCCCAAAGGAGACCTTTCCACTTTGCCCTCAGAAAGTTCTTCCTGGAGCCAGAATCTCCTTTAAGTTGAATCTGTTTCCAGTGGGGCAGGGGAAAAGAAGCTCAAAGAAGCTTTAGAAGTAAAAACTGCCACTTATTTTCTCAGCGGTGAGCTGCAGGAAGCTCTGGGTTTTCCCTGCCCTCTGAAACCCTTCGTTCTAACCTTCATGCGTCACGGGTGCAACGACTCGTTAGTTTGGGGCCATGAATAATATTTTATGTAGCAGTCTAGGCGCTTAAATGGAAAGGGAATATTGATTCGAAGGCACTTTTTAAAGCAGGGTTTTTTATACAAGCGTAGCATAAATCAGTTGTTTGCCCCGCGCTCGAGGGTGCTTAATTATATGTCTCTCTCCAGCCTGTCATTATGAATATTGCTGTTTTGCTCAAGGGATATTTCAGGTGGGGAGTTGGAAGCCAACCGCTGTTCAGGTGTCCTGGGCGATAATAACCTTGGCATTTACTTAACCGCGGTGCTTTAACTCATGTGGCGTCTTCTCATCACGAGGCTCCAGCTCAACCGAACAGCCGCTTGCAGTTTATAAAGCGAGATTCAGCAGAAGTTGGGCATTGAGCCCCATTCCCTTTGGGAAAACATGACAGGGACAGAACCCAGGAAGCTCGTTTCACAGCCTTTTTGTACCTTTGAGGATCTAAGCCATGGGTAGGCAAACTGAGGCCCAGGGGCCGGATCTGGCCCATTCGCCTTCTAAATCTGGCCCGCGGACGGTCCGGAAATCAGCGTGTTTCTACACAAGTAGAGTGTGCCCTTTTATTTAAAATGCATCTCTGGGTTATTTGTGGGGCATAGGAATTGGTTCCTTATTTTTTTTCAAAATATTTTCCAGCCCCCCACAAGGCCTGAGGGACGGTGGACCGGCCCCCTGCTTAAAAAGTTTGCTGACTCCTGATCTGAGCTTTAACTTTCTGTAAAGGTTTTATTTTAATAGTTCCTATGGGTAAAGAGATGGGTAGGCAACCTAAGGCCCGGGGGCCAGATCCAGCCCAATCACTTTCTCAATCCGGCCCGCGGACGGTCTGGGAATCAGCGTGTTTTTACATGAGCAGAATGTGTGCTTTTATTTAAAATGCATCTCTGGGTTATTTGTGGGGCATAGGAATTCGTTCATCCCCCCCCCCAAAAAAATACAGTCTGGCCCCCCACAAGGTCTGAGGGACAGAGGACCGGCCCCCTGCTGAAAAAGCTTGCTGACTCCTGCTCTTACCATTACCCCCTGGCTTTTTTGTGAAAGCTGCCTGGACTCCCTGCCTGGGGATATGGTGGGATATGCAAAAATACTGCAAAACACATACAAAAACACTCGGATTTGTTTTAAGTTTTTCATCTATGCTAAAACTCAGTCTAAGTTTGTTTTTTTTTTAAAAAAAGTTTAACCACATCAGTTAACAAACATGGATACATATGCTATAATGTTATTGTTTTTAAGGAAATGATTATTTCTCTCCTTCCAATAAAGTACAGCAGAAACGTTGTCCACATATAAACAGTTAACTTATTAAACCTCTCAATAATTTCATAATTATCTGTCTATGTATTTCTAATAGTACTGTATAACCAAATCAATAATTTTTGATATAACTGTAAAAACTACTCTGGAAATTTATTGTTCCAAAAATGAAACCTTCCTCTGGTTATAAATATTAATATTATCCCAGCAAGAATGAGTCTTTCTGTAAAAAAAGAAAAGAAAAAGACACGTGCAGACTCTCAGATGCGGGTTGCGTTCACTTCTGGATGCGAACGGGGCTCCGGAACAGATCCCGTTCGTATCCAGAGGTACCACTGTAATAATATTTTATTTATTTATACCCCGCCCTTCCCGGTTCAGAAAACCGGGCTCAGGGCGGCTAACAACAAATTTAAAACACTTAATTGAGGCAACGAAAAATAGCATAAAACGCAGTATAAAACGTGAATAACAATAAATTCAGAATTCAAAAATCAATTTAGGGGGGAAATCCATCCAATAAACATTAGATGATCACCAGGGCTAGCTGGCTACGTTAGTCCTATTTGGGCCAGCGAGGAGACCAGGGGAGAATTAGCTGTGGGATCCCAGAGCGGGTAATCTTCATAAAACGGGGAGGGGGGGGATGGAAGGGGAATAAAAGATCAGGCTAAGTTCAAATTGAAAGCCAGGCAGAATAGCTCTGTCTTACAGGCCCAACGGAAGGAAGTTCAATCCTGCAAGGCCCTAGTCTCCTGGGACAGAGCATTCCACTAGGTCGGAGCCACCACTGAGAAGGCCATGATTCCTGACTTGCCCCGTTTTCCTTGCAGGTGCCAGTGCGGTGTGAGGACGCGGCCCTGTATCTCGCCCCCGAGCGCTGGAAGGAGTGGGCAGCGCATGAGGACGCCATGCGGGAGAATTACGGCGCCACCATCGCTTTGGGTAAAGAAGGACGCTTTTTTCACCCTCCTCCTCCCTGCCCACAACCTGATCTCCTGTGGAATGAATGTGTGGAGCTTTTTTCTAGACCTGATATGGGGAAATAGAAGCCTGGAGGGTGGGGGGCAAATACAGTCTTCAGGGGCAGCCCCACATACAGCACATTGCAGCAGTCTAATATGAGCATGGGGTGCATTGGCCAAGTCATCTCTTCTTGCGCCTGTTATATTATCTTTATATTAATTTATTTAGAATCCAAAATTTCCCCAGAACCTGATTGGGTTTCTTCATTGTGCAGACACAGGTGTTCTAGGCATTTATGTATTTATTTGGGACATTTGTATACAGTGGTCCCTTGGTTCTCAAACACCTTGGAACTCAAACACCTTGGAATCCAAACACTTCAAACCCGGAAGCAAGATTTCCGGTTTGCAAACTTTTTTCGGAAGCCGAAAGTGCTCCATTTTGGATGTTACACTGAGGTCTGTCTGTTTTTCCTATTTATTTTGCGTTTTTGTAGCTCTTTTCGTTTTGTTTTTCTGACTGTGTGGAACCCAGTTCAGCTACTGAATGATGGATTGCGTGACTGCAGTACATTGTTTATTGCTTTCAATTTATGGATCAATGGTCTCGTTAGATAGCAAAAATGTGGGATTGCTGTTTTGGGGATTGTTTTTAAAAGTCTGGAACAGATTAATCCCTTTTGCATGCCTTTCTATGGGAAAGCGTGCCTTGGCTTTGGAACGCTTTGGTTTTGGAATGGACCACCAGAACAGATTAAGTTTGAGAACCAAGGTATCGCTGCAGTTTAGTGAATTCAACAAGGCATTTTGAGGAGAACCAAAGCCATTCACTCTGACCAGAGATACTACTGAATCTGCTCCGTTGGTCCTTACCAAAGAGTCAGAAGACAGGATAATCTACGCTTTCTGTCTTGCAGGATCGCCAGTCACCAAGCCCGAGATGGTTGCCCAGATTGAGGAAGGCGGCCCGCTGCTCCTCAATGGCCAGGGGGATGTCCAGCCCAGAGAGCGGTCGGATGCTGCCAACACAGGTTAGAGAAGCCGGCAAACCCATATTGGCAGAAGTGCGTTGCTGAGTCAAGCGCCCTCTTATAGTGGCCAGTGGGATGTTGGCCATCTAAGTTGGCGGCCCTCACTATCTCCTGTGGCAGGGAGTTCCTCAGTCTAACCCAGGGGTAGGCAACCTAAGGCCCGTGGGCCGGATCCGGCCCATTCGCCTTCTCAATCCAGTCTGCGGACGGTCTGGGAATCAGCATGTTTTTACATGAGTAGAATGTGTGCTTTTATTTAAAATGCATCTCTGGGTTATTTGTGGGGCATAGGAATTCATTCATTCCCCCCCCCCCAAATAGATAGATAGATAGATAGATAGATAGATAGATAGATAGATAGATAGATAGTCTGCCCCCCCCAAGGTCTGAGGGACAGTGGACTGGCTCACGGCTGAAAAAGGTTGCTGACCCCTGCTCTAACCCTGCACTGTGGAAAGAACTTTCTTTTATCTGTCCCTCATACATAAGGCACCATCTAAATATTCTTTGGACCTCCCCTCTATACACTGATTCGTCTCCACTTGTTATTAAACTCATTATGGTGGTGTCATCTGCAAACTTAATTGCAGTAGATGAGTCAGATGATACACAATCATATGTATACAATGAATACAGGTAGGGACTTAGCACACATCCCTGTGGTGTGCCAGTGCGGATTTTTAAGGAATTAGATGTTACATGTCCAATCCTCACTGTTTTTGTCCGATCTATCAGAAATATCAGGGATGATTCACTCCCTGGCCGGCACTTTCTTGATCTGCCCTCGGGCAAAAGATATAGAAGCATGATTAGTCGCACCAACAGGGTAAAGAACAGCTTCTATCCGTTAGGCTGCTGAATGAAAAGAGAACAACAGGACAACTGACTTTCGGGTTTGGTGGGTAAAGGAGGGGAATTAAGGCAAAGAGCTGAGTGAGGGGTGCTCAAGTAATCTCACTCTATGCAAGTTGTACAAGTGACAACAAAGTATTTCAACTCATTCAGTTTCATCGCATCCCCGCAAGTTCTAGCGTTACGAGAGAGGGAGAAAAAGCTTTCCTCTCTCCGCTTCCTCCAGTCTGTGAATAATTTCGCAAACTCCCCTCATGTTGCCTCTTCCTCGAATTTTCTCCAAACTTAAACGCCCCAAACGCTGCAGCCTTTTTCATAGGGGAATCGCTCCGTCCCCAGAATAATTTCAGTTGCCCTTTTCCACCTTCAGGGTTTCCAAGGCCCCTGAGCCATTTATTTACCTCCGTGTCCTGACCAAAGTGTGGCTTTTATTCTGTTTTTCTCTCCCCTCTGCAGGATGCGTCTCTCTGGAGACTGAGGCTGTCAGGAAGAGCGAAGAGCAGCGAAGGGCCGGGGAGGAGCAGAGGATGAGAGGAGAAGCCCCCAGAGGCCCTGAGAGAGGTGAGGACTGTAATTTATTCTTATTTATTGCAATGCGATGTGGGGCTTCCCTCACCCTTGATCCAGAAGCGGCAGTCAGTGCAGGATGCTGAAGCACAATTGCTGGCCTTGTTGGCGTATGAGGTCTGGGCTCAGAGACCGGCACCGGCTGCCAATTTGCTATGGGGCCGAGTTCAAGGTGGTGCTATTAGTATACAAAGCCCTTAACAACTTGGGACCAGTTTAGCTTCAAGATAGCCTTACCCAATAAATGCCCGCTCACAACTGGCACTCCTAACAGGTGCTACAATATCCTATATTGGGAAGCTTTTAATGTTTGATGTTTTATTAAGCTTCTATGTTTGTTGGAAGGGACACGGGTGGCGTTGTGGGTTAAACCACAGAGCCTAGGACTTGCCGATCAGAAGGTCGGCGGTTTGAATCCCTGGACCAAGGTGAGCTCCCGTTGCTCGGTCCCTGCTCCTGCCCACCTAGCAGTTCGAAAGCACGTCAAAGTGCAAGTAGATAAATAGGTACCGCTCTAGTGGGAAGGTAAACGACATTTCTGTGCACTGCTCTGGTTTGCCAGAAGCGGCTTAGTCTTGCTGGCCACAGGACCTGGAAGCTGTATCCTGGCTCCCTCAGCCAATAAAGTGAGATGAGCGCTGCAACCCCAGAGTTGTCCGTGACTGGACCTAATGGTCAGGGGTCCCTTTACCTTTCTATGTTTGTTGGAGCTGCCCAGAGTGGCTGGGCCAACCCAGTCAGATGGGTGGGGTACAAATAATAAAATTAGTAGTAGTAGTAGTAGTAGTAGTAGTAGTAGTAGTAATAGTAATCCCTGTGCCTCCTGAGGGAGGGATTAATTCTGCCTTTCAACATTTATCTTTATTGCATGTTCACAAGTTCTAGTGTAATGGAAGAAGGAGAGAAACTCCATCCCTCGCTTCATTTTATAAACTCACTTTAAAAAATAAAATAAAATCCTCCAAAATATAGCAACCTCATGCGGATAAATAATGAAATATCCCAGTCTAACCCAGGGGATAGAGCTTAGTCAATGCATGAAGAATAACAACCAAATAATGTAAGTTCTTATCCCAGAATACTATTTGTGTAGAAGGCGATCAACAGTTTAAGTTAACCAAAAAGGTTATAAAGTGTGAGGGGTCCTCTATTTTCATTTTTAGCCATATACAGTGGACCCTCCGGTTACATATTACTCAGGATACGTAACTTTCAGCATGGCAAGCCCAGAACTGTATTCCTCTGGGTTTCGCTGCGCTCGCATGCGCAAAAGTGCTCTGCGCTGTGCGTGCATGCGCAGAAACACTGCCTCTGGTTACAAATTTTTCGGGGTGCGCACGGACCCCCAGAACTAATTAAATCCATAACCGGAGGGTCCACTGTACTGTATTATTTCATAAATTTCTATCAGGTCACCTAAAAAACCCCAAATGCTGCCACCTTTATGGCATTGTTCCATCCCCTTTAACCTTTTCCGACTCCTCGATACCCTTTTTGAGGCGAGGCCACCAGAACGGCACACCTTATTTCACCATAGATCTGAACGATGGGATTGTGAACGCAGCATCCGGTCGCCCTGGGAATCGGTCCCCTAACGCCTCTCTCTTTGTGCCCTTGATCCCGGCAGGCGGGTGGCTGCTCCGCGCAGTGAAGGTGGAAGCGGAGGAAGAGTACTCGGAGTGGCCGGCGGGCCTGAGCGCAGAGGTCCTGCTCTCGGGACTGCCCGTCGCAGCGGGAGTCTGCAAGTCTGAGGGCCTGAACCCCGCGGAGGAGTACAGCAACGCCAACGGAGGAGGAGGAGGAGGCCTGGGCGAGCTGTCGGGCTTGGCGCTGCAGCAGTGGCAGATGCTGAGTGAGGAGAAGCCGCTAGGCTGCCCCCGTTGCGAAAATCCGGGACCCCCGCCGGCGGCCGGCCCTGGGGACCCCCGCCCTCGCCCCTTCACCTGCCCGCAGTGCGGGAAGGCCTTTGGCAAGAAGGCCCACCTGACGCGCCACGCGCGGGTGCACACCGGCGAGCGCCCCTTCGCCTGCGCCCACTGCGGGCGCCGCTTCTCGCAGAAGATCCACCTGGGCTCGCACGAGCGGGTGCACACCGGCGAGCGCCCCTTCCCCTGCGACCGCTGCGCCAAGAGCTTCCGCAAGAAGACGCACCTGGTGCGCCACCAGCTCACCCACACCGGTGAGCGGCCCCATGCCTGCCCGCTCTGCGACCGCACCTTCGTGCACCGCAGGCACCTGCTGCGCCACCAGCGCCTCCACGAAGAGGGGGCCCCGCCGGCGCATGGGGAGCTTCCAGAGGCGGGTCAAGCAGCGGCAGGGGTCTACAGGGGTGGCGCCGAACCTGGGCAGGATGTGGGCATCTGCGGTGGTGAGCACGGTGGAATGGGGCAGGTCGCAACCGTCGCAACCGGGCAAGTAGCTGATGTCTGCGCAGAGCAGGGCAGACTTGGGCTGGCGACCGTTTCGTACAGCAACGAGGTCGGACTGGGGCAGTATTCTGCCTCCTGCGTGGGGCACGCGGAGCCGTATCCGAGTGCAGTCCTGTTTAAGGCTCAGGCGGATCCCAAGTTGGGGAGAGTCCCTGGCATGGAGCACCCCGGGCAGAGGGACGGTGGCATGGCGGCTCCCGGAATGGTCTACCCCGAGCAAGGCCACTTCGGTGGGCTCTGCAGGGCACAGGGGGAGGCAGAGGGTGGAGCCCCCTGCATGGAGCAAGTTGGCAAGATCGAACCGCAAGAGGAGGAGGAAGAAGAGGAACCAAACCCTTGCCAACGCCCGGAAGAAAAGCCTTTCCTGTGCTCCGACTGTGGAAAGGCGTTTGCCTGGAGGAAGAACCTGGCATCGCACCAGCGGCTCCATGCCGAGGGCGGCCGCCCGTTCTCCTGCGCAGAGTGCGGGAGGGGCTTCAGCGACAAGCGCCACCTGACGGCGCACCTCCGCGGGCACATGGGCCTGCTGCCCTACGCCTGCCCGCACTGCGAGAGGAGCTTCGCGCACCGGGCCGGGCTGGCGGCACACCAGTGTGGCGGGCACGCCGGGCAGCGCCCTTTCTCCTGCAGCGAGTGCGGGCGCTGCTTCGCCCACAAGAGGCACCTGCAGAGGCACCGGCGCAACCAGCACTCGGCCGAGCGCCCGTTCTCCTGCGCTCAGTGCGGGCGCGCCTTCGGCACCCGGGCCAGCCTGCTGGCGCACGTCAAGTCCCATGCCGGGCAGCGTCCCTTCGCCTGCCCGCTGTGCGGGCGCGCGTTCAGCCGCAAGTCGCACCTGGCGCGCCACGAGGCGGTGCACACGGGCCTGCGCCCCCATGCCTGCGCCCAGTGCCCGCGGCGCTTCAGCTCCAAGACCAACCTGGTGCGCCACCAGGCCGTCCACACCGGCCTGCGCCCCTACATCTGCACCCACTGCGCCCGCAGCTTCAGCCGCAAGACCCACCTCTTGCGCCACGAGCGCACGCACACCAGTGCGCCCCTGCCCAGCAGCGCCACCGTGTGGCCGGCTGCCTTGCCCCAGGGCTCCCTCCTGCAGCAGCAGCAGCAGCAGCAGCAGCAAGATCAGCCCCTCGTTTTCCCCATGGCTTTTGGGGCCCCCTGGCAATGACCCCAAAGCCACGTAACTCTGCTGCAGGAAAGTGTGTACTCTGTGCTATAAAGAATCAAAACAAGCCCTGCAGAAATAAATTGTACACCAATGTCTGCAGCCTAAATATACTGCAAAGTAATCATATTTTTCATAATTCAGAAAGTTACGCTCCCCCCACAGGCTAAGACAATAAAGTTTTCATAATTTATTTTATTCTTGCTAGTCACTCATATAGGCAATAAACTCCCTGAGACATTGAAAGCCTTGCTTCACAGCTGTTGGGATATATTCTCAGTGGCTTCTGAGGGTTCTCCATGCTCTCTCTGCGACATCCAAGCCTAACTCCACCTCCATAAGGGCTAGAAGCTTGGGCTTTTTTGTGTGTGGGGGGGGAATGAATGAGATCTGGGAGAAGCTCAATGGCGCACTTTTTGCAGGGATTCTTTGAACACACACCCCAGATACACAAACCTGGCCACTGGCTCAGAGGGGGCGAAACATCTCAGTATCCAGACATTTTCAGCTTTAAATAATAATGGAAACTTTTTTAAAAAAATATTGCCAACAAATCATTTTAGTAGCATCCTCAAGCGAATGTACATTACGTTTTGTAAAGCCTTCTTTGATGGAAACAGAAGGGGGGAAAGTTATGTCATTTCTGACTTTAGCCCTGATGCTTTCAGAAATAAATGATCCTTCATAATATTTTGTGTGTGTGCATCTGGCTGGTGTGGGTAATGTCTAATATTAAGCACCTTACAGGTTGGCTCCCTCTCTCACCCCAGCCACCCTGCGCATGCCCCTCAGCGCACAACTCTGAGTAAATTGCTGCCTTAATTCCAGAGGACTACGCAGCACCTCCTTCTTGGTAGTAGTTTTGCCACAAGTAGCTGAGCTAGATGCAGCTTGGCCAAGATCCGTTATGGTACTGGTCCTGTTCTGATGACCCCATGACTGACTGGGATCCTTTGCGACCCTGAAATAGGGTCCCATGTGACTACTGATGCTGCTCCATGCGAGGGGGTGCCATGGAAGGGTTGGACGTAGAGGAATGGGGGGAAGAACCAGCTGGGGAACCCCCCAGGGTAGAAAGCTCAGAGCCCACGGATGGGTGGTGGGACAATGATGAAAGGGTCAGAGGGAGAAGACTGGGAGGAGGAGGAGGTGTAAGCTGAGGAGGCAACAGGGCTTAGTGAGCGGGGAGAGCCTGTAGCAGAGAGAAGTTCAGACTCGGAGGCAGAAGCTGAAGCAGGAGAGATGACCTAACCTGGGGAGAAAACAGCAAAGACCTGATGAAGAGAGCACAACAGAGGTTATATTTTCTGAGAATCCTCCGGAAAACAATCTCTCAAAGGACCTGTTGATGGCATTTTACCATTGTACTGTGGAGAGTGTATTAACTTATGGTCTGCGTGTGTGGTTTGGGAGCTGCACAGTCAGGGGAAAAACAATGCTGTCCAGGGTTGTCAAGACTGCGGAGAGAATAATTGGGCGCACTCTTCCCACCTTGGATCAAATCTACGCTTCCAGGTATCATAAGAAAGCTGCAGGATAGGGCTCACCCCAGAAATGATCTCTTTCAGCTTCTGCCTTCAAGAAGAAGGTCCAGGGTTATAAAGACTAGGACCAGCTGCCTGAGAAACAGTTTCTACCCAAATGCGATTTTGGTTTTAAACACATTGTAAGAAGTCTGTATGGGAGTATATTGTATTTAAAAATGGGGTATCAGAATTTTTAGGGTCTGACCAGGCTGGGATAGTTGGGATAGCAGGCTTGTTGGGTTTTGAATTTCTTATGTAGATTTTTCAATTTCATTGTTCTGTATGGGACAATGACAATAAAGATTATCGTATCGTATCGAGAGGAGGGGGGCCAAGAGGCAGAGATGGGTCTGGCTGGGGAAGAGGCATCTCCCTCTTCTGCTGCAACAAGCTCTCCTCTGCTTTTGTCTCCCAGAACCAGGAGAGGCATGAAGAGGGTGGAGGAGAAGTTAGTGCCATGCGGCCTAGGATGCTTAGAAGAGGAGAGGAGAGAATTTAGGCATCTATGAGGAGGCAAGAACCTTCAAGTGCTTCCTGGGGTGCAAGATGAGTTGCTGCGCTCATTAGGCCCAGCGTTCCTGTGCAGATCCTGTTTTTTGCCATCACAGAGTTAACTCCACTTGCTCCCTGTGATTTGCTGCTGGCTCACTCCTGTCAGGGGGAAACAAAATCCCTGTTACAGACAAACTCTGCATGCATCAGGCGATATGTGAAGGTAGTCCTACTCGGAAGAGGCCCATTGGAATCAGTAGGTCTACTCTGAGGAATATGCTTGGCTTGGGTATCACCCACAGCATGTCCATAGGTCTATTCTCTCGCACACTTTGGGGACTCTTGTGCATTCTTAAAACCATATTGGTCGCCATGAAAAACATCACCCCGTGCACATGGGTGGTAAGTATAAAATTGCTAGAGGGCCACATTGCTTCATGGGCACCCTTGCAGGGGCCGGATGCTGTGGGTGGGCAAAGGGGGCAGGGCAATGGAGGTGACTCACCCCAATATATGTTGGGATGCTGCCGGGGAGACGGGGGCATTTGGCAGGCCCCCAGCTGGCTCCAGCTACCGGCCGGCAGCCAGACAATCTCCAGTCCTCGGAACAGCATCAAACAGCGACAGAAGCCTCAGATATGTTTAGAAGCTTGGCACGCTCTAGTCACCAGAGTGAATAACTTCTCACAACAGAAGTGGTGGACAGAAACATATGTAAGCATTATTTACAAGCGTTTATTCAGCATAGTTCAGGAACAAAGGAAAAACATGTTTGCTTTCCTTCGTGTCCAAGCACACAGCAAGATGGCAAAAGCAATATACAAACGGAAGTTCCCAGCAGACTGTGCTGGAAGTAAACAGGCATGTGACACACAACAGTCATGCCTGTTCCATTTAAGGTGGAACGGAACTACGGTATATCCTAACAATGTATAGCAGGGTGTCGGAGCCAGCCGTCACAAATGGCGCAGTTTAGCATAAAATAAAGACACAGAGAGCCAGCAATATTTTCAGGATGGTATGAGCAGCTCCTTTCGAACTTCTCTCCCCTTCCGTAACTTTTATTATCCTTTGTTCTCTCCTCTCGCATGGCCGTTTGCCAATGTCTCACATTACCTACATCCGGTCATGGTTTAAACCCACCCATCGCCATATAGGGTAATTACAGCCCAGAGGGGGAACATAACTCCATATAATACACTGCAAGGCACGGACATGCAGGTCACTGAGGTCAGCGAGGCACCAGGTGGCGCTACAAGCCTTTTTCATGACTTCCTGGCTCCCACATGCCCTCTTTCTTTATTTTATATCAGAGTCATATATATCAGTACCAATACGGTTATATCGAGCGCGATAGGCGACTCTTGTGAGAACCATGCAGTACATATAGAAATTAAGGAAGGAATACATTGGATACAGCAACACAAAATAATGCAAATAACTACTATAATGATCACTAAAATCAATAAATGTTGAAGCCAACTTCCATCCGGAAGCCAAGAATATAAGAATTCTGATTCCAAGCTGCATGGTAGGCTTCCTTTCTAGTTTATTAGCCATGCACTGGTGTCACTCCTATAGCACTGAGATTGGTCACTGTATGTTCCTGTAAGAGAACAAGAGCTATTAAAAGTGAAATTCAATGTATATTGACAGTTTGGATATATGCCCCATGATTCTTCCCCTCTTTAATTTGAAAATAAATGGGGGCAGGCTCATGGAGGGTCAATTGTACTGGAGGCCAAAAAGTTTGCTTAGGGGATATAATATTAGTAAATTGAAAAGATCCATTGACAGGCACAGCATGAAGCATTATGCCGGAATGACTGGCAAAGGGCGCCATGTGCATACACAGCCAACATTTAGAAGCATGCAATAAACTGGTAAACATAAGGGATCAGTTGGTTAAAGGTATACAGGTTGGAGCCAAACAGTACAAATTGAGAGCATTTGCAGATGACTTAGCATTGACGTTACAGGAGCCAGAATCTAGTACCAAAAGGGTTTTAGAATTGATTCAAGAATTTGGTCAAGTTGCAGGATTTAAATTGAATAAGGTAAAAACTAAGGTTTTAGAGAAAAATTTAACACCAATAGAGAGGGAGAGGTTTCAGAATGAGACAGGTCTAATAGTGGTTAAGAAAGTTAAATATTTGGGGATTAACTTGACAGCAAAAAATGGGAACTTATTTAAAGACAACTATGAAAGATGTTGGGCTGAAGTGAAAAAAGATTTAGAAATCTGGTCAAATTTGAAGCTTTCACTGCTGGGTCGTATTGCTGCTGTAAAAATGAATGTATTGCCTAGAATGTTGTTTTTGTTTCAAACATTGCAAATTGTGGACAAAATGGACTGTTTCAAGAGGTGGCAGAGAGATATTTCTAGATTTGTCTGGCAGGGCAAGAAGCCCAGAATAAAATTTAAAATATTAACAGATGTAACGGATAGAGGTGGATTTGCCCTGCCAGACCTTAAACTTTACTATGAATCAGCAGCTTTCTGCTGGTTGAAAGAATGGCTGCTTCTTGAAAACACTGACAGCAGGGCACATTCCAGACACGCAAGTCAGATTCCTCAATGCACCCATTTGCGGAGCAAGAGGGATTGTCAGCATTCAAGGATCCCGATTCCAGATGAGCGCAGGTCAGGGCTCAGGAGGGGTTCCCTCACCCGCAACCCTGCTATAAGCAGCAGGCCACACCGCCCCCAGGACTTGCAAATCTTAAAAGGTTTGTTACAACTCAATGTGGGGATTTCAAGCCACATTCATGATTTTGGATGCGTTGATCATAATGGTTCTTGAGCAACACCGTTCTGCTGTAAAATTTATTTATAGAATGGCAGATGAAGTTAATGGACCATGCTGAAATGGCTTAAATGAATCAGAAATCAGGAAGACCAAAATTTTAATATGGAAAGGGGAAAATTGATAACTTATCTTAAAGACCATTGTAAACAGTTAAAATTGTTAGTAGGGTTGGAATTTTAGTTTAAGGTGAATTCTGGACATAATGGAAGAGGTAAAGGACTTGGAGTATCATAAAAGATGCGGGAGGAAATGATTAACATTAAGACCCCCCCATAGGGGAGGATGGAAGTCCAGGAGATTCCTTGGAATCTTGTTTTTTATGATTTATGATTGATATATATCTGTAAACATTTAATTTGAAAAACCAAATAAATTGTAAAAAAATCCACATTTATTTATAAAAATATTTATATACTGGTAAAGGTAAAGGTAAAGGTAAAGGTACCCCTGCCTGTGTCCGACTCTAGGGTTGCGTGCTCATCTCGCTCTAGAGGCCAGGAGCCGGCGCCGTCCGAAGACACTTCCAGGTCACGTGGCCAGCGTGACGAAGCTGCAGCTGGTGAGCCAGCACCAGCGCAGCACACGGAAACGCCGTTTACCTTCCCGCTATAAAGCGGTCCCTATTTATCTACTTGCACCTAGGGGTGCTTTCAAACTGCTAGGTGGGCAGGAGCTGGGACCGAAAGACAGGAGCTCACCCCGCCGCGGGGATTCGAACCGCCGACCATATGATCGGCAAGTCCTAGGCACTGAGGATTTACCCACAGCGCCACCCGCGTCCCTTATATACTGGTATGCTATTTTTAAAAAGTGCATGACAGCAGCAGCGACAACAAAAAAAAGTATTCAGCAAAATTCATTTTTTAAAATGTTAAAAAGAGTTAAAGCCAGACATCCATTAACCACCTTTCTGCCCTCAAATGCTAAAAGCGTGGCACTTACTGTGACAACTTCATGGGGAGTAACAGCAACCTTCTCTCCCCCCCCCCCCAAGCACTGATTCTAACCTTTGACAGCCTGGGCTATTACGATTGTCCTGAGGGAAGGCTGATCTGGTAGAGCATGAGACACTTAATCTGAGGGTCGTGGGTTCGAGACCCACACTTTGGACGACAGATTCCTGCATTGCAGGGGGTTGGACTAGATGACCCTGGAGGTCCTTCCAGCTGGTCGGATGGCTGTATTTCATATATGATCTAGCTGAGATTCCTGCATTTCAGGGGGTTGGACTAGATGACCCTCGGGATCCCTCCCAACAGGTGAGAACAACAAGATGGCCTAAGATGTGGCTTAGGGCCCTCATATTTACGGGACTGCCTCTCCTGGTCTGCCCTGCAGAGGAACTTAAGGTCCATGAACAATCATAGTTTAGAGGTCCCACGCCCTAAGGAAGTCAGACTATCCTCCACCAGGGCCAGGGCCTTTTCAGTGGTGGCTCCGACCTGGTGGAATGCTCTGTCCCATGAGACCAGGGCCCTGTGGATTTAACCTCCTTCCGCAGGGCCTGTAAGACAGAGCTATTCCACCTGGCCTTTAATTTGAATTCAGCCTGATCTTTTATTTCCCTTCTCTTCCTTCCCCCTCCCCTTTTATGAAGATCACCCGCTCTGGGATCCCACAGCTAATTCTCCCCTGGTCTCCTCGCTGGCCCAAGTAGGACTAATTCAGCCAGCTAGCCCTGGTGATCATCTAACGCATATTAGATGGATTTTCCCCATATTGATTTCTGAACTTTTTGAACCGGGAAGGGCGGGGTATAAATAACAATTATTATTATTATTATTATTATTATTATTATTATTATTATATTTTATATATGTAGTTGAGATTCCTGCATTGCAGGGGGTTGGACTAGATGACCCTGGGGATCCCTTCCAACTCCACAATTCTATTATTATTATTATTATCCTTATCACCACCAGAGGCTACAGGGCTGTTGACGAGGTGCAGCCCCAAAGGCACAACATAAGAAGAGGGGAAATGCGACCTCCTGTCCCTTTAAGCGAGGCGTCCCGGGCAAGGCCTCGCGTCGCCATGGCAACGCGGCCTGCTGCTGGTTCCTAAGCGAGGCCTGGAGGAGGAAGGGGAGCAGAGGCGGCCTCGTCGTAGCAGCAGCGGGTGAGGGGAAGGCGGCGTGGGGAGGGGAGACCCCCGATCCCCCCCTCCCAATACTGAATCTAGCCCCGGCAGGGCCAGGTTTGGGGTGGGCTGAGAGGGAGAGGAATCTTGGGGATGCCGTTCTGGTCCCCGTTGCCATGGAAACGGGATGAGGGCCTAGCGAGGATGGCGATGGCAGGGATGCTTCTGCCTCTCTTTGTGTCTCCTCTCCACCCCACCAGGGCCGGATTGAGGTTGGATGAGGCCCTCAGCTGCTGAAGGTAATGGGGCCCTTTCGATGTCCACCTGTCCTTTGTCAACAGCAAATTGTTGCTGGTTTTTGTGTGTTGAATATATGCTATATGGTAATTTATGGACCTAATAAGTATCTAAAGCATAGCTGTCAACGTTTCCCTTTTTTTTAAGGGAAATTCCCTTATTCCAAATAGGATTCCTCGCAAGAAAAGGGAAAAGTTGACAGCTAAGATCTAAAGCCATTTGCACATAACAAATAGGCGCCTACACAACACAAAACACTGTTGCTGTATGTAGGTTTTATTTTATTTGCTTTTTATCTTATATTTTGGAAATGTACATCCAGGGTTTGTTTTCCTTTACATTTTTTGAGGGCCCCCAAGAGAGTGGGGCCCTGAGCTATAGCTTGTTTAGCTTATATGCAAAACCAGCACTGCCCCCACCCACGGGAGGGAGATCAAGGGAGGGGAGAGTTGGAAGGGGCCCCCGAGGGACATCTAGCCCAACACACTGTTATAAGGAAAATACCTCAAATTCCCTTATGGGGTATCTGGTACCCGTCTGGAGTCCCTCCGGAGATCTCTATCAGGCGGAGAAAATAACAGAGGCCAACCAGAGTATATTGAAAACAAAACGGCTAGTAAGCCTGATCTCCATTAAAGGAAATGAACTGCTGCAACTCACCACACGCAGGAGGGAGGAGAACCCCAAACAATAGTGTGCAAAACCCTATATAGGCTTTTGAAATTGCCCACCCTGTAGCCAGAGACCACTACCCCAAAACAGCATACATACATCGCAGAAGGAGGCGGTCTACAGCCGAAATTTGAGAGTGTTGCTTCTCTCCAGTCTGCCAGGATATCTGATAATGCCTTACTTGATTGTATTTTTTGGAGTACTATGGCCATTCCTTTGAGATGGTGAATACTTTAAGTTAGTTCCTGAATTTCTTACACATTGATAGTTTGCTCAGCTTCACTTGCCAGACTGTATTTAAAAAAGGGAGGTGTAAGCCCCTACAGTTCAAAGGCAATGGGAAAGCTTTTCCCATTGGCTTCCTCCTAGCAGAGAAATATTTGAGGTCAATATGGGAGAGTCAAAATGGCTTCAGGATTGTTCTTCTGTACTATTTCAGACACTGTGGTTTATATATTTATGTATGTGTTTGCCTTGTACATTGGAGACCTTAGAATTCTTGTAACAACCCTGACATGTATATATATGCTGGAAGCCACCCAGAGTGGCTGTGGCAGCCCAGTCAGATGGGTAGGGTATAATAATAATATTAATATTAATAATAATAATTGAATCCTTAATCAGGGTTGCAACAATGATTCAAAGCAGAGATGGGGGCTAACCATTTGCAAAGTGGGGGGAGGGACTCCTCCTGCCTCTGTAACCCCCCCTCCATGTGCACATGTAAGCAGGTGTATATTTGGCACTGTATATGTACCCATGCACATGCCTAAATGTGGGGGTGATAGCAGGCCCCCAATGGCTAGAGGCATGAAGACGTTAGCAGCACCCAGTGCTCTTTGCAAAATACTGTATATATTGATGTGTACTAGGTGTGTGTTGGGAGAGGGGTGGGCCTCTACAGCCCATGTGCTTTTACTCAGAAGTAAGCCTTGCCATGCTCACGGGGGAGATGTTTCTCCCAAGTAGACATGGATAGGATAGCAGGCTTTGCAATTCAGCTATGTGCAGCAATGGATTGGTGTGCAAGTGAGATGGTTATTGCTGCTGTTATTAGCACTATAATTGTGTTGAAGTACAGTTATTTGCAAAAAGAAAAAAAAAAGTTGAGAAAAGCTATAGTTGGCCCAGAAGAAAATGGCTTGTTTTCTTTTTTCCCCCTGCTTCTGTGGAAGAAGCATCATGCAACACTAAACCCATGTGCCTGCCTGGAATGTATTGAATGCAGGGGATTCTGTGCATTGAGCTGTTGTGCTCCAGGTTTCCACAGCTGCCTTCTTTGTAGCACTGGAGGGAAGTCTTATTTGGTGGTAGCTGATTCTACGGCTGCTGGGATTATTGCATCCAGATGAAGCCAATGTTTTTGGCAGTGTGCGCACACCAGCCCACATCTTGGTGTCTGCTTTGAAGCCAATTTCCACACATCAGCTGGCATGTTCTGAAGACGCCTTCAGTGCGGCCCTGCGTATGGTCTGCAGAGCTGCATATAATAACGAATCACAGTGTCTTGTGGTGTATGGAAAACTGTGTGTGATCCATGGTTGCATATCAAGTATTTTGTCACTTGGCAGTCTATAGTAGCCAAAATGGGTTGGGTCTGGTTGCTGCGGCATGTACTGTACTGTGTGCTAAACTGATTGCTTCAACCTATGGAATCAAAAAACTGTGGGGTTGGAAGGGACCCCAAGGGTCATCCAGTCCAACCCCTGGTGATGCAGGCATCACAACCAAAGAATCCCATCTAACTTCTGTTTAAAAACCTCTGGTGGAGAAGAATTCACCATTAAAAAAATAATAATTATTGCTGCCACCAAGATAACATTTTATACAAACACCACTTTCTGAGTCCATTCCGCTGTCGAACGGCTCTTATTGTCAGAAAGTTATTCCTAATGTTGAGTCAGAATCTCCTTTCTTGTCATCTGAATCCATTGGTTCGGTTCCCATCCTCCAGAGCAGGAGAAAACAATATTGTTCCATCTTACACGCAACAGCCCTTCAGATATTTGCCTATTGTATTATATCATATTTGGTCGAACAGCTCAAACAGCTCTTACTGTCAGGAAGTTCTTCCTAATGTTTAGGTGGAATCTTCTTTCTTGTAGTTTGGATCCATTGCTCCGTGTCCGCTTCTCTGGAGCAGCAGAAAACAACCTTTCTCCCTCCTCTATGTGACATCCTTTTATATATTTGAACATGGCTATCATATAGAAATTGAGTCAAGAAATTAACCTCCTCTTCTCCAGGCTAAACATGCCCAGCTCCCTTAGCCGTTCCTCATAAGGCATCGTTTCCAGGCCTTTGACCATTTTGGTTGCCCTCCTCTGGACACATTCCAGTTTGTCAGTGTCCTTCTTGAACTGTGGTGCCCAGAACTGGACACAGTACTCCAGGTGAGGTCTGACCAGAGCAGAATACAGTGGCACTATTACTTCCCTTGATCTAGATGCTATACTCCTATTGATGCAGCCCAGAATTGCATTGGCTTTTTAGCTGCCGCGTCACACTGTTGGCTCATGTCAAGTTTGTGGTCAACCAAGACTCCTAGATCCTTTTCACATGTACTGCTCTCAAGCCAGGTGTCACCCATCTTGTAGTTGTGCCTCTCATTTTTTCTGCCCAAGTGCAATACTTTACATTTCTCCCTGTTAAAATTCATCTTGTTTGTTTTGGCCCAGTTCTCTAATCTGTCAAGGTCGTTTTGAAGTGTGATCCTGTCCTCTGGGGTGTTAGCCACCCCTCCCAGTTTGGTGTCATCTGCAAATTTGATCAGGATGCCCTTGAGTCCATCATCCAAGTCGTTGATAAAGATGTTGAATAAGACCGGGCCCAAGACAGAACCCTGTGGCACCCCACTAGTCACTCTTCTATGAATGCCCAAAACAGAATTTGCTGCTTTGTGACTGAATCTCACCTGAACATAGGGACAGTCTGGAAGCCTCCTCAGTGTCAGGCAGTGTGGAGTTTAGAATGTACCTGCATTTAGTTAAATTAACAAATCCAAATTAGCAGTGCTTACTTCCTTGCTTATTCATGGGAGAGGTAGCAGGGTAGAACGCTCAGTGTGTTAGTTTATTTCTTTTGGTTTCCATTGTCAAAAGACACAGGGTTCTAGGTCTCCTTTAAAGTGCTTTTTTGGCTAAAGAATGGGGTACTCACGCTATAAATAAGTAAACAGATAAATAAATATTTGGCCCCATCTTGATCCGACATCCTTTTTCCTCTCCCCTTCCAGGAGCTCCATTGTCCACATCGATAACCATTTGAAGCAGAAAACACACCCGGCACCCTCCAAGTTCTCTCTCTCTCTCTCTCTCTCTCTCTCCCCCCCCCCCCCCCGAGGCGAAGGAAGTGATCTACCTAGTTTTCCCTCCCAACAGCAGCCAATAACACCAGTTGTGATATGATCAAGGTGCCGTGGAGCTAAGCGAGCAAAGAGCTGGAGCCAGGTTGTCGTGGGAACTGCCTCCTTGGCTGCCCTGCCCAAGATGGAACCCCGGACGGAGAAGGGCGAGGAGACAGAGAACGTGAAGATCACCTCCCAGCTCCTGAAGGCCAAGACGGGCGAGTTTGACCTGGAGTCTATCCTGCTGCTGAAGCTCCGAGGCCTGGGCATCGCAGACCTGGGCTGCCTCGGGGAGTGTGCCGGCCTGGAGTGGCTGGACCTCTCGGGCAACGCCATCGTCCACCTGGGGCCCCTCTCCTCCCTCAAAGCCCTGGCCGTCCTCAACGTCTCCTCCAACCGCATCTCCAGCTTGGAGCCCCTGGCCGGCTGTGAGAACTTGCAGAGCCTCAACGCAGCGGGGAACCTGCTGAGCAGCCTCCAGCAGCTGCAGTGCCTGGCCGGCCTGCGGCACCTTGAGAGCCTGCGCTTCAGCGACCCGGTGGGGCGCCTCAGCAACCCGCTCTGCGGCGGCGCCGGGTACCGCACTGCCATGGCAGAGATGCTGCCGGGGGTCAAGGTGATTGACGGGGAGCGGGTCTCCGGGCGCGGCAGTGAGCTCTACCAGCTCTGCAAGGACATTGACAGCTCTCTCAAGCGCTTCCACGGAACTGGAACCGGCGAGCTCAGCGGCCTGAGCAAGCCCTGGGTGGAGGAGGGGTACTGGGACGTCCGCCCCGCCCGGAGGAGCTCCATCGTGGAAGAGGCCTACAAGCAGTTCAACGAGGCCCTCCAGGAGTGCCGGGACCTGAGCAAGCGCGCCGACGACACCATTTCCCAAGCGGAGAGGGCCCTGAGCGCCCGCTCCGATTCCAGCTCGTTCGTCTTTTGAGCCGCCCTGCTTCGACGCCCTTCCCTTGGCGTTGCCGAGCTGGGCCCTGTTCTTTCAGTATCATCCTTATCACTCACTGGCCTGTGAGCCTGTGATGCCCTTCTTTTGCCCTGGCCTCTGTCACTTCCGAAAGCAGCGGGTGCGTCCACACTCTTAACCAAACCCGTTCCCCACAGCTCCTGGGAAAGCTTGTAGGAGCTGTGAGACCCTCAGGTCCGAGCCAAAGAGCATTGGGAGGAAGTTTTCGTCCAACGGGACTCTGAAATCTGGATTATCAAGTCACAACTCAGCTTGTGTTAGGACCTTTCGGGCTACTTCTGTGTAACGTGGAGCCTAGTTTTTAAAACGGTGTAGACATTTTAAAACAGTCTGTGTGACATTTCACTTGGTTTTTGCAGATTCAGGGGGAGTGTGGTCAGATCATAAAGAGGAGAGTTGATTTGACTTTTGTGTGTGTCAGAGAAGATGGGCTGGAAGTTTCCTGGAAGAGAACTTGGAGATCCCTGGGGAACCCACTCCTTTGAAGTGGAGATGTAGAAAGGATGTTGAGCCAACACTTGGGATCTGGGGCGCTGCATGTTCCATCCGGGGATTGCATGCTGGGTCTCATGACATGGGAATGCCATGCAGTTATTTGCCTGTGAAATAAACCCAATGGTCTCCCTTGCTTTTCTGCTTCCTGATTAGGTGTAGAGCTGCCTGCTTTGTGGAGTGCTTGCATTCTCTCCCGTAGTCCACTCCCGATTCAGACTTGCACCAGAGTGAGATGCCCTTCGCTGGGCAACTGAGCCTCTTCAAGAATCTGGTGCCTGCCAAGTGCCACCTGGCAAAGGCTCTCCTCCTTCCTGGCCATTTGTCACACGCCAGCTGGATGTTTGTTCCCTCCCTGGAAAACCAAACATTCCCCATCTTCACCAAGGTAACCCAAATTCTGAACAGCGGGAGCTGCAAATTAAGCAAAGCTCTGTCTGCTTTTGTGCGTCTTACACATCTGCTTCTCTTGATTATGAAGAGGGGGGATAAGGAGCTGTGAAGCCAAATAAATTCTGCCAAATAGTAGAAAGTTTGTTCACCCCCCAGCCCTGCTCCCTGGCTTCTGAGATCCCACCAGGCTCTGTGCATGCATGCAGTTCAGTTGCACACGCAGGCACCCCTTACAACGGACTTTTGTAGCTTGGAGTTCTGCGATTGAAGCAAGTCACACTAGTTAAATGTAATTGCATGTACTCCTTTAGCTCTGCTATAGGATTTATTCTTTTTATAAATACACACACACACACACACACACACACACACACACACACACACAGGTTTAAAACCAAGAGCCGAGGCTCCCAGGATACTGAGCAGGCCAATGGTTTACTAGCCTTAGGAAATTCATACTTTGACGCTCTCTCCATCTGTGTCTTATTTTATGCAGAGCAGCAGCAACACATGATTTTATCCGGTACATTTCTATCCCCGCTTTCTTCCAAGGAGCTCCCGGGGGCATATGTAATTCTCCCCATTTAGTCCTCACAACTGTGAGGTAGGTTAGGGTGACGGTGAGCAACTGGCCCAAGCTCACTCAGTGAGCTTCATTTCCGAGTCGGAATTTGAACCCTGGTCTCCTAAGGTCCTAGTTTGGAACTCTTAACCATTGCACCAAATCCATTAAACCATTACACTGCACTGGCTTGGCCAGAAATCTGTTGTCCTGTTTTCATTTTTCTCACTTTTCACTTCCCTTTCGCAACTGCCTCCACTGCCTGAGTGTCTCTAGAATGACAGACTTGTGATTGTCCCCCAGGACTACAGAATAATAGAACTGTAGTGTTGGAAGGGAGCCCGAGGGTCATCTAGTCCAACCTCCTACAATACTGGAATCTCAGCAAAAGCATCCATGACAGGTGGCCAGCCAACCTCTGCTTAAAACCGGCAATGAACGAGAGTCCACACCTTCCAGGGGAGCCCAGTCCACTGTCAAACAACTCTTACTGTCAGAAAGTCCTTCCTCTTGTTTTGTTGGATCTTCTTCCTTGTAATTTCATAAAATCATAGAACTGTAGAGTTGGAAGGGACCCCGAGGGACATCTAGTCTTACCCCCTGCAATGCGGGAATCAAAATCAAATCCATCAGTTTGGCTCCTACCCTCTGGAGCAGCAGAATAGAAGCTTGCTCCCTCTTCCTTCAGATATTTGAAGATGGCTATCCTTTCACCTCTCAGTCTTCTCTTCTCCAGGCTAATGTCAGGTGTGCGTGCAGGAGCCAGGCCCTGTGACCAATAGGACTTTGCAGGTCTGGGGCCTTCCTAAGTTTGTTCTGAAGAGGCAAGGCGCGGCCGCACAGGTGAGGCCAATTGGTAACTCACTGCACCTGGTGGCAAGAGCCGGAAGGGATATAAAGTCAGCATTTCCCTTTGGCTCTTTGCCACAGCAACTTGTTCCCTGCCTTGCTGCGTTTGACTCCTTGCTTCTTGATCCTCGGACCCTTGGCTTCCTGACTCCTGGCTTCTGGGCTCCCATTCCTGCTCCCACCCCGCCATTTTGCCCCCGATCCCGATGTCCCCAGCTGGGACTTCGATCGCCCGTGAACCAAGCCGTGACAGCTAAAAGGCAAGAAGGCTTCCACCCACCCAATGGCCCACTTCCAAAAGTTCATCTGGAGGCTCCCTCTCCTCCCAAGACATTTCCATAGGTGAGACAGGGACCCCAGGAATTCTGGCCCCCAAGGTGACAGACCAGAAGAGACCAGCAGGGTACAGATGCCCACAGATCAGGGGCCAGAACGCCCTGGCAGTGGGCACCAGAGAAAAGGTTTTGGGAAGAGGGATGAGCCCCCTCACTCCAGCAACTCCTGAAATAACCACACACTATGACTATGAAGCCTCCACTTAAACTTTTATTAGGGGAATAAAGAAAGGAGGAAGGAAAGTCAAGCTTGGAAGACAGAAGACTCCTCTGGGACCAAGAGTGGTTCCATTCCTGTGGCACCGAGACCCAAACTGGGGGATGTTCTGCTTGTCTCCAAAAGGAAGAGGGTGCCTTGTTTCCTTGATGGTTGGAGAACAGCCCAGTAAATGTGGATCCCATCTAGACAGGGAGGAGAGTGAAGGTGGTTATTGCAGATGAAGTGAAGGATTTCATGCAGGAGTCTGTCCCAGCCCTACCTGGAGATGCCAAGATAAATTGAACCTGGGACCTCCTGCCTGCAAGGCAGACAAAACAGCACATCCTAGAATCATGGAACTGTAAAGTTGGAAGGGACCCTGAGGGTCATCCAGTCCAACCCCCTGTAATGCAAGAACCACAGCTAAAGGATCCCTGACAGACAGCCATCCAACCACCAACCAACAAAGGAGATTTTAGCACCTTCTGAGTGCATCCGTTCTATTGTCAAACGGCTCTTACTGTCAGAAAGTTCGTCCAAATATTAGCCAGAATCTCCTTGTCATTTGAACCTGTCCTCTGGAGCAGCAGAAAACAAGCTTTCTCGCTCCTCATTGTGATTGAAGGCTGCCGAAAAGATATACTGGGCACTGGGCAATGACTTTTTAAAAAACCCAACAACTCCCAGGCCTTTGAACAGCTTTGATAATATTTAGATACCATTTTATCATTATTTAACGTCATTTATTTTTGTCTCAGCAGACTAATGGCAATTGGTTGGCTTGAGCTTTCATACAGAGGTTGCCTACTGGTGCCCAACATTTTTTTAAATGCTGAGTTGGATTTGAATTGTCGCTGGGAAGTTGGCTGCCCTTTGCTTTATTGTGGATTTGTTGTGTTGGTTGTGTTTTTCAGTTATGTTTCATATGATCACTGCATGCCACCTCGAGAATGCATTGTTGACGAGGCGATCGATAAATGCAACTAACGGAAAACAAGTATGGGCTACAGGAACTGAAGCTGAGCACTTACCACTCTTCTGGGCGCCCCTTGAGAAAAGCAAACTGTCCGATGTGGTATCGTTGCTCCTCATACGCCTCCTTGACTGCTTCACATTCCTGATTCTGCTTCCTCCTCACTTCCTGCGGGACACTCAGAAGGGAAAAGGTGTGCCATGAGCTCCTGAGTCAGTCCTTCCCAAGCTTTTTGGGGTTACCTGCCCCTTGGTTCCATAAACTCACCCCCAGTGCCCCCTACCCTATAAAAGGCATTGCTCAGAATAGCAGCCTGCGCAACCCACCAAGGAAGATAATGACACCATAAGATTCAAAATAGTCACAATTAATTACAGGTTTATTCAAAATCAGATTATTCAGAACTCGGGTCCAGGAGCATTTCTGTCAAAGTATGACGTGACCCACCTGGAAGATTGGGTTCTGCTCTGAGAGGCACCGCTTGGATTCGTCCAAAATGTTCTGAGGGTCGCTGGAGTTAAACTTGAAGCAAGCCAGGCACTTCTGTTTCCTCTGGGCAGAGAAAGGGAAGGAAAAGGAACGAGGTCTGTTTTCACAAGAGAGGCCCAAATAAGGTTTTGGTTTGACCCCAAACTATAACAGGAGCAACACCCCAAAACGGCAAAGGCTGCTCTTGCAAGAATATCACTGCAGTCTGCCTTCGGAAATGTGTCTCCATTTGTGCCCCCAGAAGGGGTTTACAATGCCTGCAAATTCCATCGAAAGAGGAGCAGCGATTAAAAAAATTCCACATAATGGTGAAGTGGGAGGCACAAAGCTTTGATTCACCCTGAATCAAGACCCGGATTCAGACTCAAAGCTAACAGGGCTGCGTCTTAAATCTGTCCGATCTGAATCCAGCTGGTTTGTTTGTTTGTTTGTTTTTTAAATAAAATATTTATTAAGATTTTACAATAAACATAGGTTTAAAGAGTTAAAAAAAGAGTTTACAATACACATAGGTTTAAAGAGTTAAAAAAAGAGTTTACAATACACATAGGTTTAAAGAGTTAAAAAAATTAAACCGAAGATTACACAAAAATAGAAAAAGAAAAAAGATAACAAGAAAAATACCTAAAAAAGGAAACCTAAAAGAGAAAAAGGAAAATACAAAATACAAAAAGCAGATGTCTAAAAAAGAAAAAGAGAAAAAAGAAAATTTAAAAAAGAAAAGATCCATTTTTCGATATCTTTAGGCTCATTTACTTATTTCCTTGACCTCCTCACACCTCCCCTTTTTGTATTCCTGTTTACAAAATCCTTTCAGCAAATCCTTACCCTCTTTCATTTATCTTTACTCTGCATCTTAACCTATTATAACTATATATTTTCATTCATATAACAATCTATATTTGCATATTCTTGTTAACCTTATTACCAAAACCACTTATTTCCATTCCAACATCATTTTAACATTCATTAATTTTACAGTATTTCTGCAAATAGTCTTTAAATTTCTTCCAATCTTTTTCCACCGACTCTTCTCCCTGGTCTCGGATTCTGCCAGTCATTTCTGCCATGAATCCGGCTGGTTTTTTGAAGCGCTGAATCAGGATCCAAAATGAACCTTGTTTTACCGCTGGTATTTTATCTCCAGTAAAGTTAGCAAAAATGTATAAGACTTTATCCAATGTATGCTGGAAGTGTAAAGATAAAGTGGGTACATTTTATCCTATGTGGTGGTCGTGTAAAAAGGTAACAGGTTTCTGGGAAATGATTTATAATGAGTCGAAGAAAATGTTTAAGATAACTTTTGTTAAAAAACCAGAGACCTTTTTATTAGGAATAATAGGTGAAGACATACCAGGAAATGCTAAAAGACTATTTATGTATGCACCTATAGCCACCAGGATGCTCCTTGCCTAGAAATGGAAAGAAGAGGAAGTACCAACGAAGGAGAAATGGATAACTAAGGTGATAGACTATGCAAAGATCACCGTGAAAATCCGGGACCAAGATGAAAAAAAGGTTACACAAGACTGGATTTAACTTATGGAATATAAATCTACTGTAAAGACTTTAAAACATTAGCAGGACTGATATAGCATCTATGAAGCAATGTGAACTGTGGTTATCAATGGACTTGTAACTGAATGGAAAACTAAGAATGTGTAACAAAGGGAAGAAATTGGAAAGGGGGGGAGTCTAGGAGGGATGAATAAGTAATTAATTTGAATGTTAAATTATTGAAAATTGAAAATAAAATATGAAAAACCAAAAACAAAATGAACCTTGTGGTCAGTGTACCTGCATACTAAAAACGTTGAACGTTCCTAAGAGAAGCTCGTGCCTCCTCAAATCCTTTTGCTTTGTGACTCTTGTTCTACTGGGGCTAGCCCAGCTTTCACCTACCTGGAACCCTCTAAAGGTTTTAAACTACAGCTCCCCGCCAGACCAGCATAAAAGGCAGGGGCCAGGGCCTTTTCAGCACTGGCCCCAATCTGGTGGAACGCTCTGTCACAAGAGACTAGGGCCCTGCGGGACTTGACATCTTTCCGCAGGGCCTGCAAGACGGAGCTGGCCTTTGGTTTGGACTCACTCTGACCCTTGTGTTTCCCTCCCCTTATGGTCTTGATTTATCGGCTATTTTAAAATGAGGCTGCATTTTAAATTGCATTTTAACCTGTATTTTAAATTGTCGCCCCCCCCTCTTTCCCCCTTACTATGTTTTTACTGTGATTTTATTGGTGTTAGCCGCCCTGAGCCCGGCTCTGGCCGGGGTATAAATAAAATTTATTATTATTATTATTATTATTATTTATAACAACACAGCATAACAGGACCCTCGGAGTCCCTTCCAACTCTACAATTCTATGATTCTATGAACAGTAACAGAAGAACATACGGCAAGTCTACTGCATCTGGCCAGGGGCCCATGGAATCCAGTATCCTGTTCTCAGAGTGGCCAACCCAAGTCCAACATCTCTCTCTCCTCCTGTGGCTTTAGCAACTGGAATTCAGAATCATGGCTAGTAGCCTTCAAGAGCTCTCTCCTCCTCCATGAATTTGTCTAATCCTCTTTTAAATCCATCCAGTTTGGTGGCCATTGCTGTCTCCTGTGGCATTGAGTTCCACAGTCTAACAATGCACTGTGCAAATTAGTGAAGCTGACCAGAATCCCACATAACTTGCTCACTGGGTGGCGGGGGGGGGGACCCTCATAAGGATCTGTGGATTCCTCCTCTGTAGGCTTACTGCCTCTTTGTTTATGATGTTTTAGACTTCGAATACATTTTAAAAGGAATAGAGAGCAGCTTGGCAATGGATAAATTAGCACCTTCCTGGCTCACCCCGCCTGGCTTGATCCGGCAGTTTTGCGTCCCCCGTTGCTGCTTCCGGCAGAAGGTCTGCACAAGGTCAACTTCCAGCTGGACATAGGTTCCCCTTGGGAATTCCTGCAACCAAAGAAAGCCGAGCTCAATGTGGAAAAGAACTCCTTGCCAAACTAGGAGTTCCCCAGTGGCGAATCGCCTTGCGTGGGAGAGTGACAAGGGCGGTCAAGGGTCTGGAGGAACGGTGGAGAGACTTGGGGATGTTTAAATGATGGATTCAAATGAGAAGAAAGGAGGTTCCTACTAAACATCAGGAAGAACTTTGACAGTAAGAGCTGTTCAACAGTGGAACAGTCTAGGTGGACTCTCCTTCCTTGGCGGGAGCCATTGGTTTGAGTCCTACCCTCCAGAGCAGGAGGAAGCAAGTTTGCTCCATCTTCCACGTGACAGCCCTTGAGCTATTTGAAGATGGCTCTCATATCTCCTCTCAGCCTCCTCTTTTCCAGGCTAAACATACCCAGATCCTTCAGCTGTTCCTCATAAGGCTTGGTTTGCCTTGATCATGAACAATAAATACAGTGGATGCTCAGGTTGCGAATGTGATCCGTGCGGGATGCACGTTTGCAACCTGCAGCATTTGCAACTCACAGCTGCGCGTCTGTGCACGCATGGGTTGCGATTCAGTGCTTCTGCGCATGCGCAACCTCCGAAATCTGGAAGTAACCCATTCCGGTACTTCCAGGTTTTGGAGCATCCGTAACCTGAAAAAACACAACCTGAAGCGTCTGTAACCCGAGGTATGACTATAAAACATCAAAGAATACACAACCAGACTGAACATCTAAAAGGGACAATAATAATAACAGTAACAGCTCCAGTGCCCCAACAAAAACCCCTAAGCAATAATGCAGCCAATGAGTCTGATCAGCAGCCTCAGCTCTGGTAGCTGCAGTCCAGGTCCCACCCTCCCAGGCCAGGTGGGAAGAGGCCGGCCAAGGGGGAGCAAGCTTGTTTTCTGCTGCTCCAGAGGGGAGGACCCAAACCGATGGATCCGATGACAAGAAAGGAGATTCCGACTCAACAACAGGGAGAACTCTCTCATGGCAAGAGCTGTTGGACAGCAGACTGGACCCCCTCAGAAGGTGGTGGACTCGCCTTCCTTGGAGGCTTCTAAGCAGAGGTCAGACGGCCGTCTGCCAGGACTTCTTCAGCTGTGATTCCTGCCTTGCAGCGGGTTGGGCTAAATGATCCTCAGGCGTCCCTTCCTGCTCTCCAGTTCTAGAATCCTGTGATTCTGTAGTGATCAGTAGAACACTGATAATCTAAGAACCAGGGATCCAATCCCAGACGTGCAGAAGGAGAAGCAGAGTCTTGGGACCCCCTTAAGTCGAATGCACACCCGGCAACATTTATCCGAGGAAAACAGGGACACCCTCCAAAATTCTCTGATGAAAATAGGGGCATCCTATTCATAGCTGTCAACGTTTCCCTTTCTTAGAGGGAAATTCCCTTATTCCGAATAGGATTCCTCGCAAGGGAAAAGTTGACAGCTATGATCCTCTTCCATACCCTCCAACACATCTCCAATGAAAATAGGAAAAGCAGGACATTCCAGGACTCAGAAACTGGGGCAGCTTCTGTAAATCAGACTGTCGCTGGAAATCAAGGACACTTGGAGGGTCTGCTAACGTCCTCAGCTTATCCAACAAATTGGGAAGTTCATTCCCCGCCACTATTGCACACAGGGGGCAAGTTTTATTGGGCATAGGTGGGTGGCAGTCCGTGGGGCTTTGTTATATGGGGTGACGATCCTCCGCCTCCCCCTCCAGCCCCACGCACGCTCCCCCCTTGCATGTCCCACTCACCGTCTCCGTGACGTGGGTCACGGCTTGCTCCTTGAACGTCGCCTGAACGAGGTCCCTGCTGTGGAAGAAATCTAGCACCAGCTCCAGAGCCCTTTGCTGGAGGGGCGACCGGTTGGCATCCGCCAGGGCCAGGAGGCCCAAGCACAGCACTAGAAGCCCCTTCATCCCCCTGCCCGCGTCCCCAGTGGATCTGCTGCCCACACCCTGCCCTTGCGAACTCCCCTGCCGGTCTGTTGATCTTGGTCGGTCATTAACTTGTTCCCATGAGAGCTGTCCCAGACGCAGGCCCCCTCGCCTGCCCTCTGCCCTCTCCTGTGGCTGTTTTTTGGTTGATGCCCAGGAGATGAAAGGGAGGGGTGGGCAAAGGGCGCCCGTGCAGGAAAACAACAGGAGGAGGGGTCCCTTTGGCCACCCCTCCCAACCGGCTGCCAAAGATGCAGGGTGTTTTTCCCGGGTCTGCTTTCTCTTTGGGGCTGGCACAGGAGACGCAGGATCTCTCATTGATGCCAGTCGCTCCCAAAGTGGGTGGTACCTGCTGCATAAGAACATAAGAGCCTGCTGGATCAAGAAGAATATTTTTAGCAGGTGCCAGAAAGAACACAGAGAATACAGAGGAGGCGCCTAGCTGGTATCAGTAGGCAGGGAGTTCCAAAGTGCAGGCACTACCGCACTAAAATGTTGAGTTCTTACAAATGGGTATTGCATGGCACCTGTAACAGTGCTGGTTCTGAAGATCAAAAGGGTCGAGTGCGTGTCTACAGGGTTAGGCAATTTTCCAGGTAAATTGGTCCCATGTTTTTAAGGGCTTTGTAGACTTATTGCCAGAGCCTAGGACTTGCCGATCAGAAGGCTGGCAGTTCGAATCCCCGCAACGGGGTGAGTTCCCGTTGCTCGGTCCCTGCTCCTGCCAACCTAGCAGTTCGAAAGCACATCAAAGTGCAAGTAGATAAATAGGTACCACTCTGGCGGGAAGGTAAACGGCGTTTCCGTGCGCTGCTCTGGTTCGCCAGAAGCGGCTTAGTCATGCTGGCCACATGACTCGGAAGCTGTACGCCGGCTCCCTCGGCCAATAAAGCGAGATGTGCACCGCAACCCCAGAGCTGGCCACGACTGGACCTATTGCTCAGGGGTCCTTTACCTTTAGACTTATTGCCACACCTTGATCCTGGCCCAGTAGCAAATCAGCGAACAATTTTCTGTTTTACAATTTAGAATATTCATTTAAACAACCTTAAAATATCAATGACATCCTTTCTTCTCTTTCCACGGTTCATTTTGCATATCATAAATCCCTGCATATTTTACATAAACTAAACCATTCAGTATTCCATTATTACATCCATCAAAATGAATTTACACTGCTGAATTTATCCAGGTTGTTTTCCCTGAAACAGCTCTGAAAGGCAATATTGATATTAGAGATTTGGCCTTTCCCATTCCACCAGCCACTTTGTTGTGTGTCCCCCCCCCCCCAATTGATTTCAGTGTTTGATCTACAAAGTCCACAGCTTTCACTTCAGGAACACATAAGCAAACAGAAACGTCCTGAGCCTTGCAGTTTCCCAACGCCTGCTGGGTAGCCACCTCTCTCATGAACCTGGCATTTTGGAGGTCAAGTTGCTGGTGGCCAGTTTGGTCGCCTTCCTAGCCAGAGAAGCCAGGATGGCAGTGACAAAGCCAAAAGCAGGTTTGTTCTTATTTTAAAGTGGGGAATGGCTTCAATGATTCATGCACGCTGGTATTTAGAATCCACAAGTTTTGCTGGCTATGTTCTATTAGAATGTTTGTGGAAAACATAAAAGGTTAGTACAGTTTGTGCAAGAACAGCATGCAGGATCAGGCCAGTGGTCTATCCAGTCCAGTATCCTCTTTGGAACCAGAGTGGGAATCCCTAAAGATGGTGGGATTATCTAGTGGGGTGATATCAAGCCGGGGCAGGGAGGGGAGTGGGGCTCTGGAGGTGTAAATAACTACTTCTTCTTCTTCTCCTTCTCCTTCTTCTTCTTTGGCGGGCGATTCCTCATAACTGAGTAAGATTGTCTTCCCTAAACAAGGTTTTAACAGTGAGTCCATAAGCGACAGTGGAGACCATTTCTGGATCCACACATCCTTCCACAGTGGGGACATAGGTTTCCGAGCAGGAGTTGATCACAGTGTGGATTTGCCAAGTGTGCCTTCCTCTTAGTGCGTTTCTCCCTTGCGTCCTGAGTTCGAGCGTCTTCAAAACCCATGACACCTTTGGTAAAAGCTGTTCTCCAATTGGAGCACTCGCAGGCCAGTGTTTCCCCGTTGTCGGTGTTTATACTACATTTTTTTAGATTTGCTTTGAGAGAGTCTTTGAACCTCTTTTGTTGACCACCAGCATTACGCTTTCCATTCTTAAGGTTGGAATAGAGTAGTTGCTTTGGAAGATGATCATCAGGCATCCGCACAACATGACCAGTCCAACGAAGTGGATGTTGAAGAATCAATGCTTCAACACTGGTGATCTTGGCTACTTCCAGTACACTGGTATTAGTTTGCCTGTCTTCCCAGGTGATGTTTAAAATTTTCCGGAGACGCCATAAATGGAATTTTGCTGAACTGATTGAACTAAATAGTTTTAATTGGATTTTGAATAAATATGCAATTATTTATTACCATTTCAAATGCTATTGTGTTGTTATCTTCCTTAGTGGGTCGTGCAAACCACTGTTCTGAATAATGCTTTTTAACTGGGGATGAGTTTGTGGAACGGAGGTGCCAGTGTGCTCCCTGATTGTTTGGCAGCCACTGGAATTGACACATGAGATTCCCTCTAGAAAGGACAAATCCACACCACACATTCAAAGCACAGGATTTCCCCCAAAGAACTCTGGGAACTGTAGTTTCCCCTCTCACAGAGATACCATTCCCAGCATCCTTAGCAAACTGCAGTTCCCAGGATTCTTTAGCAGTCATGTGGTTTAACTGTCTCGCTGCGCTTAAAAGGTAAGGCGTTGGCGCTGCTATTCCTCCCTTCTCGCCCCACAGCAAACGTGTTGAGGCCTTCCGATGTAGGCCTCATGGGCTTCCCGCAGAACTACTTCTCCCATGATGCCCTGAGCGGAAGAGCCTCTCGCGAGAGGTAAGCCGCGAAACCCGGCCGCCATCGCGAGATTCCCCTCCCACGCTTCTCGGGCTAACGGGACGGCGCCCCATTTCCTGCCTCTGCGCCCGGCGGGAACTCGCTCTCCCATGATGCCGCGCGGCGGGTTCCTTTCCGCCAATCTCCTTTCAGAGTCCGGGCGGGGTAAGGCGGGAGAAAGAGGAAGAAGGTCCGCGAGGAGAAGCAGGGAAGCGGAAGTGCGTGTATTGTGGAGGGCGGAAAGGGGCGGGGCTTGGGGGAAAGAGAGCGAGCGGGCCTTTCCGGTTCCTTCATCCGGGTCCTTTCTGCTCTATTAAAATAAAAAATAATCTAGATATACACCTATATGTATATATAACAGGCGACGGGGAGAAGGGGAGGAAAAAGGGAAAAGAAAAGACGAGGCCTCGCCCCTCCGCCGCGTGACGTCATCGCGTGAGGTCACCGGGCCCGGCGATGATGCGTCGGTGACGCGGGCCTCGCGTCCGCCACGGCCGGGGACCGTCACGGTGTTGCTATGGCAACACCGCCTGCTGGGTCAGGGGGTCACCGCGCGGCCTGGTGAGCGGGGCGGGGGGGCCGGGAGAGGGCCGGGGGGGCCGCCCGGGCGGCGGGGCGGGGGCGAGGGAAGGGCGGGCCGAGGGGCGCCGGGGGGGGGCAAGGCGCAGCCCCCCGAAAGAGGGAGAGGCCTCGCGGGTGGGGGGGGCGCAGGGGAGGAGGGAGGGGGGCCCTCCCTGCGTAGCTGGATAAAACCCGGGTCTGGACCCTTCACCCCCCTCCCCACTCAGCCACCCCCTCGGAGGGTCTCCAAAGCCCCTCCCTCCTTCCTCTCTTTCTGCCCTCCCTCCTCCCCATGGCACCCCGAGAGGGCGGTGTGGGCTCCCCTCTGCGTCCGCGGGCATTGAATGCCTTTCTCCCCCCCCCCCCCCGCCCAGTTCCTCCCGAATTCCTGAAGTTTCCCCTGCACAAAAGGCTGGATCCGGAGCAGATCGCCCGTTTCCCTAGCCAGGGTCGATGGGTGGGCCCTGGGGCACCTTTGGGTGGTGCCACCTTCCCGCCTTATTCGTTCATTTTGAGCCAACGTTGCCCTGGGGCTTCAGGGTTTAGGTTGAGGCTTCCCAGCCCTCCTCCTGGGCCTTGAGAGGACAGGGCTGGCTGCCCTTAGCCGGGGCCAAGATGGGCTTGGGGGCCTTCCAAACTTGTGGAAATGATGGATGCAGTGGGTAAGAGGGAGCCGGCGACCTTTTTTATCTGAATGGGGAAACCTGGAAATGCCTGTAATTCGAAAAGGGCCTCTCTCAGTAGGCATTCATATTCACCTGAACTTTGGCAGCTTTGTACCTGTAAAATGGGGGTTATTAGGTGCCCATTTGCACTTTTTCCATAGATGGATGCAGCCTCTGGTTGTCCCTGGAGTCAGGGCAGTAGTGGTAGAATTATAAAACAATCCTTTGCATGTCTGCTGTGAATGAAGCTTAATCAAATTAAGTGGGAATTTCTCCTGGGTAAGTGTTTTAGCTGTTGAGTGCGAAACCCCCCCAACCTATTATTTCAAGATACAGGGTCCCAAGCTTCTAGATATAGCTTCTAGAGAACTGGAAATTTCAAAGGTTGATGTTCAGCACAATCCTGTGCTCGTTTACTTGGAGGTAAATTCCATTGTGTCCAGCAACTCAGCCTTCCTCGCTAAAGCATGCGCAGCACTGCAGCCTTAAATGGCCAACTCTTTTCTTTTGACTCTTTTGATTCACCAACCCCAAACCAGAGCCAAGTTGAAAAATAGTTTAAAATTGACTTGCCTAGTCACCTTTGAAATGTGATGCTGGTGATCAGAACATGAGGGTTTCTTCCAACCTGGCTAGGCTGGTGCTGGAAAAAAGAAGCAGGTAGTTACCAGAGTGGAAAAAAAGCAAAGATTTCTCTCTAGCCCTTGAGCCTTGGCAGAAAGTTGCCCTTGCAGTTCAGTTGGAAAACGTGCGGATGGCAGAGGTCAAAAAGATATTTGCAGCCTCTGGGGACAAGTGAGGGAATTGCTGTTGTATTTCTGGGTCCGCTGCTAAAAATGGCTTGTTTTCTGCTCTGTGGGTTGTGCTGGGAAGGCTGCAGTGGGGCTGGCTGGCGGGTGGGGCTTTGGGGCTGCGTTGGAGGAGCTTGGGCTGTCAGGAGTGGAGCTTTGTTCACTGTCGGGCCAGTTCTCCAGTTTCTTTCCTGGATCCTTAACTGGCTTCTAGATTTTCCTTGAGTGCTTCTGGCCGTGGTTTGGGTTTTCCATCTTGACAGCAAAGTGTGGCAGGAAGCGATTAACCTCAGCTTGATAAGGTTAACTGCTGCACAACTTTCGATTCCTTAAACATTTTGTATTAAGAAGGGATTTGTCTTTCTAGTCCCCTCATTAAAGTTCAGATTTCAAAGCTTTTGTCTGAAAGAGAGCACCTTTCCCAAGTGGAAGAAACCTTATGTGAAAGTTTTTGTAATTTGCTTATGGGCAAAAACTATCTTGGCCAGACGCGTTCCTCTGGCTGTGGGAATGGGTCTGTGCCTTTGAATGGACATGGCAGAAGAACTGTGGAATGGCCACAACAGCAGATCCTGCTTCCACCTGTCTTCCAGAGAAGGCAGTTTTGGAATGGGAACCTCCAGAGACTGTAAGGAGCAGCCTGAGAAAGAATGATGGGGCAGGCTGGACAGCTGCTCCGTCCTCATTCTGTCTGCCAGGCTGGACCAAGAGAGAGTGGGGACTTGGGGTGGCGTTGCTGGAGGCAATTCCTTCCTTTTCCCACCCCCTGCAGACCATCTTTTATGCTGATTCCTGTCCCTTGGAACAAGGCATCCCCTCTCCCTTGGTCAGAGTGTTTCACTGTGTCCTTCACATTCTTCTTCAAGAATTCACATTCTTCTTCAATTTCCTTTGCCAAAGCTCTTCCAGTTAATGTGTATCCACTTTCTCTGCTGTGACCCCATCTTGTTGAGCAACTCTTGGGGGTCTTCTCTTTGGTACGGCTGCAGTTCAGTGGGCAAGCTATTAAGTTTCAGTTTTGAAACCCAGGTTCACCACCTTGGAAGGTGGTGGGCTTCCCTTCTTTGTTTGAGGTTTTTAAACAGAGTTTGGATGGCCATCTGCCAGGGATTTTTAGCTGCGATTCTGGTTTTGTAGGAAGTTGGACTACGTGACCCTTTGGATCCTCTGCAATTCTATGATGCTGTGATTCCCCACTCAGCTCCAACATTTGCTTTGCTACCTTTGACTCTGCCTAAGCGACCATATGAATGAAAAGTAACTTTCCTAAGGGCCAGGAACGTCTGCAAGAACCTTTTTGAAGAAAAAAGAACCTCGACATTCAGGATGCTGTCCAAGATTCCAAGGCTGTGTTTTCTGGGTCAGATTCCGCAGTGCCCTGAGATCTTGGGATCAGGCAGTTATAGCAAGGGTTGAAAGACAATGGATCAGAAGACAGCTGAGGCTATAGGGAAAGATGTGTCTGCAGAGGCTCAGGGAAAGAGGTCTTGCTGTGTCAGGAAGTCCCCAAGTGGGAAACGAAAGCAAGGAATCTCTTGTGGGCTAGTGCTTCACAGCCAAAGGTATTCTGTGGCATCCATGAGACTGCAGAAAGCCACCATTTCTAGTAGCCATCAAGGATTTGTCTAATCCTCTTTTTAGTGGCCACCACTAAGTCTTCTGGCAGCAAATTCCACGAGTGAATTGTGCATCGTCCAAAGAAGTCCTTTCCGTTTCCTATCTTAAATCCCTTGCCCGTAAATTTCATTGAATTATCCTGTTATTTATTGCACATATTATGCCTCTAAGGTTATAAATCCTTTTCAAGGTGTACAAGTAAAATAAAAACCACACAGTGTGGTTGCTATGAAGCAATGGCAAAGCATTTTTTAAAAAACCTCATCATTGCTGGCAGAATTCTCTCTGTAGCATTTGGGAGCAGAGGGTGTTACTTTGGCCTGCCTGTCTCTGCCCTCTATCATTGCCTGAGGTAGTCTGAGGGGGGAGGGGGAGATTCCCTCCCTCCACTTTCTTATAGAATCATAAATTTGTAGGCATGGAAACAACCAAAGGGTTATCCAGTCCAACTTGCTGCAATGCATAATTTTTTTACCATGCATAATTTTATAACCGTCCACCATATCCCTTCTTACTATTTTTTTTAATAGTGGACGGTCACCCCATATCAAAAAAACAAGTAGTGTACAGCCAGGAAACTCATCAGGAAGAGGCTTCTGTTCGTTTGGGTTGTGGTTTCCTTCACCTTTTCTTTGTTTTTTTGATACGGAGGGACCCAGACTCCTTCGCATACGAAACGCAGCAGCTATATTTCTGGGCAGGAACCGTAGAATTGCAGAGTTTGAAGGGACCCCCAAGGGCCATTTAGTCCCTGACTCTGCCACCGTAGTCCTCAGCCTGTTCTTTGGCATCTACTGTTGCTTCCTTTCATGTTCTCTATGGTCTTGCAGTTCACAGGTCGCTCTCCCCACCTCCCCATGTGGTGTCTGTGTGTCTGCAAACAGAGAGGAGACCTGGCAGCATGTCTGTGCTGTTGTCTCCCCTGCAAGCATTTCCAAGAGAAAGGGTACCTTTTTTTGGGCCAGCTTGTCTCCCAGAGGCTGCAAATGAGCTTATGAAATGTATATTCTTTCTTGAGTTTCTGTGTTCGGTGTGCAGCAATGAACATAAGAAGAATCTGCTAGTGGCCAGTGGCCCATCTAGTCCACGGCAGCTGGCCAGATGCCCCAACGGTTGAATCTAGTGCTTTCAAAACAGCAAAAAAAACCCAAGCCGTTTGCTTTGCACAGAGACTCAGAGAAATTGAGCAAAGCTAGATGATTTGCAGGGGGCTTGGGTTACACTGGGCCTCAGCACCCTGTTTGCTTAACCTCTTCTCCTCCCGGTTGATGCAGGGCCTTTCAGAAAGAGCAGCAAAAATAAACCGCCAGAAGGATGGTCAGACTCGCAAGACGAATCCCATTTGCCTTTCAGTTGCTGAGGAGAAACATGGTCTCCCTTCCCTGGATAACTGTCCTAGGAAATGCCTGCAGAGGGGGCTGCCCAGGTAGGGTGAGGGCAGGGGGAGTCGTGGGTTGGAGCTCTCTGGGGCAGCTGCTTCTTGCCTTCCGACGCCTTGCTTGGGGAAGGCTCCTCAGACCCTGTGCCCTAACTGGCCCTCCAGCAGTTGTCATCGGACTCCCATCAGCCCTGAACATTGACCATTCTGCCTGGGGCTGATGGGATGCCATCATCTTCTGGAGGGCGCCATGTTGACTATCCCCGCCCTGTGCACTTTGATGGGCATGGCTTGGCTCCAATTGGATGCAGCCATTTGATGGTGACTAGTGCTAGGCGTGTAGGGCTTCCTCCCACAGATATGGTGGGGGTGGGTGGGGCTGATGGGAGTTGTAGTCCAGCCACATCTGGGGAGCACTTCACTGCCCATCCCTGCTTGTCCGAGGCTGTGGCTTTGGTATAAGGCGGCTCCTGCCGCTCCCGGGTTGGGCTTCCTGGTCTTGAGGCGGCTTCCTCAGAGCAGGGCAAGTGCTGACCAGTCCATCTTGTTGCAGCAGGTGACGTCTGAGCCTGCCCTGGTCTGCGTCTCCCCGGAGGAGGTCCTGGAGAATCCGCAAGGAGTCGGTGGGTGTGGTGATGGAGAACTACGAGCTGGTCACTTCCCTGGGTAAGACGCCGCTGGTTTTGTTTGGGGGAGGCAGTTGCTTGCCAAAAGCTTTGTGTCTTGCCTGTTGGGAGCCTCAGAAAGGCTTGGCTCCTCGTTCACGCTGGTTCTGCTCAAGAGGGACAGAGAAACTACCGTTCAACTGCAGATAGCTAATACAGTGGTACCTCGGAAATCAAATGGAATCCGTTCTGGAACTCCGTTTGACTTCTAAAACATTTGGAAACCGTGGCGTGGCTTCTGATTAGCTGCGGGAAGCTCCTGCAGCCAATTGGAAGCCGTGTAAGCTGCGTCGGACATTTGAGCTCCAAAGAACGTTCGCAAACCGGAAAATTCACTTCTGGGGTTGCGGTGTTCAGGAGCCAAAATGTTTGAGTCACAAGGCATTCGGGATCCAAGGTACGGCTGTATTGTGAGGGCCAGAGGGTCAGTCAGCCTCTTTCCTGCCAGTTGTTAGGTCTCCACTCCAGGCAGCAGAGGCCCCCCCAGGTGAAGAGCCAGCACAGCTCCCACCTAGCTTGTGATGTTGGAGCCCAGCGCTGAGGTTTCAAGAGCATGTTTGGTGGCGGCTGGCTCAGTCTGCTTTGGTGCAGGAGTCTGCTGGATCCGGCCAGTGGCCCATCCAGCCCAGAATCCTGATGGCCCCCCCAAATGCCCATCATGGGGAAAACCTGCAAGCAGAATCTGAGCACGACAGCAGCTCTCCCCCGTCCTTTGGTTTCTGGCAACTGGGATTCAGAAGCATCGCTGCCTCTGACTGTGGAGACCAGAGCCACCACGGCCATTACCCATTAATAGTCCTCTCCTCCAGCAGCTTGCCATCCATTTGCTTCTGTGTGTAGATGTGATTCTGTGGTAGATATTTTTACCGGAAAGAAACCCTCTGCCTTTAATATCCTGTCCTGGGGTGTGGTGGGGTACAGAGGGGCCGCCTCTCCAACGCATCTGCATTCAAGGAGTGCTCCTTTCTCTGTGCCAGGTGTGGAAACCTGAGTCAGCCTTTTAAAAGCCACCGCAATGGAGCGTAATGGTGTTCCTCCCTCTCCAGGCTACCCGGTTCTCAAACCTGATCTCCTGTCTCGGATCGAGCGTGCTGGAGAGCAGTGTGTTGGAGATCAGCTGGACTCTAGCAGAGGGATTCCAACAGATCCCTGCCCAGGTAAGCCACGAAGCAGAGTGGCAGAATGGATCACCTTCATCAGTTTTGTTGAATTAATCAAACTAAATTTGGTTTGGAATATTTGTGCAATTAATTGTTAACTGTTTCTAATTTTATTGCGTTATCATATTCCTTAGTGGGTCGTATTCAGAACTGCTGTTCTGAATAGTGCTTAAGAGTAGGGTTGGGGCGGTGGGGTTGAGTGTGTGGAACTAAGGGGGCTGAAACAGAGATAAAAGCCACAGAGGCCATGACCAGAGTTTCTGGAGGCCCTTTGCAGACAATGCCTGTGGTACCTTTTGGCTTCGGTCACTCTGCAGGTGTGGCCCCTTCTTCCAAGTCTTCCTGTTGGCCAAGAAGGCAAGTGCAGGTTTTTCACACAGAGAGCACAGCAAAACTAACCGCTTCTTCCCTGTGCCAGGCTACCGGTTCTTCAAACCTGAGAGCTTATCCTGGATTGAACGGTGGGAAGAGCTTGGCGTCACGGATCGCCAGAAGCTGGAGGAAGGCAAGCTGTGCACAGGCTCCTGCCAAGGTGAGGAGCCATCCTGCAGAGGGTGTTGCCTATTGGTTGACTCCAGCAGCAGTTTTGGTTGCCAGGCCAATGGGGAGGCAGCCTGTGGCCCTTCAGGTGGCATTGGACTTCAAGTCCCATAATCCCTGGCCAGGGACTCTGCTGGTGAAGGGGACTGATGGGAGCTGGGAGCCTGACAATATTTGGGAGAGCCAGTTCTGTTCTAAAATAATAAATAATGAGGCACACATTTATCTACCATTCTCTGCAGCCACAGCAGGTGCTGTGATTTGCCAGCCGTTTGACCTCACCCCTGGAGGTGCACTCCATTGTCTCTTGAGACAGGCGGATAAGAACAACCTATTTATTCTTTTTAAAAAATGGTTTGCCCCCCTCCCAGCCCTGAATGTACAGGCTGGATGTTGTCTGGATCGTTGCCTGCGTAAAAATATGGCATGTTGTGCCCCAAACATTCACGGCATACCTCCTTATTCTTCTTATTTAGTAGGTTTCTTATTGTTTACATATATTTATAACATAGCAAGTATAGCAACAGAGGCCAGATAAAAGCAGAAAAGAATATCCAGAAATAAACATATAGGAACAAAGTTCCATACCAAAATAAAAAATAATAATTAATTAAGACCACCAGGTTCCAAGTAACACAAGTGGGCTTACGTTATCCTGCACCTTATTACTTCAGTTTATTATAAAAACAGTCCATTAATTGATAAATACATTGCCTTGTCGTCTGCCCTGTCTGGTTCTCACCATATATGCAAGCTTAACCATGCCTACCATATCCCAGATTGCTTTATACATTCTCTCATAAACTTAGGAGTGGCCTTTGATTCTTCTTCCGGGAGAATTGGAGCACAAAACGAAGCTCCTCTGTTCTTCTGCAAAGGCCTCCTTCTGCTGTGTTCCTCTCGCCCCTTCTCATGCTTCCTTTCCACCTCTTTTTCTCCCTTTCTCTCTTCCCGCCCCCTTCAGGAGCAGCCGGCCGCGGCAAGGCCATCAAGGAGGAGGAAGGTGGCCAGAAGGGCTTTGTGGCCAGCTTGGAGCGCTACCAGCTCTTCCCCGACAGCTCCCGAGCGGGCCTTTTCCTGGCGCCCAACGCCGCCCAGCTGCGGGCGCAGCAGCCTCGTGTCAAGAAGGAGGAAGCGGCCTCGTGTGAGCCTGGCCTCTGCGGCCCCGGGCGCCCCTCTCAGGGCCTGGGCTCGGGCCCCTTCGCCTGCGTGGTTTGCGGGAAGTGCTTCCGCCAGAAGCAGGGCCTCATCACGCATGGGCGCATCCACACGGGCGAGAAGCCCTACCCCTGCCTGGAGTGCGGCAAGCGCTTCCGCCAGCGCCCCAACCTGCTGACGCACCAGCGGGTCCACACGGGCGAGCGGCCCTTCCCCTGCCTGCGCTGCGGCAAGCGCTTCAGCCAGAAGGCCAACCTGGCGGCCCACCAGCGCACCCACGCCGTCCAGGAGGGGCTGATCGCCCCGGAGCCCAAGACGCCCGTGCCACGGGGCAGCCGCCAGACGGAGAAGCCTTTCCCCTGCAACGTCTGTGGGAAGAGCTTCAGCCAGCGGCCCAACCTCATCACCCACCAGCGGATCCACACGGGCGAGAAGCCTTTCGCCTGCACCGAGTGCGGGAAGCGCTTCAACCAGCGCGCCAACCTCATCACCCACCGCCGCATCCACTCGGGCGAGAGGCCCTTCCCCTGCGCCACCTGCGGCCGCCGCTTCAGCCAGAAGGGCAACCTTGCCGCCCACCAGCGCACCCACTCCCAGCAGAGGCCCCACGCCTGCTCCTGCTGCCCCAAGCGCTTCAAGGGAGAGTCGGCCCTGCGAGCGCACCAGAGGACCCACCGGCAGGTCCTGGGAGCTGACCCCCTGGCCGGAGCCCTCTTGGCGGTGGCTCCCGGCCTCCAGCAGCAGGCCCCGCTCCCCGGGGACCCCACCTCAGCCGCGCAGAGGGCCACGCCTGCCCCCCGCCAGGATCTGCCCGGGGACCCCACTCCGGGCGTCCATCGGGCTGCCCCCTCCGGGCAGCAGGGGCAGCAGCAGCCGCAACAACAGCAGCAGCAGCCCCAGCAGCAGCAACAGCACGGAGCCCCTCATGGGCCACAGTCTCTTCCCGCGGACCCTCCACCCGGTCCCCACGCAGCAGCGGGCCCCGCTGGACACCTCCAGGGTGTGGCCCCCGGCTCGGAGCAAGGGCCGAAGCTGAGCGCCCCGCCGGCCGTGATGGACCCCCACGCCGAGATGCTCCACTGCCAGCGCCGGCTGAGCCTGCCGGCGCTGCCCACCTCCAGCGCCCATTCCGTGGTGCCCATGGGGCAACCGCAGCCCATCACCACCAAGCCCAAGAGCCTGGTGGGACCGCGGCTGGATGCCCCCAGCGAAATGCTCCACTGCCTCTGCCACGCCAGCAGGGCCTCCCTGGTCATTCCTCACCCGCCGCACCTGGGGCAGCTCCAGGCGGGCGCCAGGGACGCGCCTGGCCGCGCCTGGCTGGGCATCCCGTGCCCGGCCCGCACCCTGCAGCTCCAGCAGGGGGCCCAGGGCCACCCCGCCGCCCCCAACCCGAGACTCTGCTCCATCCCGGATTCCCTGCGATAGTTTCCTCCTCCCCAAAGACGGGCGCTGTGCAAGCACAGATTGGTGGGGGCTGGGCTTGGCCCTCCCCACAAAGGACCTCCCACACATAAACAGCCCTCGGCGGTGGGGCAAGGCGGTGGGGCTCATGCATGTATTGTGGACAGGAGAGCCCTCAGCCTGCACCGACCCCCCCAAATCTTGAGACACGTGCAAAACCCCCTCTTTGCTCCTGCATCTCCTGGCACAGAAAAAGATCGATCTTTCTTGCAGCGCCACCAGACTTCTCCCCCTAGAAGCTTGAGCCCGCGGGGGTGTCATTGTGCCAAGTGTATTTTCTTCATCCCTACAATCCCGCCCCCCCGCCATGTACCACATCCGCCTCCCTCCACCCCAGGAACCAGCGGAACTCCCCTCGACCGCCTCGTGCAGCACAGATGCGGCGGAAATCTGCCTCCCCCAGGGGAGGCGAACGGGGCCCTGCGAGCAGGCAGCGCCTCCAGACTGGCAGGCAGCAACGTTAGAGGGCCTTCCTTTGAAAAGAGGACTCTGGAGAGGACCTGCTTTCTTCCCCTCCTTCCACATGCCTGCTGTCGCCTAGCAAATTCCACCTGGGATCTCTCGCCTTCGGGGTCCAGAGTAGCGGGTGCAGGAGACGACAACGTCCTACGTGTGAAACTGGGAGATGCCTTAGCTGCCGTGCGAGGCCAGCCAGAGTTGACCAGCACAAAAGAACCACAGGAACAGCCGCTGCTGGACTCTGCAGGCAACGGTCTACCTGGGGATCTCGCTGCCTGCCAGATCCCGGGCTCATTTCTCTCGTTTGCCCTGTGCAACTGAGGATACCGAATGCAGGAGATTTGGGTGACGAGGAACATTATCAGTCTGTTGCAGGAGCAACACGGATGGTTGGATTTTCCGGGGGTGGGGAGGGGGCGAACTTGTGCCAAGAACCCTTGCCCATAATCTCCACGCTCCCCTGCTTCCTCGCGGGCAGAGCAGACTCTTGGATGCCTCTCCTGCCCGGTGGCACTCTGCATGCTTTGCCTTTTCACAGAGAAGCGGGGCGGGTGGTTGAAGGAGGAAAGAAGCCCCGCCCCTCCAAAGACTGACAGAGGGGGGAGGAGGACTTCAGCATGCTTCAGAAGCGGCGCGTTGCTACGGAGCGGTCCGGATCCTGGGCGCAAGCAACAAAGTCCACTCTGCGAGGAGAGCTGGGCTTCCTTTGTCTTCAGTCTGCGGAGGGGGGGCGGCGCTGGTGGGAAGCAGCCCCTCCACAAGGCCGTCCAATGAGCTCTGGGCAGCTGTGAAGAGGGGAGACGCCTGCCTTGTTCCCAAACCTGGGTGCAACTGGTGGCCTAGAAGCGTCCAAAGCTGCCTTCCTTCCCCAGGCCCTGTTGCCCTCCGGGTGCTTTGGAGCTGGTGGGAGTTGTGCTCCAAAACACCCTGAGGGAACCAGGCTGGGACCAAGGCCGGTCTGTAGCGGAGGCGTGGATGAGGTATGGAAGCGTTGACCAAAGAGGAGGAGGAGGGGAGGGATGTCCAGGGGTCCCTCCTCTCGGGAAGGCTGGGTTGTGGGGCAGGAGAAGCAGCCGAAGCACTTTACATGTCACCCCCGTTAGGCCCCCTTGACCTCGGTTCTGCCTTCTGCCGCGTGGCTTGCCCCTCTGGCTTCACCACTCTGTGTTGACTGGTCTGCAGAGACCGCGCTGGCCTGATGGGCTAGAGGGTTCTCTGCATTGGCTCAGTGGGCAGCCGTGTTGGTTTTTGGGTGTGCCAACGGGCTGCCTGTTCCTCCCCTGCTTTGCAGAGCAGGCCCCCAAACCTCCCCTAGGGATGCCACCCCTTAGAAGAAGGACCCCGGGCAACGAGAGGGGGAATCTGTGCCTTAAGCTCTCCGATCCTCGGCCCACTTTGTCAACCAGTCCTGGTTGGAGGGTGGCGTCGTGGTGGGGAGGGTGTTGACTGCACATAAAACCGGGCTGGGTGCTTTAGAAGCCGTGGGCAGGGCACACTTGGGGGGCAGAGGAGAGAGTTGTGGGATGCAAGAGGCATGAGAGCCCCAAAGGAGTCCAGGCTCCCTCAGCGGGGAGAAGAAGGTGTGGAAACTGTGTGCCCCAGACAACGCTGGCTCTGTTTCCTTGAGGGGCTGCAGGCTGTCGGGTCGTCTTGGCCAGACTGTGCCCAGTTGAGGCCCGCAAGTGCTCTTGGATTCCCAGCTCCCAGCAGGCAAAGGCTGGTTGCGATGCTGAGTTGCCCAAAGGAAGAGAATCTGTGTGTGTCTGGGGGGGAAGCCCAGGTGGCGGGGGGGGGGGGCAAAGACCCCCCATGCCAGAAAAGTGCAAAATGCCCAAGGAAAAAGCGGGTGGAAAGAGAAGCGTGAGAGAGCCAGGATACATGCAACACAGCTGATAAAGTGATTGGATCCCCTAAGGTGTCTGTATCTCGCTATCCCTCTGGCTATCAGCCGTTTTTGTGTGTGGCTTTTGGGGGGGGGCAGTGCAAAGGGTTTACGTACTTATGGGCGCAAACAAAGGGGAAGCTCCCTGTGGCTGCAATGCAAAAGCGGGAGACCCTGTGGCTGATGCTTCTCGTCCTGTTACACGTTGCCCCTGACCCAGAGCGAGGCTGGAGAATTAATGTTCTGTCCTTTAGCGTTTGGGGAATGGTTTGTTCCCACCTCTCAAGGACCCGCTCTGATGTCTCTGGGGGTGGGGGAAGTACCTTGGGTTCAAGATGCAGGGGTCTTCTGTAGTTGGGAGGGATGCAGCCCTTGCCCTGACCTCTGCACTGTGCAGCTTCCTAGCTCTGAGTAAAAGTCACCCCTTCCCCTGGAAGCTGGAGGAAAACCTGGGTCAGCTCTGGCCACAGGAACATCAAACGCCCCACCTCCCTCCCAGGCTCCCTTCTCCAGGCTGGGCATTCGTTCCAGGCTAAGGCTTCACTCCTAAACCACCTGAGCTGCTATGGAGGGATCCCAACTGGAGAAGGTAGCTCTCCACTCTGCAGAGGGCCCCTTCTTGCGCATGGTTTTAAAGAAGCCGTTGGAGGCAGTCGCGGGTCCAGGACAGCCGTGGGGAAAAGAGATGCTCTGCTTGTGCCTAGTGGATCTTTTGGGGCTGGTGACTTAAATGCAATGTGTGTGTTTGCTGGGAGGAGGCGTTGGGCGCCAACCCCTTTGGGGAGGAGGGAGCAAAAGAACAATTGGGGTTGTGGGCAGCCAAGAAAGCTCTTTTCGGTCCTTGTGTTTGTGTCCGGTTGTTTGGCCTTCACCTTAGTGCTCTGTGCTGTAGGGGGTGTTCTTAGGGGGGAACACATTGGTGCAGACGTGCTTGCTTGGCATTTCCCCGGTTGCATGCTGAAACCCAAGCGGGTTGTTCTGGCCAGGATGGGTGGGCATGAGAGGGGGTGGTGGCAGGGGGAGCTGGCTGCCGGCCTCTGGGGACAGGCCAGTGGTGTGCTGCCTGCAAAACTCTTCAGTCCAAGGATGCGGGAGGTGGGCTGCCCAGCCCCCTGTTCCAGTGTGTCAGTCCATCTCTGGACCGTTTAGAACCAGACAAGACGGTACTTCGTTGTGGCAGAGGCACCCTCCCCACTTCAAGTAGTGCTGGCATCCCTGGACCCTGGCGCGGGCCGCTTAAGGACTCGCGCTCCTTTCGTCTCCCTTCAGAGCCACTGGTGGCTACCAAAGCCGCAGGTGGGGTGTCGGATAGGCTGGACTCTTGTGTGCCCCAGTGAAATTCTGTTGCGTTTGGGGGGGCCTGTGTGCGCGTCTTGTTTTACGGGGAGCCGTTTCCTCCCCGCCCTTCCTTGCCATGCATTTTTGCTTACCCCAGCTTGCTTGAGCCGCCTCTTCACGCTCTCTGTCCTGCAGACAAAACTTCCTGAAGTGCACTTGCCCTCTTGCTCATAGCCCAGATTAGGTAGGCAAAGGGGTGTTGGTGGGTCTTTCCTCGAGGCCTGGATGCCTGGACCTTGACGAGGAGTTTCTGGCTCCTCCTAACTTTACATTTCTCCCCTCGCCATCAGCGATACCCAGTCTCTTGTGTTTGTTGTGGGGGGGGGTGTTAGTTTCTCGATTGATGCAAAGCTTATCAAGAAGGCTTCTGTTGCAGGCTCTGGGTCACTGGCATCCCACCCCCCTTGGTTATTTGCGACCCATAGTAGCTTAAGTGTTTCTTTCGCAGCTGCAGGGAGACCCCGACTCACCTGGGACCCCTGCTGCAGCCGCCAGCGGGCTCTTAGCCCTCTTGCAACCTGGTTTTGCGTATAAGGAGCTTCACCAACTAGGCAGCAGCCTTGGAGTGGCCTCAGCATCGCACGTCTTGCTACCCTGTGGTGACTTCTTGGCTCCTTTCTGTTGAACAGCTGCCTCCCTAGTTGCTGTCCCACCCCCACCCTGGACGGCTGTGTTACAGGCAGAAAATGCAACAGGTGAAGCTTACTGCATGCTGCTCAAGGCTGCAGCTGCCAAACGTCGGCCCATCACGGGCCTGCTAATTGAGGAGTGAAGGGGGAAACTGACGTGGGCAGACGATGGGGTCTTGCTTGTGCCGTTCCCTGGTTGCTCCTTACGGTCCAACCACAGGTTCCTCCCCAAGGCAGAATATTTGAGGATATGCAAAACAAACAAACACAACCCCACGCCAATACTTCAGCAAGTGTAACTGGAAGAGAAGGAGGCTTGTTGGTTGGGTCGAAGTGGTCCTCGCTTCTTCCTGCCCTGCAGTTTGATGGACAGGATGAACTGAGCGATGGCTGGGCGTGTGGGATCCCTGGAAGAAAGAGTGTAAGACGGCCAGATGGTTCTGAGCGCCCCCTGCTCCAAGTCCAGCCGTGCTTCAGTTAGAACCTCCCTTTTTGGATCTGCCTCCATCGTACATTTTAAACTGGCTCAGAACCTGTTTAACTGCCATTGCACCCGAGTAGGAGACTCTCTGGGGTCCCAGTTCAGCTAGTTGTGGCAAAGACCCATTGAAAGCAATGGGGCTTTCATCCTTCACAAAAACTAGGTGACTCAGTGTCCCCCGTGTCCCCCAGTTAAGGTAAAAAGTGTATAAAGAAAATGCAGTTTATATTTCAATAACTAACATCTCATAAACGCAGTAATATAAATCCTTGATGGACCAAGCTATCTTTTGACAAAATCAAAATTACTTGATGGCCGCCTTACTAAAAACCGAGCATTGCACTGTAATAGAGCTGTGATTTTTGATTTGCAGTTGCTTAAAGGAGGAGAGCAAACTTGCATCGGTTGCAAAACGTGTCCCAAATGCACTTTGGGAAGTATCCCAGTGGAGGCCTTTGACATTTTAAGCCTTCTCAGGTGGAGGATACTGGAAATATTTGACTCGGGGAAGTTGATTTGTTGGTCATGTCATGGTGCTAGCAAACCAGAACTCCTTTGCATGTTGGAGCAAAATGTTTTGTGTTCTACGTTATGTAGTTGCAAATCAGAAATCAAAGCCTATTGAACTGGATGCTAGGTTTTTTAATAAAGCCATCAATGAAGGTGTTATCGAAACATTTGGCCCATTAAGGATTTCCAGCAGCAGGTCTCTTTGTGATAATTTCCCCCCGCTGAAATTTTAAAAAAATATATTTTCTCTGTGCGTTATTTTAATTCAGTTTCCCCAGCCCCAGTTCAGTGGGGCTTAAATCATGGCCAACTTGAGTTTGTTCTGAACTGTTGCTTCTATGAAGACGATGCTCCCTAAAATATAAACCTCTACAAAATCTCAGTTCTTCAGGATTCCTGTGTGCAGGACCTCCCAGTGGCTTAAACCGGTTTCGAACAGGCTTAATTTGTGCATGGCCAATGTAAGCTCCTTGTAGCTTCTGTGCTTGTCTGTTGTTTTGTTCTGTGGCTTGGAGGGGCGACTAGGCAGAGGCAGAAAAGGCCGGAGAGGCTGGGAATCTTTGGGGAGCAGTGTGGGCCCAGCCGAGCTGGGGGAGAACCGCTTCCAGCCCCCCTCTGTGCTCTGGAGCGTGAAGCCAAAGCCTCTTGCCTGACACCCCCTTGCCCTGGACATTTGCAGTTTGGGCGCTGCAGGTGTCCGCGGCAGGTGAACCCACAAAAATTAAGTAGGACCGAAGAACACCATTGCCTTCCAGGATCAGAACTAGGTCCCAGCACTCTTGTCTCCAGTAGAGGGGCCAGCCAGCCAGCCAGGCTCCTGGGCGCGATGGCAATGGGCCTTTTCTGTTGTCCGCTGCGTGTCTCTCCCCCCCACCGGCCAAGGGGGGCCATCCTATATCACCTCTGCACATGGAGGGTTCATTTAGCCTGTCCTGACCCCCCATTTACTTGCCTCCTCCTTTCGATAAAGGACATTACATTCGCAGCCATCGCGGCATCCCACGGAAGCGCGGCAAAACCCACAAGCGAATAGCCCCATCGTGTGCTGAAAATACTTTTTGTTCGTCCCGGACCCGCTGCCGACCGCTTGCATTGGACTTGCTTGACCCATCCGGATTTCAGCTGGACATTTGGGGCCGGGAGATCCCTGAACCCCCCCCCCATTATAAATCATGACTCCCTCTGTAGCCTGGAGGAGGACGGTTTCTATCTGGCAGTGTTGGAGTCCTCCAAGTTCTGGCCCAGGCAGGCAGCCGGCCGATGGAATGAGGTTGCAGTTGGATGGGGGGCAGCCAGCCTGGAGAGGGAGACGGGGGGAACAAGCCAACAGTAGTTGGCTGGAAACATTTCTGTGACGTTGCCAGAAAGCCCCCTCCCTTGCCCCCCCCTTCCCCCTGCCTCCTCCATAAGTTGCCTCCTTTTACGACATGTTGATAACTTCATCCCCATTAACCCAGACGGGCCCCTTAGGGCTATTCCAGATGTATTATTATAATAATTATTATGTTTTATTATTATTTTCTGAGCTATGTTTGTTTGCAATAAAGGCTTTCTTACAGTTGCTGGAGTGAGCATTCTGCTTGTGTGTGAGACACTGGCATGGTCTTGTGGGTAGAAGACATAGAGCCCCAGAATTGTAGGGTTGGAAGGGAACCTGGGGGTCATCTAGTCCAACCCCCTGCAATGCAGGAATCACAGCTCAAGAATCCCTGACAGATGGAACTGTGCCCCCGAAGGAGCAGGTTTGCAGCCTGGGAGTCATTTTGGACTCACAGCTGTCCATGGAGCCGCAGGTCAGTTCTGTGTCCAGGGCAGCTGTCTCCCAGCTCCATCAGGATGAGACCCTCCCTGCCTGTGCATTGTCTGGCCAGAGTGGTGCATGCTCTAGTTATCTCCCCCTTGGACTACTGCAATGCGCTCTATGTGGGGCTGCCTTTGAAGGTGACCTGGAAACTACAACTAATCCAGAATGCGGCAGCTAGACTGGGGACTGGGAGTGGCCACTGAGACCACATAACACCAGTCCTGAAAGATCTGCATTGGCTCCCAGTACGTTTCCAAGCACAATTCAAACTGTTGGTGCTGACCTTTAAAGCCCTAAACGGCCTCAGTCCTGTACACCTGAAGGAGCGTCTCCACCCCCATCGTTCAGCCCGGACACTGAGGTCCAGCTCCGAGGGCCTTCTGGCGGTTCCCTCCCTGTGAGAAGTGAAGCTACAGGGAACCAGGCAGAGGGCCTTCTTGGTGGTGGCGCCCGCCGTGTGGAACGCCCTCCCATCAGATGTCAAGGAAATAAAAACTATCTGACTTTTAAAAGACATCTGAAGGCAGCCCCCTGCTTTTAATATTTGATGTTTTACTGTTTTACTGTGCCAGAGTGGCTGGGGAAACCTAGCCAGATGGGTAGAGTATAAGTAATAAATTATTACCATATTATTATCATCCAACCTCTTGTTTAAAAAAAAACCCTAATGAAGGAGAGTCCACTACCTTCTGTGGGGGTCCTTTCCACTCTCAAACAGCGGAACAGCTGGAACAGAGGAACACCAAGTTGCAACTTCCCTCAAAGTATGGCAGTGCCTGGGTAATCTGCATGCCTCAAATGCTCCGATAGGAGACGAGGGTCTCCCAGGAAATTGTTTACTGCGTTCACACCCCACCTTTTTCTCTAAGGAGCTCCAAGTGGTGTACGTGGTTCTCCACCTGCTCCTTGAATCCCTTTAACAATCCCTTGCAAGGTAAGTTAGGCTGGGAGTCGGTGAATGGCCTGAGTCCACATTCTGCAACCTTCATCCCCGACTGGGGATTTGAACCATGGTCTCTCCCAGGTCCTAGCCTGACCCTCAAACCACTTGGCAACATTGCCTCTCTGCTGGAAAGAAGATGGGACATTCTACCTAGACAGGGAATGGGGTCTTAATGGATGTAGGCGGCTGCCCCATCTTGGGAAGAAAATGTCAAGAGATGCAAGTCCAGGAATCTGGGTGGATGAGCGCGGAAAAGTACTGGGAGTTCCTGAGACCTGGATATAATAATAATAATAATAATAATAATAATAATAATAATAATAATAAATTTCCTTCAGATCTGCTCTTTCCGAGGTGGTTTCCCAGATTACATTTTGGAGAGGTGTGTTGCTGCAGGCTTGGCTGACGGAGCTTTTTAGTGGCCGCGTTTCCTTTCCCCCCACTGAGATTTAATCTCTGCGTGGGAACCAGAATAGCCCTTGAACGTTGATTTGAAGCATCCTTCCCACAGGGAGAAAAGCTTTAAAATGGGAACGATGCTTCCTGTATCTCAGTGTGCATAGCGATCTATTTTGTAAAGTGAATAAGGTGTGTTTCAACGCTTTCCCCCCAGTGCTGGCTGCTACATGGGGCAGCTTCACTCTGCATTTATGGCATTTATGGCCTAGTGATTTATGGCTTCTGATGTGGGATTTTAACTTTGGCTGGATAAGGCCAAATACCCATCTAATCCAGCATTTTTCTGGCGTCACAGGGGCCAACCAGATGCCACAAGCAGGATTTGAGCACTAGAGCAATTCTCCCCTCCTGGTGTTTCCTACAACTGGGATTCACAAGCATTGCTGCGTCTGACTGTGGAGGCAGCGCATAGCCATTGTGGCTAGGAGCCATCAATAGCCCTCTCCTCCAGGAATTTCTCTTCATTTTTAAAGCCATCTTGGTTGGCCTCATTGTCTCTTGTGGGAAGGAGTTCCACAGTTTAGGTAGTAAGGCAAAGGACCCCTGGACAGTTAAGTCCAGTCAAAGGTGATTCTGGGGTTGTGGCGCTCATCTTGCTTTCAGGCCGAGGGAGCCAGCGTTTGTCCGCAGACAACTTTCTGGGTCATGTGGCCAGCAGGACTAAACTGCTTCTGGCGCAACGGGACACCATGACGGAAACCAGAGCACACGGAAACACTGTTTACAGGTTTTTTTTAAATAAAAAAATTATACTTTTCAGATTAATACATTTCATCAAATTTACTATCACCTTAACATTTCAAAACTTGACTTCCTTAACTTTATTTTTAATACCTTCTGTATATCCAAATCAACTTAATTTGCTCATTTATTCATCCACTTTAAATATGTTGTTGTTGTTGTTTAGTCGTGTCTGACTCTTCGTGACCCCCTGGACCAGAGCATGCCAGGCACTCCTGTCTTCCACTGCCTCCCGCAGTTTGGTCAGACTTTAAATATATACTCTTATAAAACTGCAGGTTGTTACAATAATCCTGCTAATGTTTTTATCTGATTACAATTTATCTGTAAATATTCAATAAACCATTTCCATTCTTTTATAAAAAGTTTGTTATCTTGACTTCTTCTGGTAAGTTTCACCATATCTGCATATTCCATAAGTTTTTGTATCCGTTCTTCCTTTGCTGGGACTTCTGCTTCTTTCCATTTTTGGGCAAGCAACATTCTTGCTGCTGTAGTAGCAGACATAAATAAATTTCTAGACAAGTTTAGGTAGTTCTCTCCCTATAATTCCCAAAAGAAAAGCTTTTGGGTTTTTTGGTGTGTTTTTTACAAAAGTTATTTTAAACATCCTTTTCACTTCCTTATATATCATTTCCCAGTAAGCTTCAACCTTTCTACAAGACCGTGCTGTTTATAGTTTGTGTGCTGCATGAAGAACTTCTGCCTGTCCTGACTCTTACAACCCTCAGCTTCATTGGACTCAAGTTCCCACATAACCAGGGAGGGTGAAAAACTATCCACTTTATGCCATTCATAATGTAATCCTCAATTGTGTCGCCTCTTCCTTGCCCGCTCTCCACCTATTTCTCAGAGCAGCAACTGGGATGCCTCATTTGATGGAGCCCAGACCAAGTTTTCTTTTTTTCCTTTTAAAAATAATTTTTATTAAATTTTCTGTTTTACAATTTGGAATATTCATTTAGACAACCTCAAAATATCAATGACTTCCCTTCTTCTCTTTCCACTGTTCATTTAGCATAGTATAAATCCCTGCATATTTTATATTAACTATACCATTCAGTAATCCATTACTGCATCCATCACAACTTATTTACACTGTTGAATTTATCTTAGTGCTGCCAACGTTTTCAAGTGTACACAATTTCCCCCCCATATATTCAATAAATATTTCCCAATCTTCTTTAAACATGTGTTCTTCTTGTTCTCTTATTCTGTATGTTAAGTCTGCAAGCTGCGCATATTCCATCAACTTGAGTTGCCATTCTTCTTTGGTTGGGACCTCGCTCATTTTCCGTTTTGGGGCTACCTAACCATGGGCCGCAGTGGTGGCAAACATCAGGAGTCAGCAAACTTTTTCAGCCGTGGGCCAGTCCACGGTCTCTCAGACCTTGTGCAGGGCCGGACTATATTTTGAAAAAATAATAATGAACGAATTCCTATGCCCCACAAATAGCCCAGAGATGCATTTTAAATAAAAGGACACATTCCATTCATGTAAAAACACCGAGGTTTGACTGTGTAGTTACTTATCTCCTTGGCTCGGGGGTTGCATAACTCCATACCCTCCAACATTTCTCTGATGAAAATAGGGATGTCCCATTCCATAATAATTTTGCTATTTATACCCCACACATCTTAGTGGGTTGCCCCAGCCATTCTGGGCAGCTTTCGAGATATATAAAAATACAATAAATCATTCAACATTTTAAAATAACCATAGTTTAGAGGTCCCGGGCCCTAAGGAAGTCAGACTATCCTCCACCAGAGCCAGGGCCTTTTCAGTGTTGGCTCCGACCTGGTGGAATGCTCTGTCCCATGAGACTAGGGCCCTGCAGGATTTAACCTCCTTCTGTCGGGCCTGTAAGACAGAGCTATTCTGCCCGGCCTTTAATTTGATCTTTTATTTCCCTTCCTTTCCCTCCTCCTCCCCTTTTATGAAGATCACCTGCTCTGAGACCCCACAGCTAATTCTCCCCTGACCTCCTCGCTGGCCCAAGTAGGACTAATTTAGCCAGCTAGCCCTGGGGATTATCTAACGCTTATTGGATGGATGGATTATTGGATGGATTTTCCCCAAATCGATTTATGAACTTTGAATTTTATTGCTATTCATGGTTTTTATACTGTATTTTATGCTGCTTCTATGTTGTACAGTGGTACCTCAGGTTAAGTACTTAATTCGTTCTGGAGGTCCGTTCTTAACCTGAAACTGTTCTTAACCTGAGGTACCACTTTAGCTAATGAGGCCTCCTGCTGCTGCCACACCGCCGGAGCAAAATTTCTGTTCTCATCCTGAAGCAAAGTTCTTAACCCAAGGTACTATTTCTGGGTTAGCGGAGTCTGTAACCTGAAGTGTATGTAATCTGAAGTGTATGTAACCCGAGGTACCACTGTATTACAATTAAGTGTTTTAAATTTGTTGTTAGCCGCCCTGAGCCCAGTTTTTGAACCGGGAAGGGCAGGGTATAAATAAAAAAATATTATTATTATTATTATTATTATTATTATTATTATTATTATTAAAAACCTTCCCTATACAGGATTGCCTTCAGACGGCTTGGGGGTTGAATAACTCCATACCCTCCAACATTTCTCTGATGAAAATAGGGATGTCCTAAGGAGAAACGGGACATTCCAGGATCAAATCAGAAACTGGGATGGCTGCAACTCCAGGACTGTCCCCGGAAAATAGGGACATTTGGAGGGTCTGAAATTCCTGTAGGAGGAGAGGGGTGTTGATGGCTTCTGGCCAGGATGGCTGTGCTGTGACTCCACTGTCAGAGGAGCGATGCTTCTGAAGACCAGCTGCAGGAAACCCCAGAAGGAGAGAGCTGCTGGGTTCGAATTCTGCTTGCGGATTTCCAACTATGGGCAGATACAACGCTGGACCAGATGGGCCGTTGCTGGCCTGACCAGGAGGGTCCTCCTAAGTTCTTGGTGCTAAGTCCTCAACAAGAGCAGCAAATGCTGCGAGAGTTCTCTGCATCTTCTGGCTCCGCCTAAACTCAAATCCCCCCGGTTTACTATCCCTAGTACTTCAAGACTCCCATAAAAGTGCCTGGCTTAAAACTGTCTATCAAAAACTTCTCTCTAGTGGCCTGCCCCCACAACACCTACTCACTATGGGCCCCACTAAAGCAAACAGTCTAACTGGTCAACGTCTAAAAGATATCGAGCATCAGAACAACCTGGCCGCTATAAGGAAATTCTGCCCTTGGTATGTTCAGTTTCCACCTCTCCATTTTGATTCTCTGGCCCCATATCTGCACAAACGTCTTATCCCAAAATACAGACATGCTTTTACACTTGCAAGACTGGATGTTTTGCCATCTGCGGTACTGGAGGGTCGATTCCAAAAGATCCCGCCTGAGAAACGTCTTTGCCCCTGGGGAGATGGCAGCACCAAAACAGCGGCACACATCCTCCTGTCTTGCGCTCTCTACAAAGACCTGAGGAACGAGATCATCACCCCACTCGTACTAACCATCCCAGGGCGCTCAACCACTGCCACAATGTCCGTTCTTCTATCAGATCAAAATGAATAGATAACAGCAAAGGCTGCTAGGTTCATAGCAGGGGCAGTCAGAATAAGGGCCACTAACTGACGGCTGATTCAGGACTTTGAATTATGCTTTTATATCAAATTCCCTTTTCTGCGTATACTGTAATACTGCATACGGGACCGCCTCTCCTGGTCTGCCCCACAGAGGACCTTAAGGTCCATGAATAGCCATAAGGGCCCTAAGGAAGCCAGACTATCCTCCACCAGGGCCTTCTCAGTGATGGCTCCGACCTGGTGGAATGCTCTGTCCCATGAGACCAGGGCCTTTCAGGATTTAACCTCCTTCCGTCGGGCCTGTAAGACAGAGCTATTCCGCCTGGCCTTCAATTTGAATTCAGCCTGATCTTTTATTTCCCTTCCCTTCCCTCCCTCACCCGCCCTGAGACCCCACAGCTAATTCTCCCCTGGTCTCCTCACTGGCCCAAGTAGGACCAATTCAGCCAGCTAGCTCTGGAGATTATCTAATGCTTATTTCCCCTAAATTGATTTTGGAATTTTGTTGTTATTCATGTTTTTATACTGTATTTTATGCTGCTTTTATAATTGTTTTAAAGTGTTTTAAATTTGTTGTTAGCCGCCCTGAGCCCGGTTTTTGAACTGGGAAGGGTGGGGTATAAATAAAAATTTATTATTATAATATTATTACAGTAGTACCTCGGGTTAAGTACTTAATTCGTTCCAGAGGTCTGTTCATAACCTGAAACTGTTCTTAACCTGAAGCACCACTTTAGCTAATGGGGCCTACAGCTGCCACCGCGCCACTGGAGCACGATTTCTGTTCTCATCCTGAAGCAAAGTTCTTAACCCGAGGTACTATTTCTGGGTTAGCGGAGTCTGTAACCTGAAGCGTCTGTAACCCGAGGTACCACTGTATAGGTTCCTAGCAGGGGCAATCAGTATAAGGGCCATTAACTGGCGGCTGATTCAGGACTTTAAATTGTGCTCTTATATCAAATTTCCTTCTCTGCGTATACTGTGATGTTTTATGTTGCTGTGGCCATTGGCTAATGCGAATAAAGTTTTCTCTCTCTCTCTCTCTGCATCTGGCTGCGCTGAGCAATTCGAAGAAGCGGAGGCGGAGAAGGTTTCCTTTGCGCACGAAGCGGAGAAGGCTTTCCTTGCGCCCAGGCGCAGGCGCGCCTCTGGGGAGTCCGCGCCGGCTCCCCATCCCTGGGGTCCCCCCCCGCCACCCCCCTTCTGTTGCAGGCGAGGCTGCCGTCTCCTGCGGGCGGAGGAACTACACTTCCCAGCGTGCAGCGCCCGAGCGTAAATCTTCAAAGGCTAACAAAAGAGCAGCCGGCAAACCTGACAGGCGGAGGGCAGAGCCGGAGGAAGGAGGCGAGCCGGGCCGGGGCGCGCACCGCAGCTGGCCTCTCCGCGCCCCCCGCGCCCCGCCCTCCTCCCTGACAGCTGGGGGGCTTTTGGAGGGGGAGGAAGGGGGAGAAGGCGCCCCCCCTCCTGCCCCGGGGGCTGCAAAGGAAGCTCTGGAGGATGGCCGGAGGGAGCCTGGCTCAGGTAGGCCCTGGAGAGACCTCAGCATCGGGGGGGGGGGGCTGATCTCCCCCCCCAACATCACAACAAGGACCCTCCTGCAAAAGGGGCTCGGGGGTGGCGGGGGGGGGGGGTTCAGGATCCGAATGCGCCTCCTCTGCAGGGAGAATATCAAATTACAGCGAAAGGAAAGGACCCCCCCCGCTCCGTGCGTCTTGAGCCGCTGCCAGCCCCCCACCCGCAGCTATTAAAGGCTGCTTTGGGGTTTCCTAAAAGGCACGCAAGGGGGGGACCCCCACCCCACAGACTTCCTGCTTTTCCTACGGAGGAAACACCCGTCTCAGTGCGTTTTGGCACCGGGAGCAGAGCTGAAAATGACCCCCGAGCTGCGCTGCTGGGCCCCCGATTTAGGGTGCTCCGGAGAGGGGCGCAAATGCAGCCCCCGGGACCCCGATCTTCCCGTCAAACTTCACGGGTGATGGATGGATCTGCGTTAGCAGCGAGGGGCGTTTGGATGAAAGGAGACCCAAGGGGGCCGTTCGGAAGCGGAGACCCCCTTATTTCTTACTCCCACCCTTCCGGCTAGGAGGCTGCACCCCGAAAGCACGGGTTTCATTTCCCTTCTGGGTAAAGACACCCCCCTCCCACGCCACCATCTTCGAAGGGATCGGGTGCTTTACGGTGGCGTAACCTGCAGGCAGGCCAGGGCAGAGGAGGGAGCTGGGGAGAAGAGGCGGAGGGGTCTTCCTGGCATATTTCTCCCCCAAAATATCAGAAACTACCCCCACAAAAAAGGTCAGAGTTAATTCCCCAAAGCCCAGTGCAGGTTCTGCTCGAATATTATTGTTGATGGTCAGAGAAAGGGCCCCCACCAGAGGGGGAAAAGGCAGAGAAATATTGGGAAGGGCTTTGGAAGCCCCCTCCCCTCGCTGGGCCCTGTGACAGGTGTGCTCCCCGCCCTGCAGCCACCACAGACACCTTTTGTTTGTCCACAAGGTCAAGGAGGTCCCGGCGGGCCACTTGCGTGCCACACACCTGCCGGGGTGACGGGGACCGGGCTTTGTGGCAGAGCTACGCTTTCTATGCAGAAGGCTCCGTCCCCGATGGCATCGCCAGGTAGGACTGGAAATGCCCACCCCCGGCCCAAAACGCCCCCCCAAAAAGAGAGGGGGAGAGAGACAGTGCTGAGCTTAGACGATGCCCCAAGGGCCCGGCTCCGTGCAGGAGAAGTGGCTCTGTGGCAGGACAGTTGCCCTGCATGCAGAACGCCCCAGATCCCGTCCCCAGGCAAGGCTAGGAAACCCAGTTCGTGGGCAGGCTGTCCTTGGGCGAGAAAGGGCCGCAATCGGTGGCCTCTGCGGCCCCTGGAATACGCAGTCCTTCCTCCAGGACGGGATTCGTGTTGGTGGTGGCGGCGGTCTTCCCGAAACACGGTCGGATCCTGCGGTGCTGAGAGAGGGGGCTTCTCCTCGTTGCAGGTGCCCGTGGCCTTTGAGGACGTGGTGGTCTATTTCTCGCGCGAGGAGTGGGCACAGCTGGCAGAATGGCAGAAGGAGCTATACCAAGACGTAATGGCAGAGAATTACGAGCTGGTCTCCTCGCTGGGTAAAGTCGATGTATATACTGTTTTTTGGGGGGGAGCTGGCCAGAGAGAGAGAGAGAGAGGGTTCAAATGGCCCCAAAGGAGAGTAGACATGAGGAAGGGGAAATGCCAGAGATAGAATCACAGAATTGTAGAGTTGGAAGGGACCCTCAGCGTATATCTAGTCCAACCCCAAATGCAATGCAGGAGTCCAGCCCACAGCCATCCCTGGCTGGGCGCAAACTACCGACCTTAGACGTGGCGATTCCTGCTTTGAAAGGGAGTTGGACTAGATGACCCCTGGGGTCCCTTCCAATTCTATGACGTCAGGACAGAGAGAGCTGTTTGACAGGGGAACAGACTCCCAAGGAAGGGCAGCAGGCTCTTCTTCGTTGGAGGTTTTTAAGCAGAGGTTGGGGATTCAGAGACATGAGGACTAGAACCTTGCTCATTTCAATAGGAAGGGATGCAGCTCAGAAGGTCCCAGCTTCCGTCCCCTCCCCAATTAGGGCTGGGAAGGCTCCTTGCCTGAAAGCCCAGAGGAGCTGCTGCAAGCCAGTGCAGACAATGCTGTGCTAGATGGGCCAATGGGCCTGGCTTTCTAGTTTAGGGAAAAGGTGAGGAAGAGCAGACGCGATAGGAGTAAAGTTTTTCCTCCTCTTTCCTAAAGCCAGAACTCGAGGGCATCTAAGGGAGCTGAAGGTTGGGAGATTCAGGAGAGATTTTCGAAGCCCTTCTTCACACAGCACAGAGTTAAACTATGGAACTCACTGCCACAGGGATGGCCGCCAAGCTAGATGGCTTTAAAAGGGGATTAGGCAAATTCATGGAGGAGGAGCGGGTGATGGAGTGGCCGCCGGGACCACATAACACCGGTCCTGAGAGATCTGCATTGGCTCCCAGTATGTTTCTGAGCACAATTCAAAGTGTTGGTGCTGACCTTTAAAGCCCTAAATGGCCTCGGTCCAGTATACGGTACCTGAAGGAGCTTCTCCACCCCCATCATCCAGCCCAGACACTGAGGTCCAGCTCTTCTGACGGTTCCCTCATTGTGAGAAGTGAGGTTACAGGGAACCAGGCAGAGGGCCTTCTCCGTGGTGGCACCTGCCCTGTGGAACACCCTCCCTTCAGATGTGAAGGAAATAAGCAGCTATCTTCTCTTTAAAAGACATCTGAAGGCAGCCCTGTTTAGGGAAGTTTTTAATATTTAATGCTGAATTGTTTTTAATATTCAGTTGGAAGCCGCCCAGAGTGGCTGGGGAGACTCAGCCAGATGGGCAGGGTATAAATAATAAATTATTATTCTATACCAGCCAGGATGGCTCCTCTCTGCCTTCACAGCAGGAGACAGAGATGCTTCCGAATTCCAGCTGCTGGGAAACCCCAGGAGGGGAGAATTGCTCTCGTGCTCCCATCTGGCTGGAGGGTTTCTGGGAGGCCCTGATCCCGGAGGGGTCTTCTAATGGAGGTCCATTACGATAGCAGAACCTCCAAATCCAGGAACAGTCTACCTCTGAATAACCAGATAATGGGGGAACAGCAGTAGGAGAACATTGCTGCCCTCAGGTCCTACTTGGCCATTGTGGAGGGGGGGCTCTTTTATGTTCTTCTACCCCCTCAACTAACCCCCGCCTCTGCTTCTGTCCTTTGCAGAATGCCTGCTCTCTATCCCTGAATTGCTCTCCCGGCTGGCGCGGGGAGAGGCGCCCCACCCTGCTGCAGAGCCCCCACCCTCTGCGGGAAACACCAACTCCCCAGGTAAGAGCACGGGACTCCTAATCTCAGGGTCGTGGGTTCGAGCCCCATGTTGGGCGAAAAGATTCTTGCATTCCAGGGGGTTGGACTGGATGACCCTCGGGGTCCCTTCCACTCCACAGCACTAAGAATTCTAAGAAGGATGATTTTAAGAGTGGGGCAGGGAGGGGTCTAGCAAGGAATCAGGGCAGGCTGTCCCACTGCAGCTCAGGGAGCGGAGCACGTGCCTGATAAGCATTATCGGGAATTTGTAAGATATAACGAAAGTTAATCTGCATAAAACTGCACCCCTCTGCAGCTGCCCAGTTGCCCTAAAGCAGGCATTGCAAAACTCGGCCCTCCAGATGTTTTGTTTTGTTTTTTTCAAAATGTTTTATTAATTTTCCAAAAAATTTAAAACACACAAACAAACACACATCCTGTTTGAATCTTGGTAACATTATTAAGTGACTTCCTCAAATCCCCTTGGTTGAATTTCATTATGTATCATTTTAACAGTTTTCCAAAATCAATTTTCTCAAAAAATTAACTTAATCACTTAACTTCTTTCTTTCATTCTTTCTAATTTAGCTTTAAGCATCTTAAATCCTATCCTTACATACTTAAATCCTAAGCCTATCTAGTATTTGCAAGCTTTTCCAATTAAGTTATCTTGACATACTTGGCTAAATAGCCTTTAAATATCTTCCATTCTTCCTGGTACTCCTCCTCCTTCTGGTCGCAGACTCTTCCAGTCAGTCCAGATGTTTTGGGACTACAACTCCCATCATCCCTGACCATTGGTCCCGTTAGCTAGGGGTGATGGGAGTTGTAGTCCCAAAACACCTGGAGGGCCGAGTTTGGGGGTGCCTGCCCTAAAGAAAGCACCGGCCCTGAACCTGAGAGAGATGTATAAACTTATGCACAGCATGAATAAAGGGGACAGAGAAGAGTTACTCTGCAGTCGTAGCAACACTTGGGACAGGCAGTGCAAGCTGAATGCTGCAAGATTCAGGGCAAAAGAAAGGACTTTTTTTCTACACTCAGCGCGTAGCTAAAATTTGAAATTCGCTCCCCACAAGATGTAATGACGGCACCCCCTTGGGTGGTTTTAAAAAAGAGAGTGGGGTTAATTCATGGGGGAGAGGGCGATCGATGTCTCCTAGTAGCCCCAGGGGCCGAATACTGCTTCCTGAAGAATGGTGAGGGCGCTGCTGTTCCGCACAGGTCCGGTCTGTGAGTTTAAGAACATAAGAGGAGCCAATGGCCCACCTAGTCCAGCCCCCTGTTCTCGCAGCAGCCAACCAGATTCCTGCGGGGAACCAGCAGGATTTGAACCCAGGAGCCGCTCTCCCCAGATGCGGAGGCAGAGCAGAGCCGTCCTGGCTAAGAGCCATCAATAGCTTTATTGTCCTCCATGAATTTGTCTCACCCGCTTTTAAAGCCACCAGGCTTGGCGGCCATCCCTGCATCCTGTAGCAGCGAGTTCCGCAGATTAAAGCTGTGCTGTGTGAAGGAGGACTTTATTTTATCTGTCTTGAGCACCTCATAGAATAATAGAACTGTCGATCTGGAAGAGAGACTGAGGGTTCTCTAGTCCTGCAAAGCAGCAATCTCAGCACATGGTTTCCCATCCAATTTGAAACCAGGCCAGAGCCTGCTTAGCTTTGCAAATGTGCTGGCAGTTTTACTGCTGCTCCGCTCCCCATGGGCGTAGCCCAGGGGCAGGGAGGGGCAGCTGCCACCCCCAATCAATAAAAATCATAGCAAACTGAGGTTCTGTCCCCCTAACCAGGCTGAGGGCCTGCCCGCCCTCCCATCAGATGTCAAGGAAATAAACAACTATCTGACTTTTGGAAGACATCTGAAGGCAGCCCTGTTTAGGGAAGTTTTTAATGTTTTAGGTTTTAATGTGCTGTTCATTCTGTCAGGAGCCGCCCAGAGTGGCTGGGGAAACTCAGCCAGATGGGCGGGGTATAGATAATAAATTATTATTAATTATTATTACAACAAAAATCCTAGCCACACCCATGCCAAACCCCCTGTGGCTTCCAGGGCATGGATCCCCTTGGGCCTGATCCACGTAAAGAGCTCCCCTTCTCATCCCCTCCAACATTCCTACTCAACGTAGGGATGTCCTACTCAACAACAACAACAATTTCATTATTTGTACCCCACCCATCTGCCTGGGTTGCGCAAGCCACTCTGGGCGGCTTCCAACATATATATATATATATATATATAATAATGCATTAAACATTTAAAAACTTCCCTATACAGGGCTGCCTTAAAATGTCTTCTAAAAGCTGTATACTTCCTTATCTCCTTGGCTCGGGGGTCGGATAACTCCATACCCTCCAACATTTCTCCAATGAAAATAGGGACATCCGGCGCTGTGGTCTAAACCACAGAGCCTCTTTTTAAAATTTTTTTATTGAATTTTACAAGAAAAGAAAAAGAAAGAGAAACAAAGAATAATACATAACACTGTAAACACATTTATATACATGTTTTCCAAAATACAAACTAAAAAAAAAGACAAAAGACAAAGGAAAAGAAAAAAACCTTTTCATAACCAATAATATTACCAAATTCATGCTTCAAACATTACAATATATAAATCCTAGTTAAAATATTATAAAAGACTTCCACTGCATTCACCGCACGTCTCTTAGTTATCTTGCTTGCCTTTGCATCTGTTCTTGAATCATTTCCCTTCCTTGGGTTCTTTCATAGTCAAATCTTTATGTTCTCTATATTTTTCACAAGGTTATTCTAAGCACAACCAAACTTTTGTATTTGAGCCTGCTTGTATAAATATTCATTTAAGCATTCCCATTGTTTCTGAATTATAGTTTTGGATTTAATAAGGCATAAACCATAGAGCCTCTTGGACTTGCCGATCAGAAGGTCGGCGGTTCGAATCCCCGCGACGGGGTGAGCTCCTGTTGCTCCGTCCCTGCTCCTGCCAACCTAGCAGTTCAAAAGCACACCAGTGCGAGTAGATAAATAGGTCCCGCTCCGGCGGGAAGGTAAATGGCGTTTCTGTGCGCTGCTCTGGTTCGCCAGAAGCGGCTTAGTCATGCTGGCCACATGACCTGGAAGCTGTACGCCGGCTCCCTTGGCCAGTAAAGCGAGATGAGCGCCGCAACCCCAGAGTCGGCCACGACTGGACCTAATGGTCAGGGGTCCCTTTACCCTTTACCTTTTAAGACAAAGCGGGACATTCTGGCATCAAATTTGCAACTCAGGAATGTCCCTGGAAAATAGGGGCACTTGGAGGGTCTGCCTTCTGCTTTTAGAGAAGACCAGGCGATGGAACGATGTAAGTGTCCCCTTTGGAGGTGTCCAGATTAATGCCCCTATTTCCCCTCTCTCCTGTTTCCTTCCTGCAGCTGACGTGATCGAGACGCAGCCCCAAAAGGCGCCGGACACCCCAGTGGCCTCCGAGGGACCCAGTCCAGACTCGGCAAAGACCCCCCGCCCTCGGGCCGCCAAGAAGGGCCCCAAGAGAGGGGCGTCGCAGGCCACGCGGGGGCCCTCGGGGGCCGGCCGGGCCCCTGCAGACCGGTCGAAGACCCCCAAGCGGGAGAAGCCTTTCAAGTGTCCCAAGTGCCAGCGCCGTTTCCTGGGCCGCCTGGCACTGACCGCCCACCGGCGCCTGCACGTCCGCAAGTGGCCCCGGCCGGGCCCCCAGAGCGCGGGAAGGGCCCCCCAGGCTCCGGAGCTCGCCGTGCCCCAGGAAGGCCAGCCGGGTGCCAGCCCCAGCCCTTTCCCCTGCAGCCAGGGCGAGGGCACCCTGCCCTTCTGGCCAGAGATGGCTCTGCACCAGCAGTCTCCTCTGACACATGGCTTCAACCCCTGGTCGCTGGGCTACGGCCCCCAGCCCTTGCCCGGCCACCAGGCACCCGGCCTGCCCAGCAACGGGGAGTTCATCTGCGACCAGTGCGGCTGGAGCTTCCACGGCTGGGAGGAGCTGGTGACGCACCAGATGGCGCACATGGCGGCCGAGGGCATCGCCGGCTCCGTGCCTAAAGCAGGCGCCCTGGCGCAGCTGTCGGGCGACCGCCCTTACGCCTGCGCCCAGTGCGGCAAGAGCTTCCGCCACAAGCCCAACCTGCTGGCGCACCGGCAGGTGCACACGGGCGAGCGCCGCTACCAGTGCCAGGAGTGCGGCAAGTCCTTCGGCAGCAAGGCCTACCTGGCGTCGCACCAGCACATCCACACCGGCGAGAAGCCCTACGTGTGCGCCCAGTGCGGCAAGAGCTTCCGCCACAAGCCCAACCTCATCTCCCACCAGAAGATCCACACCAGGGAGCCCCTGCCGCCCAGCCACCCGCTGGACGCCTTCGAGGGAGACGCCTTCCAGAACCCGCGCACTGCGGCGGACGCCCTCGGGCTGGACACCTTCCGCCGGCCCCTGCCGCTGCCGCCAGTGCCGCCGGTGCCGACTGATGCCCGCCTGGCCTGTGCGCAAGGCGACATCCCTCTGCCGCTGCTGCCCAGCGCGCTGCCGCCGCCTCCCACAGCAATGGCCGAGCGCCCCTTTGTCTGCCCCGTCTGCGCCAAGCAGTTCCGCTGCAAGCCCTACCTGGTGGCGCACATCCGCATCCACACGGGCGAGAAGCCCTACGCCTGCAGCCGCTGCCCCAAGCGCTTCTCGCAGAAGTCCAACCTGGTGTCTCACGAGCGCCTGCACACGGGGGAGAAGCCCTACGCCTGCCCGCTCTGCCCCAGGGTCTTCAGCCAGGGCTCCAACATGCGCGCCCACCAGAGGAGCCACAGGAATGTGGCCGCCCCCGGAGAGACGGGCGTCAGCCTCCGACAGGGGTATGTGGTGAGGCAGATCCAGCCGCCACCGCCGCCTCCGCCAAACTAGGCCTCTGGGGCCTGCTTCCTCCATAGCTGGGCTGGCCGCTGCTTCTTGGCCCTCTGGCCTCCTTGCCTGCCCAGGAATTGTTTGGCACGGTTCCTGCATCGCAGTGGGGTTGGGCTGGATGACCTCCGGGGTGTCCTTTCCAACACTACAGTTCTACGGTGCACCCATGTTTCCATTTGGTGCGGTTCCTGAATTGCAGCGGGGTTGGGCTGGATGACCCCTGGGGTGTCCCAGCACTCCAGATCTATGGCACAACCACGTTTCCCTGCGGCCGCGTGAACTGGGCAAAGTCTGCGGTGCCCTTCCGTCCCTTGGCGAGTCTGCAGATTTCCCACCGGAAAGAGGTCCTCTCCTCTCACTGCCCCCGCCCTGCCTTAACCTCAGAATTTTGCTTTGGCAAACTTCGCCCTGCCCTGAGAAATCAAACAAGGCAGGAGGGACCCCAGACTTTCGTTTCCGGAAAAAGAGTCGCCATGCCTAAGGCCTCCCAGGAGTATTTTTCTGCTGTCCTGGAGAGGCTGCCGAGGAAATGCACTCTGCACGTGTTTGGCGACACACTCTTCTTTCTGATGGAGAACGGAGCGTGTGGCTTAAAAGGGAGCAGGGGTCCACGGTTCAGAGGTGGGGCGCAGGATTTGCAGCCTCGGTCCCCGCTATCTCCACTGAAATGGATCTCCTCTGGGGAGGGGGTGGCGCTCGGCTCTGTGGTCCCGTGGGCTGAGTCTGAACTGGGGGGCTTCCTTTGCTCGATGTCTCCAGCAGGGGCAGCGAGCAGACTGAGATCGAGAGCAGAAGACTTGGGAACGTTAGAAGATAAGAGAAGCGTACTGGATCAGGCCAATGGCCCGTCCAGCGCAGCATCCCGTTCTCGCAGCGGCTGACCAGATGCCCCAAAGGGGAACCAGCAAGCAGGACCAGAGGGCAGCAACTCCCTCCAATTGTTGTCCTCCATTACAGTGGTACCTCAGGTTACAGACGCTTCAGGTTACAGACTCTGCTAACCCAGAAGTAGTACATCGGGTTAAGAACTTTGCTTCAGGATGAGAACAGAAATCACGTGGTGGTGGCGGGAGGCCCCATTAGCTAAAGCGGTGCTTCAGGTTAAGAACAGTTTCAGGTTAAGAATGGACCTCCGGAATGAATTAAGTACTTAACCTGAGGTACCACTGTATCTGGTTATGCAGAGGTAGACTGCCCCTGGGCATGGAGGTTCTGCTGTCATAATAGACCTCCATAAGAAGCCCTCCTGCCGTTTCCGGCAGCAATGGCCACTAAATGCTTGGGGAGAGAGGCTCCGGCAGTGGAGGTACAGCAGAACCATCCTGGCTCTCTCCTCCTCCTCCAAGAATTTGTCTAATCCCCTTTTAAAGCCATCTAGATTGGTGACCGTTGCTGTCTCCTGAGGGAGGGAGTTCCGCAGATTAACTACGAGAGTCGAGGGACTGCAGAGGCCCTGCAGCCAACAAAAGCCAGCCTGAGCTCTAAAAATAAAATTAAAAATCCGGACCTTTGCTGCTTCTTTGCAGACGGACGGTTTCCGTGAACGGCAGAATTTGGGGCAGGGATGTGCCTGTGGACAGAGAGCGAGAGAGCGAGAAAAAGGACTCTCATCCACAACAGACACAGCATGATAGATTTTTAAAATAATTAGAAGCAGGCCTGTCTTGTCGTGACTTTGGGGGAAATTCCGCGCAGAAGCAGGCAAGATTCTTTTGGTTTGTTTTTTCCCCTTTTAGGATTGCAGCTTAATTTTTTAGAAAATAAGCAGGTGGCTAGTCCTCATTGCTGGCGAGACACGATCCGAAGATTTGTGAGTCGTCTCTGCACGAGGTTCAAAATCCGCAGCGAGGAGGAGCTGCCGGGGGTCTTGCATGGTGACCTGTTCCTCTCACCCGACTTCCAAGTCCTATTGTCCTACCTCTGTCCTCAAAGCCTCCTTCAACTTTTTACCTTCGGCTTCTGCAGCACCGCATGCAAACGGAGCAAGGGGGAAAAGCTTCTCTGCATCTATTTGCTTAATTCGGCATTATTTATACCCAGGGCAGGCTATGGGATTGGGTCGTTTGTGTGTGCGTGTGTGCAAGACTTGTGGACAAGGAGACCACATCCTAAACTCCTAACGCTAACTTTAAGAAAATAATGCAAGGTAGTAGTAACACTGCCCTTTCTAGGTGCCCTGTTTTAGACACAAGCCAATTTCATTTTCAAGCGGTTTCCTATTGTATACTCTTTTAAAACAAATAAAGCGGTAGATGTTAATTTTAAAAACACAGTTCCTTGCAGTGTGTCGACTGTGGCCATGTGGCCTCGCGCTTTCTTCCCAAAACCAGTTGAATTAAAGCCACGTTGGGGGGCCTTGCAGATTCAATGGACTGCAATTCCCATCAGCTCCTTCCAGTGTGGTCAAATGTTGTGGGGCTGATGGGAGTTGTACTGTCCAGCAATCATCTGGACTACTGCAATGCGCTCTATGTGGGGCTACCTTTGAAGGTGACCCGGAAACTGCAACTAATCCAGAATGCGGCAACTAGACTGGTGACTGAGTGGCCGCCAAGACCATATAACACCAGTCCTGAAAGACCTTCATTGGCTCCCAGGACGTTTCCAAGCACAATCCAAAGTGTTGGAGCTCACCTTTCAAGCCCTAAACGGCCTCGGTCCTGTATACCTGAAGGAGCGTCTCCACCCTCATCGTTCAGCCCGGACACTGAGGTCCAGCTCCGAGGGTCTTCTGGTGGCTCCCTCCCTGCGAGAAGCCAGGTTATAGGGAACCAGGCAGAGGGCCTTCTCGGTGGTGGCGCCCGCCCTGTGGAACGCCCTCCCACCAGATGTCAAAGAGAACAACTATCTGACTTTTAGAAGACATCTGAAGGCAGCCCTGTTCAGGGAAGTTTTTAATGTGTGACATTTTAATGTATTTTTAGTCTTTGTTGGAAGCCCCCCAGAGTGGCTGGGGAGACCCAGCCAGATGGGCAGGGTAGAAATAATAATTTATTATTATTACCTTGGGGGGCCTGGCAGATGCAATGGACTGCAATTCCCAACAGCTCCTTCCAACGTGGTCAAATGTTGTGGGGCTGGTGGGAGTTGTAGAGTCCAGCAACATCTGGAGGTCTGTAGGTTCCCCATCTCTGAATTAACGGGAATGCCTGCAACCCACCACGGAAATGTCAGAAGGACCTCTTTTTAACAGGAGGAAATACAGCAATGAGGGGATGTGAGCTTCCGGGTTACACAGCATTCTTCATACAAATTCCCAATAACCTGGATCTCTCCCATGGGTCAAGTTTACCTGTACGGTGGCGCTAAAGGTTTGTGCACATTGGGCCTTCTTCCCAATACAGTGGTACCTTGGTTATCAAACTTAATCCATTCCAGAAGTCTGTTCAAACACCAAAGCGTTCCAAAACCAAGGCGCGCTTTCCCATAGAAATTAATGCAAAATGGATTAATCTGTTCCAGACTTTTAAAAACAACCCCTAAAACAGCAATTTCACATGATTTTTGGTATCTTAACGAGACCATTGATTCATAAAATGAAAGCAATAAACAATGTACTGCAGTCACACAATCAATCAGTAGCTGGACTGGGTGTCACACAGTCACAAAAACAAAACAAGAAAGCCGCAAAAAAACAACAACGGCAAAATAAATAGCAAAATCAAACAGACCTCAGCGTAACACTCAAATCGTCAGCCTAACTCTCAAAATGGAGCACATTCAGCTTCTGAAAAAAGTTCACAAACTGGAACACTTACTTCCGGGTTTGCAGTGTTTGGGTTCCAAGTTGTTTGAATACCAAAGGCGTTTGAGAACCAAACTACCACTGTACGATAAATATCCTTCGCATGAATGCCAGCGTTCTTACGAAGCCCACAGTTGCCTTCCTGCTGAAGAATGCTGCGTAGCACAGAGGTTGATCGTGAGAATACTTTGCCAGTGCCAGCCCACGTTTCTTCAAAAGAAATCAGCCCGGACTACTTCAGGGTTTGCAGGTTCTCCAGACATAATCATTACCATCATTGTTATTAATTTAATTATTTAATTGTTTAATTAGTCTACTGCCCTTCATCTGAAGATCCCAGGATGGTTCACATCAGGAAAATACAAAATGAGAATGCAGACGGGAGGTGCAGGCTGAGAAAAGGTGAGCTCTCCCAAGGCCCTGTAAGTCTGAGTTCACGGCAGAGGCAAGATGTGAGCAGGGGGCTTCCTGGGATGCAGACCCCTCACTCTTGGAGGGCTGACGGAAGGGAGTCCAGCCCCGTTGGTCCAGAAGAGCCCTAGCTCAGTGGCAGAGAGCATCTGTTTGCAAGACAGAAGGTCCCAGGTCCAGTCCCTGGGAGAGAGTCCTGCCTGGACCCCAGAGAGCTGCTGCCAGCCAGTGCAGACTCCATTGATATCCAGCCTTGAGTCCCCAGATGTGGTTGGAGTCAAACTCCCACTGCTCTGACCATTGGTCATGCTGGCTGGGGACGATGGGGATTTCAGTCCCACAACACCTGGGGCCCCAAGGTTCAAGGACGCAGGCGTGCAGACAGCATTGTGGGGGGTTCTAAACAGAGGTGGCGCTATGGGTTAAACCACAGAGCCTAGGACTTGCCGATCAGAAGGGCAGCGGTTCGAATCCCCGCGACGGGGTGAGCTCCTGTTGCTCGGTCCCTGCTCCTGCCAACCTAGCATTTTGAAAGCACGTCAAAGTGCAAGTAGATGAATAGGTACCGCTCTGGCGGGAAGGTAAACGGCGTTTCCGTGCGCTGCTCTGGTTCGCCAGAAGCGGCTTAGTCATGCTGGCCACATGACCCGGAAGCTGTACGCCGGCTCCCTCGGCCAATAAAGCGAGATGAGCGCCGCAACCCCAGAGTCGGCCACGACTGAACCTAATGGTCAGGGGTCCCTTTACCTTTAAACAGAGGTTGGGGGCGCCTGTCAGAGATTCCTTAGTTGTGATTCCAGCATTGCAGCGGGTCGGACTATTTAATAGAATTTAAAAATTCTATTTTTAAAATTTATTAAAGATAATATTAAAAGTTATTAAAAGTTATTTTAAAAAAGTTATTAAATTTATTTTTAAAAAGTTATTAAAAATAATAACAACAATCTGCGGGAAATCTATCTATCTATCTATCTATCTATCTATCTATCTATCTATCTATCTATCTATCTATCTATCTATCTATTACACCTTTTCTTTTCGCGATTCTGCTCCTACAGTATTCAGTTTCACTTTCCGCTGGACGCGCAGGGGTTAAGCCTTGACCTGCGGAGAAGGGGGCGGAGCGAGGTGCACCAGCCACCTTCCTATTGGCCCTCCCTTTCTCCAATGGCGCCGGCCCGGCTGTGCGCCGCAGCCAATCGCAGGCGCCGCCTCCTGCTCCCTGCGCGCCGGCGTCCTTTCTCTTCTCTCGCTTCTGCGCGAAGCCTTTCCTCCGCGGTCCCGCCCCCGCCCCGGGGGTGAGATTGGCAGGCGCCTCGGCCAATCATTGCACCGGAGTTGCTTAAGGTGGCATTGCATTCTCTTGGCCAGTGCAAACAGAGAAGCCAGCTGGTTGCAGAAGGCGGGGATTGGCTTGCAGAGCGCAAGTCACCAGGTAGGAGCATTTTTTTGGGGTGTTGGCATGCTCAGCGCTGCAGATCCACTGGATCCCAGCAGGATCCCGGGATCTCCTGGGGGGAATCCAAGGAGAAAGCCCCCGGAGCCTTTTGCTGGCTGCAGGGAGGGAGCCTGCCATGCCCAGGCGCGCAGCCGAGCCAAGCGGGTGCCCTCGGCCTTTGGCTCCCGGGTCCTCCGGGGACTTCCTTTGGTTTGGGCACTTGCAGATTCGCAGCAGCTGCCAGATCCAAGAGGGGCATCCTCCTCCCCGGGCTCAGCTGGCAACGATGAGTGTGGGCTGCCAGCCTGTGCAGGAGGCGGAGGAGGTCGTGCCCAGCTGGCAGCAGCCTACAGAGTTAGACCGTGTGGGTCCACCTAGCTCAGGGCCGCCGCCTCTGACCGGCAGCATTTCAGGCAGGGGAGTCTCCACACACCCCCAAACCTGGACATACTACAGGAATTCGAACTCAGAACCTTCCACATGCTAAGCAACCGCTGCCACCAACCTTCCCATATAATAATATAATATAATATAATATAATATAATATAATATAATAGGAAGCAGCCTTATGCAGAGCCATATCATTCTCCGCTGAGTTCAGTATTGTCTGCACTGACTGGCAGCAGCGCCGGAGCTTCATGCAGGATGCTGTGTATCTGCCACAAATTAAAAAGGCCCTGCCCAAAGCAGATTGTCCTTAGAGCTGGGAAACGGTGGAGGTGTCCTCTTGCTCGCGCTTTCAACTTTTCTGCCCCAGGTCTTCAGTTGCTCTGACAGCCATCAATTCAGCCCGTCAAGCCATTCCTTCCCCTTGTTTCTTCTCCGCAGTGGTGGAGAAAAAAGTCTCGCTCCTTGTGGCTGCCCCAGGGGGATTTTGAGCCGGGCTGCTAAGAGGCTATATGGGAATGAAGTCTTGTGTACAGATTAAGGGGAGTCATATCCCCGCTCTCTTCTGCCTTGGCCGGCCCCACCGGGAGTCCTCTGTCTCGTTCTGGGTACCACAGTTTAAGGATGGGTTGGACAAGCAGAGATGATCAAGACTTCAAGAGGAATGTTTAAAGGAGCTGGGGATGTTTTATCTTAAACGGCCTCGGTCCTGTATACCTGAAGGAGCATCTCCACCCCCATCGTTCTGCCCGGACACTGAGGTCCAGCTCTGAGGGCCTTCTGGCGGTTCCCTCACTGCAAGAAATGAGGTTACAGGGAACCAGGCAGAGGGCCTTCTCGGTGGTGGTGCCCGTCCTGTGGAATGCCCTTGCACCAGATGTGAAGGAAATAAGCAGCTATCCTATCTTTAAAAGACATCTGAAAGCAGCCCGGTTTAGGGAAGTTTTTAATATTTAATGCTGTATTGTTTTTAACACTCAATTGGGAGCCGTGTTAATAATAAATTATTATTATTATTATTATTATTAGACGGAGAGGAGATAAGAGAGCCACCTTTCAATATCTGAAGGGCTGTGGCATGGAAAATGGAGCTAGCTTGTTTTCTCCTGCTCCAGAGGGTAGGACTCGAACCCATAGAGGTTTCTAAACAGAGGTTGGATGGCCATCTGTCATGGATGCTTGAGCTGAGATTCCTACGTGGCAGAGGGGTTGGACTAGATGACCCTCAGGGTCCCTCCCAACATAATAATAATAATAATAATAATAATAATAATAATAATAATAATTTATTTATACCCCACCCATCTGGCTGGGTTTCCCCAGCCACTCTGGGTGGCTTCCAACAAATTAAAATACAGTGGTCTGTTAAGCATTGCATTTGATTATATGATGCATATTTTGCCTGTGGTTATAGAGGTACCTCACGGGGGTTGCCGCTTCCCCTCCCTAGACGGAGGCGCTGTGACTTCGGACAGCTGCAGGACAAGGAGGACTCGAACAGGTGGAGCTTTCTCCATGGGGGGGGGGACATGCACCTGTCGTGCTTGACAGCTGGCCAGATTTTTATTTGTTTATCTTGCTGCCTTGGTCACTTGCAGAGGTGGAGGGTGCAGAGACACAGAAATGGCTGTCGTTGTGCCAGCATTGGGCACTAAGGTCCACAAAGGGTCTCTCCAACTATGATTCCTGGCCCAGAGGTGGTTGCTGGACCTTTAATTTTATATATATATAAATAATGATTCCATTTTATCGATATAACCCAAATAACAAAATAGAACTTTATGGGATAAACACATGAAAACCAAACCACAACCAAGCCAGGGCCGTCATGGGATGTTACATTTACAAGAAGAAGTTATAAAGCTGGTTACCTGGATATTTGCCATGAGATGCAGACAGGTAAGTGGAAAATAACCGTCATAGGAAATGAGAGAGAACAAGAGTTGGGGCACACCTGATATAAAAACATGAAACTTTAAAAGCGATCTTTAGAGACATAAGGAGCACCAAGAAGAAAAGGCTTTATATTACACCAGGACCAACCAATCAACCAATTTGATGTTACTTATTCCAAATTTCTTGAGAGATTTGTGGAAGAGAAAATGCATTTTCCTTCCTTCCTTAAAATCCCACCAAACAGAGACAAAAGAGGTTACCTTTGTTGTGCCTTTCAAAAAAATAGGTGTACCACCAGGTAAGTTTTTCATGTAATGCAATTTTCCATATCTTATTCCACCATTAATGAGTTGTTGAGATCAGGCAATGTTTTCCATCTTTGGATAATGAAGAGACTCCTATTCCTTTAACATTAGGATCGTAAGGAAAGGAACTGAAACTAAAACTGCCAATATAGTAATGCTGTTAAACATATCTGTGGTGTGGCTGCAATGGGAGCACTGGGTAGGGTTCTGGTTGCTTCGCCTCAAAAATGATGTTATAGAGTTGGGAAAGTGTTCAGGAAAGGGCAAAGGAATAGATCGAGGGGATGGAGCGACTCTCCGGTGAGGAAAGGGTGCGGCGTTTGGTTTGAGTTTAGGGGAAAGGTGAGGAAGAGTCAACATACTAGAAGTTTGTAAAATTACTCCTGGCAAGGAGAAACTGGATAGAGAAAAGAGAGGGGGGAAGGATGTCGATTTTTGAAATGTCAGATTGATTGTAAAACTAATGAAATGTATAAATTTGAAAAGTATAAATAAAAAACTAACACTAGAAGTTGTGGACATACAGTGGAGCTGAATGTTGGAAGATTCAGAACGTAGAAAAGGAAGGACTTATCCATGCACTTCATCGTTAAACTGTGGAACTCCTTGCCACAGGAGGCAATGGTGGCCACCAGCCTGCATAGCTTTAAAAGAGGACTGGACAAGTTCAATGGGGGAGAATTTGCTATGAGAGCTGACGTGGTCCATCCAATGGACAGGCCTATATGGACAGGCCTAACGTCCTCTTCCTCGTCGTACTTTGCCATTCTGGTTCTTTGTGGCATTCCGGGTTTCAAAGCCCAGCATCCTGGAGCTCCTGCCTCCTGGGGGAGGACGGTTGCTGGCTGCTCTCCCTTGAAATCCTCGTTGGTTTATGATGTTCTGCGGTTGCTTCTCCCAACCGCGCAAGAGACGGTGGGCTGCCTCTTCCTCCCAAATTAATGGCTGTTCCTGCATTTTCCAGGCTTCTCAGAGCCGGGAAGGATGGAGGAGAGGAGAAAGAATGGTGGCCTCCTGCGTAAGAGGGATTCTGGAGAAAACGAAGCGTCCTGGAACGTCAGCTCAGGTTTGTGTTGTCCTCCAAGATGTGGGGAGCCCCCATGCCCAGCGGGGAGGCAAGTTACCCATTTTATTTGGGGTCACGCTCCCTCTGAAGGAGCAAGTGCATAGCTTGGAGGTTCTCCTGGGTACACATCTGTCTCTGGAAACCCAAGTACTGTTTTTGGGGGACAGGGGATGGGCGGGTGTGGAGGACTCCCTGGTCCTGAATGGGGTAACTGTGCCCCTGAAGGACCAGGTGCGCAGCCTGGGAGTCATTTTGGACTCACAGCTTTCCGTGGAGGCGCAGGTCAAGTCTGTGTCCAGGACAGCTGTCTGCCAGCTCCATCTGGTAGTTATGTCTCGCTTGGACTACTGCAATGCGCTCTACGTGGGGCCACCGTTGAAGGTGACCCGGAAACTACAACTAATGCAGAATGCGGCAGCTAGAGTGGTGACTGGAACCAGCCAGAGGGCCTTCTCGGTGATGGCTCCCACCCTGTGGAACGCCCTCCCATCAGATGTCAAGGAAATAAACCAACTATCTGACTTTTGGAAGACATCTGAAGGCAGCCCTGTTTAGGGAAGCTTTTAATGTTTGATTCTGTTTTTAATATTCTGCTGGGAACCGCCCAGATAGGCGGAGTATAAGTAAATAATATTATTAATAATAATTTATTTCTATCTTGCAGTGGGTTGGTCTAGATGACCCTAGGGGGTCTCTTCCAACTCTGCGATTCTATGATCCTCTCCAGAATCTTCCATTCAGTTCCATTGGATGTGCATGAGCTCTAGTGCAATGAGAAAGGGAGAGAAACCTTTTATCGTTTCTTCACCCCGTGCCTCATTTTTTAAACTCCACAAATGTTTCATCCTTTCTTCATTGGGGAGTTGCTCCTTAATCCTCTGACTTGCCCTTTCCTGCACATTTTTAATCTCCACCGTTTATTTTCTCCCGCAAGTGTGTTTCCAGCCCAGATCTCCTGATGCCACAAGGCAATTATTCCTTTTTATTTTTATTTACTTTTATTCTTATTCCTTTTTATTTTATTTTTATTCCTTCGAAAGGACAACCACCAACCTCTGACTATTATTTCCCTTTTGTCTTCCAGAAGTCCTCCGCACGACCAGATATACCGAAGAGGGAAGTTGTCCAGAAGAAGAGGCCAAGAAACCAAACGGAACCAGTGACAGGAAGCGGGCAGCGAAAGGCGCCATTTTTCAGTGCACCAGCCGGAGAAGGAGTTTCCCTCGATGGCACAGACTGGCAGCGAGGAACCAGAAGATGCCCCCAGTGGAGGAGGAGGAAGAAGACGAGCCCAACTCCGGAGGAAGCAGGGGCTTGCGCACCAGCGGCGCAGGAAGAGCGGACTTGGCGGGTGAAGAGCTGCACAGCGCTGTCCGAGTTGGGGAGGGCAAAGCGACCCAGAGAACGGGTACCGCGGAAGGAGACTTCACCTGCGCGGAGTGTGGGAAAGGCTTTGCCTGGCGGTCGTCGCTGAACACCCACCAGCGCACCCACACCGGGGATAAGCCCTTCGGGTGCCAGGCGTGCGGGAGGCGCTTCAGCCAGAGGCCCAACCTGTTGTGCCACCTGCGCCACCACACCGGGGAGCAGCCCTTCCAGTGCGCCAGGTGCAAGCGCCGCTTCTGCCAGAAGCAGCACCTCGCCAGGCACCAGCGGACCCACTTCCGGGGGCGGCCAAGCCCAAGCGCCTGCCCCGAGTGCCAGCGGAGCTTCAGCAACAAGGCGGTTCTGCGCCTCCACCGCCGGGTCCACGCCCGCCAACGCCGGCTGGTTTTCCAGGAGCTGAAGGAGGCCTACCGGGAGACGGTGGCAAGGCAGCGGGAGGAGGCGCGGGCCGGCCTGGGCTGGGCGCCGGCGCGGCCCACGGGGCGCCGTCGGGGGGTGAAGAAGTTCATCTGCAGCGAGTGCGGCAAAGGCTTCACCTGGTGGTCCTCGCTGAGCATCCACCAGCGCATCCACACGGGCGAGAAGCCCTTTCCGTGCTCCCAGTGCGGGAAGAGCTTCACCCAGAAGCCCAACCTCCTGCGCCACCTCCGGTACCACAGCGGCGAGAGGCCTCACGCCTGCACCCAGTGCGGAAAAGGCTTCACCCAAAAGCAGCACCTGCTCAAGCACCAGCGGACCCACGCGGCGGAGAAGGGTTTCCAGTGCCATGCCTGCGGGCAGACCTTCCCCACCAAGGGGAGCCTCACGGGGCACCAGAGGGCCGGCCACGCGCGATCCGAGGCCCTGGCGGAGCGGGGCCCAGGGCGCTTCGCTCTGGGACACCCAGAGAGCTTGGAGGCGGTGGTGGAATCGCTGGTGGCCGGCGGGCAGGGCCTTTTCTGCCCCACTGAGGTCTCTGGGCCGCAGGGCGACGACGGGCAGCCGGTCCTGATCGTGGAGCCGGGGACTCGGCCGCTGGCTCTCTCGCAGACGAAGAAGGGGGTCTTCTGGAAGCCCGAGCTCCCCAAGCCCCCCACCCCGGAACAGAAGCAGTACATCTGCAACGAGTGCGGGAAAGGCTTCGTGTCGTGGTCGGCTCTCACCATCCACCGCCGGATCCACACCGGCGAGAGGCCTTACCAGTGCGGCGAGTGCGGGAAGCGCTTCAGCCAGAAGCCCAACCTGGTCCGGCACCAGCGCTACCACACGGGGGAGAAGCCCTACCCCTGCGCTGAGTGCGGGAAGCGCTTCGTCCAAAAGCACCACCTCACCAAGCATCAGCGGGTGCACAGGAAGGGCGCCCCGCAAGGGCCGGCCCCCGCTCTGAAGGTGGAGGCGCGATAGGGACCGCCGGCTCCGGGGTTCGTTGCCAAAACTTGCCTTTCTTGCAGGCCAGGACAAAGTGTGTGTGTGTGTGTGTGTGTGTGTGTGTGTGTGTGTGTCCTGTCTGTCCGTCCGTCTGTTCTGCTCAAGTGTAATCTTCCTCTTTGCATTTGTGCTTTGCAAGAGTGGGATCTTGCTGCGGGATCTGCTGCACCACAGGGGTCAGCAAACTTTATCAGCAGGGGGCCGGTCCACCGTCCCTCAGACCTTGTGGGGGGCCGGACTATGCCTCACAAATAACCCAGAGATACATTTTAAATAAAAGGACACCTTCTACTCATATAAAAACATCAGGCAGGCCCCACAAATAAGCAGAGATGCATTTTAAATAAAAGGGCACATTCTACTCATGTAAAAACACACTGATTCCCAGACCATCTGCGGGCTGGACTGAGAAGGTGATTGGGCCGGATCCGGCCCCCAGGTCTTAGTTTGCCTACCCATGCTGTGTTGGGATACCAAGTCTGGGTAAAGGGCAACAACATGGACTCAGCTGCTGCTCTTTTGCAAGTTTCCTCACCCCAGACTTAAGTCAAGAGCGTGTCATTTGCATAGGGGCTCCCAAATAGTAGTCACAACATTAAGCAGCCTGGGCGTCGTGCGAAAGATTTGGACTACAACTCCCATCAGCTTCCAGGTGTGTTGAGCTGTGTCAGTTAATGGGAGTTGTACTCCCACACATTCGTGGTTTGCGCAAAGGAGAAGCATTGTATGAGGATGGGCAGGGCCTTCCTGGTGTTGGGACCTGATGGGACCTCAGGGGTTGCCCTGTGTGCCTGATGCATGCAGAACGGATATGGTATTGCTCAGTGTCCTTTTTCTGGGTGGTCAGAACAGGTCAAAAGAAGTTTCCTGGCTGATGTGTGAGGTGTGAACTTATTTCCTGGTGAGCTTGTCCGCATATCCCTGAACTTAGCTGAAGTATGGAGGGGACAGCCACCTCAGGCCAGGCACCAGGGCACCACGTGTGGCCAACCATGTCGAATATAGCTCACCAGGAGCTGGGTAACCGCTTCTGATTGTCGAATGTGTTGTGATCCATTATGGCTGGGCTACATTCAGTGTAGCACAGCCTTCAGCAACCTGGTGCCCTCTGAGGTATTTTGGACTACAACTCCCATCAGCCCCCAGACAGCACAGCATGATGGGAGTTGTAGTCCAAAGCATTTAATAGGGAACCAAGCGGGAAAAGACGGCAAGGCTGTTAAATGTTCCTTTTTAAAACTTGCCTCTTGCATCCTTTCCACATCCAGCAAAAGTTTGGAGTTATCTCATGACCTGGCGCTCCTAGTTTCTTAACAGACTCCAGACTTTGCCCGGCTCCTCTCATTGCCGACCCCACAGAGACCCCCTTCCGGAAGGATGCAAGGTTTCTTCCAAACCTTAGGGCAGAGTCTTCAGTGCCCATCAAGTGTTAAATTTCTAAAGATTGGAAATAAATCTTAACAATGTGCTCGTTTCAGGCCTGCGGAGAGGACCGACGTTCTTCCACTCCTGCTCATTCAGACATAACCCCTTCATTCTGTCATGTGTGAATCAGGGCCTCAAGTGCATTTTCTGCAGGGAGACGGTCGTTCACTTGAGAGCGGGGCCTTTCCTTGGTGGGGTGGAGATTCCATTAAAACATCTGTGAAATGTGCCGCTGTTTCTCTTGCTGCTTTTACGTGCCCTCCCCCCGATCTCTGAGAGCTGAGAGACCCCCGGGGTTCCAGGCCCAAGGTCCAGTTTCCTTGGAAGGTCAACGGAGACGGCGATGTCTTCAGGGTATATGGTTTTATTTACACATATATGCAACCTGAGCATAGGACGCAGGTGATCTTGCTTATCTGTTAGTCGCGGGTGTGCCAGATTACACCTCCCATCATCATTTAGCAGCAAGGTTAGACTTTGCAGAGGGTTGGACTAGATGCTCCTTGGGGGTCCCTTCCAACTGCCATTCTATGATTCTGCCCCTATGCTTGCTGAGGCTGATGGGAGTTGTAGTACAGCGGCGACTGGAGGGCCCAAGGGTCCCTGCTCTTGCTTTGGGGAGCAGGGAAAGTGCGGCACATTTTAAAAAACATCTGAAGGCAGCCCTGTTTAGGGAAGTTTTTAATGTTTGATGAGTTATCGCATTATTATTATTATTATTATTATTATTATTATTATTATTATGTTGGGAGCAGCCCAGAGTGGCTGGGAAAACCCAGCCAGATGGGTGGGGTATAAGTTAATAATAATAATAATAATAATAATAGTAATAATATACACCTTACCAGAGGTTTTCCATCTCATCTATAATTCCTTGTCATTTGGGCCCCTCCAAGCTACATAGACAAAAAAAACCACCTTCATTTTCCTTTTCAAAAAACCTCTGAAGTCTCCCTGATTGTGGGCGACTGTGGGGAGACACGGCTTGGGCCGGCATGGAAGGACGATGGTTTGGATTCTTCCCCTATTGGCATGTCCAAAGGCAAAGCCCGCAGGCATGGTGTTGGGGCACACCCCGTTCTCCCGTCTTCTCTGTTCCTGGACCAGATCTGCAAGGGTGGGGCATCTGCTGACGCCAGAGAGCAGCTGGGGAGGCCACAGGCAGGACTGACATTTAAGATCCACGTTAATAAGACTAGATCGGGGTTTCCCAAACGTGGGTCTCCGGCTGTTTTGGGACTACAGTTCCCATCGCCCCTGACCCACTTTGTCCTCCAAGCTAGGGATGGTGGGAGTCATAGTCCCAAAACATCCAGAGACCCAAGTTTGGGAAACCGTGGACTAGATTCAGGATCGATGGGGAGCTGAGCCAGAACCTTGGCTTTCTAGGGCCACATTTGCACCATTCAATCTAGACTGATTGATTGATTGATTTTTGCATTTATAGGCCACCGTTTTTCTCCAAGGAACTCAACATGGTCCTCCCTGTCCTCATTTAACCACCACCTCAACACCCCTGCAAGGGAGGCAAGAGGTGGAGAGGCAGTGGCTGGCTCCTAAGGTCACACCCAACGAGTTTTCTGGCCAAGTGGGGATTTGAACCCGGGTCTCTCCCAGGTCACAGCCTGGCACTCTAGCCACTACACCACCTTGCCTCTCAAATACTTATTTACTGAACAAAATGAAAAACCTGCCTCATTGGAATAAAATCCTGAAAGCTGTTAGCGGGCAGGTGGCCGGGGCGGGGGAAGGGAAGAGAGAAACATTTAAATTATCGGCAAAACATTTTAAAAGTAAGTGATTGAGACGATTGCAATCAACTGGAAGACCAGGCATAGGCAAACTTGGCCCTCCAGCTGTTTTGAGACTACAGTTCCCATCATCCCTGACCACTGGTCCTGTTAGCTAGGGATGATGGGAGTTGTAGTCCCAAAACATCTGGAGGGCCGAGTTTGCCTATGCCTGTGTAAGATAAAGAGGGGTTTAAAAAAAAAAAAAAAAAGTCACGAGGTAGTACACCCTGCTTGCAGGCATACACACTAAACCCTGTCTGTGGTGCCCACCCCTTTACCCCAAGTGATGAGACAAGAGACCAGAGTATGGGGTCCAAATTGGCCACAACTTTATTGAGCTTCAGACTTGGGAAACTTGGCACAGGCCTTGGCAGGCAACCCTCTCAGCCCTCCTGGCTGAGGATGTGCAGGCAGATGAGGTCCAGTGAGAGGGGACTGCAAAGCGCAAACTTACACAGCCTGCCCTTCCACCGACCTCGTCCCGGGAGTTTGACCTACATGCCGCCGCTCTAGGGCCAGGGACTCCTGGTTTTGCCCTTTAACAGGCCCTGCAAGCGCCACCGCATGGGGAGGGAGCATGGATGCATCCCCCACAGACTTGATGTTAGACTAAAGGAGACCTTGCCAAGGCCTAAAACCGCCAAAGTTGTGACGAAATGCTACAGGGAAGACGAAACCTGCCAATGCAGGGAAAATTCCTTCCCAGTTCTGAATGCAGGAACCATCTTACGACCGCAGCAGCGCCCGCTGACCTGGAATGCAAAATATTAGCCTGTAAGGAAAGAATCATTAACCTGAAGACTGCTGACCTAGGATGAAATTATGGAGTCAAGAAATTATTAATTGGAGGGAAGGTGGGTGGGTGATCCTGGAAGGAAGAACAGCAAAAGAGGCTCGGACAACGGAGTCAGCCTCTTCTCTTGGCTGGCTGTCCATTGTCCTCCCTGGCCGAGGGCGGGTCAAAGGCCGGCCCAAGCAGGTGGGTGGCACCCGCCCAGGTGAGCCCCGCTCCGTGCCACAAACCCCGCCCACCTGTGGGGAAGGGAGGGCGGATAATAACTTCTGCAGGTAGTCTTTCAAAACCTGCATTGCATATGCTAATGGATGGCATCCTTTGCATATTTTAATAAGTCCTTGTTTGCAGCGGCTTTATAAATCTCTGTGAAGAGCTCTGGGCGTTTGCTCTGGCCTGGAAGGCAAGTTCCAAATTCTGAGCGTAAATCGGTTTGCAAGGCAAGTCGGCTCCGCCTGAGAGCTGCCGCTGCAGTCCCTGGATCCCGGTGGATGAGGGATCCAGGCCCCACGAAATGGAGGAAGGTGAGCAGGAGGAGGAGGAGGAGGAATCAGCTGGTGGGGTATCAGATCCTTTGCCCTGTGGGATTCCCAGCATAGGAGAGAGTCCTGGAGGTGGACAAATAACCCTCCAGCAGGTAACCTGGCCAGAAAGATGGCTGTGCTGGGCCCTCCACCCTCAGAGGCAGCAAACGCTTCTGGGTACCAGTTTTGGAAGCCACAGGTGGGGAGAGATGCTCTGGTGCTCGGATCCTATTTACAGGTTTCCCCTAATGGGCACCTGGTCAGTCACTGTGAAAAGAGGATGCTGGACTCAATGGGCCATTGATCCAAGAGGTTCTTCATAGAATCGTAGAGTTGGAAGGGACCCCCCAGGGTCATCTAGTCCAACCCCCTGCAAGGCAGGAATATGCAGCTGCCCCATACTGGGATCGAACCTGCAACCTCGGCCTTATCAGCACAGCGCTCCAACCAACGGAGCTCTCAGGCTCAAGTCTTACATTCTTATGGGCTGAAGGGTAAGAACACTGCTTCTCTGGGTGGGAGTGGGCCTCACTGCAGGGGCAGGGGCAATGGGCACCAGGGAAGACCCCACTGGCTCCTTCCTGACCTAGAATGGCTTTAGGAGAAGGGCTGTGGCTCAGGGAAGGAGCATTGGCAGTTCCCCGCTTCCTGTCTCTTTTATTTTGTATTTTTTATTGATACAGCAAGAAAAGAAGAGAAAACACAAATACCAAATTACACACAGGAATAACCATAGACACATAATTTTCTTAACAAACGATGAAACATAAATTGGTCTTAACACTAAAAACCCAACCTCCCGTCTATTCCATATTTTGATTTCATATTACTTATTGCCAATACACACTTCTATCACAATTACTGTAAACTTTATCTTAATATGTCTTAATTCTTATATCTACCTTGCAGCTATTACTGAAGTTCCTCACATGCTGCAACAGAGTTTAAACTACTATATTTATGTTTCAAATATTCTTTGAAAACCTTTGATCCCCAGTGGCATCTCCCTTGAAGTCCAGTCATTTGTCTGAGGTACAAAAGGAGGCTGGCTGGCTACCCAGGAAGCAGGGCCAAGCTGTTGATCTTTATTGGTCTCCTGCAAGAAAAGAAGCTGTTTTGTTATTATGCTTTTAAAATATGAAGCCACTGGGAGAGATCATCAGGGGGTTTGGGCTGGGTGTTCATCAATATGCGGATGATACCCAGCTCTACCTCTCTTTCAAATCGGAACCAGTGAAGGCGGTGAAGGTCCTGTGTGAGTGTCTGGAGGCGGTTGGAGGATGCATGGCGGCTAACAGATTGAGGTTGAATCCTGACAAGACAGAAGTACTGTTTTTGGGGGACAGGGGGCAGGCAGGTAGGGAAGATTCCCTGGTCCTGAGTGGGGTCACTGTGCCCCTGAAGGACCAGGTGCGCAGCCTGGGAGTCATTCTGGACTCATAGCTGTCCATGGAGGCTCATGTCAATTCTGTGTCCAGGGCGGCTGTCTACCAGCTCCATCTGGTACGCCGGCTGAGACCCTACCTGCCCGCAGCCTGTCTCGCCAGAGTGGTGCATGCTCTAGTTATCTCCCTCTCGGACTACTGCAATGCGCTGTACATGGGGCTACCTTTGAAGGTGACCCAGAAACTACAACTAATCCAGAATGTGATAGCTAGACTTGAGACTGGAACCAGGCAGAGGGCCTTCTCGGTGGTGGCTCCCACCCTGTGGAACGCCCTCCCATCAGATGTCAAAGAAATAAACTTTTGGAAGACATCTGAAGGCAGCCCTGTTTAGGGAAGTTTCTAATGTTTGATTCTATTTTTAATATTCTGGGAACCGCCCAGATGGGCGGAGTATAAGTTAATAATAATGATGATGATGATGATGATGATAATAATTTATTTCTGCCTTGCAGTGGGTTGGTCTAGATGACCCTAGGGGGCCCCTTCCAACTCTGCGATTCTATGATCCTCTCCAGAATCTTCCATTCAGCTCCATTGGATGTGCATGAGCTCTAGTGCAATGAGAAAGGGAGAGAAACCTTTTCTCATTTCTTCACCCCGTGCCTCATTTTTTAAACTCCCCAAATGTTCCAGCCTTTCTTCATTGGGGAGTTGCTCCTTATTCCTCTGACTTGCCCTTTCCTGCACATTTTTAATCTCCTCCGTTTATTTTCGCCCGCAAGTGTGTTTCCAGCCCAGATCTCCTGTTGCCACAAGGCCAGGCAGGCTCAGGCAGTGCCTTCCTTGCCGTCCTCTTTCCCACGGCTGGGGGGGGCCTTCGGGAGCCGTATCCCAAAACTGCTGAAGGGCAACAGGTTGGCCAACGCTGCCTCCGTGAGAATCCCAATTAGTAGGGAATTAAGGAAACCTTGTGAAATATTGGCAGCCGGTCTCTTGGGAACAACTCATGTCAACGCAGCGTTGGCTGCCAACCAGAGCAGCACAGAAAAGGGCTTGGACCAATGCATGAAGCCCAATGAGGCTGGCGCATAGTTCAACTGCGGAACTCCCTCCCACAGGATTAGGCAAATTCATGGAGGAGGAGAGGGCTGCCGATGGCTACTCTCTGCAATGGCTCTACCCTGCTTCCACGGTCGGAGGCATCAATGCTTTTGAATTGCAGTTGCTGGAAACCACGGGAAGGGGAGAGTGTTGCTCTTGCACTCAAATCCTGCTCACGGGTTTCGCACGGGCGTCTGGTTGGCCACTGTGAGAACAGGATTCTGGACAAGATGGTCCCATTGGCCTGATCCTGCACGCTCTCCTTACACACCAATCTCTGAACGGTGGAAGATTCCAGGGGTTCCCGGCGCTCCTCCAGGGTTTGTGTTTCCTTTTGGGAATGAGGGATAGGGGAGACTGTGGTGTTTCTAAGATTTATAGCATACACATATACACAACCTGAGCCTAAGATGGGGGGGTTCACAGAATTAGCACCCCCAGAAGGCCTTGCTTCTCCCATGGCCACAGCCTTGGATCCCAGCAGAAATCAGGCAGGGCTTTTTCTCTCTGCCTTTCTGGTCTCCAGCTTTTGCCTGCAGCTTCTAGCTCACAGTTCAACTCTCAACTCTTCCCTTTTGTCTTTCTAACTAACCCAGAAAGTGAGCCCACCTGTTTGCCCTCTGGCACACAGCTGCACCCTTTGTTTCCTTAAGGACTTAAGGACTTAGCAGGCCATTAGCAGTCTGGCCTGGCCATCCCAGCAACTGGATCCAGAAATGAGAAGGAGGCTGATCACCGAAGAATGGATGCTTTTGAATTCTGGTGCTGGAGGAGACTCTTGAGAGTCCCATGGACTGCAAGAAGATCCAACCTCTCCATTCTGAAGGAAATCAGCCCTGAGGGCTCACTAGAAGGACAGATCCTGAAGCTGAGGCTCCAAGCTGAGGCCACCTCATGAGAAGAGAAGACTCCCTGGAAAAGACCCTGATGTTGGGAAAGATGGAGGGCGCAAGGAGAAGGGGACGACAGAGGACGAGATGGTGGGACAGTGTTCTCGAAGCTACCAGCATGAGTCTGACCAAACTGTGGGAGGCCATGGAAAACAGGAGTGCCTGGCGTGCTCTGGTCCAGGGGGTCACGAAGAGTCGGACACAACTAAACAACAACTTAGAAGGCCATTGGCAGCCTGGCTTGGCCATCCCAGCAACTGGATCCAGGAATGAGAAGGGGAAGCATTTGGCATTCCTGTCTCGAGACAATGGAGTGCGCCTCCAGGGGTGAAGTCAGATCGCTGCATTAGCAGCCTGGTGGTGACCTCTCAGAGGCTTAAGCCTGGGCAGTGTGTCTGGAGGTCCGGGGCTGGCCAGATGACAAGACCCCCCTCTCGGCCTCGCTGATGGGGTCCAAGGGAAAGCAGAGCAAGACGTTTGGCTGCAGGAATTGCCGGAAGGAGGCGTACAAGGCACCATCCCACCATCTTGGGAATCCATATTTGTGTATGGTTTATTCCTTTCCCCTCTCCTAAGGATGTCTCGCAAGGCAGCAGAAGTTTCTCCTTCTCCTAGTTGGGCTCCTTTCCCTCTACATAGGCATGGCCAAACTCGGCCCTCCAGATGTTTTGGGACTACAACTCCCATCATCCCTAGCTAACAGGACCAGTGGTCAGGGGTGATGGGAATTGTAGTCCCAAAACATCTGGAGGGGCAAGATTGGCCATGCCCACGTCTACAACAAGTGCAGAAACCGCCTTCTTGACTGTTGGACCCATGCTTGGTCTCGTCCGCTCCGTCCGCTGGAGTCTGTCTTCACAGACAGGGAAAGCCCCTAACTCACTGAGGGTTTGAGACCCCTTGGCTACCCTCACTTGGTCTAGCCCTGGCATAGCCCAACTTGTCCCTCCAGATGTTTTGAGACTACAACTCCCATCATCCCTGACCACTGGTCCTGTTAGCTAGGGATGATGGGAGTTGCAGTCCCAAAACATCTGGAGGGCCGAGTTGGCCTATGCCTGGCCTAGCCGGCCAGTCGAAACCATTCCCGGGATGTGGCCACTGTCTCATGCACAGAGCATCTGGGAGCCACAGGTGGGAGTGAAGGTTGTGGACCAAACCATCTCAGAAGGAGCATGACCCAGAGGTACGACCCCTCCCCTACCACCCCATTCAGCCTAATCCCCCCCCTGAAAATCAAAGAATTCTAGAATCCTAGAGCTGGAAGGGACCCCATGAGTCATCTAGTCCAACCCCCGTACAATGCAGGCATCTCAGCTAAAGCACCCGTGACAGATGGGCCCCCACCCACTCAGCGGTAACCTCGGGGGCCAGTCTCTGCCCTTCTCTCGGCCCCACCGACCTCACAGTGTCCTTGTGGGAATTCAAGGAGGAGCAGGGAGAAGCAGATAAGCCACAGCGAGGGAAACGGTGAGAAATAAATGCAACAAACAGGCAGACAAAGACTTTATTTTGTCTGTCTGGAGAAGGAGCGAGGTCGCTGGCGAAATGCTGCTGGGAGATGCTGTTTCTCCTCTGCTTCTTGCATCCCCCCGAGCGAGGGGCCCAGTCCTTCTCCCGCTTGCCAAGGCCACCCTCCCCAGAGCCAAGGATCAGCAGCCCCGGCTCACGTCATGGCGCTGCACCCTGGCAGAGCCTGCAGATGGCAGGGAGGGGGACGGTGTGCCGAATCGGCTCAGGCTCCCTTGTTCAAGGACAAGGACAAAACACTTCGCCTAGTCGCACACAGAAGGTTTCCGCTCGGATTTGAAGCCTTAAACAAAACACAGGCTTCGTTGGAGAGGAAGCGGCTGTAACCCAAGGCCACCCACCTAGCTTCGTGGCCAGCTGGGGATTCGAACCCTGGTCCCTGCCACGTCCTAGTCCAGTTCTCTTACCCAGGGGTAGGCAACCTAAGGCCCGTGGGCCGTTTGCGGCCCAATCACTTTCTCAATCTGGCCCACGGATGGTCTGGGAATCAGCGTGTTTTTACATGAGTAGAATGTGTCCTTATATTTAAAATGCATCTCTGGGTTATTTGTGGGGCGTAGGAATTCGTTCATTTCCCCCCAAAAAATATAGTCCGGCCCCCCACAAGGTCTGAGGGACAGTAAACTGACCCATGGCTGGAAAAGGTTGCTGACCCCTGCTCTAACCCTTACCCCACATTGCCTCGCTCTGACTTGCAGATCGCTTTATCCTACAAAGCCTCAATATGGCACTGCAGCGGGGTGGGTGGGATAGACATTTGGGGTGCCCCTTCCAAGGCTACAATCCTATAGCCTTGTGGGGCATTGAGGACACCCCCAGTTCCATGGGGGGGGGGCGCTCTTGGGCCGTAACTCAGTGGTAGAGCCTTGCAAGCAGAAAGTCCAAACCTCAGCATCTCCTGGTAGGCTAGGCCAGTGATCTGACTTCATGCAAAGCCTTAATCGCTCAACCTTTTATTCCGGATCATGAGGACTAGAATATTTAGGGGACTGGGGCACAGCTCATGGTCCAACCCTTAGCGAGCCGCTGCTGCTGCCGGTCCGTGTGGTACCACTGAGCTCTATTGGCACCGCGGCTGGGCGTCAGGCACCTCGGCGCGCTCCTCCGGGCGCAGCGCAGCAGAGGAAAGCGGCGCGGGGAGGGCAGAGCTCTTTCTTGCCAGCAGCCGCCGCGGCTTCTCCCGCAGCTGCAGGAAGTGGCACCTCCCCGAGGCTGCGGTTGCAGTTGCTGCCGCCGCCGCCTGCCTGCCTGCCTGCCTGGGATGTCTTGCAAGCAACCTCGCGCGGCGGGGCCGTTGCTGGGCGAAGCCGAGGAGGAGCGCGGAGCTGCTGCCGCTGCTGCAAAAGGTACGTGGTTGCAGCAAATAAAAGGCGAGCGGGCGAGCGAGGAAGGGGGGCAGCGCCGGCCCTCCCCTCCCCTGCGGGCCGGATCCTGCCTGCAGTGCCTCGTGCAAAGCGGAGGAGCAGCAGCGGCGGCGGCCGATGCGGGGGATCGGGGCGGCCGGAGAGGAGGAGCAGCAGCAGCAGCCCGGGCACGGTGAGGCATCGCTGGGGGGGGGAGCGGGGGGGGGACACGGAGGGGTCGCCCCCTCTTTCCTCTCTCAGCCCTTTGCACCCCATCTCCCCCCTCCTCGCAGCTGCCGTGTGAACGGAGCGTGGGGGAGGCGATCCGGAGCGAGCCTATTTTTTGGAGGGGGGGTGTTGGATAGAAGCAGAGGGACCCCCCCCCCCCAGTTTTCCTCTTCCCAGGCTGCCTCTCCTCCTCCCCCTCCTCCCTTTCTTCCTTTCGGGCCTGGGCTGCCTCCGCTCCGGGCGCACGTGGCCGGCCGGCGACGCTTCCTTCCCTTCCCCGCGGCCCGCGCCTCGCTGCAATCCGGCCCCGCGGGCGCTCCGGCCTCCGCCCAGTCTCCAGTCTCGCGCGGAGGACGGCAGCAGCAGCAGCAGCAGCGGGCGCCTCTGCCACCGGCTCCCCGCGCGACCTTGGCCCTGGCAAGGGGCCCCTTTGCTCCGCCTTGGGCGCGCGGGAGAGGGGTCCCCAATCCCCCCCCCATTTTGCAAATCAATCAATCAGACCCCGGGGGGCGGATTTGTTTCTTGCACGGTGTGCATTTGGGCACCCCCCTTTTTTGGTGGTGCATCTGCAACTGGCAAGCAGGATCCGCTTTGCAGAGCCTCGGAGAAGGTGCCAGGCCGGCAGGAATCTTCCACAGCCCTTGCAAAAAACCCCAAAAGCCCCCAAGGCTGCAGGCCCCACGGAGGCCTGGCTGCAAATCCAGCCGCACAGGTAGAGCTGCCCAGCTGCATTCTGGGACTTGCAGTTTCTTCTCCCCCTCCCCGGAGTGAAGGTGAGGCTGTGATTTGGCTGACGTCATCACACTCTTATCCCCCCCCCGCCTTTGGGAAAAAGGGAGAAGGGCAGGTTGTGTGGAAGGTGGAGGAGTCTTGTCTGGGCAGGTGTGTGTGTGTGCATATATATATAAAAATAAAATCATTATTTTTTAAGGAGGGAGCTTTGGCGCTCCCTGACTCAGAGCTGGTTTGGCAAAAGCCCTGCGGCTTTTGGCACAATTTCCCCTGCAGGCAGCGCCCTCCCTGCGAGGTCTGCCTTCCGCCCCGGGGAAAAGGAGCGCTGACCAAGCCTGGGGGGCCGGGGGGTGGGGTGGGGGCCAGGGGTCCCTTGAAGGTGCAGCTGCTGGGATTTAGGAAGCTGATGCCTTGTGCTGAGTCAGACCACGTGGGTCTCTGTGGCTCAGTGGTGCTTGCTCTGACTGGCAGAAGCTCTCTGAGTCTTTTGGAATGTGTGTGTTCCTGGCGCTATGTGGGGGTGTGGTGTGGGGGGGGGTTGAAACAAGCTTGTTTTCTCCTGAGATCCTGCAACTGGCCTTGTTTGCGTTCGACATTATCCTGTTTACTTTGCCCCCCGAAATCCAGGTTTTGGGTGAGCTGGGAAAATGCCGGCTGGTGTGGGCCTGTGGGTGTCTCGACCGCTGACCACACCTGGAGAGGTTTTGTCAGCTGCCAGTCCCTTTCGGCTACAGTGGTACCTTGGGTTACATACGCTTCAGGTTACAGACTCCGCTAACCCAGAAATATGCTTCAGGTTAAGAACTTTGCTTCAGGATGAGAACAGAAATCGTGCTCTGGCGGCACGGCGGCAGCAGGAGGCCCCATTAGCTAAAGTGGTGCTTCAGGTTAAGAACAGTTTCAGGTTAAGAACAGACCTCCGGAACGAATTAAGTACTTGACCTGAGGTACCACTGTATTTTGGACTGGAGCTCTGCAGCAGCACAGATACACACCAAAGAAGTGTGCATTCACACGAAAGCTTAGACCCAGAACAAACTTAGTTGGTCTCTAAGGTGCTACTGGACAGTTTTTTTATTTATTTCGACTGCGTCAGACCAACACGGCTACCTACCTGAGTCTACCATTCTGTGATTCATTGGAGGTTTTGAAACAGAAGTTGGCTGTGTGCCAGGGAATCTTCACCTGCGATTCCTGCATTTCAGGGGGTTGAGCTAGATGACCTTTGGGGGGACCCATCCAGCCCCACCATTCTATGAAACTATTCTGCTATCCTCATGTTTCATAACTGCCTTGACGCCTGCATTATTATAGTTATTCTTTTCCTGGTGCCTTTTCTCATACTTTTAAAACATCAATAAAAATCATAGGGTGAGGGGAGAGAGACTTTCTCTTCTTCATCAGGCAATGGTTTTTCCCACCTCTTTGCCCCCACCCTCTAGCCCTGAGAGCCTTTTCCAGGCCATGACTTTAGGAACAGCAGAAGCAGCTGGGAAGAGAGGAGCTCACAGATATTTTTTTAAAAAACCACAATTTTGTGTGTCTTTGCTTCTCAATTTGTATTGTGTTATTTTATGCACCGAGACTTGCTGTTGTTTTTATTGATTACAGCTTGGAAATTATTGTAATCGTTAAGAGTGAATTTCTGTTTAAATATTATTTGCAGATGTTTAAGTTTATTGTGTACTATTCTACTCCTAATGGATTACTGAATATTATTTTATTTGACGTAAGCTGTTTATTTTAAAGTTATGTTTTTTATTATGACACTTTTCGTATCTCGCCAGATTGCTATAAGGCGTGCGATCATTGTTGTTTCTGCAGCTTGTGAACCGCCTTCCGTGTAGTACAGTGGTCCCTCAGTTCTTGAACGGAATCCGTTCTGGAAGCCCATTCGGCCTCTGAAACGCTCGAAAACTGAGCTTCTTGCACGTTCGGGTTCCAAAAAACGTTTGAAAATGGAAGCATTTACTTCCGGATTTTCAGCGTTTGAGAACAGAAACGTACGACAACAGAGGCGCTTGGGAACTGAGGTACCACTGTACATTGGTACCTCAGGTTAAGTACTTAATTCATTCCAGAGGTCCGTTCTTAACCTGAAACTGTTCTTAACCTGAAGCACCACTTTAGCTAATGGGGCCTCCCAGTGCCGCCGCACGATTTCTGTTCTCATCTTGAAGCAAAGTTCTTAAGCCGAGGTACTATTTCTGGGTTAGCGGAGTCTGTCACCTGAAGTGTATGTAACCCGAGGTACCACTGTACTAGAGAAAGGTGGCATGCAGATTACAAGTGACATGAAATATGGGAAAAAATTAAAATGAAATAACTTCCTTGTGCTTTCCCTCTTTCTTCTCTCCCCTTCCAGGAAGCGAGGGCCCCATGGAGGGAGACAAGGAGCCACCCGCCCGGGGTCACCAGGCTTCCCCGCCGGGGGGTGACAACCCCTTCCCGTTCCCTGCCTGGGAGGAGGGCTCCGGGGACGAGAACGCCCTGGTCATCCACAGCCAGGTGGAGGAGGAGGAGCACAAATGTGCGGCGTGTGGCGAGAGCTTCCCACACCCGCTGAGCCTCTTGCGCCACCAGAAGCAGCAGCATGCGGGCGAGCGGGCCTTCGTGTGCCCCGAGTGCGGGCGCGGCTTCACCCTCAAGCACAACCTCATCATCCACCAGAGGATCCACACCGGAGAGAAGCCCTTCGGCTGCGGCGTTTGCGGCAAGCGCTTCAGCCTCAAGCAGAACCTCCTGACCCACCAGAGGGTGCACGGCGGTGGCGCAGAGGGGGCCCCCTCCTGCCCCGTCTGCGGGAAGACCTTCCGGGAACAGCGCCTGCTCCTTGCCCACCGCCAGAAAGGCGGCTGCGGGCCCCCTGCCCAGGAGAAGCCGGGGGCGCCCTCCCCGCCACGGATGCACACCCGGGGGAGGCCCCGCGCGCCAAGCGAGGAGGGCGACGTGCAGAGGCCGTTACGGGTCAAGCACCAGCAGAAGCCCCGCCAGAACGGGGCGGCCTTCCCCTGCCAGGAGTGCGGCGAGGCCTTCGGCCGCCGGAGCAGCCTGGCCGGCCACCGCAGGACCCACCACCAGGCTGAGAGGCCGCTGCTGCCGCAGGGCGAGGAGGGCCGGAGGCGCCCCAAGGAGGCCCCTGTGAGCCCCGGCCGGAGGCTCCAAGCGGGAGACGCCCCCTTCCAGTGCCTGACCTGCGGGAAGAACTTTGCGCAGAAGGGCAACCTGGCCACGCACCGGAAGAGTCATCTGGGGCCTGAGGCACTCGGCTGAGGGCGAGGCTGCTGCTCCGGTGGGCCTCGCCAGGGCGGGGAGGTCGGAGGGGGAAGTGGGCGGCCACGGGGGGTCCTGGAAGCGGAAGGGCCTGTTTGGGATGTGGGAGCACGGAGGGGCTATGGGGACTTGGGGATAATGCCTGGGAAGGGGAGGTCAGGGGTCTCTCAGCAGGGCAGTGTTTGCCCCGCCAGGGATATGGACCATAACCGCTCCAAGAACTTGGGATCCCATCAGCCGGGGGCAGTGAAGTGTTGCTTGGGGACCCCTCTTCCCTTTCTGAAGCAAAAGCCCGTTCTCTACACATCGGCTGCGTTTCAAGCTTGGGTGTTCCCTGAACCTTCATGGGTGGGATTTTTCTCACGCTGTGCCATTGTTTGGTTTCCATTTTGGGCAGCGGCGTTGTGCCCCTCTTAAGTTCCCGTTCTCAGCCATTGCGCCACGCAGCGTTACCTCCGCTCTGGGATTTCCCTGCGTTTATGTTCTGCTTCCCGTTTTACAAGTCCGGATGCCCAGGTTTATTTCCCCCAAACCCCGTTGGGTGGTTAATTCCTGCCCTCCCCTAAGATCCACGCAGCATGTCCAGCTACAGCCTTCCCTGTTCTTTTGGTCCCGCAGCAGAGTGACGAAGAGTCGTCTGGTTTGGGGGGCTGGGTGGGTCGAAATTGGTGCCAAAGATAGTCAACACAAACTCGGGGGTTGCCGGGGGAACAGAACGGGGGTACACTGAGTTTTATTTGATTGCGGAGGATTTCGCCCCACTGTGCGTCTTCTTCCTGTGGATTTGAACCTGCAGCTCAGGGGAGAATCTTCTGTTGACAGCTGTGTCTTGCTAAACGCATTAGAGGAAGGCGGAGCGATTGCACTATGTACCAGAGAACCCACACATTTGCCAGAGAACCCGTAGAAGAGGGCGGATGTGTTTGCCGGTTGTTGCTGGAAAACGTCTTTGGAGGAGAGAGGAATTCTGAAGAGCTGTAGCAACATCCTCTTCTGAACTTCTGGTTTCCAGAGCCTGATTTCCAGATCCACGGAAGGAAAAGACCATGTGGGAGTTTAGACCATGAAAGGACTCTTTTTGGATAGCTTAATGTGGGAAAAAGAAGTGAATGTAAAAGCTGAATGTTCTGAAACCACTTAGGTGCCCTGAATTTTGGGGATGGTTTTGAGCCGGGAGAGAAACTTCTATAAAACACTAGAGTGGCCTTCACTGAGGCGGTGTCCTCCACATGTTTTGGGGCTCCTAGCCCCTCCTCGGCCCCAGCAGGCCCAGATGTGATCCCAGAAGCCCTAGCATCACACATCTAGGGTTGCTGGAAGTTGAAAACATCTGGGTTGTGCGAGGGTGGCAAAAGCAAGCTCCGAAGATCTGATTGAGAAATGCGCCTGCTTCATGCTTTTGAGTTGTGGGAGGGGGGCGGTCTCTCATCCTTAAACCTTAAACCCTGTTTTGAGGGGGCTTCCCTGGCTGATCTCCCCTGACCAGGGCAGTATCCAGCAGCTGCAAAAGGGTCGTGCCACTGAGCTCTGTCCTTCCCCCCCTGGAATGGACTCTGTCTGCTACGGTGTGGATGTTTTCCTTCATTCAGTTTCTCTGTTACACAAGACTTGACTTGAGCGTTCAACATGTTGACGTACGTTTCAAGCGTTTTTAAGCACTCCTGTTTCAAAGTGTGCACGGCGGGTGGAGATCTTTGTGGAAGTTGCACACTGCAGCAGCCTTCGGAAAGAAAAGAAAACAAGTGTTATTTACCTCTGTAGAGATCTGCACATGGCATGTTACCAATCACTTAAAGAGTTTCGATCCAAAGTTTCAGTCCAAAGCGCCGCACCAGACTTTGGCAACCTGGTGCCCTGCAAATGTGCTGGGCTCTGCCAACAGGTAGCTGATGGGATTTGTACTCCCAACACACCTGGAGGGCACCAGATTGGCAGCGGCTGTGCCAAGCCGTTGGGCACATTCATGGTTTGGCTGAATGAGAAGCATTGTATGAGGATGGGCAGGGCCTTCCTGGTGTTGGGACCTGATGGGACTCAGGGGTTGTACCTGATGCAGAATGGATATGGTATTGCTCAGTGTCCTTTGCTGGGTGGCCAGAACAGGTTAAAAGAGTTTTCCTAACTGATGTGTGAGATGAGAACCTATTTCAGGGGTGGGTCCTGGTAAACAGGTGAGCTTGTCCACATATCCACCAGGGAACATTTTGTGTCCAAATATAACTCACTAGGTCCTTGGTAAACCATTTTTTTTTTGCTGTTTTTCTGCAATTGCATAAAAGGTGGTGGTTGTCAAATATCTTGTGATCCATTATGGGTGGCCAGGGGTCTTCATTCAGCACAACCTTCAGCAACCTGGTGCCCGCTGAAGTTTTTTGGGACTACAACTCCCATCAGCCCCCAGCCAGCACAGCACCATGGGAGTTGTAGTCCAAAACAAGCTCAGGAATGTTACCACATTGCTGAAGGTTTCCTTTGCTGGCTCAGAAGATGGACGGGGCAAGGAAGCAGCCTTCCCTCTGCAAGACACCTTTGGGAACGTCGTATGACCGGCCTCCCAAGATGGTCCCATCGCAAGAAACTCCTGGCGGTTATACTGCTTATTCACGTACAGCAATCTGTGGAGTGCCTCTTTTTTAAAAGGCAAACGGCAACATTGAAAAGTGGTTTTTGTTTTGTTTTTGTTGATGCGGCCTTTTCAGAACTGGCATGGCGATGTGGTTTTGCAAAAAAGAAGGATCATCATAATGTGCTGTGAAAATGAGCAATTTCCAACCCAGGTCAATTTTAAAAGTGTTGTCCTGCCTGGAGAAGGCAGGGATGGAAGTTGCCTTCTGGTTTTTCTCCCCAAGCCTAAAAATTACTGGGTGAAGACAGTCCTGGGAGATAGTCACTCAGGTTGAAACTTTGAGAGAAATGTTGAATCCAGGGTGTGTGTGTGTGTGTGTGTGTGTGTGTGTGTGTGTGTAAGAGAGAGAGAGAGAGACCCTTCCCTGCTTCTCCCTGACCCCTCAGCATCCTCTGCATAAGAACGCCACGTCAAACCTTTATAGCTTTGCCTTTTGGGTCCCCTGGGAATATCCTTCCCCTCCTTCTGCGCCCTCTCCAGACACCCAGATGGCGACCACTTGGATGGGACGCGCGCAGCATTAATGGTGACTGGAGAGCAGAGATTCGCCCAGAGCAAGACCTCTCTGCCCCTCAGGGCAACGTGGATCAGCTCCCCTGGGGTGGTTCTGGCCTGCGGTGAGAGCCAAGAGCCGCTTCTCCCCAGAAGACGCTTGATGCAAAACTCTCGTGCTTGGATGATGCACCTTATTCCCCCAACTGCTTGATCCTCTTTGTTGAATAAAATTAAGTTTGCCTTTCCTTCGGCTCCTGGCTGTGGTGATTTCTCTTAAATGAGCAGGAGGATCCCTGACTCTTCACTGGCTGATGGTTTCCTGTCATCTTTCTCAACTCATCCATGTCATAATATTGGTAGCAGTAAAAATAACTATTATTATTATTATTAATTATATTTCTTGTGCCTCATCCATCTAACTGGGTATCCCCAGCCCCTCTGGGCGGCTCCCAACAGATTAGAAACAGAATAAAATATCAAACATTTAAAAATTCCCTAAACAGGGCTGGCTTCAGATGTCTTCTAAAAGTCATAGTTGTTTATTTCTTTGACATCTGATGGGAGGGCATTCCACAGGGTGGGCGCCACCACCAAGAGGGCCCTCTGCCTGGTTCCCTGTAACCTCACTTCTCAAAATGAGGGAACTGCCAGAAGGCCCTCGGAGCTGGACCTCAGTGTCTGGGCAGAACGATGGGGGTGGAGACGCTCCTTCAGGTGTACTGGACTGAGGCCGTTTAGGGCTTGAAAGGTCAGCACCAACACTATGAATTGTGCCCAGAAATGTACTGGGAGCCAATGTAGGTCTTTCAGGACCGGTGTTATGTGGTCTCGGCTGCTCCCAGTCATCAGTCTAACTGTGTAAATTTAAAGTGCTACAGTGCCCCTGAACAGTCATGACTTCTTTCCCCAAAGTATTCTGTGTTGTTTCTTATGGGTACTGAGAGTTGCAAGACGGTCCTTTATATTGTCCTCCCAGAGTGGTTTTAACAAATTCCTCTTTCCAGGGGGACTGGGAATTCCAGCCCAGGAAACCTGCGTGAGTTTGTCAAACAATATGCATGTGACAAGGCCCTATTCACACCATAGACTTAAAGTGCTATGATACCACTTTAAACCCTCACGGCTTTCCCCAACAATTCTGGGAGCTGTAGTTTGTTAAGGGTGCTGGGAGTTAGGAAGCGCTAAAGCCCCTCACAGAGCTACAGCTCTTGGACTTTCCTGGGAAAGGTGATTTACTGTTAAACCTCTCTGGGAATTGTAGCTCTGCGAAGGGGTCTCTGGTCAACTCTGCACCCTACAACTCCCAGGGTTCTTTGGTGGAAGCCAGGATTGGGAACTGTAGCATGTTGAGGGTGCCAAGAGTTGTTGGGAGGCCCACATTCCCCTCACAGAGGTACAATTGCAGGAGGTCTCGACAGTCTCTGTGAAGGGAATGGGGGCAGGGGTCTCTTCTAACAACACCCTGATCCTTCCTCCCATTGGTATCCGCATCTTAAGCTCATATTTCCGTGGATCAAAACAGTTTTGTGGGTGTAAGGGACACGGTCATTGCCAGAATACCTCCTGCATGGTCCCCTTAGTGGTGGCACTTGGGAGACCCTGAGAAAGAAAACTGCCTGGGTGTCTCAGCGATTGCGGGAGGAGGATGTGTCAAATGTTGCCAGAGGAAGAAAAACACGTAGCAGAGTCCCCCAAAATATAGACCCGAGGCAATATTTCATCCAGAAGAGCTTTACTGTTGCTGAAGGCATAATGGTCACAAATCCAATACATTCAGGAATGGCAGAGTCCATAAAAATCCAGTTGCAGCAGACTTAAACTAAGAACTTATAATAAACATAAACTCTTAACACTATACACAGAACAGAACACCACAGCAGAACAAAGTGATAGAAAGAGAAAGTCAGAAGTGAAGCCCAGGCTCTTCCTGGCCTGACTATTGCAGTCAGCCTGACCTTGCAGAAGAGATAACAGAAGCAGAGGAAACCATCTGCTTCCCAGAAGGTTTAACCAAAACATCAACTCTCTGGCAGCCTCTTTTCACACAGAGAAAAGATCTGCATCACTTTTTAAGTTTTTACTCCGCAGATTGACAGGATGGTGGTAACAGAGAAGGTAAATAAAGGGAAGATAAGGCAAGCAGGACGGACAGAGGGGCCTATCCTGTTAAGCTACAGGTCCATCATGGGATATGGCTGTAAGTCCAGCATTCCATTCTCACAATGGGCAACCAGTCGCCTTAAGCCAGTGGTTTTCAGCCAGTGTGTGGTGGCACCTTGGGGTGCCTTGAAGGATGGCCAGGGGTGCCGCTGGCAACACTGGCCTCTGTCCCTCTTTCCTTCCTCTTCTATTGCCCTCTTGCTTCTCTGCCTCCCCAAGGCTGTTTGTTGCAGCAGTCCTGGCTACAAGCTCCCCAGGCGAATGGTGTGTCTGGGACTGGCCAGGCGGTGCTGGGTGCCAGGAGTTGAGGCGGCCTCAGAGTAAGCAAGCAAGCGGGCAAGGGAGCCCAGCCAGCCAGCTCTTGCTGTTGGGAATGGACAGACAAGTCCCAGGCCCTGTGAGGCAGGGTGAGGAGGCACCTCTCTATGGGGCAGGAGGGAAGCTCAGAGACCAGGGGCGGCAGCAGCGGCTGCCCAGAGGACTCCCAAGGAGAGGGGAGAGGAGGCTGAGGGCACACTCCGCAAGGGAGGGTGTTTGAAAAAGGGTGAGGGGCTGCCAGCTCTGCAGGCAAGGGGTGGCATGACTGGGCTCCTGAGCCCCACAGGGGGGCCACAGAAAGAAGGTTGGTCAAGGGAGCTGTGGACTCAAAAAGGTTGAAACCTTCTGGAATGTAGGAAACCAGCAAGCAGGATCTGATTTCTATCCTGTGGCTTCCAGCAGCTAGGATTCAGATTATAGGTAGGTAGCCCTGTTGGTCTGCCATAGTTGAAACAAAATTTAAAAAATCATTCCTGTAGCACCTTAGAGAGCAACTAAGTTTGTTATTGGTATGAGCTTGCATGCACACTTCTTCAGGATTCAGAGTCATTGCTGCCCCCAGTTATTGAGGCAAAGTCCATGCTGTTTGTGGGCTTCATTCGGGCGCATCTGGTCAAGCATTGTGGGGAGAGACTGCTGGACTGCTCCCTTGGGCCTGATCCTGCAGAGCTCTTCTTAAGGTTCTTAGCAGGGGAGGCATGAAGAGAAGAAGGACCTCCTTAGATGACCTTGGATGACCTTATCCATGCCTTTGACCCCCAATTTCTTAAAGGTAAACACCAGTGCTTTGAAAAGGGTTCAGATTTGGATAGGTACTCAGTGATGCTCTTTCCAAGTGAGCTGCGCAAAGTGACAACCCTGGCCACTGTGTTCTGCATTTATTGGCGCATCTGAAATGTCACCAGTCACCAGTCTGGCAGCCGCATTCTGGATTAGTTGTCGTTTCTGAGTCCCCTTCAAAGGTAGCTCCACACAGAGCGTGGTAGTCCAAGCGGGAGAAAACCAGAGTATGTTCTTTATGCATTTGCCTCAGCAACATGTCAGACTAACCTGATCTCGTTTTCTGACAGAATTACAAGCCTGGTAGATGAAGGGAACGCAGTGGATGTAGCCTACCTTGATTTCAGCAAGGCATTTGACAAGGTGCCTCATGATATTCTTGTAAAGAAGCTGGTAAAATGCGGTCTTGACTATGCTACCACTCAGTGGATTTGTAACTGGCTGACTGACCGAACCCAAAGGGTGCTCATCAATGGTTCCTCTTCATCCTGGACAAGAGTGACTAGTGGGGTGCCACAGGGTTCTGTCTTGGGCCCGGTCTTATTCAACATCTTTATCAACGACTTGGATGATGGACTCAAGGGCATCCTGATCAAATTTGCAGATGACACCAAACTGGGAGGGTGGCTAACACCCCAGAGGACAGGATCACACTTCAAAACGACATTGACAGATTAGAGAACTGGGCCAAAACAAACAAGATGAATTTTAACAGGAGAAATGTAAAGTATTGCACTTGGGCAAAAAAAATGAGAGGCACAAATACAAGATGGGGACACCTGGCTTGAGAGCAGTACATGTGAAAAGGATCTAGGAGTCTTGGTTGACCACAAACTTGACATGAGCCAACAGTGTGACGCGGCAGCTAAAAAGCCAATGCAATTCTGGGCTGCATCAATAGGAGTATAGCATCTAGATCAAGGGAAGTAATAGTGCCACTGTATTCTGCTCTGGTCAGACCTCACCTGGAGTACTGTGTCCAGTTCTGGGCACCACAGTTCAAGAAGGACACTGACAAACTGGAACGTGTCCAGAGGAGGGCAACCAAAATGGTCAAAGGCCTGGAAACGATGCCTTATGAGGAACGGCTAAGAGAGCTGGGCATGTTTAGCCTGGAGAAGAGGAGGTTAAGGGGTGATATGATAGCCATGTTCAAATATATAAAAGGATGTCATATAGAGGAGGGAGAAAGGTTGTTTTCTGCTGCTACAGAGAAGCGGACACGGAGCAATGGATCCAAACGACAAGAAAGAAGATTCCACCTAAACATTAGGAAGAACTTCCTGACAGTAAGAGCTGTTCGACAGTGGAATTTGCTGCCAAGGAGTGTGGTGGAGTCTCCTTCTTTGGAGGTCTTTAAGCAGAGGCTTGACAACCATATGTCAGGAGTGCTCTGATGGTGTTTCCTGCTTGGCAGGGGGTTGGACTTGATGGCCCTTGTGGTCTCTTCCAACTCTATGATTCTATGATTCTAACTTTGTCCAACTTTGTCATCTTAGGATCGCCTTGATTCTTCTCTGCCATCTCCCCAATCATGGAGAGCAATTCCTCAGCTTGGGCTGCAAGCTGGTCTCCTGTTTCATTGTTGTTGAAACTGCAAAACCGTCCATCACACTGATCCCTCAGTTCCTGAAAGTTTTTGTTGTCACTGGAAGATATGTAATCTTCCAATCTTTCATTCTGCAACCTTTCTTTGTGGCTGAAGACAACCACCATGCGCTCCTGGTCGTCGCTACTGTTGAATGTCTCCCTCACCCGCTGTACCACTTGGTGGTCTTCCTCTGTGAATTGGCCCACTGGGACGACCAGAACCAGAGCATGCCGGCGGGGCTGAGAGAGACGTCGGCAGTGCTCAATCTCAGTAGAATTTCTGGCTCCATCAGAGTCAAAAATCGCAGGCGTATCAATGACAACTACCTGCTTCCCCCTCCACTCTCTTATTCCTAACCAGCAAGACTTTGTAACTGGGGTCATTTCAAGCCTGGAGTCAAACCTCTTTTTCCCAAGGATGGTGTTTCCAGTCGCACTTTTGCCAACCCCGAACTTTCCAACAATGACGATGCAAAGCTCCTTTTGCTCTGCTGAAACGGGATCAGCTGCATCTGTTAATGTTGCTGGAAAGAGAAGAACAGAGCTGAGGAATCCTAAAGCTTCTCCTGGGGATCAACACTTTGTACTGATTAGAGCCCTTGTAAGGCGTCACTTTTGCAATCTGAATTTCCTGAATTGCCCAAGCAGTTAACTATAGAATGGGATGCAGAAAGCTCAACCTATCTCTTTATTACAGCACGATAGAGTTGCTAGTAATTTTAATGTTAAAGTTCTCTCTTTTGTTCTGTTTGGTACTATTTTATATATTTGGGCAAAGATTCTGTTTGACTACTGGTCATGGACAGTAATAAAGAAACTGACTGACTGACTGAATACAGGAATCGGATTTTGAACCGTGCAATTAATTCTTGCTGTTTTGAATTTCATTGCGTTATTCTCTTCCTTAGTAGGTGGTGCAAATCACTATTCTGAATTATGTTTTTAGTGGGTTGGGAAAGGTGGCACTGGGAATGAGTTTACAGAACCAAGAGAGCAGTGGCCCCAAAAGCCTCAGAACCACTGGTTTTGGGTTTAAAGCCTAAACCCAGGAATTTAAACCGTGCCTGGAAACAAACCTGAAGCAGGTGTCAGTTGCTCTGGCCAGCCTGTGCCTTTAATGTCTAATGTTTTACAGTTGTTTATGTGCTATAAGCCGCCGAGAGTGGCTGGTGAAACCCTGTCAGATGGGCGGGGTATAAATAACGAAATACTACTACTACTACTACTAATTTCAAACAGTGCTCAATCTCATTCCTTGCAGTTGCCTCCAGGGCTGCTAGATGTCACTCTGAGACAGAACATGTTTATCACAGACTCTTCCCTTCCACCCCCTTGTAGTCCTGTTTCCAAGGGTTCAAAAGTATTTTGCACATTGAGTGTGCGCTTACATATTGCCAAAAAGGAGCGAAACAAGGAAGTGGGCTGGCTTAAGAGGTAGATTTGGAAAGAATCTATTGTATGGGAAGTAAATTTGCTATTTTATTTTATAAAATAAATGGATCCAAACTACAAGAAAGAAGATTCCACCTAAACATTAGGAAGAACTTCCTGACAGTAAGAGCTGTTTGACAGTGGAATTTGCTGCCAAGGAGTGTGGTGGAGTCTCCTTCTTTGGAGGTCTTTAAGCAGAGGCTTGACAACCATATGTCAAGAGTGCTCTGATGGTGTTTCCTGCTTGGCAGGGGGTTGGACTCGATGGCCCTTGTGGTCTCTTCCAACTCTATGATTCTATGATTTTTCTTAAAAAAACTTTACACACATAGAGCAGGGCTCATTGCAAACCAGGAGGAATAGGCTAAAGCTGGAAGGAAACCTTGCCAGGAGTGCTTACTTTGAACAGGGGGGCTCTCTCCTCCTCCCACTCCGGACCCCTCAGTTCCTGCAATCTCCACGGCCTCCTGCGGCTTCTCTTCCTCTGGTGGGTGCCCAGAAAGGTCCTTTTCATTTGGGATCGACGTAGGACTCCCAACCCTTTCAGGCCCGCAGAAGGGCTTCTCCTGGTTCTTCCCCACCATGGCCTTCACCAAGGAGAGCAGTTTCTCAGCCTCCTGCTCCCTCTCGTTTTGGTTGCAGTTGTCGACCGAGAACCACTGCAAATCGCAGTGACCAGCCATGTTCTGAAGGCGTTGGTATTCTGGGAGAGATCGATGTTCCTCCAAAGATGCGTCGTCCAGTTTTTCCCCAGTGAGCACGACAATCACGTACTTCATGGCTTCGCAGCCAAATATCTCCTGAATCCATTCTACTGCCTTATAGTCTGCATCGTCACAGTGGTGGGTGACCAGCAACAAGGCGTGCGGTCCCGGGCTGGATAGACGGAGGCAGTGCTGGGAGTCAGGGGAATCCTTGGCTGTGCCGCTCCCGAGGTCAAAATCAGCAGGCGTGTCAATGAGGACTAGCCGCTTTTTCTCCCATTCCCCGATTCCTAACTGGCAGGATCTCGTCATGGTGCCAACCTCAAATGCCTCCCGCCCGAGAATGGTGTTTCCTGTGGCACTTTTTCCTGCTCTTGGTTTCCCCACGAGGACAATCCGCACTTCATTGCTCTCTGTCGGAATCTGGTTCTCAGGATTTGATGCTGTTGAGGAAAGTTCAGGTATTAGAGGGTGCAACGAAGGTTGTGTAGGAAACCAGTGCATTTCATTGATTTTGGGGGTTTGCACGGGGTGTTTTGCCTGTAGTTTTGAAGGAGGGGCCCTAGGCTGGGGACCCCCTAAGTTATATCTTGTAAGCAGAGATGGAAGGAGTCTATCTGCTTTGCAAAAAATAAATACCGTACTTTTTGCACCATAGGATGCACCGGACAATAGGACGCACCTTGTTTTAGAGGGGGGGAGAACAAGAAAAAAATTCTCCCCCTCTCTGCCCAGTGCCCCTTCAGTGAAGTGGCAGGAGGCACTGCGCAGAGAGGGGGAGAATTTTCCCCCTCTTATTTTCCCCCTCTAAAACAAGGTGCTACCTTCAGGCGGCCACCTTGGAAGCCTGGAGAGCGAAAGGGGTCGGTGCGCACCGACCCCTCTCGCTCTCCAGGCTTCAGGTTCCTTTCAACCTGCTCTTTGGGGCTGGCGGAGGGAAGCCCACCACCAGCCCCAAAGAGCAGGTTGGGGAGCAGCGGAAAGCTTCTATGGCTTCTTTAGCCCCGCGCACACTCTCCCGGCTGGAGAGGTGGCGCGCAGCTAAAGAGGCTCCTGCCATAGCCGCGCGTCACCTCTCCAGCCAGGAGAGGGTCGCGGGGCTATGGCGTCTTCGCTCCATAGGATGCACACACATTTCCCTTTCATTTTTGAAGGGGAAAAAGTGCGTCCTATAGAGCGAAAAATACGGTAAATGCATAGCTGAGAGGTGATGTGATGGCACCGTAAGAGTATATCCCGGGGTGGTCTGTTGAAACTAGGAGTCTAAATGTGTGGGCGTTGTTAATAGGAACATTGCAGGGGGTTGGACTAGAGCAGCGGTTCTCAACCTGTGGGTCCCCAGATGTTGTTGGACTACAACTCCCATCATCCCTGAGCTCTGGCCTTGCTAGCTAGGGGTGATGGGAGTTCAACAACATCTGGGGACCCACAGGTTGAGAAAGGCTGGACTAGAGGATCTTTGGGGGAACCTTCCATGGTTCTGTGATTCTGTAAGGCAGTTCATGCGCTCCAAATCTGTTCCCACAAAAGATGCACAACGGGAATGATGGGTGTCTCTAACCCTCTGCAGTGATTTATCCGAAGCTTAGAAACTTCATTATGTCGCTTCCCTTGACCAGAGTCACACTCAGGGAAAAGTTGCTGGCTGTGTGTATTCGAGATCTGTCTCCTTTCTGTCTTAGTTTCTCATCAGTGCTAGATGAGATTGGCACAGAGATCATTCCAGCCTTTGCTCTGCTCCTCCCCTCGCAGCCTGTCTGTGGCCTGAAAAAAGTGTTTTCGCTGACCCCAGGAAGATCACTAGTCTCGTTCTGCTGGTGACCTACGGGACCGCCTCTCCTGGTATGCCCCACGGAGGACCTTAGGGTCTTCAAATAAAAACATCTTAGAGGTCCCAGGCCACAGGGAGGTTAGGCTGGCCTCAACCAGAGCCAGGGCTTTTTCGGCTGTGGCCCCAATCTGGTGGAACGCTCTGTCCCAAGAGACTAGGGCCCTGTGGGTCTTGACATCTTTCTGCAGAGCCTGCAAGACGGAGCTGTTCCACCAGGCCTTTGGCCAAGGCACAGCCTGACCCTTTCCTTTGGCAATCCTCATAGAACTCTAGCCTAGTGGTTGCCATTAATTTGATTCTGAATTGATTAGAATGTATTTCAATTAATTGACTATGATTTTATGTACACTGTGCTATTTTTACTGTTGTTAGCCGCTCTGAGCCTGGCTTTGGCTGGGGAGGGCAGGATATAAGTAACATTATTTTATTATTTTTTATTATTATTATGAGAATTCTCTATCTAATGCAATAGATCAGTGGCTCCCAAACTTTTTCTGGCCATCGCCTCCTTGGGGGCCACAAACTCATTCCCAGTGCTCCCTACTCTACCCCATCAAAAGCATTATTCAGAATAGCGGTTTGCATGGCACACATAGGAAGATAATAACACAACGAAATTCAAAACGGTAATAATCAGTTGCACATTTGCACATAATCCAATTAAAACTATTTAATTAATTCAATGAAACGGATGAACTTGATCCAGCAATTCCAACTTTTCAGAGTCCGATAGTCATTTGCTCTTCTAGCGCCCCGGCTGCTGCCCCCTGCCTTGTAGTGACCCCTCACTAGGGAACCCCACACTTTGCATATGACCTTCGGGGGCTCTTGAGGAAACTCTTGAGGAAAAACTTACCAGGCTTGCTGCAAATGTAAGACCAGAGTCCTGTAAACCTAGAAATAGAAAAGAGAATAAAGAATGAGGAGAGGCCTTGCCTTTCACCCAGCAAGATGTTCGACCATTTAACGTTTCACCGGGGAAATAAGCAGTTGTGTACAGAACTAGTTTGTGGGCAAAGTATATCCTTCTGTATCTTATGGGGAAATGTCATGTCATGTTACATTTCATAATCCTCTTACAATATTCATCCAAAGAGATTGTGGTATATTTAGCAATTCCCAACATGGTTTCTTCCTGTGATGACAGTTGTAGCTCAGTCGGTAGAGCGTGAGCCTCTTAATCTCTGGGTTGTGGGTTTGAGCCCCACAGTGGACAAAAGATCCCTTCATGCAGGGGCTGGACTAGATGACCCTCAGGGTCCCTTCCAACTCTACCATTCTATGTTTTTTCCTGAAGGGCTTCAGGCTGAGAAGGCTTGAGAGGGCTCTTGGGCTCGAATCCTGCCTGTGGGCTGCACTTTGGGGCACCCAGCCGGCACTGTGAGAACAGAATGTGGGACTCGATGGGCCCCTGGCCTGATCCTGAAGGCTCTTCTTCTGTTCCTAAGGCTGCAGGATGGCCCCCTTCCCATGCCCTTTACACCTATAACAGTCTTTGGCCCCCCTCCACTTGGTTCTGTAAACCCACCCCCAGTGCCCTCTGCCCTATTCTGCCCAAAGCATAATTCACAAGAGTGGTTTGCACGGCCCACTAAGGAAGAAAACGTGTAAGAAATAATTGCACCTTTGTCTGAAACCCAGTTAAAACTATTTAGTTTAACTAACTCAGCAAACTTGATCCAGTGACACCAGCTTTTCAAAGCCAGTCATTTGCACCCTCCCCCCTGCTTTCCCCCTTTTCTCTTAGTGCCCCCTAAATAACCCCCCTGGGGTGCTGCCACCCACTTTGGGAGCTACTGATCTACAAAAAGCCTCTGGAAGAGAGGTTTGGAGTTCAGTTCTCCAGCCTAGAAGAACCAGGCACACACCCCTGATCCCCTTGGAGGAAGTGTGGGATTGAAAGTCAAGGACAAAAGCAAACAATGTGCTGCAGCATTTTGTTGCAGCTCCCCTCATGTTTTGCTCACTTGCTTTGCAGCAGAATACCAAACTGGCCTTGGATCTGGAGGCGGAGGTCAGCAGGGAGCAGAAGGCTGCTGTGGCTTCAAAGCACTCAGTCCGGCTCCAGAAGGGCAAGTCTGCTCATTGTAATTCCATCTGTATATTTTTAGTTATTTTAGTCGGGTATTTTCAGTGTCCCCTGTACAAATCCACCCTCCCATAGCAAAGTTTATGAAAAGGAATTAAACACCTTCTTACCATTTGGCCATCTCTGCTAAGGGAATCCAGCTGGCTTTTCTCTTTCTCCGGTGTCTCTCTCTCTGTGCTGTGAACTCTGCGGAGATAAATGCTTTCTAATTTCACTTTCAAGAGAAGCCTTGACTCTAGTTCCCTCCCTGTCATTGCACGGCACTGCACAGATCTGCAGGCAGCTGTCTCTACGCCTTTGCGGGCTGCTATAATCCAGCCACCCAGTTGAAGGCCATCCCAGATTCCAGATTCTCTGTTGTTCTGAAAACCAAGAAAGGCCCAGGACAAGCTGGAAGCTGGCCCTGTTCTCGCCAGAAGTTTGGGTGCCCCTGGACCCAAAAGCGCAGGGTTCACTGGCTAGGAGACTGATTTATTTTTTAAAGCAATTTCTTTGCTGCATCCCAGGTCCCTCTGCATCTGAGCTGAAAGCAGCAACCCCTGGAGAATAACACCCACGGCCAGCACTGCAGGGCTGTTGTGTTGCAGCTGGGCAAGGAAGGGGGTGGGAGATCCTCTCTCAGGCACCCCCCCTCCATCACTCATGTAAAATCATGCTGCAAGTCCGCTGCCTGATTTCCACCTCTAGTGCAAACCTTTCCAGAAATCACGTTCAGCCTATTCACCATGCATGGGGAGCATTCAGTATTTGGGGCAGCGTGATTCAAACACTATTAACTGAAATATTGTTTTGTGCATCCCCGTCTCTAGAGGGGATGTGTGTGTGGTTTGTTGGTTTGTTTGTTTCGGGAGGAGGGAAAGCGAAAGTGATCAGCCATGGGCCATTTCTGAGAATTCACATGGTTAGAAAGAACACCCTGCCTAGGTCCAGAAGCCAACAGATAGGGAGGGTGTGTTGTTTTTCTTGCTGGCGTGGGGGGTGCAGGGGGGGCCAGCCGCACCGGGCGCAACATCGGGGGGGGGGGCCCGCTCGCACTCGAGTGCTAAAATCCACGGGTTAGGGGGCGCAAATTACTTGCCTTGCCCCGGGTGCTGACAACCCACGCTATGCCACTGATGCTGTAAGAACGTACGAAGAGCCCTGTGGGATCAGGCCAGGGGCCTATCTAGTCATAGAATCAAAGAACAAGAGTTGGAAGGGACCCCAAGGATCATCTAGTCCAACCCCCTGCAATGCAGTTGTCCCACACGGGGATTGAACCTGCAAACTTGGCGTTATCAGCACCACGCTCTAACCAACAGAGCTATTCAGTCCGGCCTCCTGTTCTCACAGTGGCCAGCCAGATGCCCCCAAGGGAAGCCTGTGAGCAGGAGCTGAGCTCAAGAACAACTCTCCCCTTCTGAATTTTCCAGCAGCTGCAATTCAGAAGCATCGCTGCCTCCAGCTGTGCACAAACATTATTTCACATGCATGTATCCTCAGTGAAGCATACGTACTGTGAAGGCAACAAATGTGTGTTTGTAAACGTATCTGGCATACAGGTATGTTCATCAGAGTGGCATTGATGAGGATGAGGATGATGAAAGACATAATAAAAATAAGAACAAAAACCAATAATCCCCCTTGCACAACACATATAAAAGCACTTTGGATATCAATCCACCAAAGGCCTTGTTGGAGAGGAGCGTTTTTGCCTGGCACCTAAGGATGCATAATGAAGGTGCCAGGCGAGTCTCTTTGGGAGAGCATTTCACAAATGGGGAGCCACTGCAGAAAAGGCCCTGTCCTCATGTTGCCACCCTCTTGTGGAGGAGGCACATGAGGAAGGCTATCTGGCGTGCGGGTGGGGTTGGCCACAGATCCTTTTCCAGGACACACTCAGTGGCGAAATTGAGTTTGCACAACCAGCACAAACGCCCAGAAAAAGGTGGGGGAGAAGCTTCTCCAGTTTACTGACAGCAGGTAGCAGTTGGGCAGCAGGACCCGGTTGAGGTTTTTCAAGTCAGTGCAAGATCTCAACTCCTCTGTGTTTGTTTGCTTTGCAAACTGCATGGGAGTCCCCACAAGCAGTGGAAGGGTGGATGAACCCTTCTGGAGATTTTTGTCCAGGAGCAACCAGCCCACTCTCCCAGAGTGGAGAGAGCTTGCTCTTTGTGATTTGCAGCCTGGGAATCAGCTCTATTGCACAGTATGTTTCCGAGCACAATTCAAAGTGTTGGTGTTGACCTTTAATGCCCTAAACTGCCTCGGCCCAGTAGACCTGAAGGAGCGTCTCCACTCCCATCGTTCTGCCCGGACACTGAGGTCCAGAACTGAGGGCCTTCTGGCAGTTCCCTCCCTGCAAGAAGCAAAGCTACAGGGAACCAGGCAGAGGGCCTTCTTGGTGGTGGCGCCCACCCTGTGGACCGCCCTCCCATCTGCTGTCAAAGAGATAAACAACTACCTGACATTCAGAAGACATCTGGCAGCCCTGTTTAGGGAAGGTTTTAATATCTGAAGGACTATTGTATATTGTATTTGCTGGAAACTGCCCAGAGCGGCTGGGGAAACCCAGCCAGATGGGCAGGGTACAAATAATATATTATTATTATTATTATTATTATTATTATTATTATTATCGATGCAGGAGTGAGGAGTTATCTGCCTCCTTTTTACAGTACACACAGAATGCTAGAATCCTAGAATGGTAGAGTCGGGACACCCCAAAGGTCATCTAGCCCAACCCCCTGCAATGCAAGAATCTCATCTAAAGCATCCATGACAGGTGACCATCCAACCTCTGCTTATAAATCTCCAAGGCAGGAAAGTCCACCACCTCCTGAGGGAGACCATTCCACTGTCAAACTGCTTTTACCGTCTGAAAGTTCTTCCTGATATTTAGCCAGAATCTCCTTTCTTGTAACATGATGCCATTGGTTCGAGTCCTACCCTCTGGGGAAGGAGAATACAAGCTTGGTGCATCTGTCATGGGACAGCTCGTGAGATATGTGAAGATGGCTCTCCTATTTCCTCTCAATCTCCTCTTTTCCAGGCTAAACATCCCCAACCTCGTCAACTGTTCCTCCTAAGGCTTTTTCCCCCAGACCCTTCATCATCTTGGTTGCCCTTCTCTGCACATAATCCAGCTTGTCAACATCCTTCTTAAATTGTGGCGCCCCGTACTGGACACAGTATTCCAGCTGTGCTCTGGCATCTGGAAAGGAACGGCATCCCGGTAGCAACTGGCTTTCTTCTGTCGTGAGGAGACGGTCAATCAGTTCCTTCCTCAGCAGACCGCAAGCTTCACATGAGCCCACAGTGTGATGCAGCAGCAAAAAAGGCTAAGGCTATTCCAGGCTGCCTCCACTGGTCTAGTGTCCCAGTCAAGGGCAGTAATGCGTCTCTGGCACATGGTCTGACTCTGTATAAGGCTGCCTCCTATGCCTCTGAATACGCCAAGTGTGGGGAAAGCCACTGAGCTTACGTCTTGTTTGTGAGTTTCCTGTCATGGCATCTGGTTTGCAGAGCCATCAGGCTGCTGGACGATGACAGACCCCTTTTGCCTGACCCATCAGCTGGACTCTTTTTACGCTATTGTGTTCTCCTTTTATGGATGTGTAATTGGATGAATCAACCAGAAGAAAATACTTTCACTTTCCATATGTCCAACATTCGGCTATTAATGTGCACTCAAAACCTGCGTCAGACTCAGAACTCTGAGAGGGACAGGGAGAGTCAGAGGCTGCCAGAAGTTGCAGAGAGAAACAGCCAGACCAGCAACACCTCCAGGCTGAGAAAACTGCCCAGCAGAAGTCAAGGTAGTGAAAACTATTCTGGTGGAATTAAGCAGAGGTGGGGATCCCTCCTGCAGGAGGAAATGGAGGGTAGGGGTGGGGTGGGAAAATATTTTGCAAATGCCACAATGCTCCTTCCACATCTGGTTTTGTAGGGGCGGTTGGTGGTTGGAGTCAAAGTCTTCCCTCCTGGGTGATGCCCTAAAAGGAAGGGGAAAGGGGGGGCACAGTACATGCCAAAGATTCACCCCTTTCTCTTTTTATATAATTTTTATTAAATTTTCTGTGTTACAATTTAAAATACTCATTTTACATCCTTAAAATAGCAATGACTTCCCTTCTTCTCTTTCCATGGTTCATTTTACATCTCATAAATCCCTGCATATTTTACAAAAGCTAAACAATTCAGTATTCCATTATTGCATCTATCCAGACTTATTTACACTGCTGAATTTATCTTAATGCTGCCAGTGTTTTCAGCTGTGCACAATTATTTTCCATATATTCAATAAACATTTTCCAATCTTCTTTAAACACATTTTCTTCTTGTTCTCTTATTCTATATCTTGAGTCTGCAAGCTGTGCATATTCAGTCAACTTCAGTTGCCGTTCTTCTTTGGTTGGGACCTCGCTCGTTTTCCATTTTGGGGCTAACGAAACACGGGCCGCAGTAGTGGCACACATAAACAACCTTTTCTGACACCTGGGAATTTCAGTCTGAATTATCCCCAACAGAAAGGACTCGTCTTTTGTTTCCCAGTCTAATAACAGATTATACATTTTAAACAAAAGTTTCTCTTTGTTTCATAGAAGTTCTTTTTTGAATTGTGAGCTTTGGTCCGAAAAACCATTCTTTCTATCTATCTTAAACATTTCATGTGACAGATGGTATTGCAACCAATCCGTAATATGGCTCCTTACATTTTCCATTGATTTCAGTTTAGCTTCTGCCCCTGTAAAATACAGCAATTCCCTGTAAGTCACCCACTGTCTATCCATATTAACTCTCTTAATTGTAATAGCCTTGATAGGAGATAGCCATAAAGGTGTTTTCCTTTCCAGCAGATTTTTATATTTCTCCCAAACTCTATACAGATACTTCCTAAGGATATGGTCCATAAAACTTTTATAAATTTTCACCTTCCCATACCAAAGACATGCATGCCAGCCAAATTGTAAGTCATAAGTCCAGGATGTACAAAAAGGATTCACCCCTTTTTGGAGGCGTGTGAAGGAGAGGTCAGGTGGTAGAAGTTTCCACAAACGCCCCACCTCCAAAAGGGCACAGCCAGCGGTTAGGTCCTTTCTCCTTCTTCCTGCGAGATGCAATGCTGCCCCCCGATTCCCAGACCGTTAAGAAACCTACAAGGAAGGAAATTGCACCACCTTCTGAGGGAGTCTGTTCCACCAAACAGTTCTTGCCTTCAGAAAGTTCCTCTCAGGCTTAGTCAGAATCTCCTTTTTTGTAAATCAAATCCACTGGTTCGGGTCCTGCCCTCCGGAGAAATAGAAAACAAGCTTGCTCCCTCTTTGGTGTGACAGTAAAGTACAGGTGTGGGGTTCTGGCTGCAAACCTGTAAGGTTGTGAGTCCTCTGGCTCTGATTTGTGGGCTCCTCCTCTGTTCATTGTTCTGCTGTTGTAAAATAGCACAATTAAGAAATGCTGAAAATCAGCCTGCCAAATTTACTGTTTAGGGAAGCTTTTAATGTTTGTTGTATTACAGTATTTTAATATTTTTTTGGAAGCCGCCCAGAGTGGTTGGGGAAGTCCAGCCAGATGGGCGGGGTATAAATAAATTATTATTATTATTATTATTATTATTATTATTATTATTATTATTACTGACCCCACAGTAAAAGTGACTAGATTGGGTTGACTGATTTGATCTTCTTGTGAAACGGACTAGAATGTAGAAGGGGCGTTCTCAGGTGAAATCATTCAGTTTAGTTTGATATATAACCCTGTTTACCCAGAACTGAGTTTATCTTCTCTTATTCCCTTATGGAAGTCCTTTGTAGGTTCTCCATCGGTCAGAGAAAATAACAGAGGCCAACCAGAGAATACTGAGAAGCAAAGCAGCTCCTAAGCCTGATCTTTATTGAACTGTTGCAACAGGGTGCTCCCCTCTCACGCAGAAAAGGAGGAGGAACACAGAACAAAGGTGTGCTTGCCCTTATGTATAGACATTTTAAATTCCCTGCCCTGGAGCTCAAGACCACCCCTCCATACATCATACCTACACCAAAGAAAAGGTGTTCTACAACAGAAATTTGAACGTTGTTGTTTTTCCTGTCTGCCAGGTTAACTGATAATGCCTTATCTGATTGCCTTTTCTGGTAGTCTGGCCATTCCTTTGAGATGGTAATCACTTAATTCCTGAGACAATGGGAAGGTTCCCTCACCCCCTCCCTCCTTGCAGAGAAACATGTGGTCAGTTTGGGAGTCAAAATGGTTTCAGGACTGTGCTGCTCCAGACATGTGGTTTATATTTTTATGTACGTGTTTGCTTGGTACATTTATGAACATTATATATATATATATATATATATATATATATATATATATATTATTACACTGCAAACGTTCTTGCCTTGTACAACAAGTAGGAATGGGAGGACCTCTAAGTTTTGGTTCTTCCACTTTCTATGGTTCCCTTTTGGACTTAGACCCTTCACAAGGAGTTCATTTTTTCCCACTGGAGCCAAGGTAGAGGGCCAGCAACCTTTATCTCATTGAATGTTGCTTCCTTAGCTACCAGTCTTAGGTATCAGAGAGGACCGATTTACGTATTCCCCAAACTTTGTTTTTGGCTAAGGACTCCAGTAGCAGGAAAGTCCCTGGAGAGAACTGAGTTTCCAACACTGAGAGTCCCTCAGGAGTTCTGCAAATGACTTTTGGTGTTTTTAATGCAGGATTTCTGGACTGCTGTGAACCTTGATGGCAGCTTATCTTTCTGCAACAGGCAACATGGCCAAAGGTGAGTCTTTTCCTCACCTGACCATCCTGAGATAGCACCACAAATTTCTGCATGGTTTGCTTATGACTTCAAGATGGCAGAGATTGGCAGAGAAGGATGAGCCCAGGGGAAACACATGTAATAAATGAAAATCTGCCCTTATTCCCTTATGAGGGACACAAGGGCCCTTACAGAGTCCTTTGTAGGTTCTCCATCGGTCGGAGAAAAGAACAGAGGCCAGCCAGAGAATATTGAGAAGCAAAGCAGCTCGTAAGCCTGATCTTTATTGAACTGTTGCAACAGGGTGCTCCCCTCTCATGCAGGAAAGGAGGACCCAGAACCTAGGTGTGCCCGCCCCTATATAGACATTTTTAAATTGCCTGCCTTGGAGTCCAAGACCACCCCCAGATACATCATACCTACATCAAAGAAAGGGTGGTCTACAACAGAAATCTGAGTGTGTTGTTTATCTCCTGTCTGGCAGGTTACCTGTTAATGGTCACTTGATTGGATACCCTGGGGAGCCTGGCCAGTCTTTTGTAATGATAAATACTTAGTTCCTGAGCCAGGTCACAGGCTCACCCTATTCATACACAGACATGCCCTTAAGACAGGATTTGTGAAGGAAAAGACAAAGGGGAGGCTTTTCCATTTTCCTTTGACCTTGCAGAGAAAACATTTGGTCAGTTTGGGAGCCAAAATGGTTCCAGGGCTGTTTTCCTGTGCTGCTTCAGACATGTGGTTTATATATTTATGTAAGCGTTTGCTTGGTACATTTATGAACATTTATTATACAGTGGTACCTCTGGTTGTGAACAGGATCCATTCCGGAGCCCCGTTCGCAACCTGAGCAGAACGCAACCCATGTCTGCCCGTCTGCGCGGGTCATGATTCATGCGCATGCGCATGATGTAATTTTGAGCGTCTGCACATGTGTGAGTGGCAAAACCCGGAAGTAACCCTTTCCGGTACTTCCGGGTCGCCACGGGACGCAACCTGAAAAGATTTAACCCAAAGCTTCTTTAACCTGAGGTATGACTGTATATATAAGACCTTAATTTTTTTATTTCAGTCACCCCTTTGGGATTTTAATTTTTTCTTAAAAAATTCTTTGCCCCACAAAATGTTAACCTGGTATGTTTGCAAGTGTAGCAGTGCACATAGCTGGATATAGGATATCTCATAAAAATAACACATGTTGCATTTTGTTACTAAATTACTTGTGGCATTATAGCACTTTGGGAGAAACATTTTCTCAATAGTGGTCTATGCTTTACATTTAGCAGGGAGGTCCACCAATAACTGAAAATGCAGTTTGTTTTGTTTCTGCCTTTTTGTGTGTTCCCAGGTGTCAAAGTTAGTTCTCTGGTCTCACACCGCTAACATACCCACAGCAACACCACCTGGTGAATCCCCTTAGGGCTTTCCTCTTGACCATGTCGCCTTGTCCCTGGCATAGGTTTGGACATTTCATGAGAGAGATGTCTTTGCCTTTGCCTTTCTATGGGATTGCATTATTATTATTATTATTATTGGTGTTGGTCTTGCACTCTAGGAAAGTTGCTCAGTTGTTCAATATTTGCCATGTTTTTGGCTTGATCAGGCCCTTACATAAAAATTATTTAAGCAAGCTTGTATTTGAAAAAACAACAATTTCACATTTATGATAAACAGCTGCTCAATGTTGCCTTTAAGGCCTATTTAAACACTGGAAAAACATTTCTTAACCTTCTTAAATCTTGGAGATGCCACTCGCATCCCCTTGATCAAGAAGGAGTGAGAAACGCAGACAGCAGAGGGGGCAACACCTAGGAAGGAGCAGTGAGCGCCCGAGAGAATGCGCCTTGTCTATCTGCATTCTCTGAAATGCCAAAGCTGTCTCTCAATAAAAGTTAATGGGAAACTTCCAGCAAGTCTTGGCTCAGTTCCAGGAGGGCAGGACATGCATTGCCTCGACAAATCTCTGGAGTGCCGCTTATGGCTTCAAGGTGGCCACAAACAAGTCTTCTCCTTGGATTGGGCTGAGGGTAGAAACTGTGGTCAGGGTGCCCACTGGAAAGAAACACCACAACACATTTTCTGTGCACCCTCTAATGGCAAGAGAAATAGGGGTAGGAAATTTCCCTTGTACAGTGGAACCTCGGTTTTCAAACGTAATCCATTCCAGAAGACCGTTCTAGTTCTGAAATGTTTGAGAACTGAAAATTCAATACAGAAGCCTCCACACAATAGGGAAACTCAAAACGGAAGCTGCGCAGCATGTTCAACTTCCGAAAAGTGTTTGAAAACCGAAGCATTTATTTCTGGGTTTACGGCATCCGAGTTCCAAAATGTTTGTCAACAGAGACATTCCAAAACAGAGGTTCCACTGTAGCTTCAATAGAATCACAGCACTGCAAAGTTGGAAGGGACCTCAAGGGTCATCTAATAATAATAATACTTTAATATTAATTTATTACTTATACTCCGCCCATTTGGCTCGGGGCCCCCAGCCACTCTGGGTGGCTTCCAACAGAACATTAAAAACATGACGAGTTTGTAATTTTTGTTGTAATTTTGCACTGAAAATAAATAAATTATTAAAAATAAATAAATGATAAAACATCAAACTTTAAAAACTTCCCTAAAGAGGGCTGCCTTCAGATGTCTTCTAAAAGTCAGGTAGTTGTTTATCAATCTAGTCTGATCCCCTGCAATGCAGGAATTGCAACTACCGCACCCGTGGCACATGGCTAGCCAACCTCTGTTTAAAAACCTCCACGGAAGGAAAGTCCACCTTCCAGGGACGTCCATATCACTGTTGAGCAGCTCTTGGCATCAGAAAGTTCTTCTTGACGTTTAGTCAGAATCGCCTTTCTTGTAAAACAAATTAGGTAACTAATAAGTAGCACGCCTATGAAACATTTGTAAGACTTTTGTGTGTGTGTGTGTGTGTTAGTCTCAGGAACTTTGCTGACATGGTATTTTTTATCTCTTATTTAGCCAGAGCAGACAAAGAATTGAGAATTCTGCTCATTGGCAAAACCGGATCTGGGAAGAGTGCAACAGGAAACACCATCCTGGGGGCTGAGAAATTTAAAAGCACATATGCACTAGATTCAACAACTCAGATATGCGAATGTAAAGAAGCCCCTGTAGATGGCAGGATAATTGTTGTTGTTGACACACCTGGGTTCTTTGATACAAAAATTAAGAAACGCTTCACGCAAAATGAGCTTAAGGAGTGCATTGATATGGTCTATCCTGGAGCTCACGCCATCCTCGTCGTGATAAAAGCGGGCAAGATCACAAAGGGGGACCAGGAAATATTTCAGAAAGTGAAAAGCCTCTTCAAGGATGAAGGAAAGAAGTATCTGATACTTTTAGTCACCTATAAAGATGACTTAGATAAGAATCATTTAACTATAAATGACTTCATAGCAGGCGCTGAGGGGCACCTGAAGGATCTAATTGAGATGTCCGAAAGACGATTGATTGCTTTTAACAATGTGGCTGATAAAGAAGAAAAGCAGAGTCAGGTGAAGGAGCTCATTGAGATGATTGATCGCTTGGTGTTACTCAATGGCAGAACTCCACTGTACACCAAAGAACAATTCAGAAAGGACATGTACAACCCTTTGTGGAGTTGGCTTACGTCTTGCTGGAGTTAAGGCTTAAGTTATTGTAAGTTTAAGTTAAGTCTGCTGCAACTGGAATTCTTACGGACAGGGCCAATCCTGAATGTATTGGATTTGTGACCATTCTGCTCATTTGCCTCCAGTAGCTGTAAAGCTCTGCTGGATGAAATATTCATTGTCTCTGGTCTGTTTTGGGGGGAATCCTGCAACACGTTTAAGTTTTTACTCTCCTAACTATACACTGGAGTTCTGCTGTGGAGCAATACTGAGTAGAATTCCATGACAATAACTTCTATTTGTGTTGATACATTAAATGATTTATAAAACTACAAGTGAGGAACTCAAACTATATCCTTGTTCTTACAGTATGTGTGGGAATTATTCTGTCCCTGGTGTTTCTTCCTGTCCTCATAAGATGTTATGTCTTTCTTTCCCTGGTTGTTGCTGTTCTCCATCATATCAGATTGTTGTTTCTGAAATTTCTCCATCCTGTGCTTCGTTGTTTTGCAACTTTTAACAACAGCTGAAAAATCACTCTGTCCCAATAAATGACCTGTTTTCACCATTGTGCATTTATTTGGAATGCAAATGTTTCATTTCTCCTGTTCCATTTAATTTTCCCATAAATCTTTTCATTGGGCTTTTCTTTTTTTTCTTTTTTTTGCTGATAAATTTTTATTGGTATTATACATATATACATATAAACTTATACAAGGTCCAATACTTAAATTACACATAATATAGTCATTCCATAAATCATAAATACATTTGTTTTGGGCTCTGCCGAGCCTTGGACTTCCTTCCACTCCTTTGGTAAGTATCAAATAGACTTTATATTCACGTATTTTATCACTTTTACATAATAACCTTTTACTGTTAGAGTTATTCCAATCCCGCCCGTGTTGTTTAAAGTTTAGTCCCAATATATATCTAATATTTAATCCAATTGTCATGAAATTTCTGTTCATCTTGATCTCTTATTCTTCCTGTTATTCTAGCGAGCTCGGCATAGTTTGTTAATTTGATCTGCCAATCACTTATATGAGGTATGGCGTCCGTTTTCCAATTTTGTGCTAACATGATTCTTGCGGCTGTTGTGGCGTATAAAAATAGTACCTTATCTTATTTTCTTCTTTTTAAATTTCTTTACCTGTCATTCCTAGCAGAAAAGCTTCAGGTTTTTTGGGAAACGTGTATTTAAAGATTTTTTAAAGCTCATTATAAATCGATTCCCAAAAGCCTTTCACTTTGCTGCATAACCACCACATATGGTAGAAGTCACCGTCTACTTCTCCACATTTCCAACATCTTTTGTTCTTTAACCTATAGATCTTAGCCAGTTTCACTGGTGTGAGGTACCACCTAAATATCATTTTCCACATATTTTCCCTTAATGCCATACATGCTGTGAACTTCATGTTAATATTCCATAATTCTAGCCATCTCTCAAAATCAATGTTATAGCCGATGTCTATTGCCCACTTAGTCATGACCTCCTTCACCTCCTCGTCTTTTGTATACCACTCCAATAAAATATCGTATATTCTAGACAGTATTTTGTTCTTTCCTTCAACAACTTCCACATTGAATTTAGATTTTTTATCTTCGAATCCTATTTTCTTTTTATCTTCTTTTAACAGGTCGTTTACCTGGTGGTATTGCAGCCACCCAGTAAATGAGTTTTTAATCTCTTCATAGGGTCTAAGTTTTATACCTTGATCCGTTTTCCTTGTAAGTTCTTCATAGGTAGCATTCTTCCCTTCCACATTAACTTTTTTGACCGTTAACACCTCTATTGGTGAGATCCACCAGGGTGTCTTCCTTTCCAATAGGTTTTTATTTCTTTCCCATACTTGGAATATTGGCCCTCTAAAAATATGGTTTAAAAAGCCTCTATGTACTTTCACCTATGTACTTTCATTAGGCTTTTCAGTATTGATATACTGAAGCAAAAGCAAAAACAAATTGTGGAAATATTCAAATAAAAATTACATTACATTGTAAACTTCACTTATGGTTCTTGGGCTTAATAGATTATTCAATTTAAAGAAATGATATTAATCTTATTTCTTTTTCTTTTTAAACATGCTTACAACATAATACAATATCATGTAAACATTGAGTCAAACATCCTGCTCTAGCCCAGGAGGCAGAGTTTAGGAAATGCATAAAAAATAACTCCCAAATAACACAGGTGAGTTCCTACCACAGACAACTGTTTGCACAGAAGGCAAGACAGTTTATGCTAACCCAGCTGTTTTTTTAAAGGAAGTCTTGCTTTCATTTTTGTTGTTGTTGTTTAGTCGTTTAGTCATGTCCGTCTCTTCGTGACCCCCTGGACCAGAGCACGCCAGGCACTCCTGTCTTCCACTGTCTCCCGCAGTTTGGTCAAACCCATGCTGGTAGCTTCCAGAACACTGTCCCACCATCTCGTCCTCTGTCGTCCCCTTCTCCTTGCCCTCCATCTTTCCCAACATCAGGGTCTTTTCCAGGGAGTCTTCTCTTCTCATGAGGTGGCCAAAGTATTGGAGCCTCAGCTTCAGGATCTGTCCTTCCAGTGAGCACTCAGGGCTGATTTCCTTCAGAATGGAGAGGTTTGATCTTCTTGCAGTCCATGGGACTCTCAAGAGTCTCTTCCAGCACCATAATTCAAAAGCATCAATTCTTCGGCGATCAGCCTTCTTTATGGTCCAGCTCTCACTTCCATACATCACTACTGGGAAAACCATGGCTTTAACTATACGGACCTTTGTTGGCAAGGTGATGTCTCTGCTTTTTAAGATGCTGTCTATGTTTGCCATCGCCTTTCTCCCAAGAAGCAGGCGTCTTTTAATTTCGTGACTGCTGTCACCATCTGCAGTGATCATGGAGCCCAAGAAAGTAAAATCTCTCACTGCCTCCATTTCTTCCCCTTCTATTTGCCAGGAGGTGATGGGCTCAGTGGCCATGATCTTCGTTTTTTTGATGTTGAGCTTCAGACCATATTTTGCGCTCTCCTCTTTCACCCTCATTAAAAGGTTCTTTAATTCCTCCTCACTTTCTGCCTTCAAGGTTGTGTCATCTGCATATCTGAGGTTGTTGATATTTCTTCCGGCGAAGAAATATCATTTTTAGCCATGCACATAATAAAGCTGTACAGATTGGTTGCAAAAGAGTCGTTGTGCTTCAAACCTTGTGCCAATTTTATTTTGTTAGCCTTTCTCTCTCTCTCAGAAGTGTGATTTTATCGTACCACAAAAGCTCACACCTTTCCTTGAGTTTGTGTACATACTTAAGGCATACTCCACAAGTGTCCTGGGAAAACTGGGACATCCTGTTTTTCTCTGGTGAGGGAACAGCGGCCATTTCGGTTGTTGTGGTCTCACACAATTTCACAGCACAATTCCCCTCCCCCAATAAAGTGCTTTGGGGGGGCTGCGATCTTGCCTTAAAATGCACATTTTGGGGTGCCGTGCCCCAAAAAGTGCTTTAATGAAGGGGCCACGGGGTGAAATCACACGAGATCACAGTGACCAAAATAGCCAACATGCTCTCTCAATAAAAAACAGGAAGATGGCGTCCCAGATTTTGGTTTTGAAGTGTTGGAGGGTATCCTTAAGGTACATATGTAAGAGGCTTGTTGTTTGTATTTATATTTTGGGAATAATTCATATTCTTATGTAGCTGCATTGTTTTATACTTTCTGGATGTCCCATGATCATATTACAAATCAAGCACAGCTAGTCGTTGCCCCTTTTCTTTTTCCAAGTATTTCTTTTCTGATCTCGCGGGGGGGGGACCCCAAGGGCCTCAAAAGACAGCTCTATCGCTATAAGAAACTGCTGAGAAAGCCTTTACTCTTAGCGCTGTTACGGTAAAATCTGGGTGCGGGGCTACTCTGCCACCCAGCTCGTCGGACTGAGTCCGCGGGTCCCTGCGGAAGAAAATGAGCTCAGCCGGAGACAGGAGCAAACTGCAGAAGATCCAAGTTTATTGCGCAACAGATTCAAGGCGAGATTGAACAGCGAGAAAGGGGTGACATGAGCTTTTGAAACTTCCCTCCATGTCCCAGAATACAGTGCAAAATACATCATAGTTACATCATGAATACATTAAAGAGAGGTTGGGTTACACGGATTACATCATGAATATATTAAAGAGAGGTTGGGTTACACCAGATTAACATATGGAGGAGGGGGGGAATATGCAGAGCTGGAGATATGCGCAGATAAGCACATCCTGAGTACCGGTGATGGGAAGACAATGGTCCATGTATGCATAGTCTGCCACCTGGCCTTGCCCGGAGGAAAGGCTTGGCAGAGTGATTTGACCGGATTAGGGTCTTCCTGAGTACGTGACGCCTCGCTCGAGGGATCATGGAGGCAGGGGAGGTGTCATGGAGCCCTGAGGAGACTGAGCCGATCGGCACCAAAAGCAAGGAAATCGGAGTTGTGGTTGATTTTATACGAATTTCTAAAGATTTTAGTCCCTTTTAGTCCATTTTATATTGGTGATTGAAGTCGGAAACAGAATAGATACATTGTAGCAAGATTTGACACTTTTATGAGTTCACAAGTTTCGGTTCCATTGTTCTCTCAGCGGGGAGCCGTCAGCAGCTTGTCAAGAGGTTAAATGAGGCGTGCAGGAGCTCGCTGAGCTAGCTCTGCAAAGCGAATGCATGGTTCTGATTGGATAGAACACAGCCATTGAAAGGAATAGGGAATACAGCTTTGTACGGTCTACCCACAGTAAAGATGGAGCGGGAAAGAGGCATAAGAATTTGGGCTTATTTCGCCCGTAATAGCGGATAGGTGTAGGAAAGGGAAAAGGCACTCTATCTATGGGGCTTGGGGTAGAGTGTGGTGCTTGTGTAACGGTGTGGGGCTGAGGGGTCCACGTGGGGTTGGGAGCCCTTGAGGTCATCGCCTCGGACCCTCTGGTGGCCGGTAGAAGGGCGAAGGAAGGCATGCCCCCCCTTCCGTATCAGTGCAATTACACAAGTCGCTATACACGCAGGTTCACAGCACACGCAATACAAAGCGCAATAGCTTTTGCAACAAAATGTATTTATGCGAAGGCCACGCAGGCACGGTGAATTAAAGCTATGTCAGCGAATGCTTATGCTTGAAGCGCAGGCACGCTAAAGTGAAATGTATCTAAATGAGTTTTTGGTTAACAACAGCTAGTTTGCTTCCTTGAACGAGGTAATGAGAAATATTTATATGCATACGATTGCAGGAAATTTCAATGCTTTGTGTAAGAAACCTGTAGGTAACCTCCCCCCCCCCCGTGTTTGGGTGGGGTTCAGTCTTTGTGGAAGTGATCCTGCTGAACCTATTGCTTGGGAAGTAATAAAATCGTTGGACTCTTATCTCCTCCTGGCTCCTGAGTTTTATTGGCAAGACCCAGGAACTACAGTGGTACCTCGGGTTAAGAACTTAATTCGTTCTGGAGGTCTGTTCTTAACCTGAAACTGTTCTTAACCTGAAGCACCACTTTAGCTAATGGGGCCTCCCGCTGCCACCGCGCCACCACCGTCTGATTTCTGTTCTCATCCTGAAGCAAAGTTCTTAACCCGAGGTACTACTTCTGGATTAGCGGAGTCCTTTACCTGAAGCGTCTGTGACCTGAAGCGTCTGTAACCTGAGGTACCACTGTACAGCATGTTTGCCTGCAACAATGTGAACAAATTTTTCTTCTGAAAGTCTAGCCCAGAGTAAAGAGTTTGAGAACCACTGCAATAGACCTGCTTCTATCTTCCTAACAGCCCCTGCCCACTCTGGTCCCCTCGCCCCCAAACAATCTGGGTCTGTCTCCGCCTGACTTGACCAAAGCTCATTGACCACGGGATGCCTGCCTGCAGGGACTTGCCCAGAAAAACAAAGAATCATGGAATGGCAGAGTTGGAAGGGACCCCAAGGGCCATCTAGTCCAACCCCCTGCAATGAAGGACTCTTTTCTTGAACCCACGTCCCTGAGATCTCTACCAACTGAGCTATCCTAGTAAGCCCTCGCCTTGCTCTGTGCTGGACCCAAACTGGGGAAGCAAGATTCATTTATTTTTAAAAATTTTATTCAAAATTAAAACAAAACATATTATCCAGAAACATATCATCCTTATCCCCCCCCCATTTTTCCTCCTTCCCTCTACCCTCCCACACAACCCCCACCCCACCCCACCCCACCCGGCTTCCCTCAGTTCCAGTCTTTGTTTTTTTTTTAAATTGATATTTATTAAATTTTCAAAAAGTAACAAGTAACAACAAACATTTCCAAAAAAATTTGAAAATACAAATAAAACAAAAATAATACAGAAATAGTAAAAAAGAAAAAACCCAGCCGCAAAAAAGAAGAAAAAAGAAAAATAGATAAACAGAAATATAAAATCCTTTACGATCTCCATTAACTTCCTTTCTAGACTTCCTCCTCCTTCCGTCTCTTGTTTCTTAGTATTTAATTTTTACAGCAAATCCTTTCTGTTTTTTCATAACAATCTATCATTGCGTTTCCTTATTCTATTTTCCCTCTTGTCATATAAAAACTTTAATACTCAAAGCTTATATTCAATATTTAGCAAATTCTTACATCATTACCTTTTTTCAAATCATTTACCAATCCTTACTTAAGTCATATAATTTCATTCAACATCCTTCAAACATTTATAAACATTCCCAATATTAGAAAATAAGAAAGCAAAAACAATAAGTCAGATTCAATCCAGTCAACTTCCAGCCTCCTCCCCTGGACCCGGGATTGTCAGTCCTTTTAACCTCAATAATCCGGCTCCTTAACCTGGTTGTCTCATATCCGAGGCCCTCAAGTCTCTTTCTTGCCCCTTTCGCCACTCTTGTTGATATTCCCTTTCAGTCGTGGATACTCCAGCAAGAAGATGCTTTTGACTCTTTGCAGCAAGTCCATCCCAAACCCATTGCCCAAGCCAGACAGCAGATAATACCACTTCCAATTTCCACGAAACTTGGAGACTTCGACTACTCCATTCCTCTGATGGCCCATCACTAGACTCGGAAAGTCCAAATAACCATATAGAGGGGTGTCAATCCATCCCCCCATTTCCAAATCTGACCACATTTCATCTTTCCGAATCAGGTTTGTCCCAAGTTCATTTATCAAGTTCAAAGGCTGATCTTGCCCATCCATAGGTCCCTCCATCTCTGAAGCCTCCGTCGCTACAGCAGGTTCATATACTTGTATAAACTTTAACTGAATTTCATTTGTTTGCTGCTGTGCTCTGGTAACTTCCGTCCTCATCAAGGTCGACTCCTGACGCATCTGGTCCAGCTGGGCACTTAATTTTGCAAAACCTTCCAGGAACACTTGTTCAAGCCTTTGTACAAGCATTGTCCTTCAAGGTCAGAAAAAATTCTTTCCCACGAGAATGATCCTTCTCTTTTAAACTCTCTGCATTGCAATTTCACTCAGTTCCACTAGATGGAAAACCCTTTTTTTTTATTTTTTAAGAGGGGGAAAAACAACAGTAACAATCTTTCTTTTTCCAGAAACACTTTATCCAAAATTCCCCCTTTCAAATTCAAGAGGCAACAGTAGAATCAAAATGTTACCCTTCTTTTAACTATCTGTCGAGCTGGATAAGCTTCAAAACGTCAGTTCTGACAGCCCGCTCCTGGTTCAGGGCGGTGGAAAATTACTTTATTTTAAACTCACTTCCGCAGGGTTGAAAAGATCAAAACAACCCCCTTCTTCTCCTGCAATCGAAGGGGGGGTTCAGAAATCTTAGATGTTGAATTTTAGTTCTCTCAGAATTTAGTTTCCAGGCTTTAGTATAATTTGTCTTTGCTTTCTTCACGTAACAAAAGAACGGAAGGCGACTTCCTGGTTTAGACCTTTCCGTTCCGAGTCCCAATTAAATTCAATTTCAAGTTCAAGTCCAATGTTATCTATTTATTCACCAATCTTAAAAGTAGTTCAGCTCTTCCAGGATCGGGTACTCACGGATAGATGTTTTAGATGCCAAATTGTCCAGGAAAAAGGCAGCGCTCTCCGAAAACGGCAGTGCGGCTTTGCTGCACGGAGGAAGCAGACGACTCACAGCACCACGCACCTCCCACTCCGGAGCCCGGTAACGGGCTCCTGTACAAGGGGAGAGAGCGCTCTCGGTGCCCGCCGAGTCCCACGCCCACAGGCTTCTTCCGCCTGTGGTTTTTAAGGGTCCCCGCTGCGCCGTAGCGGCAGGACCCAAGCCTCCGTGCAGCGGGTTCCCTTCAGTTCGAAGGGAATTCCGCCATTTTTCGGAGGCGCCACCCCGGAAGTCCTCCCTCAGTTCCAGTCTTTGATTTCTCTAAGAATGCTGTTTTCTGCATGTTACACAGTTGTAGAGATCCTCAAACTATTTAGCTGATGGTTATCAATACAAAGTTTGTGAATGTTTATTCAAAGCCAGCCAAGGAGTCCAGTTCGCTTTGTTGCGTCTTCAAATACTTTGTAAAGGGTTCCCATTCATCTTTAAAGTCACAGTTATCCTTGTCCCGTAGCTTATATGTCAGTTTTGCCAGTTCTGCATAGCGAGAACTGGAAGCAAGATTTATTGGGGTGTTCATACTGCAAGCCTCTCCATCCTATGCTCAAGGTTGTATTTGTGGCTGGAACCACACAGTGGCGTAGCTGGCTGCTTGGGCGCCCGGAGCAGAGCACGCTGTGTGGAGCCTCTGCGGAGTCTGCCTGGTGGACACAAGCCCCACGCTGCTGTTTCGGGCAGCGTGGAGCCTGCAGGTGCTCACGCCACCACGCCACTCCCAGGAGAGACGCGTGGCTCAGGGGCGCTGCCGGCCAGGCCCCGCGGTAAGTGCTGTCCCCCGCAGTGTGCCATTTTGTCACCCCCCTCAGTGATGACACCCGGAGCTGTCTGCACCCACCGCACCCCCTTCCTACGCCACTGGAACCACATATCCTAAGAGCAGCAGAGTCTCCAATCGCCTCTGAATGCCAGATCCAAATATTGGGCTCATCTTACATAGTGGCTCCTAGTTCCTGTTCATCACTTCTAGGAAACATGACCCCCCTTTTTCCACAGTGTCAGACTCACACACACGCACAGAGGGGTCTTCCTTCCCCCAAGGCCACATTCTACACTCTTCTAGGCTTCTTTGGTTTGGTAAACAGCTTTGTTGCAGAGTCATGTGAATCCGTATCACTGCAAGAGGGAGAAAAACTGAGCACGGCTTTTAAGCCATGTAGGCTGAGACGAACACGGGAAGTTGCTTTTGGGTGAGGCAGGAAGAAAGCCAGATGTGATTACACATTGCTTTTGGTGCAAAGCCAGCCGCCTTGGGAAATCAACTTGACATGGCCAGAGCATTTTCAAGAAAGGCAGCCAGAGCCTTTCAGGGATAGCAGCCCCCTCTCTGCACAGCCCCCTCCACCCCCGTTGGTCACGTTTTTAAATAGTGGTTACTCTTGGTTCTTATTTCAAGCCATTGAAGGCAATTGCTCTAGAGCAGTGGTGGTGAACCTATGGCACTGTGCCAGAGTGGGCACTCAGAGCACCAGTGAGCTTCATGGCTGAGTGGCAGGGATTCGAACCCAGCTCTCCCAGCTCTGAGCCTGACATTCGAACCACTATTGCCTCTCATTGAACTCTAACCTTCCAAGTTATGTTGCTCATCTTGCCACACAAGAGTTTATTTCTTTATTAATTACATTTATATCCCACCTTTTCCTCCAAGGAGTTCATAATTCTCTCCCTCCCCATTTTATCCTCGCAACAACACTGTGAGGTAGGCTAAGCTGAACGTGAGGGATTGGCCCGAGGTCACCCAGTGAGATTCATGGCTGAGTGGTGGGGATCTGAACCCTGAGCAGTCAGGGGTTTCCTAGTCTGACACTCTATCCCAGGGTTTCCCAAATGTGGGTCTCCAGCTGTTTTTTGCACTACAATTCCCACCATCCCTGACCACCGGTCTTGCTAGCTAGGGATGATGGGAGTTGTAGGCCAAAAACAGCTGGAGAGGGTATGAAAGACCAATATGAGCTATTTTAGGAGGCAGATGACCCAACTTGAAAGTAAGAAAACACACGCCAAATAATGTAGCCCAGCAAAGCGCACCCAATTGCAATCCCCGTAGCGACCAACAACCAATCTGCCACGAGACGCGGTACATTCTGCCTCCTGCCAGAAACTTGCTCTGCTCTTTGCCTGGCCCATCTGTTTCCTATCATGTAACTCCTGAGATCTGCACTGGTTATGTTGGGCTCCAAATACAGCTCGTTGATGTAATAGCCTCCTCTGTTCTCCTGAACCATGTCGTGGATCATGTCCATCAGCTCGGAGACCTGCTCCTCCCTCTCTTCCCCTCTGCCCTGTTATTGAAAGCGCAGAAGCGCCGGCCCCATTTCCCCATCAGCTCCTTGACAGCCTTGTTCTCTGACCACCCCACATAATCCCGCAAGGAGCCTCCACCTAAATCTTCTTTGCGGGTGAACAAGACCACCATGTGCTTGGTGGCCTCCAAGCCAAAGACATCCTGGACTTGCTTCGCTGCCGCCTCATCTTCTGCCGTGAAACGGCCCACCTGAGTCACGAAAACCAGAGCGTGGGGACCAGGCCTGGACAGCTCAATGCAACGGATGATCTCGGCTGCTAATTCTTCATCACTGAAGGCACCTGAGCTCAAAATATCTGCTGTGTCCACCACCAAGACAGTCCTGCCATTCCAGGTCCCCTGGCCTCTTTGGCAGGTCACAGTTGTTGTTCCTGGCCTAAGCGCCGACACGAATTCTTTCCGGCCAAGGATGGTGTTTCCCGTGGCACTTTTCCCACAGCCTGTTTTACCGACGAGGATTATCCTCAGTTCTCTGTCTTCTCCTGTGAGCAATGGAGGAGATGTCAGAGAACAGGAGATCAGCAACCAAAGGGTTCGAGTTCTCTCCAGGTGAACGTCAACCCTTTTCTGATATTCAACACAACACCTCACTTCCATCCAGCAAAGCAGAGGGGGTGAAAATGGCGGCAGCTCACCTGTTTGTTGTTTGGGATGGAAATCAGGCAGGAGAATAGGATGGGGATTTGCTTCTGCTGCTTGTCTGATGATACAGTGGTACCTTGGTTTTTGAATGTAATCCGTTCCGGAAGAACGTTTCCAAAACGTTTGAAAACCGAAAACTCAATATGGAAGCCTCAGTACAATAGGGAAACTCAAAAAGGAAGCCGCGTAGCGTGTTCAGCTTCCAAAAATCATTCAAAAACTGGAGCAGTTACTTCCGGGTTTTTGGCATTCAAAACCCGAAATGTTTGACTACAGAGGTGTTCAACAACCGAGGTTCCACTGTATTTCCTTTCCATTAAAATTAGTGGCCTTTGTGTTGAAATGAATGGTGTGTGTCAGGGAACTGACATCAGAGCGAGAGGCGAAGGGGAGGCTCCTGGATGATGCTGGAGAAGGACCCAGCAGCAGGGGGAGAGGCGACTCAGTGGAGGGGGAAGCATTTAAGCGCAACACCAGGAACAAAAGTGAGCAGATGGGAAAATCGGAGAGAGGGCTCACGGACTCTTCACTGGAACTCAGTGAGGAGGGGACAGGTCCCCCGCTACCCACGCCCACCCTGCGCAGAAGGCTCCCGCGCAGTGAGAGGCGGAGGCGATTGGGTGTCAAACAACTCTTATGTTGGAAGAGATTCAAGAAACGCCCACTGACGGATTCTGCTAGTGACTGAGACAGTCATGATCAGAAGGGGCTGTGCAGTCAGAAAGGTTTAACAAGGCAAATCAGCCTAGAGAGGCACCAGTTTACGCACGAGTAACTCATACTCATTACAGTGTGGTATTGTGTAATTAATCACAACATCCATTATGATCCATGCTATTTTTGTAGAAAAAGAGTTTGCTGGAGCTCACCAAAAACTTCTCCCTTGTTCGGTAACACTAACACACCTGAGAGGTACCGCAGCTGAGCTCCAGCTGAAAAAATGCCCTGGTTATTATTATTTATTAAATTTGTATGTCACCCTTCATCCACAAAGTGCAGGGCATCTCACATCATAAAAACATGAAACGAGAAAACAAAAAACATAATGAAACAAGGACAAAAACAAACCAATAACCCCGTTCCCACAAACACATTTAAAAGGCCATAGAAAGTTAATCAGCCCAAGGCCTGGCTGAAGAGAAACTTTTTCTCTTGGTACCTAAATGATCTGCAATGAAGGCACAAGGCAGGCCTCCCGGGGAGAGCATTCCACAAATGGGGAGCCACTGTAGAAAAGGCCCTGTTCTTGTGTTGCCACCCTCCGGACCTCTTGAAGAGGAGGCGCACAAAGAAGGATTTCAAAGGATGATTGCAGGAACCGGGCCAGTTCATATGGGGAAATTTAGCATGTTAAATTTGGCCATGGTGGATAGCAAGACGAATCAGATAGTTTTTGTTGGAAGCTGGACTGCAGTGGAAGGAAAACTGTGCTGATTGTGCCAAGTACAGCTTAGACCCAGGCTATCTGAAGGACTGTCCTCTCCCATACGAATTTGCCAGTGCTGCAAACAGGGGTGACAAATTTTTCAGATGGTTTATTCCTGTAGATCATGACATTCGTACAGTTGGTATCGTTCAAAATCCAAGCCGGTTCATATGAGGGAATACAGTCTTTCAGATAGCTTGGACCTAAGCTGTAAAGGGCTTTAAAGGTCCTTGAATTTTGCCCGGAAAATGATGGGTAGCCAGAGAAGCTGTTGTAACCAGGGAATCGTCTGCTCCCTGTAACCTTCAGGAAGGGGAGAGCTGGGAATACTGGTGCAGTTTCAACTGGAACCATTAAAAATGGAGGAAGGGATAAATAATGTTTATGAGACAGTAGCTAATGTAGATTTCTCCCCAAAAATGTGATGTTTTGCCTTCTTTCTTACCTTCTCCGACGGAATCTTCATCTGCCTGAAATATTTGTGATAGTTTAAGGTTAGTCCAGAGCAGCCTTCGGTTTGCAAACTTGAACACTAATTTGATGCTCGTTGAGAAATGCTTTTAAATCTATTATTATTATTATTAAATCACCCACTGCTCCTCTTTAAGAACAATCCCTCTGAATCTTCTCAGAGCTCCGAGGCTTCACTTTTTGCAAAATGCACAGACCCTGAGAAACAGAGATGCCGTATTTTTCCGTGTATAACACGCCCCCATGTATAAGATGACCCCTTTTTGGGGGGACTGCAACAAAAAATGGGGGGGAGATTGCCACAGCCACCAATTGTCTGCACGCTCACTGCCATAAGCCCCCCCCCGTACACTACACAAAACCACACACAATTGCACGCAAGCATCGCCGCTGCCACTAATCAATCGCCCAGTTGCCGCAGCCGATCGTAAGCAGGCCTTGACGCAGCCACCAATCACACCCCCAATTGCCAGTCCACCCCTCTGCTATCTGTTTATAAGACAACCCCCTGTTTTTTCCTATTATTTTAAAGGAAAAAACATCGTCATATACAAGAAAAAATACAGTATATAGAAAATGCAGTAGAGAAAAGCAACTTATAGTGAGGGTTTTGTGGACCCTCTTTAAAGTATAATTATACTACTACTACTAACAACAACAACAACAACAACAATTAATATTAATAATGAATCAATTGGCAGGATCCAACTTTGATTGAGTGGGGATAAGAGAACTTTTAAGAACATCCCTCAGGAGCAAAGGAGGCGTATGTCATTCTGGACAGAAAGAGCATTAGGGAAGGGTGGGGGGGGCATTTTTAGCCTGAGGGCCACATTTCTGCCTATGAAAGCTTCCAGTGGCCACATACTAATGGCAGGCAGGGCTAGAGGCAAAACCGGGTGCTCATTTTGCTTTTGCCAAGGAGGTGAGTTTAATGGCATCTCTTTCCTGCTTCCCCACAGAGAAGAGACATTATCAGGGTTCGGGGAGAATCTCGCAGCCAGGCTCAAACAGACAAGGAGGCTGTGAGAGAGGCCTGGGGAGGGTCCAGGGGCCACATTGGGAGGCCTGGGGAGGTCATATTCAACTCCTGGGAAGGACGTCCCCTTTGCTTGGTGTAGGGCTATGCCGAAAATTCTCAGAAAATAATATGTGTAGAAATTATTCACGTTTGTTGAGCTTGGAGAAGAGGAGACTGAGAGGAGATATGACACCATCTTCCAGCATCTGAAGGGCTGTCCCATGGAGGAAGGAGCAAGGTTGTTTTCTCCTGCTCTGGAGGGCAGGACTCGAACCCATGGCTTCAAGTTATGAGAAAGGAGATTCTGACTAAACACCAGGAAAACCTTTCTGACAGTAAGAGCAGTTCAACAGTTGTGGACTCTCCTTCCTCAGGGATTTTAAAGCAGAGGTTGGGTGGCCACCTGTCAGTGATTCCTTAGCTGTGTTTCCTGAATTTCAGGGGGATGGACTAGATGACCCCTGGGTCCCCTTCCAACTCTACAATTCTATGATTCTATGAATTACTTTTCTACTCTCCTTTCTGTTAAATGATCCAAGAGCAAATTGCCCACCCTTTCTTGGGGCTTACCTCTGAGGTTTTCAGCAATGGTTCACGTGACATGTTTTCTCCCGTGGCAGTTTTCTTGCTTCAAGGCAAAGGTCTTCCAGGATTTGCTCCTGCAAACAATGCTAGTCATTTGTTTGAAAGCCAGCCTGCCCCGTGAGCCGAAGGCAGGGCGTGGGTGCAACATCTATGATGATACATCAACCCCAGTGCAGGGCTTGCTAAACTCAACAGAATTGCTGAAGCAGTTCAAAGTGCAACCTCCACCAAGTCTGCTCAGGAGCAAGTCCTACTGAATTCAGTGGGGCTTCTTCCCAGGTAAGTGCGGTTAGGATTGCAGCGCTCACGGTCGTATAAATTTAAGTCTTATTTATTTATTTCTAGAATATTTTTTAATTGATTTTCCATTTTTAACATTTTTATAACATCACATCTCCATTTATATGTTTTTAGCTCCAATTTAATTTATATTTAAAGTAGATAATTAAATGAGCAAATTAAATGAATTTGGATATGCAGAAGATACTAAAAAAATAATTTAAGGAACCGCAGAAAGAGGGGCAAGGAAGCCAAACTTTGAAATGCTAAAATGATTGTGAAATTAATGAAATGTATAAATTTCAAAAGTATAAATAAAACCTTTTTTTTGAAAAAGCTCTTAATATTTTTATAGTTGCACAGATGTTGTTGCAGAAGAAGAAACCCAAGAGTCTTGAAGTTGTTGGAAGACTCCTTCCTGTTTTTGCTGCAACAGACTCTGGGTCTTTCTTAGGAGAGAGCCTCCTTGAAAAACGTCTCCGGTTTTGACCCTGTTCTCTCTTAGATAGATTGATTTATTGCTCAGATAAGCCTGGTCCGGCACGCTTCCCCATCGCGGGCCTCTGCATTCCAAAATCCGATACTTCTGAGCATAGCAGAGTTGAGATCAACAGCGGCTAGAGGAAGCTGCAAAAAAAAACTCCAGTGCATTCTTCAGTGTGCTTAAATAAAGTCCACACAGGATCTTACCAGCTAAAAGCAGCTTTATTTACAGCAGGCTATCCATTATCTATCACAGCGAACAGCATCGTGAAAACACGTCCTCTCTCCTCAAAAGCGAAAGTAGAGAGACAGAACAAAGACTTTAGTCTCTCGGAACTGACGTAGCTTTTCCCCTCCCACTAGTAGGCAGAGCGTACACTCTGAGCTGTTTAACCCTGTAAGCTCAGGTTTTCCTCACACCCCCTCTCGCTCTGCGCTACTGTGGGAACAGTAAGTACAGAACTTACCCCCAACTCCAAACCACCACAAAACTCCCCATGACGCTGGAAGCTTAAAGGTTTGGTAAATCCATCGGCCAGGTTACTGTGACTGGCACAGTACTTCAGTCGTATCAAACCTGACTGAACACTCTGACACACATTTCGGAAACATATGTCCAGATGCTTGGTTCTCGCCTTAAATTGCGCAGATTCAGCCAACTTCAAACAAGGCTGATTGTCTTCCCAAACCGTGATGGGCAAGCTACAATCCCCATAGATCTCTTGCACCAAGCATCTATAGAACTCTAGTTCCCGGCACAAGTCTGACAGTGCACTGAATTCAGCCTCAGTAGAAGACAGCGCAATGAGACTCTGCTTCCGGGACTTCCACCCAACCAGTGACTTCCCAAACTTTATCACCAACCCAGACACAGACTTGCGGTCCTGCGAATTCGCCCAGTCACTGTCCGCATAGCATGTGAGCTTCGCCTCACCTTCAGCTGGCAGCTTAAGACAGAAGTCTTTGGTATGCTGCAGGTAGCGCAGTACCCGCTTGATACCGTGCCAAGCACTCACACTGGGCTTTGACGCTTCCCTACTTAGCAGGTTGGTAGCAAAGGCAATGTCTGGTCTGCTCCATTGGGACAGATACAACAGACTACCTAGAGCTGACTGAAAGAGTTCAGCATTCTCGAACTCAGCACTTTCTGCTTGCTGGCTATCTTTCACGAAGTTCGTCTCCATGGGTGTCCGAACTCCTGCACAATCGGACATTCTGAACTTCTCCAGCAACTGCTCAATCTTGCCTTTCTGACTGAGCAAGAAGCTACCATCCTCAGTTCTCGCTATCTGGACACCTAGGTAGATCTTTACTGCACCCAGGTCCTTGAGCTGAAACCGTTTCCCAAGCTCTTTGGCAAACTTCTGCACCTGTTTGTCTGCCTTTCCAACATGGATGATGTCATCAACATAAAACAACACCAGTTCCTGTGAGTCTCCTGATCCTCTAAGGAACAGGCAACTGTCAGCAAGACTCTTCCTGAAACCTAGCTTCTCCAAAGCTTCATTCAGGCACAAGTTCCAATTCCTGGCCGACTGCTTCAGGCCGTAAATTGACTTGTGAAGTTTCCACACAGTACCTCGCTCATTGCCCTCAAACCCTGGAGGAGGAAGCATGTACAGATCCTCCTGGAGGTCTGAGTTCAAGTAAGCAACATCCACATCAAAGTGATGCACCAGCAAACCTCTTTGTGCAGCGATGGCCAAGACCAAGCGTAGAGACTCACTCCTACACGTGGGCGCATAAATCTCCGTATAATGCAACCCCTCTGCTGCGTGAATCCTCTCGCCACTAATCTGGCCTTATACTGCGGTTCTCCTGCCGCTGTGGGCTTAAGACGGTAAACCCAGCGGCTGCCCACGGCCTTTTCACCCACCGGCAACTTCGTGAGGGAGAACACACCTAGAGACTCCATTGAGTTCATCTCCTTCTGCATCGCCTCATGCCATTTCCTGGCTTCTTCCTGAGGCAGTTTCTGAACATCCTCAAAACTCTCGGGTTCACACTGTGCCATTCCGACCCACACACTAGTGACGGCAAACCTTTCAGGAGGTTTCCCTTGGTCGTCCGCGTTGAACGGCGCAGCACTACTTCAGGAACCCCCTCTGACCCACTAGGGCCTCCCAGAACGTCCTTGGCAGCAGAGAGCTCCCCCTCGGACTGCCGGCGCCCTCTGGACTTCTCCGCCGACCCTCTGGGGGACGATGGAGCCCTGCGTGGCTCAATCCTCACAGCCTTGGGAGAACTTCTCCCATCTGCCTTCACTGGGTCTGGACTCTGAGCCTCAGTAGCAGGTTCAACCTCTTCCTCTCCTTCATCAGCAGAGTCTAGCAGACTCTCTGACAGGATGTCAGGGTTCCCATGTATCCTTGCCCAGCCACTCTGCTCACAGAATTCAGCACTGTTGCTGAGCAGAATCCTGGACTGATTCCCTGACGGATACGCAAACCTCCACCCCTTGGTCCCTGGCTCATACCCACAAAAAATCATCTTTTGGGACCTGGGTTCACCTTTTTTGCGTTTGACCTTTGGTATGAGGACCCAAGCCTCACAGCCAAAAACGCGGAAGTAGTGCACTTTCGGTTTCTCGCCATGGAGCAAGAAGTACGGTGTGTCACCTACCACTGAATTGAACGACCTGTTCAGAACAAAGTTGGCCGTTCTCCAAGCCTCCCCCCAAAAACGCTGTGGGAGCCCGGCATCAAACAAAAGAGCTGCGGACATCTCCCTAGAGTCCTGTTCCTGCGCTCCGCGATACCATTCTGTTGGGGACTGTGTGGAGAAGTCAACCTGTGTTGAATCCCCTTTTGCGGAAGAAACTTTGCAGTGCAGACCCGGTGAACTCCCCACCGCGATCGCTCTGAAAGTTTTGCACCCGTGTGGAAAACTGCAGTTCCACAGCTGCAATCCAGTCTTTGATTAGCGGCGCAGCTTCATCTTTGCGCCGAAGCAAAAAACTCCAAGAATTCCTTGTATGGTCATCAATCAGAACCAGCGAAAATTTGGCTCCGCCCAAACTGCTCACAGAAAACGGTCCACACAAATCTGCATGAATTAATTGAAAAGCCCTAGTGGTCACCCTCTCAGACCTAGGGTATGTGCACGTTTTCACCTTTGCGGACTTGCACGCTCTGCAATCTAGAAACTTAGCACATGATTTCATTTTGCACCCTTGTGTATACTCTGGGATCTTCATCACTGACCCCCACGACACGTGTGACATGCGTCGGTGCCAGAGATGGGCACACGCATCATGAACTGGAACATTGGCACACTGCGCTTGAGCCTCCTCCGTGTCATCCGTGTCATCTGGACCTGCAAAAGAAGCATTTATCACAAACAACCTGTCTTTACATTCAACACTGACTAGGTGCTGCCCATTCTTGGAAATAGAACACTTATTGTTCTCAAAACACACTCTGTAGTTCTCAGCAAGAAGTGCACTGACAGACAGCAACGCGCAGGACAGTCCTGGAACAACAAAAACCTGGATTGAGTCCTGCAAGAAAGAACAAAACAGTGAGCCAGTCTGCGTGAGTGGGTGTTGAGTCCCATCTGCTAAACAGACAGTCTTCCCAGATTTTACAGAGGTGCAGTTCTCCAGGAATCCACCAGATGGCACGAGATGATGAGACGCTCCACTGTCGACCACAAAAGCCAGCGCAGCATCCTGTTGACAACTCTTGACTACAGCCATAGAGGCAGCCAAATGTTTACGTTCAGTGTCTCTGCCAGCTGCCTTTGGCTTGCCTTTCCCACGCTTTGAAGAAGAGCTCTTTATCTGGTTGCTACGGGAGACGGCCTTGGGCTGTTCCTCCACTGGACATTCTCTCACCAGATGGGAGGGGGAGCCACAGCGATAACAGCGGCGACGCGTAGCAACAGCTCTCACAGCTCCTTCTTCAGCCATTCCTTTGTTCCCTGCACCCCCACCTTTGGGTGCACAGCCTGGGCCTGCACGCTCCCCAGCACTCTGGTTGTAGGCCTCAACATCACACGGCCCCTCGGAGACAAAGCAGCTACTCCCAGCTGTAACTTCAGGAACATGGCCAGCAGCCCCTCTGGGCTCTCGGCTTCCTCCCTGCTCTCGGCTTTCTCCCGGCCCTGGGCTCCTGCTGAGTTCTCACACAGACTCCTCAGCACCTGCCAGGCGGCCTGAGCCGACTCAATGCCCTCCAGGTGGGGCAACAGCATAGCGTCCACACTTGCTCTCAAAATGCAGAGCTCCCTTTGCATTGTCAGCTCTCTATCTTCCAGGAGTGCAGCCTCTAGTTCTGCTCCTCCTTCTTCAGCAGCAACTGGCATGGGTGGGGCCGGCTCCTTCTGGGTTATACTCCAGAACCCTGTGGCCAAAAACCACCCCCTGACTCTTCTAACCCAGATATCCCAGGACTGGGTTGTGAGCTTTTCAAACGGGACATCATAAAAGTCCTGGAGCTCAGCCATCTCCTCCCCCAGTGCTCCCATTGGGGCTTTGAAGTACTCACGCGTACCAGCCAGCTTCAAAGGAGAGGCCTCCAGTGGCTCTTTGCAGCACACAGCTTGCATCCAGCTTCCCTGCTTTTCTCCCAGGCAAAGCCTCAAAGCAGGACTTTTGCATTCCGGCAGCAAAACAACAGCTTCTCAGTTTTCAGCCTTCTTAAGCACACAGCACATCAAAGGCAGGCTTCCTCTAATTGCAATAACTGCCCCCATAACCTGTTTGATAAATTGATTTATTGCTCAGATAAGCCTGGTCCGGCACGCTTCCCCATCGCGGGCCTCTGCATTCCAAAATCCGATACTTCTGAGCATAGCAGAGTTGAGATCAACAGCGGCTAGAGGAAGCTGCAAAAAAAAACTCCAGTGCATTCTTCAGTGTGCTTAAATAAAGTCCACACAGGATCTTAGCAGCTAAAAGCAGCTTTATTTACAGCAGGCTATCCATTATCTATCACAGCGAACAGCATCGTGAAAACACGTCCTCTCTCCTCAAAAGCGAAAGTAGAGAGACAGAACAAAGACTTTAGTCTCTCGGAACTGACGTAGCATTTCCCCCCTCCCACTAGTAGGCAGAGCGTACACTCTGAGCTGTTTAACCCTGTAAGCTCAGGTTTTCCTCACATTCTCTTCACCCCTTCCCACCTACCTCTTTGGAGATCACATGTGTGGCTCCTCCAGATCTTTCCTACTTCTGGACGTTTTTAGACGACATTCTTTTCCTGAAGTGCAGACAGAGGAGGCGGCTGCTGTTGGCTCCAAGCTGGAAACGAAGGACAGGCTGCAATAAACTACGTTCTCCTCCAGTGAGAAATGGCCAAAACTCCACCCACAGCCTGCCAGAAAAAGCCGTTGGCTTAAAGAAAGAGTTTTTGCCAGCACAAAAGCAATCACGAGGGTTAATGCTGCTAAGTTCTGCTGCACAGGAAGTTACAGACATTTCAACATTTTTGCACGTGTGTCTTTGCAGCTATTTTGGTCCCGCCGTTTCCCTCCATGACCTTGACTCCAATTGTCTTTCTGTCCCTTATTCCTGTCCTGAAGTTTTTAAGGGGTGCAGGCAGCAGCTGCCCATCAGGGAGGCAAGGCACTCTGCACAAGCTCAGAGACCATTGAGGCCCCATTATCAGTGTTTGGGGAAATGGGGTTATTCAGCCTTTGAAAGGTGTCTGTCCACAATCAGGACCAGCAGGACACAGCAGGCTTCCCAGGGCAAGCAAAAGATTGGGCGGTGGGGAGAGAGACTGAAGCAGCAATGGCTGCAATTTTGCATTGTGACTTGCCCTCCCCATGGCAGCCACATTGTGCTCTGCCCCACACCCCTGCCAGCAATTTTATGACTACCTTCTCCCACCACGCTCTCTCCAATTTCAAAATGTGCCCCCTGATCCAAAACGGTCGGTGGCCGTTTGATCCAGCTTCCACTGAAAGGTGGAAATAATAAATTTCCACTTTCCAAAGTAAAATGAAACACAGCCAATCTCTGAAATCCTCGCTTTGTGGAATTTCGCGACGCAGTTCTCCAGTCAGAGTTCACAAGAATGCATATAACTGTGAAAATGACATACAAATATGCATTTTATTAGGAACAGTGTCTTGCAAAAGTATGTATGTAATTTACAAAGGTGTTTGTTAGGGGAAATTGACAAAAAATACAGCTAAACTTTCATAATAGTTCAAAAATAAAAACAATGCATTTCCAGAGAGTTTAAGATGGGAAAAATGAGAAACTGAGAGAACTGAAGTAGACCGATGTATCCACTCCTATGTGGGGTTTAGGAAACTGCAGACAGTTATGTTATTATTTTCATAAAATTCATTTACCTCTTGATTGTAGAAAACCTCAAAGTGCTTTTCAAAACGAATAAAACAACAGGATTATGATTAATAACAATGAAAACATCCACAAATTAAAACCAGCGACAAACTACAAACATATCAGCATTCTAAATATGTGAGTAGTCTTGTCTAAACAAAAATGTTTTTCGCAGGCGGCAAAAAAAAGTTAGCGAAGTTGCCTGCCTGATGTCGATATGCAGGGAGTGTGGGTGTTGCCACACCCAAAGAACGATTTCTTATCAATGCAGAACAGCTATTACATGGCACCTGTAACTGTGCCCATTCTGCCAATCGAAGCATCCAGAGACCACATGTGGGGTCAGGCGATCTCAGGGCTAAACTGCTCCCAAACTGATATCTAATATCCTGAGAGCAATGCCTTGAACTTGGCCTGGCAGCAGATTGGGAGCCAGGGCAGATCTCTGAGCCCAGGCGTCCTAGGCTGACAAGCACCCGCTGCCGTTAAGAGTGGTAGCATCCTGCACTCATTGCAACTTCCAGATTAGGCACAAGGGAAGCCCCACATATTTTAGAAAGAAATGAAACACTATGAACTAGATGATGTAAGAGCAGCCTTCAATTCTTTTCCCTTTCCTCCTCCTTCCCTTTTTCTGTGCAGGGCCTTGATCCGTCCCCGTGAAGGATCTCCCAGAGCTTTTCCATCTGCTTGGAGACATCCTTCTCCTCTTCTCCAGCTGCCTTGTTATTCAAAGCAAAGTAGCAATCCCCACAATCCTTAACCAGTTTCAGAAGTGCCTCGTTTTCGGATTTCTTCACATATTCCTCCAAGGATTCACCTTTCAAATCCTCTTTGTGGGTGAACAAGACAAGCATGAGCTTCCCAAACTTCTTCCTAAACCTCTTCTTGACCATTTTAGCAATTTCCTCATCTTCCAGAGTGAAATGGCCCACTGTTATCACAAAGACCAGAACGTAAGGACTGGACTTGCAGAGTTTTTTGATCTCTTGCTTGTGCTGTTTGAGAGATTTTGAACTAGAGACAGCGGGCGTGTCAATCACAGAAAACTTCTGGCCCTTAAATTCCCCACTCGCCTTCTCGACGTTCTGAGTTGTCGGCTTAGCTGAAAAAGCCGAGTGAATTTTCTCCCGTCCGAGGAGGGTGTTCCCTGTGGCACTTTTCCCAACGCCAGCCTTGCCAAGAAGGACGATACACAGTTCTGATTCTTCCTTGTCCTCTGTGAATTAGAAAGATCACGTCAGAGCAGTGCTTTGCAACTTTTTTGAGCCCACGGCTCCCTTGACCAACCACATTCTTGCAGTGGATCCCCTGGGATCCATTACACGTAAGGGGGGGAGTCCCCCGTTCCTACCTGTCCCTTTTCTTTTTAAAAAAAATAATTTCTAAATTAATTTTACATTTATTATTTGACATTCAAACGTAGAATGCAATAATGAAATATTGAATTCTCTGAATTCTCTGACCTCCCTCCTCCCCTCCATGGAGTCCACAAACAACATCTTCTTCTGCATCTCAGACCATTCCCTATTTATCTATATAACTCAAATTTTAAGCATAGTCTTTTTCACATTGCAAGTGTTATTGTAGTCCTGCTAACGTTTTTAATTGTTTACAGTGTTCTTTCAGGTAGTGTGTAAATTTTCCCCAGTCTCTGTTAAAGGGCAAAACAGGATTAAGATCAGGAGCAGAAATATGTTGTTATTACGAGGAAGGAAAGCGAGAAACAGGACACCCGGGGCCGTCTTTACCCAGGGGTGCAAGGGGTGTGGGGCACCCGGGTGCCAAATTCTGGGGGGCGCCAGGCGCCTGCCGCTGAAGCCGCCTAAGCTGCTGCTGCCTCCCTCTTGGCGGCCAGAGTCCCATCTCTTGTGCATGCATGTGGGGGTGCAAATATCCAGAGTGTGGGGGTCAGGTGGGATTGCTATGAGGAATTATGAAATATGGAGCAAGCCATTGCGTCCGCGATGAAAGCATTGCGTTGACTGGGCTTGATTCACCGACAATAATTTCTGATCAACTCCTGCAAGCCTCTGCACCTCTGCACTGGTGGGCACATGGGAGTGGAAAGGATTAAGATCAGGAGCAGAACTATTTTGTTATTGCGAGGAAGGAGAGAAAGAAACAGGACTCCCATGCAGACATGGTCCTTTCCTGCAACATTCTCCCTGCACCCATAAAGCTGGGTGACTGTTAAGGAGATACAGGCAATAGGGATACAGGCAAAATATAAGAGTCAAAGTGTAAAATTAATTATAAGTCAGGTGATAACTAAACGATTTAAAACTGAGAAAGGAATGAGACAAGGCTGTCCGTTATCACCATTGCTGTTCATACTGGTCCTGGAAGTTTTGGCTAGGAATATAAGGTCAGAGAAATCAATACAAGGAATTAAGGTGGGAAGACAGGAATTTAAATTAAAAGTTTTTGCAGATGATCTAGTAATTATGGTAGAATAGCCAACGACATCCCTCCCAATACTTTTAAAGAAAATTCAGGAATTTGGGCAGGTGGCTGGATTTAAGATAAATAAAGGAAAAACTGAGATGATAGTTAAAAATATGACTGATTTGGAAAAAAGAGAGTTAGGAGTAATGACAAACATGGAGATTTATATAAAAAAGTCAAATATCTAGAAATTTGGCTTACAAATAAAAACCTGAATTTCTATAAAGATAACTATGAGAAAGTTTAAAGAAGATAACAAAAGGGGGTTCAGCTGCACTTTCTCAAACTTCCAAAAGGAAATTGTCGAGGGAAATAATACTGTAAGAAGCATATAACATTTTGTTATAGGAGAGACTTTAGATGAGGTGGTAAAATCAGCACAAATAAAATGGGCTCAGGCTGCTGGGCATAATATACAGTTGGAGGAATGGGAAAGATTATGGAAAACAAAATAAAGTTTACAGATTGTATATTATTAAGAGAAAATTATTTGAAAATGATATATAGATGGTATATCACACCAGAAAAAAATTGCAAAAACGTATAAACCAGGATCTAAGATATGTTGGAGATGTAAAGAGAAAGATGGTACTTTCTTTCATGTATGGTGGGAATGCAAGAAGGTTAAAGAATACTGGGAAATGATATATAATGAATTGGGAGGAAAAGTTGAAAAACAAAAAACCTTTGTTAAAAAACCAGAATCTTTCCTGCTTGGAATCTTAGATTATGATATAAGAGAGGGAAACTGCCAATAAAGGAAGAATGGCAAGCCAAGCTTATGGACTACGCGGAACTTGCTAAGCTGACAGAGGATACAGGAGAGAGACAACATTGACTTCAAAAAGGAGCGGGAACCATTTATAAATTACCGTATTTTTCACCCTATAGGGCGCACCGGCCCATAGGGAGCACCTAGTTTTTTGGGGGGGAAATAAAGAAAAAAAAATTATTTCCCCCCCGGCGCGGGGCTGGGGCGGGGGAAGCCCAAGCTTCCCCCGACCCCAGCCCCCAGAACAGGCTGCTATCCGCAAGCCTTCCCCCACCAGCCCCGACAAGCTCTGGGAGTATTCCCCACCTCCCGCAGAAGCCGCGCGCTCTTTAAAGGGGCTGCGCAGCTTCTATTGGCTTTTCTAGGAGGTGGGGAATTCCCCCACCTCCCGCAAAAGCCCGCAGGCTGCCATCCGCAAGCCTTGGGAGCCCGGGAAGTTGCGACGGGCTCCCAAGGCTTATGGATAGCTTCTGGAAGCCTGCATTCGCCCCATGGGATGCACACACATTTCCCCTTCATTTTTGGAGGGGGAAAAGTGCATCCTATAGGGCGAAAAATACAGTATATAAAAAGACAGTATAAAGATTTGGACTCATTGGCAGGTTTTGACTAAACTTTCATAACTATATAAGAGGTAAATTCAGCAGGGTATAGAATTTCTTTAAATAAATCAATACAAAATACAGGGGAAGCCAAAGAGGGGGGAGGGTAGAAATATGGATATATAAATTGTTCAATTAAGGTTTGTGGAAAATTTGTTGTTATAATTTGAAAATTCAATAAAAAATATTTTTTTTTAAAAAAATGATTCTAGAGTCACAAATGTTGCTTTCTATATGGAATAAACACACACACAAACATATTTTGAGGCGCAAAAAAGAGGACACATTTGCCAACTTCTACTGGAAAAAGATGGGACGCGGGTGGCACTGTGGGTTAAACCACAGAGCCTCTTGGGCTTCCCGATCAGAAGGTCAGCGGTTCGAATCCCCGTGACAGGGTGAGCTCCCGTTGCTCGGTCCCTCCTCCTGCCAACCTAGCAGTTCGAAAGCACATCCAAGTGCAAGTAGATAAATAGGTACCGCTCCGGCAGGAAGGTAAACGGCGTTTCTGTGCGCTGCTCTGGTTCGCCAGAAGCGGCTCAGTCCTGCTGGCCACATGACCCAGAAGCTGTACGCCGGCTCCCTCGGCCAATAAAGTGAGATGAGCGCTGCAACCCCAGAGTCGGTCACGACTGGACCTAACGGTCAGGGGTCCATTTACCTTTACCTTTACTGGAAAAAGAGGACACATGTCAGCCCTCTATGATATTCCCTATCCTGTGCAGCAGGATGTTAAACTCAATGGGGGAACACTTACCAGAATCTTGTGCGTTGTCTTCTTTCTGACAGGATCTGGGCCACCACTTCTGCCCCTGGAATGTTTGTTGCAACATAACAGGTTAGCTACTAGCAGCCTTCGGTCAGCAAACCCAACGCCCCCGGACACGGGTCCTCAAAAGTGCAAACTTGAGAGAGGATTATTGTAAATCTGTGGGGCCCGTGTTCCTTGGGGGAGAGGGTAGTTAAAAGGTGTCAGGAACTGGGGTTATTGCCAGGAGTGGGTGATGGGCTCATGTTTCTACATGCCAAGCACTCCTACTTTGTGACATATTTGTGATGTATCTGGAAATGTATTATGGGAAGGGGCGGAAGGTCTTAAAAGTTCACGCAACCCCAAGCTTGGGGTTCCTATTCTCTGTGTGTTTGAACCTTGTTGCAACAAATAAAGATCAGGTCTACTGGCCGCTGTTTTGCTTCTTTCACTTGGCTGGAGACTCCTCCTCCTGCTGACCAGAGGGATCCGCGGGGAGTGGCACCCCGACGAGCCAGGCAGCGGAGGAAATCCTCACCCCAGGATTTTTCCTTATCACTGAAGTGACAATAGACAAAAGCACCTCCTCCATTAGCATCATGAGGACCAAACTGGGTCTGCAAAAGCTACTTCCTCTGTCCTGCAAGAGAGCTGGGAGGAGAGCTGGACTCCTTTAGCCGGCCAGGATCCGGATATCTCCTAAATGGCACCTTGGTTCCCACTTACCTTGGGGGATCCTGACTGCTTTGCCATATCTCGCTGCCGCTGACTCACCCGCCCCGGTCTCTTCTCCATGCAAATGACAGAGTTACAGCTGTACGAACGATTGCAAGCTACTTTCTGTGGCAGATTTTTATTTTTGCAGTCCATACATTTTTATTTTAAATCCCAGTAAAATCCCACTTATTTCTTTATTTCCACTGATGTGCAGATTTACAGAACGAAAACCACCAGCATGACACACATGAAGAGGAAATATTTTACAAATTCAAAAGACCACACACCCATTAAACAGATACCAATCCAGACATTTCTACAATTGTGCAGTAGGTGTGCCATGAAATGACTCTGTCAGACTTCAGGGATATCATTCTCAGGCAAAAAAGGCTTTTAAATGTGTCAAGAGATGGAATCAGTTCCTGTGCTTAGTCAGCTGAGCCTGAGGGCAAAACTCAGTGGCAACTGGAACTAGAGCAAAACTGATCCTACCACAAATTCTTCAAATAATTTTAAAATATTTTGGCCATGAATCCACCCCAAATCTTGGGTTTTGTTTCCTTATTCTATATGCAATTACTTAATTTTTTTCTGCGCTGAGTTGTGGCCCTCAAAACAGGTTCTGAGGCTAAGCCCTGCCTCAAATCAGCTCTCTCAGTTTCTCATTTTGACAAATACAGCTCTCTAAATTTGTGCAGCAATCTGCATTAAAAATAAAACAAACCTCATGCAAATTCACCAGCATTTAGTGCAAGTCTCTCCTTAAAAACATTTTTGTATGTACACATTCTTGCAAGCAATTTCCCCCAACATAATGCATGGATTTTTTTTTATTTTTTTAAAAAGTAATATATGTATTTTATTCCACACTTCCCTGCTTTTTGCATTTTCATATTCATTGTTTGGCTGGAAAACTGCATCACAAAATTCATAAATGACCATATAGCATATATTCAACACAAAAAACAGTGACAATTTGTTGTTGACAAAGGACAGCTGGACATCTGAAGGGCCCCATTACCTTCAGGAGCTGAGGGCCTCATCAAACCTCAATCCGGCCCTGGACACAAGTTCTAATGAGAGAGGGAAACTTTTCTGTCTCTTTTCTCTGTCCACGTGCCGTGAGTTGAGCCCCATGGACTCTGTGGGGTTGGCTTTCGAGAATGCATGTGCAGGATTGGGCTCTCTGCCGCTTGCAGCCTCCCTCCCCCCCCGGAGTTGCTTGCAAAGCCTTTTCCCTTCCAACCTGCTGCTGTCTCGGGCAGTCAGGGGGCGTCCCCTGCTCTGCTTCAGGAAACTGAATTTATTCCGCCCCGTGAACTTTCATTTTCAGCTCCGAGCGAACCTTCGTCTCACAAGCTGAACGATTTCAGGGAGAGCGGAGGAAGGAGCAGCATGCAGGGCACGGCGATATCTGGTTTTCATCACTGCAATGCATCACCAGCTAAACACTGCAATATATTTATATATCACAATGTCTGAAATAAGGATGGAGCGATAGATGTGAACAGATACCTGGTTTTCAACATGGCGATATATCACCAGCTAAACACCATGATATACCGATATATCACAATGTCTGATGGATGGATGGAGCTGTGTAGAGGCACTGACTGGCTTCACAGTTTTTCTCGCATTGTGATTTCTGCATAGTACACACGCATCATGACTTGCGATAAACTGCCAGGTCAAATATTATGAAACCGATATCACGATACGGACTTCAAACCAGTTTCCGACAATATATCACCCAGCCCTAGTACTGGCTTTGATAAGGTTCATACATGTGAGGTTGTTTTCCTTGTTTGCGTGCGTGGAACAGTTTCATATGTGCTTCTATTGTTACGTTTGTCCTGTTCGGTTGGTTTGACATGTGATTCAGAAATGGAATGAACTGATGCAATCAATCATCAATCAATCAAATATTTATTACGGCCATAGACCAGAATAAGTAGGGTGGGGTGCAATCATTTAGAATCTGTAAAACGTTTTGGAAAGCTAAAAAGTATTAAAACAGAAGGTATATCTAAAAGACTATAAGAATCTAAAAGAAACTAAAGGAGGGGTTAGGAGCATTAAACAGATGTGGAGGAGCATAAAAGATTAGTATGTAAAAGACTACAACTATCAGTTTAGAGAGCACTATGATGTGAGTGTTCATGAAATCTAGTTTGTGGTGCAGGTCATCATCCGATGGATCTTGAGTGCTGCTGTCCAGAACCTGGCAATTTTGTATGTTGTAGCAGGGTTGGGATCTGACAGCAGCAGGGAGGTATAAAATTGTCCTGTGCACCTCGGGGTACTTGTGGTGTAATGGGGAGAGGAGGCTAATACAAATGTCTCTGTAATATAGGAAGTGGAGAAGCACATGCTCTGTTGTTTCTGTTTGTCCAGAGTCACAGGGGCATTGCAACTGATACAATGACAAATAAAATATTAAGCAGGTGATTCTTAGGGCATTGCACCCAGACAATCCGGTTTGTTCATTAGTTTATTTGTTTTCCTCCTGACAACTCATAAGAAGCTGGTGGGCTGGCTTTAAAAATCCCCAGCTTTGCTAAAGGGAAGATATTGAAAGAAACGATTACAATGGTAATGTAACAGGTAAAGCACTGCACCACACACACATAAGGCGATAAATACTTTTCTGTAGCTGAAGCCCTTGTGAGCTTTCCCTTTCCCCTCTCCCTTGGCCCTTTTCCTGCCTTCCGCCATGTAAGATCCAAGCGCTGCCTCCATGGATGGCGTCTCCAGGTATGGCTCTTCATTCCCCTCGACCATCTCCAGGACCATCTCCATCAGCTCAGAGACCTGGTCCTCTCGTTCTTCTATTGCCGCCCTGTTATTAAAAGCGCAGAAGCGCCCCCCGCATTCTTGGACCAGCTTCCGGACAGCCTCGTTATCTGACTGCATCACGTAATCCCACAAGGAGTCGCCTTCTAAGGCTTCTTTGCGGGTGAACAAGATGATGGTGTGCTTCATGGCCTCCGTCCCAAACATCTCCCGGACTCGCTGGGCTGCCTCCTCGTCCTCCGTGGTGAAGCGGCCCACCTGGGTCACAAACACGAGCGCATGAGGGCCAGGCTGAGAGAGGTCAAGGCAGCGCTTGGTCTCCTGGTCCAGCCTTTCATCGCAAGCTCCTGTGCCCAAAATATCCGCTGTGACAATCACGGACACAGGATGGCCTCTCCAAGTGCAAGACGCCCTTTGGCAGGACAAGGTGGTTGTCCTGGCCTGAAGTTTCGAATCAAAGAGCTTCTGGCCACGGATGCTGTGTCCTGGGGCGCTTGTGCCGCCTCCAGTCTTGCCCACAAGGATAATCCTCAGTTCTCTCCTATTTCCTGCGGGTTTTGAAAGATAGCAAAGAGCTGGTCAGCAAAAATATCAGAGCAACCACTTCTGGTGGGATCCCTCTTAATATGTGATTGTTGAGAATTATATTGTTTTCTGATCCTCAGAGAGACTGAATGCATATGTAAAGCGTAAGGTAAAGGTAAAGGGACCCCTGACCATTAGGTCCAGTCATGACCGACTCTGGGGTTGCAGCGCTCATTTTGCTTTATTGGCCGAGAGAGCTGATGTTTGTCCGCAGACAGCTTCCGGGTCATGTGGCCAGCATGACTAAGCTGCTTCTGGCAAACCAGAGCAGCGCACGGAAACCGCCGACCTTCTGATCGGCAAGTCCAAGGCTCTGTGGTTTAACCCACAGTGCCACCCGCGTCCCTTATGTAAAGTGTACACATGTATAAATAAAAGCAGAAGAAGAACAGATTGGGAAACATTTGTGTTACACCTGATAAATTCAACAGTGTAAATAAGTTTTGATGGATGCAATAATGGAATACTGAATGGTTTAGTTTTTGTAAAATACAGTGGTACCTTGGGTTAAGTACTTAATCTGCTCCAGAGGTCCATTCTTAACCTGAAACTGTTCTTAACCTGAAGCACCACTTTAGCTAATGGGGCCTCTTGCTGCTGCCACACCGCCGGAGCATGATTTCTGTTCTCATCCTGAAGCAAAGTTCTTAACCTGAGGTACTATTTCTGGGTTAGCGGAGTCTGTAACCTGAAGCGTATGTAACCTGAAGCATATGTAACCCGAGGTATCACTGTATGCAGGGATTTATGTTATGCATCTTGAATTTGAACAAGCGCTAGTCAGTGGGGCCCAAGCCCACAGGTCCATCTTTGTCCAGGTTCAAATGGCCTGTTGGCGAAAGGTGCCCATTGGGAAAGCCACCGGCTGAAGGTCGAGGTCCTGTCCTCCTTTGCCCGGGAGACGGTCCATGGCTCTGTGCTCCCTTGGGCCAGATGCATCCCTTCCTCCTCCTGCTGCCCTCAGCTGCAGCCACCATATCCCATCCTCAAGGCAGGAGCGGCCCAAGACATTTTGCTGCCTGGGGCGAAGGAGAAGATGGTGCAATTCCATTCTCTGCATCAAATCTGACTAGATTGGGAGTTGACTCTCAAGCCAACCCTGGTGATGTAATGATGTTGCTTGGCATCGCCCACAGTGCCCCCTCGATCCCCTTAAGGAGATGTTTATTATGCTAGGTGTTTTTAGGATTGTATTTGACTCTTGGTGATGTTCTGGCACATCGCATGGCACTCATTTCTTTTTTCTTTTTTAGTCTTCTATTTATATTTTTCAAATTTATACATTTCATTAGTTTTGCAAACAATTTAACATTTCCAGATTTTGACTTCCTTCCCCCTCTTTCTGTGGTTCCTTAAATTATTATTTTTCAAAAATATATTCTGCATATGCAAATTAATTTAACTTGCTCATTTATTTATCTACTGTAAATATGTACTCTTACAAAACTGCAGGTTATTACATTAATACTGCTAACGTTTTTATCTGTTTACAGTTTATCTGTAAATATTCAATAAACCATTTCTATTCTTTTATAAAAAGTTTGTTAACTTGATTTCTTATTCTTCCGGTAAGTTTCACCATTACTGCATATTCCGTAAGTTTTTGCATCCATTCTTCTTTTTCTGGGACTTCTGCTTCTTCCCATTTTGGGGTGAGTAACATTCTTGCTGCTGTAGTCGCGTACATAAACAAATTTCTATACAGTTTAGGTAGTTCTACAATTCCCACGAGAAAATCTGAGGGTCAGAAAAGTGGCAAGAAAGGAGTGCTTTTAGGAAACATTTCTAGCCACTTCCTCGACCCTCAGAATTTTCTGCCTGAGGCAGCTGCCTCAGTCTGTCTCGTAGAAGAGCCGGCCTCTTAGGAAGAGGTGGGAATGATGTTGGGAAAGATGGAGGGCCCAAGGAGAAGGGGGCAACAGAGGACCAGATGGTTGGAAGCTGCCAGCATGAGTTTGACCAAGCTGTGGAAGACAGGAGTGCCTGGTGTGCTCTGGTCCAGGGGGTCATGAAGAGTCGGACACGACTAAACAACTAAACAACAACAACAGGCTGGCTTTAACAGAGGATGAGGTGAACTCCTGGAGGACAATGGCTTCTAGCAATATGCTCCACTTCCACTGCCAGAGAGGAGGTTGCAGGATGCCCATCGCTGGGGGCCAGGAGGGGGAGAGTGCTCCTGTTGCACCCAAGTCCTGCTAGTGGGCTTCTTCCCTAAGGGACATCTGGTTGACCACTGTGAGAACAGGATGCTCAACTGGATGGGACATTGGCCTGTTCCAGCTGTAGGGCTCCTTTTAGGCTCTTCTCTCATGTGGGACGATCCCCCATTGCTCTGCTTGGAATCTGGATTTAGGAAAGTTGCCCCCTTCAACAACTGCAGGCAATTGCAGTGCAGTGAGAGGCAGAAGCTTCTTGCCGTTGGCCATTTCTGGGTATTCATGTGGTTAGAAAGAATATTCCACCCAGCAACTGAATATACAATTTTGATGCTGAGAAACAGGAAGTTGTTTCTCCTCTGGTGTGGTCTTTCTTTTCAAATGTGCCTCTCGCTGCGCTATCTCTCTTTCTGTTCTTTTATCAAACAGCTCTGCAGAGATGTCAGAATTGCATTTCACAGAAACTGGGTTCGCCTTTTCCTCCTTCTCAACCCAGCTGCATTCCTTTAGAGACTGAGCCACAAATGGCAAGGGCTAGGCTGACTGCTTCCAAACAGATCCCAAGAAGCTTATTGGATATTCCTCAGAAAGATCAGTAATGACAGGTGAGCTTCTCAGAGAGGCAGCTTGACCCACCAATGCATTTTTTTTTAATATTCAGCATTTAATTATTTATTTAGTAATTAATTGCTGTTGTTGTTATTCAATTTATATCCACCCTTCTCCCAACGGAGCTCAGGGTAGCAAACATATCACTAGCAATATCAGTAAAGACATTCTGAAAACCGGGAAGGTATTCTAACCTTCTCACCCCCTTGAGAACTTTCCCAGATCAGTCAAAAGCATCACATTCTCTTGGCCAATGCCACTCACAGCCAGCGTATCAGCAGAATGGCAGCCTCTCCTCCTCCTTGCCCCCTCTCCCACAGTCACCATGAGCTGCCCAAGGGAGGAGGCCAGAAGCAGTGGCCATGGAGAGGCCATGAGATGCTCCTTCTCACAGACGACTCCTAGATGGAGATGGACCAAGGAGCTGATGCAGGAGAAAAGAAATTTCATGTATTCATAGGAAGTGGTGCTTGTGCAGGCAGCCTGTCTGAAGGTTAGTTCTGGTCCAGGAAGAGAACCAGATATACTCATGAAACAGTGAGATTATTCATTTATTAACCTCTAGAAATAATCCAAAAGGAGCAGCAGGACAAGAGGAATTACCGTATTTTTCAATGTATTGGATGAGGTTTTTTGACACAAAAATCATGTGAAAAAACTAGGGTCGTCCAATACACGGATAGTGGCATGGGGCGGGGGAGATGTCGCAGAGAGAGGGGAGCGATCTGGGGGCACTTGCTGGTGGCGCAGCTTCCCCGATGCCGCTGCACGTGGGAAGCACTGCCCGGATCGTTTCCCATGCGCAGCTGCATGGGGGAAGGCGCCTTACGGCCAACCGGCTGCCCGCAGCTACATGGGGGGAGAGGCTCAACAACTCTGGGCCATCTCCCCTCATTTTCTTAAAACTGAGTCCCTCAAAATAGGGGGGAGTCTTATATATGGCGGCGTCTAATAGATGGAAAATATGGTATGAATAAGCCTTAGAATTCCACAGAAACATAGTACAGTTTGGGCTTAAGGAGGTTGTGAAGGCAAAGGTTGTTTAGATGCCTGATTATGGGCTTCCAAAGCAACTACAGTGGTACCTCGGGTTACATACGCTTCAGGTTACAGACTCCGCTAACCCAGAAATATTACCTCGGGTTAAGAACTTTGCTTCAGGTTGAGAATAGAAATCGTGCTCTGGTGGCGCGGCGGCAGCAGCGGGAGGCCCCATTAGATAAAGTGGTGCTTCAGGTTAAGAACAGTTTCAAGGTTAAGAACAGACCTCCAGAATGAATTCAGTTCTTAACCCGAGGTACCACTGTACTCTAATCCCAACCCATCAATGGAAAGCGAAATGCCGGTGAACAACAAAAGAGGTTTAAAGATGCTTTCAAGGCAAATCTTAAAAAATGTAGCATAAGCATGGATAATTGAGAAACATTTGTGGGATGTGATATACAAGTAGCAGTCAAGTACAACATGCCTTGTTTTCCTAGAGTGGACATGTAAGGGGATGTTTGTTCCAGCCAGTCAAAAACTTCCTGTTTCCTCCTGGGTTGGAGCATCCTTCCTCTTGCGTGTGACTGGACGTGGGCATGACCTTACCTGTCCAGGTGACAAAAGGACCAGGCACGCAGCCCGCCCGCCCACCCACTCTCTCTTCGACTTCCTCCTTCATTGGAGCAACAGCTCTTTTTAGCTAGAGATTCTCAGTTGGCTTTCAGCTTTCAGCCAACAGAGGACAAAGAGACCATCTCCATATGGAATAGAGACTCATGTATATATATCTGTAACTAAGTCTGCCTTCAGGGATCCAACTGTGAACTGAATGTGTGAGTAAACTTATTTTATATTCCTTACAAAAGATTGTGTTGTGTCTATTCTTTTAGAGGGAAATAAAGGGGACTTACCAGGAATCTATATTGAGAAGCTTAAACAAGCTTGCAACCAAGCTAACCGCTGTGTGTTTAAAGGGGAATGTTAAAACTCTGCTAAGTTATAGAACTTGCCAGCGCAAGTTAGGAAGGATATTATTAAACAATATATCCTCTTCTGCCCCCCTGAACATTCCCACAACACTGACCTGGGAGAGCTCCAATTGGAGAACAGCCTTTACCAAAAGCGTCATGGACTTTGAAGAAGCACCAACTCAGGACAAAAGGGAGAAAAAAGCTAAGAGGAAGGCATGTTTGGCAATGCTCATCGTGGTCAGTTCCCACCCAGAAACCTATGTCTCTGCTGTGGAAGGACGTGTGGACAGCAGCGGAGGAAACCTCTCAGGCACCTGGGGCGCTCATAGGGGCGGGGCGCAGTGCCCAAAGGGGTGGGGCGTTCTGCCTCCCGTGTCGTCCCTATGGGCACCACGCCCCCTGTCCCTATGGGTACCACACGCCCCGTGCCATGCTGTCCCATGCTGTCCCTATGGGTCCCACAGTGGGGCCTCAGCCGCCCTACAGCTGGGGGGGAGGCAGCGGGCCAAAAGCAGGGAGCCTGTGGACGCCAAGACTCGTGGCTTGTGCGCTCTGCCGGCCCTGCAGTGACTAGTGCCGCCCGCCATTTTGTCACCCCCCCCGTCAGGGTGACACCCAGGGTGAGTCACACCCCCTGCATCCCCCTTTCTACACCCCTGTGTGTGGATCCAGAATTGGCCTCCACAGTCACTTATGGACACACTGTTGAGACTGTGTTCATGGAAGACAATCTTATTCGGCCAAGAGGGAAGGCAAGGGTGATGCCCTCCAAGCCGCTTATTGGTGAAATCTGTAGGATGTAAAGCTGCAGTCAAGTGCAACATTCTGACAGAGGACTAACGGCCTCCATGTTCTAACCGGTTGCTGTGACAACCAGTTTGTCGGTTGCTGGTAGTTTTGAAAGATAACTGCTCAGTTGCACTCACCTCAGGACCAGCTTCCCTCTGGTATTGTAGCCTTATGAGGCTTTGCCCTCGGGTGGGAAAAATATTGCGCCTGGGAAAGGGAAGTGGGAGTCAACAGACACTCAAGGAATAGTTTCGGAGAAAAGGCTTTTATTTCTACCATCCATGAACTGGTAGAAGGAGCAAGTGTGATAAGTCACAAAAAGCATGCACGAGTTCACAATCATGTGCACAAACATATATACCCCTTTCCAGTTCCCTCCTCCTTTCTCCTCCCTCAGGAGTCCTGCCCCATGATGTGTTCCCCTGAGCATGTAAAGAAAGCTGTCTTGGAACTATTGTGGACTCTTGGCAGGAAAGGGGGTGAGGGGGTTTCAGTGTGTTCCAGTTGTTTCATTCTTGTGCTTTGGCATGGTTCCCGGACAGAAAGCAAGTTGCAGTGTGGTTCTTTAGCAAGGCCAGAAGGCATGAGAAAGGCCTGAGAAACAATGGACTGTTCTCTACCTTTGTTACAGCAGAGCGGAATGTTTCTGATGCTTAGCTGCTGAGAAAATGATTTTGAAAAGCTTTGAGAAGCTTTGAGCCTGCTTTGGTGGGGGGTGACTTCGGGCCTAGACTTCGGGTCACCTGTCCTCACCTTCCTTCATTCCCCCCTCTTAATCTTTGGGCAGCTTTTTTCTTAAAAAGGCTCGTCCCAGGAAGGTACAGGCTGCTCGTCCCAAGACGGTACAGGCTGGTATACTTGGGCCAGCGCTATAATCTGGGGGCGAAGCATGCGTGCAGATACCCCCCCCCCTTCTGAAGCCCACATTGCAGCCAGAAAAAGTTCCTGGCGTGGACTCAGGTGTAACGGTTTGGGCTGGGAACGTACGATTGCAGATTGTCACTGGCGCTCTCTGATTTATTGACACAAAGCCAGCCAGTAATTTGGTGATGGAATGATCGAGGCTGTAACTGAGGATTCATTCCAAGGCACAGGGAGGAGCGGCAGTCCCCTCAGAGCATCTACAGGTGCCAGAGTGCAGACGGTGCTAATCTGTGCCATTCGTGCACAGGGTTATTACCAAGTTGGTGCTGTGGTTCAAAGGGGGGCTTCTGGAGGCTCTGGGTGGAGCTCTGCCAGGTGGCAAGATAATGAAAGGAGGCTGGGGCATAATTTCCCTGATTGAACGTCCCACACAAATACCCTCCTCTGCAGGGGTGTTGTAAGGCTATCCAGGGGCCCTCAACCTTCTGTAAAGTTCAGTTCTGCAAAAGGAAAGAAAAGAAAATGAGAAAATGTCCTCTTTCAATCCACGCTGGATTCTTGAGCCGTGCAAAGCATCAGCGTGATGCAGGAAGGCTGGGTGGTCATCTCACGGGCGTCGGGGCGTCTGGTGGGCGTTGGGCATCTTGGGTCCCTTCCAACAAGGCTGGAGCGTCTGGGCATCTGGGTCCAATCTGGGTCCTCATCACCTGGCTCATAAGGTATTCTGGCAAAAGTCCACCTGTTAAGAGAAGAGATAACAAAGGCAGCAGCGATCGCACAGAACAAATTGATAGATAACATTTGCACATAAGGCATATTAACTCAAAGGGGATAGCATGGCAGGAAACTTCGCAAGGGGTTAACAGTTCTGTTCCTTGGGTTAAGTTTTGTCAGCTGAGATTTTTTTTTTTAAAGTCTTTTTCTCTGCGCACTAATTTTCAGAGCTCTCGTGGCCTGTAAGCCATGTTGCAAATTTCAGTTTTCATCTGCCAAGTTTGCTAGTGTCCAATGTGTTCCCTTGCTTCTGGCAAAGTATCAAATTCCTCAAAGTAGCAATTCCTATGGTATGCTGTGGCTCCTTTTTCAGAAGTTCACAGAAAGCATTCACTTGCTTTTTTTTTTTAAGAAAGTCATTTCTTCAGGTTAGTATTTGGGGGCAGGGGGGTGGGTAACCCTTGGCCTTCTGGGTTTTTGTGGCTGAACTGTAAATCCAGACAGTGTGAGGTTCGTGGTAGCTGGTTGGCGAGAATGCAGCATTTTCCTCTTGGGATAGCAGCCAAGAGATAAGCTACTCCAAGCGCCTGGCACAAGGGGGGGGGGGGGGAGCTAATGTCCTGTTACTTGCGTGAATGAGAAACAGTCTGTTCACTTGCTTTCCACTGCAACAGTCTTTTAGCAAGAACAGAGATGAGAAGAAATCATTTTTGAGAAATCTTATTGTTCCCAGCCTGTGGGGGTGGGGTGTGTCGGGCGTGGGGCCTGTGGGCATTCCATTTCCCAATGACCCTCTTGCCTTTGTACCCTACCTTCTTCGATTTCTTCTTCTGCTGCCCTTCAGGGATTTCTCCAGCATTCATTTCATCCTTCACTGGTTCCCCTGCTGCTGTCTGCTTTGAAGTCTCCCCAGGATTCCTTCCATCTGACCTCAGTGACATCTCCATCAGACGCGGCTTGAGATACGGCTGGTCCCCGTTCTCCTGAACCACCTTCTCAATCAGAGACAGCAGCTCTTCCGCCTGGCTGGCCCTTTCCTCTCCCGTCCCTCTGTTGTTGAAAGCGCAGCAACGGTCCTTGCATTTCCTCACCAAATCCTGCAGGACTCTGTTTCCAGACAGCCCTATGTACTCCTCTAGGCTTTCTGTCTCTAGGTCTTCTTTGCGGGTGAACAAGACGATCATGTACTTTGTGGCCTCTGGGCCAAAGACCTCCTCCACCCTCTTGGCGGCCACAGCATCTTCTTCGGTGAAACGACCGGCCTGCGTCACAAACACCAGGGCGTGGGGACCTGGCTCACAGAGAGAGAGGCACTTCTGGACTTCCAGAATATCATGCTCTGTTTGAGGACGAGCATCAAAAATGTCCAGAGTGTCAATGACGACCACTTGTTTCCCCTTCCACCTCTCTGCTCGGACCTCTCTGCTGTAAGTCTCAGTCACTGGCTTCAGGGAGAGTTTGGACTCAAACTTCTCTTCACCCAAAATGGTGTTTCCTGTGGCACTTCTGCCTCCTCCCGTCTTCCCAACAAGAACGACCCGCAGTTCGGAATCCTTGTGGGATCGACTCTGGTTCCCAGGCTCTATTGGGAAGGAATAAGGAACGTTAACACTATTAAGAGTGTCGCTGAAATTTTGTCCACGCAGTATTTTAAAATGCATCACAAGGAGGAATTTCTCCTACTGCACAAGTCCATATTATGCTCCATCCTGTCTTTTGGATGAAAAGTGTGAGAATGTCTTGCAAGAGAGGTTTGTTAATTTCATACCCCACAGAGGGGGAGGGAGGGAACGCAGTATTTGTAGGGCAGGGCTGGGAAAGTCTCCTGCCTGAAACTCTGAAGAGCTGCTGCCAATCAGTGTAGACAGTACTGAGCTCAGTACAAGGCAGGTTCCTCTGTTCTATGTAACAGGATGCTGTGCTTGAGAGGCCTTTGGCAGGATTCAGCTCCAGGGTTATCCTAAATTCTTAATACAGTAGACATTGCCTTTCTCCCTCCACCATGACCCAAATCCATCCCCTCCAAATACACCAGAATTCATGCGGTGGATTGCACAAAGCAAGCTAACTCTTGCACCCATCTCCATAATTTGCAAAATGTTTGCAAGTTACAGAGCCACCCCTTATGGGTGCAGAATTCTTCTGCCTTTGGGCTCTTCCTTGTACAAAGAAGAAGAGCAGGTATTTGGTGGGTTTCTTTAAGGAAGGGCTACCTTGAGAATCTCAACTCAGGGAGATCTATAACTGCTTCCGAATCATAATTTGACTCTACCTTTAGGGAATATACTTGGTCCTCCTTTGTCTGTGTCCATTGCTTCTTCCTCTGGTTTCATTTTGTCTGCGCTTCTTGTAGGTCCTCTTGGAAACAGCTCGAGGAAAGGCTTGTTCTGGTTGTCCATCATCATCTGCTCGATTGTCACCAGCAGCTCTTCCGCCTGGCTGGCCCTTTCCTCTCCCGTCCCTTTGTTGTTGAAAGCGCAGCAACGGCTGTTGCACTTCCCCACCAAATCCTGCAGGACTCTGTTTCCAGACAGCCCTATGTACTCCTCTAGGCTTTCTGTCTCTAGGTCTTCTTTGCGGGTGAACAAGACGATCATGTACTTTGTGGCCCCTGGGCCAAAGACCTCCTCCACCCTCTTGGCGGCCACAGCATCTTCTTCGGTGAAACGACCGGCCTGCGTCACAAACACCAGGGCGTGGGGACCTGGCTCACACAGAGAGAGGCACTTCTGGATCTCTGCATTATTCTGCTGCTCTGGAAGGCAGGTGTCAAAAATGGCCGGAGTGTCAACGACAACAACTTGCTTTGCTTCCCATTTCTCTGCCCGGACTTCTCTCTTGCAAGTCTGGGTCACTGCCTTCAGTGAAGCTTTGGACTCGAACTTCTTTTCGCCCAAAATGGTGTTTCCTGTGGCACTTCTTCCTCCTCCTGTCTTCCCAACAAGAACAATCCGTAGATCTTCATGGAGGTTTCTGCTCTCGTGTGCTTTGGTGGTCTCTGGAAAGAAATTAGGAAGATGTCTAAGAATCCAAGACTGAACAGTTTTAAAGGGATGTCAGTTTCATGGCACGCTGCAGTAGCCCAACTGAGAGATTACCTTGTAGAAACACCACCCAGGTTCTTATTCTCAAGAAAGACCCTAAGGTGGCTGACCCTAAGTCAGTCAGGAGTGAAAACAATATTGACCTGGCCACACTCACACCTTGGAGACCCAAGTCCACAACTATTCCTGCAGCACCACTAAGTCTTGTTCCTTAAGGGAGAGTGGGCTGCTCATTTCCAGATTTGTGGGCCTGCCGCTTGCCTGGGAATTCGCTCCTGAATTGCCACCATCCAGGGTCCATACACTGCAACAATTCCCCTAAGCACCTGGGGTCACCTCACCCTTCCAACTGTGGCCCACAAATGGTCCAACCTTCACCATTCCCTTCACGTGGTTCTTTCACAGGAGGGTCAGGAGAAGGGAGAGACTTACCTCTAACTTCCGCTCTCCATTCATCCATTGTCCAGGCAGAATGCTGAGCCGGAAGAGAACCAGAAAAAGAAGTTCATTAGCTCCTGCAATACAGTTTGACTAGTACTTTCCCCAAACTCCTCTCCATCACCAGAGGAAGCTTATGATGTAAACACAACCCTGAAAGAACCTCAAAGCACCATATTCTGCCCCTGCAGATTTGGGATTCAATTACTAGGGAGGCAGCTGATGACTTTTTTTACATGCATTGGTCCTAAATTAGGTTTGCTAATTTTTCCTGTTGATAATTTCGTTGTTCTATCTTTTTGGATTTGAGGGTGTGTGGTTTTTACCACCAACAGGTGTATAAGCATTAATAAACAAACATGCCTAACACTTTGTCCTTCACAATCTCTTCAAGAATCTTCCCACCCTCTGCATTTGGGGGGGAAAGCACCCGGATATTCCCTTCCTCCAGCCAGAGCTGCATCTCCCCCCCCCCTTACCTGCTTCTGCTTCTGCCTTGGGGGTCCCTGGCAGCCTGGCCTGATATCCTCCCTTCTGCAGCTCCCAGGCAGGTGGGCTGGTTTGGGGAGGGCCCTGAACAGCTGCAGCCACTCAGGATGATGGTCTGTAGGCTCCTTGGGGCCTAGTCCTGATGAAAATACCCTCCACAGATGACCACCTCTTAAAGGCAGCTGCTTTTCAGTGGGGAGGGGGCTGATGCCAACCACTTCCAGTGCCTCTCCGCCCCCCCTTTACCCAGCGGACTCTCTCCCACTTGCTTCCTTCTGCTGCTGCTGGATGTCGCCATTCCAGCCCCCCTCCGCGGAACCTCCCCACTCAGAAGCCCTGGAGAAGCCACTGACTGCCAGTGTGGACAATACTAATCTAAATGGACCAGTCAGTCTGGTTCAGTACAAAACAGCTTCCTTTTTTCTCCATGTGGTTTGGGGCAGGGGGCACAGCTCAGCAGCTGAGCATCTGGTTTGCATAGAGATGGTCTCGGGTTCAACCGCTGGCATCTCCAGGGGGGCAGGTAGCCATTGCTGAGCCAGAAGGACAAAGGTGACATCTCCTTGCAAAGGGAGCTTCGGATGTTCCTAAGACAAGAAAGGAAACGGTACCTTCTTTGTGATGCCTCTGGAGCTTGAAGAAGACTCTCGTGTTCGATGGTCCCTCTGCTCTGCAGTTTCTTCTCTCCCTCTCTGTCGATGGCTGACTCTGTTCTGAGCTGAATAAAATGGAGCTCCACACACCCACCCCAAAAGCATTCATGGCTAGCAGCCAGATCATGTTCTGAGAAGCCAAAACAGCTTCCCAGAATTGCATATCTGTTTCTATTGGCTACAGGAGAGGACAAAACTGCCCTCTGGGAGGATAATTTCAGAGGAGCTGCATTTGGTCTCCTGCAGTTCTGGGAGAAGCACCCAAGAGGAGCAGCAGAAGGAGGAGGAGACCCACACGGAGGGAGACCCACACAGAGAAAGACCCACACGGAGGGAGACCCACACGGAGGGAGACCCGCACCTCAGACGGACCACAGGTTGGTATTTGGGAGCAGGGAGCAGCAGCCACAAGGTTTGACTTTAAGTCTTCTGTATCTCAACCTGCCTCAGAGATGCTCAAGGTCTGCTTTGTTTGACCTGTTGCTAGAGGCTGGGTTAGAGCTCTTGGGTCATTCCACGCCAAACAACCTGATTTTAATACTCGACCGTGCTCTCATGACTCAGATTTTCTTCAAAAAATTTTTTTGTGTAGATACCTATGAGATAACCTCAAATTAATTTCTAAAGTTTTTTTGGTCCAAAATTGGACATGGGAAATTTTTTTGAAAATTTCAATTTTCATGTGATTTAGGCTAATGCAATTTCTTGCAGAAGTGTTTTACACCATAAAATGAACAAGGGGTCTGAGATGCATTTTATTATTATATAATCAATAAAACTTAATTTTTAAAACAAATCAGATGACACTGTAACATAAGAGGTTACAATTTTAACTATTCTCATGAATGTGAGAGTTATTTCAGGTTCAAAGAGACATTAAACCTGTCCAAAGAAGTAATTTGTTTTGTAAAAAATTTACTTCAAAATCAATTTATTTTATAACCACAAAAAACACCCTCCTTATTTTTATAACAAGTACATGGTTAGCCCATTCTTCAACAAAAGTATGATACATGTGTTAGTTGTGGTTTGCGCACTATGGCTTATTGAACCTACCAGGAATAAAATGACAAAAATTCACTTTGAATAGTCGGTGACCCTTTTCTGTGGCAGTTAATACCATTTTTATACCTTATTTTGAAAGAGACCACAATGACCTTTATTTTGATACCAAAATAAGCCCAATCGGTTGAAAAATAAGCAAAACAGGAGGTTTTTCCTACACTGACGCAGAAATTGCATTAGCCTAAATCGCCTGAAAATCGAAAATTTCAAAAAATTCTCCTACACCCAATTTTGGACCAAAAAACCTTTCAAAATTAATTTGAGGTTATCTCAACATAAAACACATAAAAACTTTTTGAAGAAAATCTGAGTCGTGAAGCTCTTGGAAGCAAAACTTTGGCTTGCGTGTATAATAATGAATCTTTTCCTTTCGATTAAATGGGCAGTTAAAGGAGTCCCTCCATGGTGGATTGAGCCTGACAATCTGCAGGAACATCCCTCTGGGTTTTAAAGCTTATTTTTAAAAGAACATTTCCCTTCCCCTTTTTTCCCCTGCCAGAATTGCCTGAAATTTGCAGACATGGAGACTGACAAATCCCAAAATTAGAGCTGTAGTGTTTCCTTTGCCATTTTTTTTTTGGGGGGGGTGGTACAAATAGAAAAAGAAAAAATCAGTAGGGGGGAGGAATGGAAATGACTTCTTCTGCCCCACACCAGGGATTTTTCAGAACACAGCTTCTCCCTGCAAGAAAGAAATCTTTCTGGTTGTTTTTTTAAAAAATGTGTGTGTGTGGTTTGTTGGTTTTGGGAGGCGGGAAAGCGAAAGTGATCTCTCATGGGCCATGAAAGAACACCCTGCCTAGCTCCAGAAGTCAACAGATAGGGAGGGTGTGTTGTTTTTCTTGCTGGCCATTTCCTTCTTTCGTTTGAGGGACCTTTCACCGCAAAACAGGATACTAACAGGATCTCTGCTCTTAGCAAAACAGCTCAGCAAAGATTTCCATGTTTTATGTTTCATTAATGCTGCATATGAACACATGAAGAGCCCTCTGGGATCAGGCCAGGGGCCCTCAAGTTACAGACTCATAGAACTGAAGAGTTGGAAGGGAGCCCCAGGATCATCCAGTCCAACCCCTTGCAATGCAGTTGCCCCACACGGGGATTGAACCTGCAACCTTGGCGTTATCATTACCACGCTCTAACCAACAGAGCTCTCCAGTCCAGCCTCCTGTTCTCACAGTGACCAGCCAGATGCCCCCAAGGGAAGTCTGTAAGCAGGAGCTGAGCTCAAGAACAACTCTCCCCTTCTGAATTTTCCAGCAACTGCAATTCAGAGGCATCGCTGCCTCCGACTGTGGCTAACTCCAGCTGTGCACAAACATTATTTCACATGCATAGAACTGGAGTGAAACATATGTGCTGTGAAGGCAACAAGTGTGTGTTTGTGAACGTATCTGGCACACAGGTATATTCATCAGGGTGGCATTGATGAGGATGATGAAATACTTAATATAAATAGGAACAAAAATCCAGTAAAGGTTCAGTAAACCCATTCTGCTGATCAGACCTGGTGTGGTCTGGCATCTGGAAAGTAACAGTATTCTGGTTGCAACTGGCTTTCTTCTGTTGTGAGGAGACAGTCAATCAGTTCCTTCCTTAGCAGGCCACAAGCTTCACATGAGCCCACAGTGTGATGCAGCAGCAAAAAAGGCTAATGCTATTCCAGGCTGCCTCAGCAGAAGTCTAGTGTCCCAATCAAGGGCAGTAATGAGTCTATCCCTCCAGCAGGAGGGAATTGGGATGGGGGGGATATTTTGCAAATGCTACAATGCACCTTCTGCACTTGGTTTTGTAGGGGCAGTTCGTGGTTGGAGTCAAAGTCTGCCCTTCTGGGTGATGCTCTAAAAGGGAGGGGAAAGGGGGCACAATCCATGCCAAAGATTCACCCCTTTCTGTTTTTATATAATTTTTATTAAATTTTCTATTTTACAATTTAAAATACTCATTTTACATCCTTAAAATATCAATGACTTCCCTTCTTTTCTTTCCAAGGTTCCTTTTGCATATCATAAATCCCTGCATATTTTACAAAAACTATGCCAATCAGTATTCCATTATTACAGCCATCAAAACTTATTTACACTGTTGAATTTATCTTAATGCTGCCAGCATTTTCAGCTGTACAGAATTATTTCCCATATATTCAATATACATTTTCCTATCTTCTCTAAACGTATGTTCTTCTTGTTCTCTTATTCTATATGTTAAGTCTGCAAGTTGTGCATATTCCATCAACTTAAGTTGCCATTCTTCTTTGGTTGGGACCTCGCTCATTTTCCATTTGGGGGCTAAGAAAACATGGGCTGCGGTGGTGGCACACATAAATAACTTTTTTTGACACCTGGGAATTTCCGTCTGAATAATTCCCAACAGAAAGGACTCTGGTTTTTGGAGGGAAAGTACTTTTACACATTTTTCCAATTCATTATGAATAATTTCCCAATACTCCTTTACCCTTTTACAAGTCCACCACATATGAAAGAACATTCCCTCAACCTCTTTGCATCTCCAGCACTTATCTGATTCTGTCTTATACATCTTAGCAAGTCTAAAGGTAAAGGTAAAGGGGCCCCTGACCATTAGGTCCAGTCGTGGCCGACTCTGGGGTTGCGGAGCTCATCTCGCTTTATTGGCCAAGGGAGCCAGCGTACAGCTTCCGAGTCATGTGGCCAGCATGACGAAGCCGCTTCTGGCGAACCAGAGCAGCACACGGAAAAGCCGTTTACCTTCCCGCCGGAGTGGTACCTATTTATCTACTTGCACTTTGACGTGTTTTCGAACTGCTAGGTTGGCAGGAGCAGGGACCGAGCAACGGGAACTCACCCCGTCGTGGGGATTCAAACCGCTGACCTTCTGATCGGCAAGTCCTAGGCTCTGTGGTTTAACCCACAGCACCACCCGCGTCCCTATCTTAGCAAGTCTACTCGGAGTTAAATACAGGTAGTTCTCCTTCAAAGAATAACATGCTGTAAACTTCAAGTCACTTTTCCAGAATTTTCTCCAGAGGTTAAACTCTATATTGTGTCCTATATCTATTGCCCAGTGTGTCATTGAGACTTTGACAAGCTCGTCTTTTGTTTCCCAGTCTAATAATAAATTATACATTTGGGACAAAAGTTTCTTTTTGTTTTGTAGAACTTCTTTTTCAAATTGTGAGCTTTGGTCCAAAAAAGCATTTCTCCTGTCTGTTTTAAACATTTCATGTAACTGATAATATTGCAGCCACTCTGTCACATGGCTCCCTACACTTTCCATTGATTTCAGTTTAGGTTCCCCCTCTGTAAAGTGTAGCAGTTCCCTGTAAGTTGCCCATTGTCTGTCCATATTAACTGTCTTAATTGTAACAGCCCCAATAGGAGAGAGTCATAAAGGTGTTTTCCTTTCCAGCAGATTTTTATGTTTCTCCCAAACGCTATACAAATTCTTCCTTGGAATATGGTTCATAAAACTTTTATAAATTTTCACCTTCTCATGATTTAAAATTCAGCGTATCTCCGTCCTCATTGCTTTTCCAGGCAAAAGATGTTGCCAAACTGCAACTCCCACCGGCCCCAGCTAGCCTGGCCAAAGCGCCTGGTGGTGGGAGTTGTAGTTCAGCAGCCTCAGGAGGGGCAAAGGTTCCCCACGCCTGCCTGAAGGGACGGCCCCATCACATTTATACCGGGAGGCAAATTCCTGTCAGCTCTTCCACCCCCTGAATACACAGAATTTCCTCCTTCATCTGTGAGGGGTTTGGTGGGTTCCCCCAGAGCATGGCCCTGCTGCCCCCACAGTGCATAAAAATGGAAGACAATATTTATTATCACTGTTATTGGTTGTATACCGCCCTTCACCCAAACATCTCAGGGCAGTTCTGCCGGGGTCGACTGCTTTTGCTCCAGAAAGCCTCTTTTCTCCTAATCTCATATAAATTGAGGCTGGTTGTGGCTGAATTTATATGATGTTGAGGGAAACCTTCCTCTACCGCCAAGAGCCCACATGTCTGAGGCCAAGATGGAGGCCCTGCTGACAACCTCTTTCCCAAAAGCCCCGGGGGAAGAACAGATCCCCCGTGATGTCAATCCCTGCTGTATGAAGCCAACCAGCTTCCATGGATCCATTTTGGGTCCGGATACCAGGAAAGGGAGGGTTGTGCAACTAAGGACCTTGATTCTGCATGGATCCGACTTGTGGGGAGGCTGCAGGAGGGGGTTGGACTAGATGGCCCTTGGGATCCCTTCCAACTCTATGATGCTCTGTTTAAGAGCCTTTTTGGAGTGAAATGCTGACGAGTGGAAATGGGTTCCCACCATCTCACAACTTCCTTATCCTCCTGAAAGTGATCCTTGTCCCCTTGCACTTTGTCACTCCCGAACAGATAAAAGGAGAAGTGGCCTCTGTGCCTGAAGCAGACTTGTGCTTTAAGAGGGGACCAACGCAAGTCGAGACAAACTCAAGCAAGAGAGCCGCTTGTGGACAAAGGGAGAGTCATCCGTTTTCCACGTTTCTGGTAAGATGCATTTGCATGTTAGAAGTTGTCACGGCTTCTTTTGGTGTCAAAAGCTTCTTTTGCATGGCTGCTGCAAACCGTTCCAGCTGGCATGTTGCAGAGGGGACTTGGTGACGGGATCTTGCGCTGATGATGCCCTCGCCTCCTGCTCTCTGGCTCTTTGGAAAGGCCACAAATCCATCCTGATATGGCCCAGACTTGGAGCAAAGGAATGAAGGCTGCAGCTCAAGGCTCTCCTGGGCTTTGGGGTGGGACTAGGGGGACCCCTGCCCTGACTCAGGATATGGCACCTGTGATGGGATGATGAGCTGCTTGTGCGTAAAAGCGTATCCCCTCAGAGTTTGTTCAAGTCCACAAACCTCTGTCTGTGACGGAGCCCCTCAGACATGGCACCTCTAGTCACTAGCAGATTCCGACAGTGGTTGCTTTCGTAATCGCTTCCAACATAAAAGCTCCTTAACGGAAACACGTCTTCTGGAATCTCTGCGTGACAGTTTCCGGCGAGGAGTGGGTGTTCTTACAGGAGGTCCTGAAACCTCCCCACTGTTTTCGCTGGAAGTGTCTCTGAGCCATCCCTCCAGCTCAGCTCCTCTCCCCTGCTGGTTCCCTCTTCAGCTGCTGCGTCTCTCCCAACCTGTGTGAGCCCTTTCACCTCCCTGCTGGTTCCCTCTTCAGCTGCTGCGTCTCTCCCAACCTGTGTGAGCCCTTTCACCTCCCTGCTGGTTCCCTCTTCAGCTGCTGCGTCTCTCCCAACCTGTGTGAGCCCTTTCACCTCCCTTCCGTCCGATGGCAGTTCCCTGACATCCACCTCCCCTCCAGGGCCCCCTTCACCCCCTCTCGCCCCCTCCTCTACGGGCGGTGAGGAGGCAAAACCCCGGAATGAACTTCCTTCATCTTCCGATGTCTCGAACACTTCTCTCAACCTGTTGCGGTTCCTGGTCTCGAAGTACACCTCCTCCTCAGAGTCCATCTCCCCTTCCCCTTCCGAGTCCGGGAATCCTTCCAACTCCTCCCCTTCATCAGTGGTCCCAAAGTATTCCCTCCGGAACCTCTCCACAGGCTGAGGTTTCCTTGGGAACCTTTGATGGAACGTTTCTATCAATACCTCGTCATTGATATCTTCAGCCATTACCCAAGTGTTTTCTGACTCGGTTCTCCTTCCCACGCTACCAAATACTCCACCTGATCCCCTTCCACCTGGCGTCGAGGATTTCTGCCACATGGCTGCTGCATTCTCTTTCTTCTACGACCGGTCCCCGAGTGGCCAGCCCTTCTCGTTCCCCTTCGTACGGTGACAGTAACGACCTGTGAAATACTGGGTGCAGTTTCATGTGGTTGGGTAACCGGAGCCTGAAAGCCACTGGATTGACCTGTTGAATGACCTCAAAGGGACCCAACCTCCTGGGTCTTAATTTCTTACAACCTCCTTTGAACGGCAACCCTTGGGTTGACAGCCACACCCTATCTCCCACCCTTATGGTTTCACCTTCCCTTCGGTTCTTGTCTGCCTGCCTCTTGTATTCTTCCTTCGCCCTTTCTAAGTTGAGTTGGAGCTGACGATGGATTGCTTCCATTTCTTCCACAAAATGCTCGGCTGCCGGGACGCTCCATCTCTCCCCATCTCCCCTGGGAAAGCCCTGGGATGACACCCATAATTAGCCAAGAAGGGGCTCATCCCTGTGGACACATTCTCGGCATTGTTGTAGGCAAATTCCGCCAGCGCCAACTTTTCTACCCAGTCATTCTCTCTGTCATTGACATAACACCTCAGGTATTGCTGGAGGACACCGTTTGCTCTTTCCGCCTGCCCGTTGGTTTCAGGGTGCCGGGCAGTCGAAAAATTGACCTCCACCTGCAGTAAGCTCATGAGCTTCCTCCAGAACCTGGAAGTAAATTGTTTTCCTCGGTCTGAGACCACCCTCAATGGCACCCCGTGCAACCTAAAAATGTGTTCTACAAATAACTTCGCTGTCTCTTCCGCCGTGACTGCATGCGAGCAAGCTACAAAGTGGCACATCTTTGTTAGTAGGTCTACCACCACCATGATGGCTGTTTTCCCTTTGGACTTCGGCAGATCAGTCATAAAATCTATCGACACTGCCTCCCAAGGTCGTTCTGGGGTTGGTAAGGGTTCTAACAGCCCCGCCGGCGCCCGCCTTTCCCCTTTGGCTCGCTGGCATTGCTCGCACCCTCTTACATACTCACGTACATCTTCCTCACCTTAGGCCACCAAAATTCCCTGGTGACCAACCACATGGTTTTGTGTTGTCCAAAATGCCCCGCCGTAGGGCTGTCGTGGCAACTGCTTGAGTACCCTCCCCTTAAGTCTCCTTCAGGGATATACAGTGCCCCTTTGTAATACAAAGCTCCATTTCTTTCCTCGAAACCCCTGGTTCCTCTCCCTCACCCCTAAGACCTCTGAGCTTATTCTGGGCGTATTCATCATTCTCTGTTTCCTCTACCAGTTCTCTTTGTCCCACCAATGCCGCCCCACACACCCAGCGGTCCTCTGGAATGACATGTCTCTCTTCGGGTGCCCCTTCCCTCCAAATATTCAGGTTTGCGTGAGAGAGCGTCCGCCCTAATGTACTCTGGGCCTGGCACGTAACTAATCTCAAAGTTAACTTCGGAGAACTCCTGGGCCCATCTCACTTGACGTTGGATGAGAACTAGTGCCGTCCTCCAATACTCTAGGTTCTTGTGGTCAGTGCACACTTGCACCTTATGTTGTGCGCCAATTAGCAGGTGCCTCCATCTCCGGAACGCCTCATGAATGGCTAGTAGTTCTCGGTCATACACCGTGTAGTTCCTCTCGGATTTGTTCAGCTTCGCGAAAAAAGGCACACGGTCTCCACTCTGACCCCTTCTTCCCTGGCTGCAGAAGCACCGCCCCAATCGCTCTGTCTGATGCGTCAGTTTCCACTCTCATCGGTTTTTGTAAATCCACATGCAGGAGTTGTTGTTCCGAGGCGAAGGCCCTTTTAGTTCCTCAAATGCTCGCTCCGCCTCCTCAGTCCACACGAACTTCTTCTTACTGCTGAGACAGTCCGTAATGGGCGCCGTCAGGTGGGCAAAGTTTCGGATGAACTTACGATAGAAGTTCCCAAATCCTAGGAACCTCTGCACATCCTTCTTTGTTTTGGGTGTTTTCCATTCCAGCACCGCCTGGACCTTGCCGGGATCCATGGCCAATCCCTTGTCTGACAGGCGATACCCCAGGAATTCCACCTCCTTGGTATGAAACTGACACTTCTCCAGTTTCACCCACAGCTGGTTGGCTTGCAGCCTGCTCAACACTTCTCTGACGTCTCTCACATGCTGCTCCTCATTCTCAGAATACACCAACACGTCGTCTAAAAGGGCCACACAATTCTTGTAAAGCAAAGGCCCCAGGACGTGGTTCATAAACGATTGAAATGTTGTGGAGCCTGCTTGTAGGCCGAAGGGCATAACCAAATATTCAAATGCCCCTAAAGGGGTGAACATAGTGGTTTTCCATTCATCCCCCTTCCTTATTCGTACCAGGTTGTACGCCCCCCTTAGGTCCAGCTTTGTGAAAATCTTTCCCTTCCGCACCCTTGTCAAAATGTCGTCAATCCTGGGCATAGGGAAGGCTACTGGTTCTGACACTGCATTTAAGGCCCTGAAGTCACACACCAGCCTCGGCTTGTTCGTGTTTTTCTTATCCACAAAAACACTGGGCTGCCCCCACCGCCCTGGACTCTCTGATGAACCCTCTCTTCAGGTTCTTGTCAATGAACTCTCTTAACTCCTGCATCTCTCTGTCTGACATGGCGTACAGCTTGCCTACAGGGAGCTGTGCTCCAGGGAGTAAATTGATTTGACAGTCAAAGGGTCTATGCGGGGGTAGTTGGTCAGCTCCCTTTCGCTGATGACGTCACGGAGATCTGCGTATTGTCGTGGTACCTTCTCGTTCTCTGTTACTTCAGTCCCGGCTTGGGTGGCTTGGACCCCTGCCAAACCCTTTCCCTCTTTGCAGTGTTCTAAGCAATGTGCTGAACCAAAAGAAACCACTCTCTGATGCCAGCCCACCAGCGGATCATGTAACGCTAGCCAGCTCATCCCCAATATAATGGGAGCTCCTCCCAAGGTGGCCACATTAAAAGCTATCAGTTCGGTGTGCCTTGCTACCTTCATTATCATTGGGACGGTCTGCAAGCTGACTTCTCCACCCAACAGCTCCCTGCCATCGATCGTGGTCACCTGCAGGGGGGCTGCTTAAAGGGATTGTCTGTATCTGGTGTTCAGCTGCAAACTCTTTGCTCATGAAATTGCAGGAGCTGCCTGAGTCCAACAGCGCCTTTATCTTTAGAGGGTGTCCGTTTGGCAGCTCTAGCGTCACTTCTATCACTAGGGCGGGTTTAGGAGGTTCTGGCGTGGGCACTCTCACTGCTCTTTGGCCTGGCTGCTGTGCCCCGACAGTGGCAGCCAGGCGTTGGCTTTTACTTGCTCCGGTATTTCTTCCTCTCTTCCATCCACAGCTCCCACCATCCCTTGCCATTCTTTCCTCTGGGGGCAGACTCTGGCAAAGTGACCTGGCTGTTGGCAGAGATAGCATTTCCGGGCGCCTTTTCCCTCCTTCTTTGCCCCCTCACTGTGCTTTGAAACCATGCGCGCGCGCTGTTCCGATTTCCATCGGCTCTGCCGGTGGGATTGTTGGCTCTGGAATGTCTGGAATGCGGAACTCCTTCCAACGTTCCCCTTTCCCTTCCCGCCTCTCCAATGCTCTCGCCTCCTGGCGCGCTCCTATGGCCAGCGCTGATTTGGTCAGCTGGTCCATAGACTCCGCCCTGGGCGCCCGGGAAAGTCCGTCTTTCACAGCCGAAGAAAGCCCTTCTTCAAAGAGCATTTGAATGGGTTCCGCCGATAAGTCCCACCCCAATCTGTGAACAAGCATGGTGAACTCAGTCCAGTACTCACGGACAGATCGGCTCCCTGTTTGCAACCCATTAACTGTCTGCGCACCACTCCCTTTTCAATATCGCTGGAAAACATCAGATCCATGGCGCGAAAGAACTTCATTGTGTCCTTTAGGACGTCACTATTCGCTGCCATCAGGGGTCTAACCCAGTCTCTCGCCCCTTTTCAAGATGCTCAATCACGAAAGCCACTCGTGATTCCTCGTCAGGGAATTCATCAAACTGCAGATTGAGGGCATATTGCATTTCTGTCCGAAAGCCATGATAGTTTTTGGGCTCCCCAAACTTCTGCACCAATCCTGGTACCTTTCTGGCGAGCTGGGTGGCTTTCCCTTTTGTCTGCATCCTGAGCCCTCCTCTCCTCAAGCCTCGCCGTCTGCATCGCTAGCTGGACCTCCAACACCCGGTACCTTTCTTCCAGGCTTGGACCCACTCCAGCTCCTGCTTCTCCGGTTCCGGCTGGGTTGCTCATGATGCCTTCTCCTGCACAAGCTGCTTTCAAAGACTGTCGGAATGCTGTGATGGGATGATGAGCTGCTTGTGCGTAAAAGCGTATCCCCTCAGAGTTTGTTCAAGTCCACAAACCTCTGTCTGTGACGGAGCCCCCTCAGACATGGCACCTCTAGTCACTAGCAGATTCCGACAGTGGTTGCTTTCGTAATCGCTTCCAACATAAAAGCTCCTTAACGGAAACACGTCTTCTGGAATCTCTGCGTGACAGTTTCCGGCGAGGAGTGGGTGTTCTTACAGGAGGTCCTGAAACCTCCCCACTGTTTTCGCTGGAAGTGTCTCTGAGCCATCCCTCCAGCTCAGCTCCTCTCCCCTGCTGGTTCCCTCTTCAGCTGCTGCGTCTCTCCCAACCTGTGTGAGCCCTTTCACCTCCCTGCTGGTTCCCTCTTCAGCTGCTGCGTCTCTCCCAACCTGTGTGAGCCCTTTCACCTCCCTGCTGGTTCCCTCTTCAGCTGCTGCGTCTCTCCCAACCTGTGTGAGCCCTTTCACCTCCCTTCCGTCCGATGGCAGTTCCCTGACAGCACCTTCCTAAGATGCTGAGCACCTCTGCTGCTGCCAGTTGCTTCCTTGCAGGAGGGAGGGGGCAGGCGGCTGTGGACCATCTTCTGGACATTTCTGTGCATTCCCTTTGTTTGTTTGTTTTACCAGTTTTCATCAATTAATGAGAAAAGGAAGTGCATTGAAAATGGCCGGATTCGAACATTTTTTTTCCTTTTTTTTTCATTTCGTTATATATTGTTTCCCAAAATTGTTTGATGTTTAAACAATTCCACCATATATGCATCATGTTCAGATATTCAAATGTTCAGATATTCATTTAGGAAAACACTAGAAGGTTTTCTATTGGGAATAGTACTAGGAAGCCTAAAGGAAGAAGACAAGACCTTATATTTATACGCAACAGTAGCCGCAAGGCTATTGATTGCGAAAAATTGGAAAAGTGGTATTGTACCGACAAAAATAGAGTGGCTTGCCAAATTATTGGAGTACTACAATATATCCAAAACAATGGGAGAAATTGGAAGGATCTCAAAAGAGAAGGCAGACAGGGACTGGAAGGTGTTTAAAAGATACTTGCAAAACCATATCGAAAAATCAGAACTCCTATTAGAATAAACAAGTTCTGTTTTAAATACTGAAATACTAAATAAGATGGATAACAATGTATAATAGAAAAAGAAGTATGAAATTAGGTTAAAGGTGTGTGAAAGAAAGTACCAGTATTTTCGCCTCATAGGACACACTTTTCCCCTCCAAAAATGAAGGGAAATGTGTGTGTGTCCTATGGGGCGAATGCAGGCTCGCTGAAGCGTGGAGTGTGAGAGGCATCAGTGCGCACCGACCCCTCTCGCTCTCCAGGCTTCAGGAAGCTATCCGCAAGCCTTGCAAGCCCGGCGGGAGTTCCCGCGGGCTCACAAGGCCTGCTGGGCAGCTGCCTGCTGCCCGAAGCACGGGGCGCCCTCCAGAGGGCGCCCCGTGCTTCGGGCAGGTGTGCAAGGCTTGGGGCGGCAGCCGCGGCTGGGGGGGAAATAATTTTTTTTTATTCATTTCCCCCCCCAAAAAACGAGGTGCGTCCTATGGGCCGGTGTGCCTTATAGGACGAAAAATACGGTAATAGAAGTGGAAAGAAATTTCAGTTGAGTAGATTGGAAGTCTAACACAAAGGTGGGGTGAGGGGTGGTGGATGGTGATGGGAAAAGGAATTATCTGTGGGATTGAGTGTAGGTATTGTTAGGGAAAAATCCAGGAGCGAGGCTGCTCAGTCACCCAGCCTCGCCGGGCAGAGCCCGCGGGTCCCTGCGGAATAAAGGAAGGAGTCCAGCCAACCGGAGCAAATAGCTGTAGACCAAATTTATTGCGCAATAGGTTCAAAGAGCAAATTTTGAACCCCGAGGATGGGGTGACAAAGACTTTTAAAACTTTCCCACCATATCCCAGAATACAATTCGTATGTCAAAAAAGTGGAGGGGTTAACCTTGGCAAACATGTCCAGACATGTCCTTGGTACAAGATTAGCATAAGCAGACATGGCAGGGCAAGATTCGGGTATAAGATTAGCATAGACAAATACGTCTTAAGTACCCACCACCCAAAAGTACAATAGAAGTTCCTTTGCATGTCTGGAGCCTGAGGCGAGTCAGGTGATGAGATTTGGCTTCCTTTGGCTAACAATGAGCTCAGCAATTGTCACCTCTGAGAACTTCCTGGAGTCCTTTTTCAAGGGGAAAATAGCTTTGGAATGGAGGAAACTGGGAAAGGAGATGATTTTATATTATTTTTAAAGCTAGGAAACTTCCTGAGCTGTCAAGTTGAAAGGATACATTCAGGCATAATATTTGTAATATTTAACTTTAAAGATGTGCCCCCCCTGGTAATGTCCGTAACAGTATGTTGTAGGTATGTAGGTATGTTGTATGAAATGTATGTTTGTATGCTTGTATATTTGTAATATATGTGTATTAATTTTGAATTATTTTAACAATAAAAACATTTCAATTAAAAAGAAAAGAAAAGAAAAGAAACTGGTCGGATTCATCAACATTCACTAAAAACAATATGTAAACCCCAATACGCCTAAACCACATGCTGAAAGGGTGCTGCTCCCCCTTTTGCTGATGGGTTTCCAATGTGAAAGGTTCTTAACTACCATTTGTGGTGGGATCGTGTGCATGTAAGCAAAATATGCTCCAAATCATAGAGTGATAGAATTGCAGAGTTGGAAGGGGCCCGATCCTCTGCATTGCTGGAATCACACCTGAATGTTCCGACTTGGGACAGTCCTGATTTTGTTTGTTTCTTTGATAACTGAGAAATTCTTACCCGAGATATGCACCCAGGTTCTAACTGGTAAATCAGAGCAGGGCTTTTAGTGTGGCTGCCTCTGATCTGTGGAACAGCATTTCTGTCAAGATAGGACAGGCACCCAGAAAAAAATAGAAGACATCTTTCTGTTCCAACAAGCCTTCACAGCCGGATGAAGGAAGTTTGTGCCTTGACGGTCTGCTTGGTATTGGGGTTTCTAATTTTAAAGTTGCTGCTATTTGTTTTAAAATGTTTTTGAACTGTTTTTATTGCATTTTGTACGTTCAACGTGTGTTGAAAGTGATAAAATCATAAAGATAATGATAGGAAGAAGAGTACATTTATTTTTCTAATGCATGTGTTTCTCTTTTAATTGTGACAGCAAGTTTGTTAAAAAGAAGATGGCGTCTTCCAGAACACAGGAAACAAGTGAGAACAAACCACCTCAGAAATATCTCAAAGTGAGTAACCTTGTAAAAAGGGTGACCCTTCTGTTTATGCATTAAAACTGAAAACGGAGTCTAAAACATCTCCAAAGTACCATCTAGGCAAAGAGAACTTGCAGATCGCCAACAAAGTGATCATGATGATGGGAGCGTCTGGATCAGGAAAAACCACTCTCATCAATGGGATGATCAACTACATCCTGGGCGTGCAATGGGGAGACGAATTCCGGTTCAAACTTATTCATGAAATGACAGGCAGAAACCAAGCAGAAAGCCAGACATACGAAGTGATGGCTTATGTGGTGAACTATCAAGAGGGTCTCAAGATCCCTTGCTCCCTCACTTTTGTTGACACTCCAGGATTCGGAGACACGAGAGGAATAGAACAGGACAAAAAGTTAGTGGAGAAGATCCGGGAGTTTTCTCCATCCCAGGAGGCATTGACCACATCGATTGTGTCTGCTTTGTGGTCAAGGCTTCTACAAACCGCTTAACAGCAGCCGAGAAATACGTCTTTGATTCCGTGCTCTCCATCTTTGGGAAAGATATCAAGGAGAACATCCAGTTCCTGATCACCTTTGCAGATTCACAGACTCCCCTGGTCCTTGAGGCCATTAAGACGGCCAACGTTCCATGCGCCAAAGATGGCAAGGGGAACCCCGTGCATTTCAAATTCAACAATTCCGCCCTGTTTGCCAACAATGTCGTGGGGGACGGGGAGAGCCCTAACTTTGACGAAATGTTTTGGAAAATGGGTACGATCAGCATGAAGACCTACTTTGACTCGCTAAGCAAACTGAACGCGAGGAGTTTGTCTTTGACGAAGGAAGTTCTCAGGGAGCGGAAAGAGTTGGAGACGGTTGTGCAGGGCCTGCTGCCCCAGATCAAAACCGGGCTGGTCAAACTGGAAGAACTGAAGCAAACAGAACAAGCCCTTGACCAGCACAAAGCTGACATGGCGGCCAACAGAGATTTTGAGTATGAGCTCCCAGTCACCGTCAAAGTGAAGCAAGATCTCTCTGGAGCTCATCAATATGCAACCAACTGCAAGAACTGTGAGGTCACCTGCCACTATCCTTGCTGGCATACATGGGACCTGCTGAACCGCTTTTGCTCCGCTATCAGTTTCTTCTCAGGAAAATGCAACGTTTGTCCCGGCAAGTGCTCAGTCAGCGACCACCGCAACCAGGATTACCAATTTAAGGACGAAATAAGGAAAGAGAAGAAGACATATGCGGAGCTGAAGAAAAAGTACGAGGATGCCCGCCGTGGGGTTATGACAGCGGAGGAGCTGATTTCGCACCTCAGACAGGAGTACATCGAGGTAAGAGAAAATTTGTTCGGAAACATTGAGAGAGCGTCTCAAAGCCTGCGGCGCCTGCAGGAAATTGCCCTGAAGCCCAACCCGCTCTCCACTCCAGAATACATCGACATGCTCATTGCATCCGAAGAGGAGGAATGCAAGCTTGGATATCAGAAAAGGATTCAGTTGCTGAAGGACGTGAAGAAAGAAGCAGAGATCATACAGAAGATTGCAAATAAGGAGGCTCTGCTGCCAGAGGAGGAGGAGATGATGAGCGAACTGAAGAAGGACAAAAGAAAATTTGTATTGGTACCCAAGTAATCCTCCCTAAATGAAGGGGCAACACAGCAGCTCCTGTTTAGCCTTAGATCTCTGTATAAGCAGCCCCCCCCCCCCATATCCTTTTTGCTAAGTGCAGGGACTCTGAGGCTGGATCTACACTGACCTGTTTAACGTTATAAGAACGCTAACAGATATATTGTCAAGGCATTTATTACAGGGTTCCGGGTCTGGATTCTTCCCATTCTTCCCTCTCTCCGGCCAGGCGTCTCTTCTGATCTGCGCACCCCCTGGGGGGGGGGGCTCTGCTCCCAGAGCATCTTCTGGCCTCCCCCCCCCTCACTTGGCAAGATCCTTTTGTGGGCGGAGAGGGAATCCAAAGGCCGAGGAATAATTCTGGGGGTGCAGCAGCAGGGCAGCAACAGCCCCCGCCTCCCCCTGCTGAGTCTCTTTGGCAGAATGCGGGGGCCTGAGGAGGACCAGACCGGCTTGCAACTCGCACCCCGGGCCAAGCGCAGCCCAAGCAGCACCGCCAGCCTCTTCTGGAGTTTTAGAAAAACATGAACTTGGGCGGGAGCCGCTGAGAACGGAGATATGGCCGCTGACTCGCGCGAGGGTGGCGGGTGTACACGGGACTGGGTTGAATTCCCACGTGCGCGTGGCTGCGCGCATGCAGGGGTTGAAGTGCAGTGAAATCTCCCACTCCGGGGAGTGGAGATGGGCCTGGGACGTCTTAGCCCAAGGAGTGGGGGCCTTGCCTCCCCATCACCCACCCCTTCTGGCTTGCGGAGGGGGGCAGTCTTGCAGGGACCCCGCCGCCCTTCAAACCTCTTCCTCAGCCAGCCCGAGATCTTAGAAGCTGTTTCCTCCGCCGCCGCCGCCACCCCCACCCCTTCAGGATGGGTTGCCCGGAGTTACAGGACTAGGGCTCTGCAACCGGGCGAGCCAGGGGCAGGTGGGGAGGAGAGAGATGCAACCTCCCCTTCACACGCACACGCGCAAAATCAAGAGTCAGGATGCTTCCCTGGGCTCCCCAAGAGGTGCGATCCAGCGCTTGTCTTCTTTCGCTGCCGAGAAGGAGGAAGCTCTCCAATTCCACGAGAACTGCTCCTCCTGCTGCATCCCGAGCTCCCTCCTGGGGCTTCCCTGATCCTGGAGAAAGGCTCAAATTCCTTGAGGATCTGGCTTGTGAATGGGGCGGGGGCGGAAGGGAGGGGAAAGCATTGCGCTCCCTCGCGTCTCCAAAGCAGGGGATGCATGAGGGTCCCAGGCTGACGGAGGGGAGGCAGTGACGGAGCCCAAGTCACCCGGTGAACTTCTTGGCTGAGCGGGGATTGGGTGCACCCTCTCTACCCACCCACCCCGCCCCACCTCCGAGCCCCACTGATTTCTCAGCCAGCGCAGAGGAGGGGATTATTGGGGTCTTCCCCGTTTCAGAGCCAAGAAGCTCCGCACATCCCTGTGACTTGAATTTTAAGGCACTTTTGCGGCCTCATTCCTGGTATAAGAGCAGGCGGGAATGAAGTCCGCCAAATCCTTTTTCTAGGTCGTCTGCTTTAGTGAGCCACTTCTGCTAAGTAACTCTGATGAACCTTCAACAGCCACCCAGTTGAAGGCCATTCCCAGATTCTCTGTTGTTCTGAAAACCAAGAAAGGCCCAGGACAACCTGGAAGCTGGCCCTGTTCTCCCCAGCAGTTTGGGTGCCCTTGGACCCAAAAGCGCAGGGTTCACTGGCTAGGAGATTCATTTATTTTTTAAGTAATTGCTTTGGTGCTCCCCAGGTCCCTCTGCATCTGAGCTGAAAGCAGCAACCCCCAGAGAATAAGACCCACGGGCAGCACTGCAGGGCTGTTGTGTTGCAGCTGGGCAAGGAAGGGGGTGGGAGATCCTCTCTCAGGCACCCCCCCTCCATCACTCATGCAAAATCATGCTGCAAGTCCGCTGCCTGATTTCCACCTCTAGAGGTGCAAACCTTTCCAGAAATCACGTTCAGCCTATTCACCATGCATGGGGAGCATTCTGTACCATATATTTAAAAGACTATAAGAATCTAAAAGAAACTAAAGGAGGGGTTAGGAGCATTAAACGGATGTGGAGGAGCATAAAAGATTAGTATATAAAAGACTACAACTATCAGTTTAGAGAGCACTATGATGTGAGTGTTCATGAAATCTAGTTTGTGGTGCAGGTCATCATCCGATGGATCTTGAGCGCTGCTGTGCAGAATCTGGCAACGTTGTATGTTGTAGCAGGGTTGGGATCTGACAGCAGCAGGGAGGTATAAAATTGTCCTGTGCACCTTGGGGTACTTGTGGTGTAATGGGGAGAGGAGGCTAATACAAATGTCTCTGTAATATAGGCAGTGGAGAAGAACATGCTCTGTTGTTTCTGTTTGTCCAGAGTCACAGGGGCATTGCAACTGATACAATAGCAAATAAAATACTAAGCAGGTGATTCTTAGGACATTGCACCCAGACAATCCGGTTTGTTCATTAGTTTATTTGTTTTTCTCCTGACACCTCATAAGAAGCTGGTGGGCTGGCTTTAAAAATCCCCAGCTTTGCTAAAGGGGAGATATTAAGAGGAACGATTATAAAGAAAAAAGTAAAGCACTGCACCACACACGCATAAGGCGATAAATACTTTTCTGTAGCTGAAACCCTTGTGAGCTTTCCCTTTCCCCTCTCCCTTGGCCCTTTTCCTGCCTTCCGCCATGTAAGATCCAAGCGCTGCCTCCATGGATGGCGTCTCCAGGTATGGCTCTTCATTCCCTCGACCATCTCCAGGACCATCTCCATCAGCTCAGAGACCTGGTCCTCCCGTTCTCCTAATGCCGCCCTGTTATTAAAAGCGCAGAAGCGCCCTCCGCATTCTTGGACCAGCTTCTGGAGAGCCTTGTTATCTGACTGCATCACGTAATCCCGCAAGGAGTCGCCTTCTAAGGCTTCTTTGCGGGTGAACAAGAGGATGGTGTGCTTCATGGCCTCCGTCCCAAACATCTCCCGGACTCGCTGGGCTGCCTCCTCATCCTCCGCAGTGAAGCGGCCCACCTGGGTCACAAACACGAGCGCGTGAGGGCCAGGCTGAGAGAGGTCAAGGCAGCGCTTGGTCTCCTGGTCCAGCCTTTCATCACAATCTCCGGTGCCCAAAATATCCGCTGTGTCAATCACGGACACAGGATGGCCTCTCCAAGTGCAAGATTCCTTTTGGCAGGACAAGGTGGTTGTCCTGGCCTGAAGTTTCGAATCAAAGAGCTTCTGGCCAAGGATGCTGTTTCCTGTGGCGCTTTTGCCGCCTCCAGTCTTGCCCACAAGGACAATCCTCAGTTCTCTCCTATTTCCTGCGGGTTTTGAAAGACAGCAAAGAGCTGGTCAGCAAAAATATCAGAGCAACCACTTCTGGTGGGATCCCTCTTAATATGTGATTGTTGAGAATTATATTGTTTTCTGATCCTCAGAGAGACTGAATGCATATGTAAAGCGTAAGGTAAAGGTAAAGGGACCCCTGACCGTTAGGTCCAGTCATGACCGACTCTGGGGTTGCAGCGCTCATTTTGCTTTATTGGCCGAGAGAGCTGATGTTTGTCCGCAGACAGCTTCCGGGTCATGTGGCCAGCATGACTAAGCTGCTTCTGGCAAACCAGAGCAGCGCACGGAAACCGCCGACCTTCTGATCGGCAAGTCCAAGGCTCTGTGGTTTAACCCACAGCGCCACCCGCATCCCTTATGTAAAGTGTACACATGTATAAATAAAAGCAGAAGAAGAACAGATTGGGAAACATTTGTGTTACACCTGATAAATTCAACAGTGTAAATAAGTTTTGATGGATGCAATAATGGAATACTGAATGGTTTAGTTTTTGTAAAATACAGTGGTACCTCAGGTTAAGTACTTAATTCGTTTCGGAGGTCCATTCTTAACCTGAAACTGTTCTTAACCTGAAGCACCACTTTAGCTAATGGGGCCTCTTGCTGCTGCCACACCGCCGGAGCATGATTTCTGTTCTCATCCTGAAGCAAAGTTCTTAACCTGAGGTACTATTTCTGGGTTAGCGGAGTCTGTAACCTGAAGCGTATGTAACCTGAAGCGTATGTAACCCGAGGTATCACTGTATGCAGGGATTTATGTTATGCATCTTGAATTTGAACAAGCGCTAGTTCCTTTTCCCAGCTCTGGTCAGTGCAGGCAAGAATGAGCCGGGTGAACCAGTGGCCTGATGCAGCCGAGGGCATCTTTCTAGGTTCCTGCAGATGTGCGTCAGGATGGCATCCCAGCCAGGCACCGCCCACCTCCCCAAATGCCAAAATATTGCACATTGGTATAACAATATTTTTTCTGCAAATAAATAAAATAAACGTCATTGGGGATGCCATGAAAAGCTCCTGTGAAATAGATCTGGAATAATCCACCCCACCCCAAGCAGTCAATCTGCCTCTGAGTCACTGGAACCCTTCCTTACCTCCTCTGGTCCCGTCCATCTTCCCCTGAAAAAAATGGCAAGAAATCAAGATGATCTTCTCAGGCAGCCTTCCATCTGCAAACCCAGCACCCCACCCCTAGTTCAGACATGTGGTATCTCAAATGAGAAACAGCACATTTCAGACATAAAAATGTTCAGAATATTTTGCAAGCAATGAGAAAGGAAATGCCCACTGAACTGTGCCCAAACGCTGTGGCTCTTTCCTCAGGTGGCACTTAAACAGAATTCAAATTAAAACATTATTATTATTAATTTCAAATATTATTTTCACATATTGCAAGCAGAAGAACACCCTCCTCACCCTGAAATGAGCGCCTGGCAAACATCAGTCTAAACATATAAGGCTTTATATGACATTTGATGTTTTATCTATGTGTTTAGATCTGTTGGAAGCTGCCCAGAGTAGCTGGGGCAACCCAGTCAGGCGTGTGGGGTTCAAATAATGAAATTTATATTCTGGTGGAGTGTTTGCTTAATTTATTCATTTCATAAAAATATGCACCCCTTGATTGTAAAAAAAAAGAAGAACCTCAAAGCATTTTGCCAAAAGATAAAATCACCATCAAGAAGAATTAACAATGACTTTAAAGCTGAGTTAAAAAGTTAAAATGACAAGAGCTAAAAACAGATTAAAAGTCTCGCCAGCTTTCTAAGCATCTGAATAGGCTTGTCTAAACAAGATTAATAGGCGTTCCAAGTGTCCCTATGTTCCAGAGACAGTCCCAGATTTACACAAGCCCCTCCGGTTTCAGATGTGATCCCAGAATGTCCCACTTTTCCTTAGAATCATAGAATTGTAGAGTTGGAAGGGACCCCGAGAGTCATCTAGTCCAACCCCCTGCAATGCAGGAATATCCAGCTGCCCCATATGGGGATCAAACCTGCAACCTTGGCTCTAACCAACAGAGACATCCAGGTTCAGGATTTCGGAGAAATGTTGGAGGGCCTGGAGTTACGGAACCCACGAGCCAAGGATATAAGTAACCAGACAACCTTTAGAAGACATCTGGATAGGGAAGCTGTTTAAAGTTTGGTTATGCTTTTATATACACGTTGGAAGCCTCCCTGAGTGTCTGGGGCTACCTAGTCAGATGGGTACAAATAATACAACTATTAATATTATTATGTGATAGGACGTCCCTATTTTCATTGGGTAATGGTTGGGAGTGTAAGGAATAATTTCAGCAAGCGCCAGAAAGAGGACAGTGTCCCTGACAAAAACAAGCCTGCAACTGCCCTGTTCCTATTTGTGGTGGAAGAGAAGCCCCAGTTTGGGCGCATTCTTAAGCCACAGTCGGTCGATCAGCCTTTAAGGATCCTCCACAGGGATCCTTCCTTGCCTTTTGTTGCAACAGGCTAAACCCAGCTGCTGCCTCCCTAGGAAGCTTGATGGCAGGGGCCCAGCCTGGTATGTCTGGACATATTGAACGGAGCTGCTTCTGAGCGAGGAAGGTGCGCCCAGGAGCGCGGAGAGGCTGCCAAGGGCTGCCCGCCAGACAAGGGGCGTCTCCCGGGTCCTCTTGCAGCAGGGGCTCCCTTTGCAACGAGATCCTTCTCTCCCTCCTTCTCTCCACCACTCCGCCCTTCCCAGATGGCAGACCTCACCTCCTCAGCTGCTTCTGCAGATCCTTCCTCGTCCCGCGTCGTCTTCCACGCCGGTTTGAGTTTTCCTGCAGTGAACGGGAGCGAGAGACGAGCTGCTTCTCCGAAGGGAAAATGAAAGTAGCAGCTGAATTAGGTCCTCTTCTGCTTGGAATGGGCAGGACAAGATTTTCCCCCAGTGGGTGCCTGGAGAACCAGCAGCTGGTTTGGGCGGTGGGTGGCCGCGTCGGGCGCTTTGCAGCTTAGAGAAAAGGCGAGCGCACGAGAGGGTCGCAGAATCAGAGAATTCTAGAGTTGGAAGGGACCCGAGGGTCATCTAGTCCAACCCCCTGCAATGCAGGAATATGCAGCTGCTCCATCGAACTTGCAACCTTGACATCATCAGCACCATACTATACTGAGAAGTGCACAGAATGATGCCTGGCAGGGGCTGAGGGGGACGAGCCTCCTAATATTCAGGGTGTTCTCACAAAGTGTAATGCTGGTGGTCAACAAAAGAGGTTCAAAGGCTCAAGGCAAATCTTTAAAAATGTAGTATAAACACCGACAACTGGGAAACACTGGCCTGTGAGCGCTCCAGTTGGAGAACAGCCTTGACCAAAGGTGTCCTGGGCTTTGAAGACGCTCAAACTCAGGACAAAAGGGACAATCGTGCTAAGAGGAAGGCACGCTTGGCAAACCCTCGCCGTGATCAACTTCCACCCAGAAACCAATGTCCCCAGTGTGGAAGGACGTGTGGATCCAGAATTGGCCTCCAAAGTCACTGTTAAAACCGTGTTTATGGAAGACAATCTTACTCGGCTACGAGGGATCACCAAAGAAGACAGAAGATTCAAGGTGTTGAGCAATGTCGCACGCATGATGTCATGCACTTCACACAGCATCACACGCATGACGTCATGATGTTACACGGCATTGCCCACAGGGCCCCCTCGATCCCCTTAAGGAGATGTTTATTATTAGGATTGTATTTGACTCTTGTAAATGGCTGTGGAGCTTTTCATGAACCCCATAAACTAAGTCATGCTGATGCCTCTCCCCCCATCACTTATTAAAGATGATGAGGGTGTCAATCTGCAGAGAGAATTGGGGGTGGACTGGGGGCAATGGGAGCTGAACCTGAGGAAAGGAAAGGTCAGTGGGGCCCAAGCCCACAGGTCCATCTTTGTCCAGGTTCAAATGGCCTGTTGGCGAAAGGTGCCCATTGGGAAAGCCACCAGCTGAAGGTCGAGGTCCTGTCCTCCTGTGCCCGGGAGACGGTCCATGGCTCTGTGCTCCCTTGGGCCAGATGCATCCCTTCCTCCTCCTGCTGCCCTCAGCTGCAGCCACCATCTCCCATCCTCAGAGGCAGGAGCGGCCCAAGACATTTTGCTGCCTGAGGCGAAGAAGAAGATGGTGCAATTCCCATTCTCTGCATCAAACCTGACTAGATTGGGAGTTGACTCTCAAGCCAACACTGGTGATGTTCTGGCACATCGCATGGCACTCATTTCTTTTTTCTTTTTTAGTCTTCTATTTATATTTTTCAAATTTATACATTTCATTAGTTTTACAAACAATTTAACATTTCCAAATTTTGACTTCCTTCCCCCCCTTTCTGTGGTTCCTTAAATTATTATTTTTCAAAAATATATTCTGCATAAGCAAATTCATTTAACTTGCTCATTTATTTATCTACTGTAAATATGTACTCTTACAAAACTGCAGGTTATTACATTAATCCTGCTAACGTTTTTATCTGTTTACAATTTATCTGTAAATATTCAATAAACCATTTCTATTCTTTTATAAAAAGTTTGTTAACTTGATTTCTTATTCTTCCGGTAAGTTTCACCATTACTGCATATTCCGTAAGTTTTTGCATCCATTCTTCTTTTTCTGGGACTTCTGCTTCTTCCCATTTTGGGGTGAGTAACATTATTGCTGCTGTAGTCGCGTACATAAACAAATTTCTATACAGTTTAGGTAGTTCTACAATTCCCACGAGAAAATCTGAGGGTCAGAAAAGTGGCAAGAAAGGAGTGCTTTTAGGAAACATTTCTAGCCACTTCCTCGACCCTCAGAATTTTCTGCCTGAGGCAGCTGCCTCAGTCTGTCTCATAGAAGAGCCGGCCTCTTAGGAAGAGGTGGGGATGATGTTGGGAAAGATGGAGGGCCCAAGGAGAAGGGGGCAACAGAGGACCAGATGGTTGGAAGCTGCCAGCATGAGTTTGACCAAGCTGTGGAAGACAGGAGTGCCTGGTGTGCTGTGGTCCAGGGGGTCATGGAGAGTCGGACACGACTAAACAACTAAACAACAACAACAGGCTGGCTTTAACAGAGGATGAGCTGAACTCCTGGAGGACAATGGCTTCTAGCCATCTGCTCCACTTCCACTGCCAGAGAGGAGGTTGCAGGATGCCCATCGCTGGGGGCCAGGAGGGGGAGAGTGCTCCTTTTGCACCCAAGTCCTGCTAGTGGGCTTCTTCCCTAAGGGACATCTGGTTGACCGCTGTGAGAACAGGATGCTCAACTGGATGGGACATTGGCCTGTTCCAGCTGTAGGGCTCCTTTTAGGCTCTTCTCTCATGTGGGACGATCCCCATTGCTCTGCTTAGAATCTGGATTTAGGAAAGTTGCCCCCTTCAACAACTGCAGGCAATTGCAGTGCAGTGAGAGGCAGAAGCTTCTTGCCGTTGGCCATTTCTGGGTATTCATGTGGTTAGAAAGAATATTCCACCCAGCAACTGAATATACAATTTTGATGCTGAGAAACAGGAAGTTGTTTCTCCTCTGGTGTGGTCTTTCTTTTCAAATGTTCCTCTTGCTGCACTATCTCTCTTTCTGCTCTTTTATCAAACAGCTCTGCAGAGATGTCAGAATCGCATTTCACAGAACCTGGGTTCGCCTTTTCCTCCTTCTCAACCCAGCTGCATTCCTTTAGAGACTGACCCACAAATGGCAAGGGCTAGGCTGACTGCTTCCAAACAGATCCCAAGAAGCTTATTGGATATTCCTCAGAAAGATCAGTAATGACAGGTGAGCTTCTCAGAGAGGCAGCTTGACCCACCAATGCATTTTTTTGAATATTCAGCATTTAATTATTTATTTAGTAATTAATTGCTGTTGTTGTTGTTCCTGAATTATTATACATTATTCAATTTATATCCACCCTTCTCCCAACGGAGCTCAGGGTAGCAAACATATCACTAGCAATATCAGTAAAGACATTCTGAAAACCGGGAAGGTATTCTAACCTTCTCACCCCTTGAGAACTTTCCCAGATCAGTCAAAAGCATCACATTCTCTTGGCCAATGCCACTCACAGCCAGCGTATCAGCAGAATGGCAGCCTCTCCTCCTCCTTGCCCACTCTCCCACAGTCACCATGAGCTGCCCAAGGAGGAGGCCAGAAGCAGTGGCCATGGAGAGGCCATGAGATGCTCCTTCTCACAGACGACTCCTAGATGGAGATGGACCAAGGAGCTGATGCAGGAGAAAAGAAATTTCAGGTATTCATAGGAAGTGGTGCTTGTGCAGGCAGCTGGTCTGAAGGTTAGTTCTGGTCTAGGAAGAGAACCAGATATACTCATGAAACAGTGAGATTATTCATTTAGTAACCTCTAGAAATAATCCAAAAGGAGCAGCAGGACAAGAGGAATTACCGTATTTTTCAATGTATTGGATGAGGTTTTTTGACACAAAAATCATGTGAAAAAACTAGGGTCGTCCAATACACGGATAGTGGCATGGGGCGGGGGAGATGTCGCAGAGAGAGGGGAGCGATCTGGGGGCACTTGCTGGTGGCCCAGCTTCCCGATGCCGCTGCACATGGGAAGCACTGCCTGGATCGCTTCCCATGCGCAGCGGCATGGGGGAAGGCGCCTTACGGCCAACCGGCTGCCCGCAGCTGAATGGGGGGAGAGGCTCAACAACTCTGGGCCATCTCCCCTCATTTTCTTAAGAATGAGTCCCTCAAAATAGGGGGGAGTCTTATATATGGCGGCGTCTAATAGATGGAAAATATGGTATGAATAAGCCTTAGAATTCCACAGAAACATAGTACAGTTTGGGCTTAAGGAGGTCGTGAAGGCAAAGGTTGTTTAGATGCCTGATTATGGGCTTCCAAAGCAACTACAGTGTTACCTCGGGTTACATACGCTTCAGGTTACAGACTCTTCTAACCCAGAAATATTACCTCGGGTTACGAACTTTGCTTCAGGATGAGAACAGAAATCGTGCTCCAGCGGGGCAGCGGCAGCAGGAGGCCCCATTAGCTAAAGTGGTGCTTCAGGTTAAGAACAGTTTCCAGGTTAAGAACAGACCTCCAGAATGAATTCAGTTCTTAACCCAAGGTACCACTGTACTCTAATCCCAACCCATGAATGGAAAGCGAAATGCCGGTGAACAACAAAAGAGGTTTAAAGATGCTTTCAAGGCAAATCTTTAAAAATGTAGCATGGATAATTGAGAACCATTTGTGGGATGTGATACACAAGTAGCAGTCAAGTACAACATGCCTTGTTTTCCTAGAGTGGACATGTAAGGGGATGTTTGTTCCAGCCAGTCAAAAACTTCCTGTTTCCTCCTGGGTTGGAGCATCCTTCCTCTTGCGTGTGACTGGAGGTGGGCATGACCTTACCTGTCCAGGTGACAAAAGGACCAGGCACGCAGCCCGCCCGCCCACCCGCTCTCTCTTCGACTTCCTCCTTCATTGGAGCAACAGCTCTTTTTAGCTAGAGATGCTCAGTTGGCTTTCAGCTTTCAGCCAACAGAGGACAAAGAGACTATCTCCATATGGGATAGACTCACATGTATATATATCTGTAACTAAGACTGCCTTCGGGGATCCATCTGTGAACTGAATGTGTGAGTAAACTTATTTTATATTCTTTACACAAGATTGTGTTGTGTCTATTCTTTTAAGAGGGAAATAAGGGGGATTTACCAGGAATCTATATTGAGAAGCTTAAACAAGCTTGCAACCAAGCTAACCACTGTGTGTTTAAAGGGGAATGTTAGGGCAAGTTAGGAAGGATATTATTAAACAATATATCTTCTCCTGCCTCCCTGAACATTCACACAACACTGACCTAGGAGAGCTCCAATTGGAGAACAGCCTTTACCAAAGGCGTCATGGACTTTGTAGAAGCACAAACTCGGGATAAAAGGGAGAAAAAAGCTGAGAGTAAGGCAGGTTTGGCAAACGCTCATCGTGATCAATTCCCACCCAGAAACCTATGTCTCCGCTGTGGAAGGATGTGTGGACAGCAGCAGAGGAAGCCTCTCAGGCACCTGGGGTGGTGTGCCCAAGGGCGGGGCAAACTCCCCACAGAGGTGGGGCGCAGTACCCAAAGGAGTGGGGCGTTCGGTGCCCATAGGGATGGCACAGGGCGCTCGGCCTTCCATGCCGTCCCTATGGGAACCGTGCCCCCTGTCCCTATGGGCGCCACACGCCACATCACCCATGGGGACAGCATGGCATGGGGTGTGCAGCGCCCATGGGGATGGGACAGGGCGCACAGTGGGGCCTCAGCTGCCCTACAGCTGTGGGGGGGGAGGCACTGAGACACATGGCTTGTGCACTCTGCCAGCCCCACAGTGACTAGTGCCGCCCGCCATTTTGTCACCCCCCCATCAGGGTGGCACCCAAGGTGAGTCGCACCCCCTGCACCCCCTTTCCTACGCCCCTGTGTGTGGATCCAGAATTGGCCTCCACAGTCACTTATGCACACACTGTTGAGACCATGTTCATGGAAGACAATCTTACTCAGCTACGAGGGAAGGCAAGGGTGATGCCCTCCAAGCCGCTTATTGGTGAAATCTGTAGGATGTAAAGGTGCAGTCAAGTGCAACATTCTGACAGAGGACTAACGGCCTCCATGTTCTAACCGGTTGCTGTGACAACCAGTTTGTCGGTTGCTGGTATTTTTGAAAGATAACTGCTCAGTTGCACTCACCTCAGGACCAACTTCCCTCTGGTCTAGTTTATTTGGTTGTTATGTAACCTAAGCCTGCCTTCAGGTACAGTTCTGTAAACCTGAATGAATCTGAGAGTAAAATAGTTTTATATTAACATGAATCAGATTCGTGTGTGTATTCTTTAAGAGGGATTCAAAGGGATTTTTAACTAGGAGTCATCTTTATTAATAGAACTCAGACGAGTCAGTACAAGCTGATCACTGCATAAACTTATAAAGGGGATTGTTTAACTCTGCTAAAGTAAACCTTCCCATTAGGGATTGTAGAATAAGACCTCCCAGGAAAACTTATTTATGTATGCTACAACAGCGGCAAGAGTCTTGATAGCACAAGGATGGAAGAATGAGGAAATCCCAACGAAAGAACAGTGGCAAGAAAAACTGATAAGCTATGAGGAACTGGCCAAACTGAGATACAAACTGCATGAAAAGGACAATTGTGACTTCAAGGAAGAATGGGAACTTTTTACAAATTAAAAGACAACAAAATGATCTGAACTCCTTGGCAGGTTTTGAATAAACATCCACAAATTTATTAGTTGAACACATGATAGATAAGGCAAGGATATGCACAATTTTATAACATGCAGAGAACAATATGTGTAAAGAAATCAGAGAGGGGAGCTGAGGGAAGTCCCTGGTGGGGGGGGGGAGAGGGAGGGGGGAAATGGGGAAATAATGTAATTGATTATGTGGATTGATGATTGGTTATGTTGAAATTGTTTCATAAAAATATTGTTTTTAAAAAATAAAGTAAACCTTCCCACAAAATCAACCCCCACAGTGTTCAGCTTACGTTTAAGCCAACAGCCTATGGAAAGGTTATCAAATGGAATACAGAATAGCAGGAAAAGTGAATTGGGTGACAGTGAGAACGGAAGGAAACCAGGAGAAATATACCATAGCAGGGCTTTGCCACAACACTCAATACACCTTTTGATAAGCTGCCATGACGAAACCGGGACTCAGAGAAGTGAGGAGATCAGTGTAAACACACTCCCCCCCCCCCAGTTCTTCCGGGGTCCTTGAAAAGGTAACAAAGGAGCATTTGTCAATCTGTGTTACCAATGAGAGGAAGCAGGAGAAAGTAGGAGTCATGTCAACTTATTGAGAGGGGAGGGGGAAAGGAAATGAGAAGCATCAGGTGCGCAACGGATACCAGGTGTCCGCTGCTGAGGCAGAAAGAGCTAAGTGATCTCAGAAAGGGAAGAAAAGGATGTTCCAGCTGCCTTGGAGCCTGGCCTCATAGACCAGCAGCTGCCAATATGTTTTCCAGGGGCACAATTGTGCCCTCGACACCTTCCCCTGGTGCACACACAGCGCCACTGAACTCCCCATGCCCACTGCCAGGGCCTGAGAGGGTTTTAAAGGCTCCAAGCATTTAAAGATGTTGGTGCCCCCATATATATCTGATTCAACATATGAAGAATAAGCTCATATTGATGGCCACCAACATGGATGACTTTAAAACAGGATTCTTGATTTATTTACCACACACTGGGCTTGTCCACTCTTCCTCAATCCCGTCCCTAGAAAGCACCGGTCTGAGCAGTTTCCCGCGTGTCACACTCCTCTCCCACGGCACACCCCTCTTCTGCTCCAAATCAGAGCAAACATCAATTCCTGGGAAAGACGATTGACATTTGCTCCAACTGAGTGCCAAGGAGAGGGTTGCCTGTGGAGAGGCAGAAAAACAAGGGGAAGTGTGGATAAGCCACAGAATTCCCTGGATCCAAAATGTGAAACCCGGCTTAGGCTTAAGGAGGTTGAGAAGGCAAGGGGGATGAAGGCTGTGAAATAGTGCCACACGGAGGACGTGCAATAATGATGGGAGAACACAAATTATCCTGCTGTGTTTATTGATGATACTGCTTCCGTTTACATTGGAGGATGAGATCTTCCTGCTCCTCTTTTGCCTTCTTTGGAAGCTTCTCCGGATTTTAGGGCAAAGCACGAACAAAGGGAGCCCACGGCAGAAATCGATGCCTGTTGGAAACAAACCCGGGGTAAGTGATTGGTGTGGAGTCAAGAGAAAGGGAGAAAGATGTCAAGGAGGAGATGGGCGGAGAGTTCTCAAATAAGCAAAAATTTACCCCCCTCCCTTAAGCCCATGGAAAGAACCTCAAACGTCATCTAGCCCAATCCTTCTGCAGCCTCTCAATAGGGAGCCCCCCCCATACTCTGCTTAAAAACCTCTAATAGAAATAGAAATAGCATTGTTGTTGAGATTAAATAAAGGGGGGGAGAACCACTTGTGCCACCTTGAGTCCCACGGATATAAAGGTGGGATATAAATACATTAAATTAATAAATTCTTGCCCAGGACTATAAATTTCTTCCTAATGTTTAGTCTAAATCATTTTTCGTTTTACTTTGGAGCTGCTTGTTCAGTTCTTACCCTCTGGAGCAACTGAAAACAACCCTGTTCCATCCTCCTTTTCCAAGCTGGAATTTGTCTACCATGTAAGTCATCAGCAATTGGAAAAGACAGGGGCCCCATTCTCATTCTTTGTACCCTACCTTCTTTGATTTCTTCTTCTTCTGCCCTTCAGGGATTTCTCCAGCATTCATTTCATCCTCCACTGGTTCCCCTGCTGCTGTCTGCTTTGAAGTCTCCCCAGGATTCCTTCCATCTGACCTCAGTGACATCTCCATCAGACACGGCTTGAGATACGGCTGGTCCCCGTTCTCCTGAACCACCTTCTCAATCAGAGACAGCAGCTCTTCCGCCTGGCTGGCCCTTTCCTCTCCCGTCCCTCTGTTGTTGAAAGCGCAGCAACGGCCCTTGCATTTCCCCACCAAATCCTGCAGGACTCTGTTTCCAGACAGCCCTATGTACTCCTGTAGGCTTTCTGTCTCTAGGTCTTCTTTGCGGGTAAACAAGACGATCATGTACTTTGTGGCCCCTGGGCCAAAGACCTCCTCCACCCTCTTCACGGCCACAGCGTCTTCCTGGGCGAAATGACCGGCCTGTGTCACAAACACCAGGGCGTGGGGACCTGGCTTACAAAGAGAGAGGCACCTCTGCACTTCCAGAATATCATGCTCTGTTTGAGGACAAGCATCAAAAATGGCCGGAGTGTCAATGATGACAACTTGTTTCCCCTTCCACTTCTCTGCTCGGACCTCTCTGCTGCATGTCTGGGTCACTGGCTTCGGGGAGAGTTTGGACTCAAAGGTCTTCTTCTCCCCCAGAAGGGAGTTTCCTGTGGCACTTCTGCCTCCTCCCGTCTTCCCAACAAGAACGACCCGCAGTTCGGAATCCTTGTGGGATTAACTCTGGTTCCCAGGCTCTGTTGGGAAGGAATAAGGAACATTAACACTATTAAGAGTGTCGCTGAAATTTTGTCCACGCAGTATTTTAAAATGCATCACAAGGAGGAATTTCTCCTACTGCACAAGTCCATATTATGCTCCATCCTGTCTTTTGGATGAAAAGTGTGAGAATGTCTTGCAAGAGAGGTTTGTTAATTTCATACCCCACAGAGGGGAGGGAGGGAACGCAGTATTTGTAGGGCAGGGCTGGGAAAGTCTCCTGCCTGAAACTCTGAAGAGCTGCTGCCAATCAGTGTAGACACTACTGAGCTCAGTACAAGGCAGGTTCCTCTGTTCTATGTAACTTGTGCTTGAGAGGCCTTTGGCAGGATTCAGCTCCAGGGTTATCCTAAATTCTTAATACAGTAGACATTGCCTTTCTCCCTCCACCATGACCCAAATCCCTCCCCTCCAAATACACCAGAATTCATGCGGTGGATTGCACAAAGCAAGCTAACTCTTGCACCCATCTCCATAATTTGCAAAATGTTTGCAAGTTACAGAGCCACCCCCTTATGGGTGCAGAATTCTTCTGCCTTTGGGCTCTTCCTTGTACAAAGAAGAAGAGCAGGTATTTGGTGGGTTTCTTTAAGGAAGGGCTACCTTGAGAATCTCAACTCAGGGAGATCTATAACTGCTTCCGAATCATAATTTGACTCTACCTTTAGGGAATATACTTGGTCCTCCTTTGTCTGTGTCCATTGCTCCTTCCTCTGGTTTCATTTTGTCTGCGCTTCTTGTAGGTCCTCTTGGAAACAGCTCGAGGAAAGGCTTGTTCTGGTTGTCCATCATCATCTGCTCGATTGTCACCAGCAGCTCTTCCGCCTGGCTGGCCCTTTCCTCTCCCGTCCCTTTGTTGTTGAAAGCGCAGCAACGGCCCTTGCACTTCCCCACCAAATCCTGCAGGACTCTGTTTCCAGAAAGCCCTATGTACTCCTCTAGGCTTTCTGTCTCTAGGTCTTCTTTGCGGGTGAACAAGACGATCATGTACTTTGTGGCCTCTGGGCCAAAGACCTCCTCCACCCTCTTGGAGGCCACAGCATCTTCTTCGGTGAAACGACCGGCCTGCGTCACAAACACCAGGGCGTGGGGACCTGGCTCACACAGAGAGAGGCACTTCTGGAGCTCCTCATTATTCTGCTGCTCTGGAAGGCAGGTGTCAAAAATGGCCGGAGTGTCAACGACAACAACTTGCTTTGCTTCCCATTTCTCTGCCCGGACTTCTCTCTTGCAAGTCTGGGTCACTGCCTTCAGTGAAGCTTTGGACTCGAACTTCTTTTCGCCCAAAATGGTGTTTCCTGTGGCACTTCTTCCTCCTCCCGTCTTCCCAACAAGAACAATCCGTAGATCTTCATGGAGGTTTCTGCTCTCGTGTGCTTTGGTGGTCTCTGGAAAGAAATTAGGAAGATGTCTAAGAATCCAAGACTGAAGAGTTTTAAAGGGATGTCAGTTTCATGGCACGTTGCAGTAGCCCAACTGAGAGATTACCTTGTAGAAACACCACCCAGGTTCTTATTCTCAAGAAAGACCCTAAGGTGGCTGACCCTAAGTCAGTCAGGAGTGAAAACAATATTGACCTGGCCACACTCACACCTTGGAGACCCAAGTCAACAACCATTCCTGCAGCACCACTAAGTCTTGTTCCTTAAGGGAGAGTGGGCTGCTCATTTCCGGATTTGTGGGCCTCCCGCTTGCCTGGGAATTCGCTCCTGAATTGCCACCATCCAGGGTCCATACACTGCAACAATTCCCCTAAGCACCTGGGGTCACCTCACCCTTCCAACTGTGGCCCACAAATGGTCCAACCTTCACCATTCCCTTCACGTGGTTCTTTCACAGGAGGGTCAGGAGAAGGGAGAGACTTACCTCTAACTTCCGCTCTCCATTCATCCATTGTCCAGGCAGAATGCTGAGCCAGAAGAGAACCAGAAAAAGAAGTTCATTAGCTCCTGCAATACAGTTTGACTAGTACTTTGCCCAAACTCCTCTCCACCACCAGAGGAAGCTTATGATGTAAACACAACCCTGAAAGAACCTCAAAGCACCATATTCTGCCCCTGCAGATTTGGGATTCAATTACTAGGGAGGCAGCTGATGACTTTTTTTACATGCATTGGTCCTAAATTAGGTTTGCTAATTTTTCCTGTTGATAATTTCATTGTTCTATCTTTTTGGATTTGAGGGTGTGTGGTTTTTACCACCAACAGGTGTATAAGCATTAATAAACAAACATGCCTAACACTTTGTCCTTCACAATCTCTTCAAGAATCTTCCCACCCTCTGCATTTGGGGGGGAAAGCACCCGGATATTCCCTTCCTCCAGCCAGAGCTGCATCTCTCCCCCCCCCCTTACCTGCTTCTGCTTCTGCCTTGGGGGTCCCTGGCAGCCTGGCCTGATATCCTCCCTTCTGCAGCTCCCAGGCAGGTGGGCTGGTTTGGGGAGGGCCCTGAACAGCTGCAGCCACTCAGGATGATGGTCTGTAGGCTCCTTGGGGCCTAGTCTTGATGAAAATACCCTCCACAGATGACCACCTCTTAAAGGCAGCTGCTTTTCAGTGGGGAGGGGGCTGATGCCAACCACTTCCAGTGCCTCTCCGCCCCCCCTTTACCCAGCGGACTCTCTCCCACTTGCTTCCTTCTGCTGCTGCTGCATGTCGCCATTCCAGCCCCCCTCCGCGGAACCTCCCCACTCAGAAGCCCTGGAGAAGCCACTGACTGCCAGTGTGGACAATACTAATCTAAATGGACCAGTCAGTCTGGTTCAGTACAAAACAGCTTCCTTTTTCTCCATGTGGTTTGGGGCAGGGGGGCACAGCTCAGCAGCTGAGCATCTGGTTTGCATAGAGATGGTCTCGGGTTCAACCGCTGGCATCTCCAGGGGGGCAGGTAGCCATTGCTGAGCCAGAAGGACAAAGGTGACATCTCCTTGCAAAGGGAGCTTCGGATGTTCCTAAGACAAGAAAGGAAACGGTACCTTCTTTGTGACGCCTCTGGAGCTTGAAGAAGACTCTCGGGTTCGATGGTCCCTCTGCTCTGCAGTTTCTTCTCTCCCTCTCTGTCGATGGCTGACTCTGTTCTGAGCTGAATAAAATGGAGCTCCACACACCCACCCCAAAAGCATTCATGGCTAGCAGCCAGATCATGTTCTGAGAAGCCAAAACAGCTTCCCAGAATTGCATATCTGTTTCTATTGGCTACAGGAGACGACAAAACTGCCCTCTGGGAGGATAATTTCAGAGAAGCTGCATTTGGTGTCCTGCAGTTCTGGGAGAAGCACCCAAGAGGAGCAGCAGAAGGAGGAGGAGACCCACACGGAGGGAGACCCACACAGAGAAAGACCCACACGGAGGGAGACCCGCACAGAGAAAGACCCACACGGAGGGAGACCCACACAGAGAAAGACCCACACAGAGGGAGACCCGCACAGAGAAAGACCCACACGGAGGGAGACCCACACAGAGAAAGACCCACACGGAGGGAGACCCGCACAGAGAAAGACCCACACGGAGGGAGACCCACACAGAGAAAGACCCACACGGAGGGAGACCCGCACAGAGAAAGACCCACACGGAGGGAGACCCACACAGAGAAAGACCCACACGGAGGGAGACCCGCACCTCAGACGGACCACAGGTTGGTATTTGGGAGAGGGAGCAGCAGCCACAAGGTTTGACTTTAAGCCTTCTGTATCTCAACCTGCCTCAGAGATGCTCAAGGTCTGCTTTGTTTGACCTGTTGCTAGAGGCTGGGTTAGAGCTCTTGGGTCATTCCACGCCAAACAACCTGATTTTAATACTCGACCGTGCTCTCATGACTCAGATTTTCTTCAAAAAAATTTTCTGTGTAGATACCTATGAGATAACCTCAAATTAATTTCTAAAGTTTTTTTGGTCCAAAATTGGACATAGGAATTTTTTTTGAAAATTTCAATTTTCATGTGATTTAGGCTAATGCAATTTCTTGCAGAAGTGTTTTACACCATAAAATGAACAAGGGGTCTGAGATGCATTTTATTATTATATAATCAATAAAACTTAATTTTTAAAACATATCAGATGACACTGTAGCATAAGAAGTTACAATTTTAACTATTCTCATGAATGTGAGAGTTATTTCAGGTTCAAAGAGACATTAAACCTGTCCAAAGAAGTAATTTGTTTTGTAAAATATTTACTTCAAAATCAATTTATTTTATAACCACAAAAAACACCCTCCTTATTTTTATAACAAGTACATGGTTAGCCCATTCTACAACAAAAGTATGATACATGTGTTAGTTGTGGTTTGCGCACTATGGCTTATTGAAGCTACCAGGAATAAAATGACAAAAATTCACTTTGAATAGTCAGTGACCCTTTTCTGTGGCAGTTAATACCATTTTTATACCTTATTTTGAAAGAGACCACAATGACCTTTATTTTGATACCAAAATAAGCCCAATCGGTTGAAAAATAAGCAAAACAGAAGGTTTTTCCTACACTGATGCAGAAATTGCATTAGCCTAAATCGCCTGAAAATCGAAAATTTCAAAAAATTCTCCTGCACCCAATTTTGGACCAAAAAACCTTTCAAAATTAATTTGAGGTTATCTCAACATAAAACACATTAAAACTTTTTGAAGAAAATCTGAGTCGTGAAGCTCTTGGAAGCAAAACTTTGGCTTGCGTGTATAATAATGAATCTTTTCCTTGTAATTAAATGGGCAGTTAAAGGAGTCCCTCCATGGTGGATTGAGCCTGACAATCTGCAGGAACATCCCTCTGGGTTTTAAAGCTTATTTTTAAAAGAACATTTCCCTTCCCCTTTCTTCCCCTGCCAGAATTGCCTGAAATTTGCAGACATGGAGACTGACAAATCCCAAAATTAGAGCTGTAGTGTTTCCTTTGCCATTTTTTTTTTGGGGGGGGGGGTGGTACAAAAAGAAAAAGAAAAATCAGTAGGGGGAGGAATGGAAATGACTTCTTCTGCCCCACACCAGGGATTTTTCAGAACACAGCTTCTCCCTGCAAGAAAGAAATCTTTCTGGTTGTTTTTTTAAAAAATGTGTGTGTGTGGTTTGTTGGTTTTGGGAGGAGGGAAAGCGAAAGTGATCTCTCATGCTCCATTTCTGAGAATTCAGATGGTTAGAAAGAACACCCTGCCTAGCTCCAGAAGTCAACAGATAGGGAGGGTGTCAGAGCTGCTTCCAGATCCTAGCTCACAGAGGATCACGCTAGCCAGCGATCACTAAACAAAAGTCTTTATTGAGTTACAGTTTCCATTCTCAAACTGCTGCGTGCAACTCTACGTCTCATGGTTAGACCGGCGAAGCTCCGTCTGAGTCTCCGCCCCTTGTACACCAACTTAATATCCTAGCCCTGCTCCACCTTTTCCGCCTGACTGTTCTTCTCTGGGTCCCTCTGCCCCCTGGGGTCTCTTCTTTCCGGGATTCCTCTGACGCTGACCCCCCTGACTCTTCTCCCTCCTTTCGGCGGGCTTTAGGACCTGGCTCCCTTCCGGGCTGCCTACTGTGCCACCTTCCTGTGCATTTGAACTTGGCGCGCGCCCAACCTTCCACCTTCCGTCTGACCGTTTCTTCGCTCCCCGATGGAGGTGTGGCCACTCCTGACTCGTGCCCTCCCCCCTGTTGTGAGCTGCCAGCGCTTGATCCCTGGCTCCCTTCCTCTTCCCTGCTCTCTGGCGGTGACGCTGGTCCCGATTTCCAACTGCTCCCTCTGAGTCCCCTCTGGCTCTATCTTCCTGGGGCGTCCCCTAGGCTCCCCCTTGCCCTGGCCACTGGTGCTCCTTTCTGTGAATCTTCTGATTCACTGGAAAGACTCGGAGATCTCGGGTCGTCGTCATCACTCATCTTTTCTTCTGCCTCCTCCCCTCGCTCTCTGTTTCCTCCCTTGCCCTTGCCTCTGCTCCTGAACCCCTGACATCCATCCCCCTCGAAGCCCCCTCTTCCCCCTCCCCTCCTTCCGGTGCGGGATCTGGGTGCTGCCGTGTCAGGGGACGAATGTCGGATACAGTTCGCTTCCCGTGGCGGGCCGCCATCTGAAGTCTTCCGGTTCTTCCTCCCTGCTCTCGTTGACGACGGTCACCTCCGCTTCCATCTCTGTGCCGCCGTGCTCGAAACCCGGGTCGTCCCCGAAACAGTCCATGTCCGTCTCTCCCCGTTACCTTCTGGAGACGTTGCTCGTCCTGGACCCTCCAGCCACCTTCTGCGGAACTGCTCCTCTGGTCGATCATCCCACCAATACGAGGGTTCTGAAGCAGATCCCGAGGGTGACCCCTCCGGGGAACGGGCGTCTCGTGTCGGTTCCTCGTCCGAGTCGAACCCCCCGGAACGTGCTGGCTGAAAGTGTGGGCGTGAAAAGCCAGTCGTCGAAAAAGTCTGCTGGCATTGGCCTATGTGGGAAGAGGGCATGAAACTCTTCTTTGAGCAGAGGTTCGTCTAAAGCGTAGCCCGGCACCCAGCTGTTGGCACTGGCCGGGGTGCCCTCCTTGGCGAGAAGGTATTCTACCTCCTCTTCCCCCCATCTGGAGTCCAAAATCTCCGTGACTTCGTTGATGCGCTCCTCCCGTGCCACTCCCCCCTGCCCGGTTCTCTCTCGGAGCGGACCCGGTGCCGTTCCTGGTTCCTGAAACCTGTGAGGTGCCTTGTATGGAGTGAGCACCGATCTGTGGAACACCGGATGCATTCTGGAACCCTCCGGAAGAGCCAGCCTGAAAGCCACCGGGTTGACCTGTTCTTCGACTTGGTAGGGCCCCAGTTGTTTATGCCCTAGTTTCTTCTTCGCCAACGACCTGGCCGGCACTGCGTGGGCTGCTAACCAGACCCAGTCTCCCACATGGATCTCTTCGCCAACCCTTCTGTGTTTGTCCGCTTGTACCTTGTATGCGTGTTTAGCCAGCTCCAGGTGCCGCCGCAGCTGATCGTGGACCTCCTGCAACTCCGACGCGAATGCATCTGCTGTCTGCGGCTCCCCTCCCCATTCTTTCCAGTCCCGGGAAGGTTCTGGGGTGCCTCCCGTTGTTGGCGAAGAACGGCGTGACCCCCGTGGACACGTGCTTCGTGTTGTTGTAGGCGAACTCGGCGAGAGGCAGGTAATCCACCCACGTCGCAGGCTGTTGATTCGCATAACATCTCAGGTACTGCTGCATGATGGCATTGACCCGCTCCGCTTGCCCATTGGTCTGCGGGTGTCTAGCCGACGCCAGGTTGATCTTGACGTTCAGGAAGCCCATCAGCCTCTGCCAGAAGTTCGAGATGAACTGTCGCCCTCGGTCGGACAGAATAGACCGCGGCAGACCGTGAACCTTGAACACGTGGTCTATGAACAGTTTGGCGGTTTGTTCCGCCGTGGCCACCTTCGCACACGGAATGAAATGTGCCATCTTGGAGAACAAGTCCACCACCACCAGCACAGCCGTCTTGCCCCTCGAGCTGGGCAGATCCGTGACAAAGTCCAGGGCCACTCTCTCCCATGGTTCGAACGGAGTTTGCAGCGGTTCCAGCAATCCGGCCGGCGGTCTGTGCACTGGTTTGGCCCTCTGGCAGGTGTCACACCTCGCCACGTAGTCCGCGACTTCCCTCTCATTCCTGGCCACCAGAAGTCTCTGGCTACTAATTCCACCGTCTTCTCCTTGCCAAAGTGCCCGGCAGTGGGCGCGTCGTGCAGCTGCTGCAGTACCTTGGCGCGAAGTTCGTCTCCCGGCATGTAGATGGCCCCTTTACGGATGAGCAAACCATCTCGCAGCTGGAACTCGTCGGTCGCTGCCGTGCCCCTGTGCGCCTCTGCCATCTTTGCTTGCGCGAAGGAGTCATCCTGCAACGCTCGTCGCACCGCCTCCAGGTCAACTGTTGCCGCCGTGCACGCCCACACTGTCGGTGCGAAGATGTGCATGGCGGCCGCTGGCGTTGCCTCCTCCAGATACTGCGGCTTACGGGAGAGAGCATCCGCCATGATGTTGGTGTCCCCGGGACATACTCTATTCGGAAGTCGAAATTCGCAAAGAACTCAGCCCAACGTATCTGCCTCTGGTTCAGGAACTGTGCCGTGCGCCAGTGCTCTAGATTCTTGTGGTCCGTGCAGACCTGCACCGTGTGCTTGGCGCCGATCAGGAAGTGCCTCCACGCTTTGAACGCTGCATGAATGGCCAGCAACTCCCTGTCCCAGATGGTGTAGTTCTGTTCGGACTTGCTGAGCTTCCTTGAGTAAAACGCTCCCGGCCTCCAAACCCCCTGCGGGTCCTTCTGCAGCAGGACTGCTCCCACGGCTCTGTCCGAGCGTCCGTCTCCGCCCTCGTCGGCCGGCTGGGGTTGACATGAAGCAGTTGCTCTTCCGACGCGAAGAGACGCTTGAGTGCCTGAAAGGACTGCTCCGCCTGCTCTGTCCAGATGAACTTCTGTTTCTTGGAGCTGAGCGTGTCCGTGATGGCCGCTGTCTGCATGGCAAAGCCTTTGATAAACTTGCGATAGAAGTTCGCAAAGCCGACAAACCGTTGGACCTCCTTCCGGTTGCGTGGGCTTTTCCAATCCAACACTGCTCGGACCTTGGCGCTGTCCATGGCGAGCCCTTTATCAGACAACTTGTAGCCCAGGAAATCCACCTCCGTCACGTCGAATTGGCACTTCTCCAGCTTGGCGTAAAGCCTATGTTGCTGTAGCCTGCTCAGCACTTCCTTGACGTGCCTGTCATGCTCCTGCTGCGATTCCGAAAAGATCAGGATGTCATCCAAGAAACAGACGCACGTCTTGTAGAGGAGCCCCGCCAACACGTGATGCATGAAAGCTTGAAAACGTGGGAACCATTTTGCAATCCAAAAGGCATAACTCTATATTCGTAGGTGCCCAGGGGCGTGAACATGGCTGTCTTCCACTCATCTCCTTCCCGCATGCGAATGAGGTTGTACGCCCCTCGCAGGTCCAACTTAGTGAACACGCTGCCCTTCCGTACCTTTGCGAGGAGGTCGTCGATGCGGGGCATGGGGAAGTCCGATGGCTTGGTCACGCTGTTCAAAATGCGATAGTCCACTACAAGTCTTTTCTGGGGCGTGTCCCGCTTCTTAACAAAGAATACCGGACTGCCCCCCCGCTGCCTTGGACTCTCGGATGAAACCGCGCTCCAAATTATGATCTATGAACTCTTTGAGTTCCTGCAGTTCGTCCTCAGACATGGAATACAGCTTCCCTTTGGGCAGCGCCGCCCCCGGCAGCAGGTCAATTTTGCAGTCATATGGTCTGTGGGGGTAGCCTGTCTGCCTCCTTCTCGCAGAAAACCTCCAAAAATTCTGCGTACTTGTGGGGAACCGCTTGCAGCGTGCCCAGCTGCAGCTGTGACTCCTCTTCCTCTCCTTCCTGCCGGGGCACGATGCAGTGTTCAGCGCAAAAGGAAGAGCCGAAGGTCAGCTGCCTCTGGTACCAAGCCAGCGTCGGGCTGTGCTTGTCCAGCCAACTCATGCCCAATACAATGGGCGTGTCCGATAGTTGAGTGACATTGAAGCTGATGATTCCCTGTGATTCCCAAGCCGCATCACCATTGGTGGCGTCTGCTTCACCACTTGCCCCCCTAGCAGCTCCCTGCCATCCACCGTGACAACCTGCAGGGGCAGCGTGGCAGGCAGCAACTGTATAGCGTGCCGGTCGACAAAGTCCTGCCCTATAAAGTCCGCATTGCTTCCGGAGTCAATGGTGATTGGCACGTCCATGGTGATCCCATTGGGCAGCTGGAGCGACGCGGTGAGCCTCACTACTGGTTTGGGCGGGAGGGGGTCCATGGGCTGTAAAATCTCTGGGGACTGCTTCACTGACACGTCTGGTTGGGCCCCAGTGCCTCTTCCTCCAACCAGACTCCGTCGTTTCCCTGCTGTGGTTCTCCTTGCTGCGTTGCTGCAGTTACCATTGCTGAAGCTGCAGTGTGCTTGTGGAGCCTCTGGGGACACTCTTTCGCCATATGCTGTGGAGCATCGCAGATGTAACACTTCCTGTTCCCTCTAGGAGGCTTCGCTTTCACTGCTGCCGGTGCTAGGGCTCTGGCTGCTGACTGAGCCCTTGCACCTCCAACCTCCATAGGTTCCGCTCCTCCTCCTGGCGGAGGCGTGGATTGCGCACGCGCTGCTTCTCTGGGAAGGAAGGAGGAGCCCCTGGCTGGTTCGCGCCCTCCACGCCCTTCGTCCCTGCTCCACGGACGTTCTTCCAGCCGCACCCCACCGCCAGCGCCCTCTGAACGATCTCCTGCGTGGTCCGGGGTCTCTCCCCTCGCAATTTCATCTTTAACCGAGCCGTGCAATCCCTCCCAAAACAGGTCTCTTACAGGAGCCGAATCTCTGTCCCATTCCAGAGCACTGACCAAAGCGAAAAGCGGGCATGGTACTGCCTTACGCTGGCCCTCCCTTGCTTCAGTCCATGTATCTGCTGCCGAGCAAGATCCACGTCAATGCTTGATAAAAAGCACCCATCCATCGCTTTAATAAAGGCATCCGCATTTTGGAGCGCCGGATCCTTATCTCTCCACAAATTGCGCAGCCATGCTTTAGCATCTCCATGCAAATGGGACATGATGAATCCCACTTTCTCTTGCTCATCTCTAAAGTCTTTGTCCAGCAGTTGCAGTGCACACATTACATCTGCTCTAAAGTTGGGGTACTGTTGCAAATTCCCATCGAAGTGAGAGACCAGACCGCCTGTTCGTCTCCCCAACCCAATCCCCTCCGGTTTGGGTGTCAGTTGCCCTTGCTTCGTAAGCACTTCCAACCTGACCTGGAGATCCCTGTAGGCGGCAGCTGCGTCCTCCTCTCTCTTCCTGGATGCAAGAGCCTCGGCATTCAGTCGTGACACTGCTTCTCTGAGTTCCGCTATCTGCTGTTCGGCCGTCATATTGTCTGCCTTTCGTGAGCTCGCTAGTAGGCACCCGCTTTCTCTCCTCTCCGCGAGGCCGTAGATGCCCACAAATTTAAGGGGACGGAGCTTACTGTCAGAGCTGCTTCCAGATCCTAGCTCACAGAGGATCACGCTAGCCAGCGATCACTAAACAAAAGTCTTTATTGAGTTACAGTTTCCATTCTCAAACTGCTGCGTGCAACTCTACGTCTCATGGTTAGACCGGCGAAGCTCCGTCTGAGTCTCCGCCCCTTGTACACCAACTTAATATCCTAGCCCTGCTCCACCTTTTCCGCCTGACTGTTCTTCTCTGGGTCCCTCTGCCCCCTGGGGTCTCTTCTTTCCGGGATTCCTCTGACGCTGACCCCCCTGACTCTTCTCCCTCCTTTCGGCGGGCTTTAGGACCTGGCTCCCTTTCCGGGCTGCCTACTGTGCCACCTTCCTGTGCATTTGAACTTGCGCGCGCGCCCAACCTTCCACCTTCCGTCTGACCGTTTCTTCGCTCCCCGATGGAGGTGTGGCCACTCCTGACTCGTGCCCTCCCCCCTGTTGTGAGCTGCCAGCGCTTGATCCCTGGCTCCCTTCCTCTTCCCTGCTCTCTGGCGGTGACGCTGGTCCCGATTTCCAACTGCTCCCTCTGAGTCCCCTCTGGCTCTATCTTCCTGGGGCGTCCCCTAGGCTCCCCCTTGCCCTGGCCACTGGTGCTCCTTTCTGTGAATCTTCTGATTCACTGGAAAGACTCGGAGATCTCGGGTCGTCGTCATCACTCATCTTTTCTTCTGCCTCCTCCCCCTCGCTCTCTGTTTCCTCCCTTGCCCTTGCCTCTGCTCCTGAACCCCTGACAGAGGGTGTGTTGTTTTTCTTGCTGGCCATTTCCTTCTTTCGTTTGAGTGACCTTTCAACTCAAAACAGGATGCTAACAGGATCTCTGCTCTTAGCAAAACAGCTCAGGAAAGATTTCCATGTTTTATGTTTCATTAATGCTGCATATGAACACATGAAGAGCCCTCTGGGATCAGGCCAGGGGCCCTCAAGTTACAGACTCATAGAACTGAAGAGTTGGAAGGGACCCCAAGGATCATCTAGTCCAACCCCCCGCAATGCAGTTGTCCCATATAGCGACCGAACCTGCATCCTTGGCATTATATCAGCACCACGCTCTAACCAACAGTGCAATCCAGTCCGGCCTCCTGTTCTCACAGGAGCCAGCCAGATGCCCCCAAGGGAAGCCTGTGAGCAGGAGCTGAGCTCAAGAACAACTCTCCCCTTCTGTAGTCTCCAGCAGCTGCAATTCAGAAGCATCGCTGCCTCCGACTGTGGCTAACTCCAGCTGTGCACAAACATTATTTCACATGCATAGAACTGGAGTGGGAGCTTCCGGGTCAGCGCCATCGCTAATGGCGGATTCCCTCTGATTCTCAGAGGGACCAGCTCCGCGGGATCGGGTCTTACCGCTGTGGCAAAGCGGGGACCCTTTAAAAACCACAGGCGGGGGAAGCCTGTGAACGTGGGGACTCGGAGGGCATCATTTGCGGCCCCCCCCCCAAGTTGCGAAGGGACCCTTTTAAGGGCTCCGGAGCGGGACGGGGTGAGTGGCACGGTGCTGAGAGTCGACTGCTTCTTCCGCGGAGTGAAGCCGCACAGCCGTTATCGGAGAGAGCTGACTTTTTCCTGGGATAATTGGATTTCGAAAGCAACTACCCGTGAGTAGGATTAAATTGGATTTAAAAGGAGAAAAAACAGCTAATTCGGCATCGAAGCGGGAAGGTATAACCAGGAAGTCTGCCTTCCTTTCTTGTAGATAGTTCAAAGTAAAGAGACTGTAAAGCGGAAACATAGAGAGACGTTCGGAAAAAGACTTAGATCTTAACATCTGGAACGTGGTCTCCCCTCCGGATTGCAGGAGAGGAGGGGGGAAGGTTTGAGTTGTGTTTACCTGCAAAGAAAAGGGGGAAAGGAAGCTAAATCTGCTGCTTAAAACCTGGGAACGGACTGCCCCTAGACAAGGAATGCCGTTCAGTGGAAAGCCTATCGGTAAGCAGAGGATTTTTGACAGCTAACTCTGCAGAAGAGATATAGTGTTTCTGGACTTCTCCTGGCTTTAAAGTAACTGTTCAAGTGCATTGAAACTGTTGTTTTTAAGTGAATTGGGGGACTTATAAAGACCATCTTTGTTCTTAAAAGTTGCAGGCTTTGGCTGTTACTGTGTCCCCCTAGAGGAGGCTGGACATTGCTACAATAACAACTGGGTTAGAGGAAAATTCCATTCCAAAACAAACTTTCAACTGTGGGAACGACCTTGGATTCTCATGAGAGTGTTATGGCAGATGGGAAAGGAAAGATAGAGCTGGCGCAGGAAAAAACTACTAGGTCTGGCAGACACTATCGGACAGATACTGCGCAGCAGCGAAGGGCTTCAACATCTGGAGCATCTGGAACATCAGGGGCTGCACCCCCACAGGTCAAACCAAAAGTTATGTCGTCCGAAGACGTTTTGGCACACGCTCTTGGAAAAATTAATGAATCTTTGGAAAATTTAGCTAAGCAGGTAGCTGAGACTAATAAACAAGTAGCTGAAGCATCAGGTAAAATTGATCTGAATACTACAAGTATTAATAATTTGGGACAGAAGGTGAACACCAATACAGAGTCTATCGAAAAATTATTACAGGAATCTGCTTCGACCCGAAAGATAGCTGAAGAAGCAAAAGATATTGCAACTGCTATTCAAGAGAAGATACCACCAGTATATAAGAAATTGGAGGACCATGATTTGACATTGTCTATGACTGAATTGAAAGAGAGACAAAGAAATTTAAGAATCAGGGCTGTACCAGAACGGGAGAAAGATAACCTGGCTGACTTTCTTACACAGGAATTTACAGACTTTTGGCAACAGGACTCGGGGAAGGAAGAATTCAAGATAGTGAATGCATTTAGACTTGGAAGAGGACAAAGCAGGAACAAGGTGAGGGACTGCTTGATTACCCTTCGAACAAAAGAAGAGAGAGACAAAATTTTGAATTTGCACTATCAAAAGACTTTGGAAATTTACGACTCAAGTGTGGTGATATTTAAGGACATTCCAAAACATCTTTTGGACTTAAGGTTTAACTACGGAGACCTAGTTGCCCTGTTGAAAAGAAATAGAATTCTTTTCAGGTGGGAATTTCCTCAAGGCCTATCCTTTAAATACAAAGGAAGAAAGATAAAAATAAGATCAGTCAATGATAAGGACAGGTTCTTGAAAGATCACGAAGAAGACCTACAGAAAGAAGTGGAATCTGGAGAAGAGCCAAAAGGCATACTAGACATAGCAAACTTATCTTTTGGATTGCACGGCCCAGAGAAAGAGACACCACCTACAGAACAAGAACAGACACTTGGTGCAGTTGGAGGTAAAGTGAAGTAACCCCATCATGGCTCTGCAACTGTTAAGCTGGAATTGTAATGGTTTGAACTCCCTCGAAAGAGAAAAAGTGTTTTTCATCTACTAAAAAAGGAACAATTGGACTTGATTTGTTTACAAGAAACACATATAACAAGGCTACACAGGAAACTACTGATTAATAAAAGATTGGGACAGGAGTTTATCTCATCTGACAAAGTTAAAAAAAGAGGAGTTGTGATATATGCAAAGGAGAGACTATCACCGAAATTAATTTTTAAAGATGATCAAGGAAGATTCTTGGCAATTGAAATTCAAGTTCAAGGAGAGAAATTCTTGATAGTAGGAATTTATGCACCAAATGAGGGGAAATCTGAATTCTTTAAAAAGTTGCACGAGACTTTACTGGACTATTTGGATTACAATTTGATTTTGATGGGGGACATGAATGGAGTAGTATCTACAAACATGGATAAGGCACAAAGACAGGTAGTTACCAAGGATGGTAGACTACCGAAAACATTTTTGAGATGACAGACAATATAGACTTAGTGGATATCTGGAGAGTAAAGAACCCCTTGGGAAGAGAGGGAACCTTCTTTTCTGAAGCCAAGATGACATGGACTAGAATTGACCAAATATGGATAACTAGAGGAATGGCACCAAAGATAAAGAAAGTAGAAATCTGCCCAAAAACCTGCTCCGACCATAATGCGGTAAGGATGGAGATGAAACAAATATCAACTGGATCCTTCAGATGGAGGATGAATGACACCTTATTTAGAGATGAAGAAGTATATAAAAAGGCCCAAAAAACTTTGAGAGACTATTTTGAAATAAATATGAACACCAATGTAGAAAAAAGAGTAATCTGGGACGCAAGTAAAGCGGTCATGAGAGGGTTTCTGATACAACAGAATGCAATAAAGAAGAGAAGTCAGAATGAGAAGAAAGATAAAATTTTGGAGAAAATAAAAGAAAGTGAGAAGAAATTGAGAGCAAAACCAAAGTCGCAGGAGATTCTGAGAGAAATAAAATTATATCAAGTACAATACATGAAAATGATGAATCAGGAAATAGAATGGAAAATTAAACAATTGAGACAAAAAACATTTGAATCAGCTAATAAATGTGGGAAATTGCTGGCCTGGCAAATGAAAAAAAGACAAAAATTAAATACTATTACAAACTTAGAAGTGGAAGGAAAGAATATACACAACCCAATTGAGATTAGAAACTGTTTCCAGAGGTACTTTAAACAATTATACACGCAAGGGCCACAGAAAGAAATGGACATAGACCGATTCTTGAAGACAAATGGATTACAAAAATCTCTCAAGAAAGTAAATTAATGCTGAACTATAAAATATCTGAACAGGAAGTGGAAGGTGCCATTCAAAATATGCAATTGGGCAAATCTCCAGGACCGGATGGGCTGACTTCTAGATATTATAGATCCTTGAAAGAGTGGCTATTGCAACCTTTGAAGGAAGTCTGCAATGAAATTTTGGAAGGGAAAAGGGCACCAGAGTCGTGGAAAGAGGCGTACATTACACTTATACCTAAAACAGAGACTGAAAAGACTCAGCTTAAGAACTATCGCCCTATATCGTTACTTAATGTGGATTACAAAATTTTTGCAGACATTTTGGCCAAGAGATTGAAAAAAGTATTGATGGAAGAGATTCATAAAGACCAAGCGGGCTTTCTCCCGGGAAGACACTTGTCTGACAATTTGAGGAACATAATTGACATTTTGGAAAAACTAGAAGTGAATATTAACGCTAAAGCAGTTCTGATATTTGTGGATGCGGAGAAAGCTTTTGACAATATCTCTTGGAGCTTCATGAAGAAGAACCTACAGGGGATGGGGGTAGACCAAGGTTTTGAAAATGGTATAGGTGCAATATACTCTGAACAAAAGGCTAAATTAATTGTAAATAATGTGGTAATGGAAGAATTTAAGATAGAAAAAGGGATACGACAGGGGTGCCCAATCTCCCCACTGCTTTTATATCGGTCCTGGAGGTTCTGCTGAATATGATTAGAAGGGACCGGTTGGTTAAAGGTATACAGGTCGGAGCCAAACAGTACAAACTGAGAGCATTTGCAGATGACTTAGTATTGACGTTACAGGAGCCAGAATCTAGCACTAAAAGGGTTTTAGAATTAATTCAAGAATTTGGTCAAGTGGCAGGATTTAAACTGAACAAGCTAAAAACTAAGGTTTTAGAGAAAAATTTAACACCGATTGAAAGAGAGAGGTTTCAGAATGAGACAGGTTTAACAGTGGTTAAGAAAGTGAAATATCTGGGGATTAATATGACAGCCAAAAATGGGAACTTATTTAAAGATAATTATGAAAAATGTTGGACGGAAGTGAAAAAAGATTTAGAAATCTGGTCAAATTTGAAGCTTTCACTGCTGGGCCGTATTGCTGCGATAAAAATGAATGTATTGCCTAGAATGTTGTTTTTGTTTCAGACATTGCAAATTGTGGACAAGATGGATTGTTTCAAGAAGTGGCAGAGAGACATTTCTAGATTTGTCTGGCAGGGCAAGAAGCCCAGAATAAAATTTAAGATATTAACTGACGCAAAGGAAAGAGGTGGATTTGCCCTGCCAGACTTTAAACTTTATTATGAATCAGCAGCTTTTTGCTGGTTGAAAGAATGGCTACTTCTTGAAAATACAGACATTTTGGATTTAGAAGGTTTTAACAACGTATTTGGATGGCATGCATATTTATGGTATGATAAGGTCAAAGCACATAAAGCATTTAAAAACCATATTGTCAGGAAAGCACTGTTTAATGTTTGGATAAGATACAAGGATTTATTGGAAAATAAAACCCCAAGGTGGTTGTCACCGATGGAAGCGAAAGCTCTGAAAAGGCTCAATTTGGAGGCCAAATGGTCGAAATATTGGGAAATTTTGGAACAAGAAGGAGACAAATTGAAATTGCAGATTTTCGAGAAACTAAAAAACAAAGTGAGAGATTGGCTTCATTATTATCAAATAATGGAGGCATATAATTTGGATAAGAAAATTGGCTTCCAGGTGGAAAAATCAAAACTAGAAACAGAACTGTTAGAACCCAAAACTAAGAAGTTGTCAAGAATGTATAACTTGCTGTTGAAATGGAATACTCAGGATGAAACGGTGAAATCTGCTATGATTCTCTCAGAGAAGTTGATCTGCCTACCTGGCCCTCCTCCCCAGCTGCTGGCCCTCCTGCTCTTGAGGAAGCTAGTCTTTCCCCACCTTTGGTCATCAGAGAGAAGCCTGCCCTGCCCACCCCATGAGGACTGGCAGCTTGTGGGCTCAATCCACCAGAGGGGGGGGGGCTAGATTAAATCCTGGGCCAACACGGGTGACAGAGCACCCAGAAGACACAGAACCAAAGGAGTTTCTCCCTTTGGGAAGATCTGCTTTGGGGGAGAGCAAGGGCAAGGAGACCTGCTCAACGTCTTCTAGGGGGATGGTCTTGCCCTAATGGCTTTAACTGATTTTTAACTGGTTGTTGTTGTTTTTAAAATGTGTGTGTGTGGTGTGTTGGTTTTGGGAGGGGGGAATGTGAAAGTGATCTGCCATGGGCCATTTCTGAGAAATCACATGGTTAGAAAGAACACCCTGCCTAGATGCGGAAGTCAACAGGCAGGGAGGGTGTGTTGTTTTTCTTGCTGGCCATTTCCTTCTTTCGTTTGAGTGACCTTTCAACTCAAAACAGGATGCTAACAGGATCTCTGCTCTTAGCAAAACAGCTCAGGAAAGATTTCCATGTTTTATGTTTCATTAATGCTGCATATGAACACATGAAGAGCCCTCTGGGATCAGGCCAGGGGCCCTCAAGTTACAGACTCATAGAACTGAAGAGTTGGAAGGGACCCCAAGGATCATCCAGTCCAACCCCTTGCAATGCAGTTGTCCCACACGGGGATTGAACCTGCAACCTTGGCGTTATCATTACCACGCTCTAACCAACAGAGCTCTCCAGTCCAGCCTCCTGTTCTCACAGTGACCAGCCAGATGCCCCCAAGGGAAGCCTGTAAGCAGGAGCTGAGCTCAAGAACAACTCTCCCCTTCTGAATTTTCCAGCAACTGCAATTCAGAGGCATCGCTGCCTCCGACTGTGGCTAACTCCAGCTGTGCACAAACATTATTTCACATGCATAGAACTGGAGTGAAACATATGTGCTGTGAAGGCAACAAGTGTGTGTTTGTGAACGTATCTGGCACACAGGTATATTCACCAGGGTGGCATTGATGATGATGATGAAATACTTAATATAAATAGGAACAAAAATCCAGTAAAGGTTCAGTAAACCCATTCTGCTGATCAGACCTGGTGTGGTCTGGCATCTGAAAGTAACAGCATTCTGGTTGCAACTTGCTTTCTTCTGTTGTGAGGAGACAGTCAATCAGTTCCTTCCTTAGCAGACCACAAGCTTCACATGAGCCCACAGTGTGATGCAGCAGCAAAAAAGGCTAAGGCTATTCCAGGCTGCCTCCACTGAAGTCTAGTGCCGCAATCAAGGGCAGTAATGATCTATCCCTCCAGCAGGAGGGAATTGGGGGGGGGGGATATTTTGCAAATGCTACAATGCGCCTTTCGCACTTGGTTTTGTAGGGGCAGTTCGTGGTTGGAGTCAAAGTCTGCCCTTCTGGGTGATGCTCTAAAAGGGAGGGGAAAGGGGGCACAATCCATGCCAAGGATTCACCCCTTCCTGTTTTTATATAATTTTTATTAAATTTTCTATTTTACAATTTAAAATACTCATTTTACATCCTTAAAATATCAATGACTTCCCTTCTTTTCTTTCCAAGGTTCCTTTTGCATATCATAAATCCCTGCATATTTTACAAAAACTATAACAATCAGTATTCCATTATTACATCCATCAAAACTTATTTACACTGTTGAATTTATCTTAATGCTGCCAGCGTTTTCAGTTGTACACAATTATTTCCCAGATATTCAATATACATCTTCCAATCTTCTCTAAACGTATGTTCTTCTTGTTCTCTTATTCTATATGTTAAGTCTGCAAGTTGTGCATATTCCGTCAACTTAAGTTGCCATTCTTCTTTGGTTGGGACCTCACTCATTTTCCATTTGGGGGCTAAGAAAACATGGGCTGCGGTGGTGGCACACATAAATAACTTTTTTTGACACCTGGGAATTTCCGTCTGAATAATTCCCAACAGAAAGGACTCTGGTTTTTGGAGGGAAAGTACTTTTACACATTTTTTCAATTCATTATGAATAATTTCCCAATACTCTTTTACCCTTTTACAAGTCCACCACATATGAAAGAACGTTCCCTCAACCTCTTTGCATCTCCAGCACTTATCTGATTCTGTCTTATACATCTTAGCAAGTCTAAAGGTAAAGGCAAAGGGACCCCTGACCATTAGGTCCAGTTGCGGTGCTCATCTCGCTTTATTGGCCGAGGGAGCCGGCGTACAGCTTCCGGGTCATGTGGCCAGCATGACTAAGCCGCTTCTGGCAAACCAGAGCAGAGCACGGAAACGCCGTTTACCTTCCCACCAGATAGGTACCTATTTATCTACTTGCACTTTGATGTGCTTTCGAACTGCTAGGTTGGCAGGAGCAGGGACCGAGCAACGGGAGCTCACCCCATCGCGGGGATTCGAACCGCTGACCTTCTGATCAGCAAGTCCTAGGCTCTGTGGTTTTACCCACAGTGCCACCCACGTCCCTATCTTAGCAAGTCTACTCGGAGTTAAATACAGGTAGTTCTCCTTCAAAGAATAACATGCTGTAAACTTCAAATCACTTTTCCAGAATTTTCCCCAGAGGTTAAACTCTATATTGTGTCCTATATCTATTGCCCAGTGTGTCATTGAGACTTTGACAAGCTCGTCTTTTGTTTCCCAGTCTAATAATAAATTATACATTTGGGACAAAAGTTTCTCTTTGTTTTGTAGAAGTTCTTTTTCAAATTGTGAGCTTTGGTCCATAAAAGCATTTTTCCTGTCTGTTTTAAACATTTCATGTAACTGATGATATTGTAGCCACACTGTCACATGGCTCCCTACACTTTCCATTGATTTCAGTTTAGGTTCCCCTCTGTAAAGTGTAGCAGTTCCCTGTAAGTTGCCCATTGTCTGTCCATATTAACTCTCTTAATTGTAATAGCCCCAATAGGAGAGAGTCATAAAGGTGTTTTCCTTTCCAGCAGATTTTTATGTTTCTCCCAAACGCTATACAAATTCTTCCTTAGAATATGGTTCATAAAACTTTTATAAATTTTCACCTTCTCATGATTTAAAATTCAGCGTATCTCCTTCCTCATTGCTTTTCCAGGCAAAAGATGTTGCCAAACTGCAACTCCCACCAGCCCCAGCTAGCCTGGCCAAAGCACCTGGTGGTGGGAGTTGTAGTTCAGCAGCCTCAGGAGGGGCAAAGGTTCCCCACGCCTGCCTGAAGGGACGGCCCCATCACATTTATACCAGGAGGCATTTCTAAGGAAGGGCAAACTCCTGTCAGCTCTTCCACCCCCTGAATACACAGAATTTCCTCCTTCATCTGTGAGGGGTTTGGCGGGTTCCCCCAGAGCATGGCCCTGCTGCCCCCACAGTGCATAAAAATGGAAGATAATATTTATTGCGGTTGTTGTTTGTACACCGCCCTTCACCCAAACATCTCAGGGCAGTTCTGCCGGGGTTGACTGCTTTTGCTCCAGAAGGCTTCATCTCTCCTAATCTCATATAAATTGAGGCCGATTGTGGCTCAATCTATATGATGTTGAGGGAAACCTTCCTCTGCTGCCAAGAGCCCACATATCTGAGGCCAAGATGGAGGCCCTGCTGACAACCTCTTTCCCAAAAGCCCCGGGGGGAGAACAGATCCCCTGTGATGTCAATCCCTGCTGTATGAAGCCAACCAGCTTCCATGGATCCATTTTGGGTCCGGATACCAGGAAAGGGAGGGTTGTGCAATGTTACCGGAAAAATCCGAGGGCTCCCTTGGACAAAAAGTAAAGACACCAACCAGAGTAAATTGGAGCAAATCAGCAGCCTGTAGGCTTGGCCTTTATTGAACTGTTGCAACAGGGTGTTCCCCTCACTTGCAGGACAGAGGAAAGACACAGAAAATGGTGTGCAAGCCCTTATAAAAACTTTTGAAATTCCCATCCTCTAGGTCAAGCCCACCCCCAGAAACATCATGCATACATTACAGAAAGGAGGGGTTGAGGGAGGAGTTGTGGTGGTAACCTGAGTGTCCTGTCACCTGGCTGGTTCCCTTCTCCCCCTCCCCATGAGTCATTTCCAGGAGACAAAGGGGAGTTGGCAGTTTCCTGCCCCCAGAGGGAAGATCTGATCATTGTCCTTTGTTTCAGTCCATGCTGAATCCACTCCCATATGCAAGTTCTTTGTGATCTTGATGGTCTTCTGTCTAGGACCATCAGGGTTAGCATAGCAACTGGGCAGGGCTCCTGTGGATGTGCTGGGATGGTGAAGGGATTATGGCTGACCAGAACCAAGCCACCCCCCTTTGATAGTCCTTGTCATATGGAGTAAAATAAAAATGGAACAGTGCAAATCCGATGTATGGTTGATTTTTCTATGAATTTATAACAGAAGTGTGGCATATGTAGTGTGTGAGTGTGTGAAGTTTGTACAAACTGAATGATTGGGGTGGGGGGTTCCTGCTACAGCAACTAAGGACCTTGATTCTGCATGGATCCGACTTGTGGGGAGGCCGCAGGAGGGGGTTGGACTAGATGGCCCTTGGGGTCCCATCCAACTCTACGATGTACCGCTTAAGAGCCTTTTTGGAGTGAAAGGCTGACGAGTGGGAGCGGCTTCCACCATCTCGCAACTTTGTTATCCCCCTGAAAGTGATCCTTGTCCCCTTGCACTTTGTCACTCCCGAACAGATAAAAGGAGAAGTGGCCTCTGTGCCTGAAGCAGACTTGTGCTTTAAGAGGGGACCCAAGTCGAGACAAACTCAAGCAAGAGAGCCACTTGGAGGCAAGATTCATCCGTTTTCCACGTTTCTGGTAAGACGCGTTTGCACATTAGAAGTTGTCACGGCTTCTTTTGTTGTCAAAGGCTTCTTTTGCATGGCTGCTGCAAACCGTTCCAGCTGGCATGTTGCAGAGGGGACTTGGTGACGGGATCTTGCGCTGATGATGCCCTCGCCTCCTGCTCTCTGGCTCTTTGGAAAGGCCACAAATCCATCCTGATATGGCCCAGACTTGGAGCAAAGGAATGAAGGCTGCAGCGCAAGGCTCTCCTGGGATTTGGGGTGGGACTAGGGGGACCCCTGCCCTGACTCAGGATATGGCACCTTCCTAAGATGCTGAGCACCTCTGCTGCTGCCAGTTGCTTCCTTGCAGGAGGGAGGGGGCAGGCGGCTGTGGACCATCTTCTGGACATTTCTGTGCATTCCCTTTGTTTGTTTGTTTTACCAGTTTTCATCAATTAATGAGAAAAGGAAGTGCATTGAAAATGGCCGGATTCGAACATTTTTTTTTCATTTTTTTTCATTTCGTTATATATTGTTTCCCAAAATTGTTTGATGTTTAAACAATTCCACCATATATGCATCATGTTCAGATATTCAAATGTTCAGATATTCATTTAGGAAAACACTAGAAGGTTTTCTATTGGGAATAGTACTAGGAAGCCTAAAGGAAGAAGACAAGACCTTATATTTATACGCAACAGTAGCCACAAGGCTATTGATTGCAAAAAATTGGAAAAGTGGTATTGTACTGACAAAAATAGAGTGGCTTGCCAAATTATTGGAGTACTACAATATATCCAAAACAATGGGAGAAATTGGAAGGATCTCAAAAGAGAAGATAGACAGGGACTGGAAGGTGTTTAAAAGATACTTGCAAAACCATATCGAAAAATCAGAACTCCTATTAGAATAAACAAGGTCTGTTTTAAATACTGAAATACTAAATAAGATGGATAACAATGTATAATAGAAAAAGAAGTATGAAATTAGGTTAAAGGTGTGTGAAAGAAAGTACCGTATTTTTCGCCCCATAGGACGCACTTTTTCCCCCTCCAAAAATGAAGGGGAAATGTGTGTGTGTCCTATGGGGCGAATGCAGGCTTTCGCTGAAGCCTGGAGAGCGAGAGGCATCGGTGCACACCGACCCCTCTCGCTCTCCAGGCTTCAGGAAGCTATCCACAAGCCTTGCAAGCCCGGCGGGAGTTCCCGCGGGCTCACAAGGCTTGGGGCGGCAGCCTGCAGCCCGAAGCACGGGGAGCCCTCTGGAGGGCGCCCCGTGCTTCGGGCAGGTGTACGCAAGGCTTGGGGCGGCAGCCGCGGCTGGGGGGGGAAATAATTTTTTTTTATTCATTCCCCCCCCCCAAAAAAAGGAGGTGCGTCCTATGGGCCGGTGCGCCTTATAGGACGAAAAATACGGTAATAGAAGTGGAAAGAAATTTCAGTTGAGTAGATTGGAAGTCTAACACAAAGGTGGGGTGAGGGGTGGTGGATGGTGATGGGAAAAGGAATTATCTGTGGGATTGAGTGTAGGTATTGTTAGGGAAAAATCCAGGAGCGAGGCTGCTCAGTCACCCAGCTCGTCGGGCAGAGCCCGCGGGTCCCTGCGGAATAAAGGAAGGAGTCCAGCCAACCGGAGCAAATAGCTGTAGACCAAATTTATTGCGCAATAGGTTCAAAGAGCAAATTTTGAACCCCAAGGATGGGGTGACAAAGACTTTTAAAACTTTCCCACTACATCCCAGAATACAATTCGAAGGGGAGGGGTTAACCTTGGCAAACATGTCCAGACATGTCCTTGGTACAAGATTAGCATAAGCAGACATGGCAGGGCAAGATTCGGGTATAAGATTAGCATAGACAAATACGTCTTAAGTACCCACCACCCAAAAGTACAATAGAAGTTCCTTTGCATGTCTGGAGCCTGAGGCGAGTCAGGTGATGAGATTTGGCTTCCTTTGGCTAACAATGAGCTCAGCAATTGTCACCTCTGAGAACTTCCTGGAGTCCTTTTTCAAGGGGAAAATAGCTTTGGAATGGAGGAAACTGGGAAAGGAGATGATTTTATATTATTTTTAAAGCTAGGAAACTTCCCTGAGCTGTCAAGTTGAAAGGATACATTCAGGCATAATATTTGTAATATTTAACTTTAAAGATGTGCCCCCCCTGGTAATGTCCGTAACAGTATGTTGTAGGTATGTAGGTATGTTGTATGAAATGTATGTTTGTATGCTTGTATATTTGTAATATATGTGTATTAATTTTGAATTATTTTAACAATAAAAACATTTCAATTAAAAAGAAAAGAAAAGAAAAGAAAATGGTCGGATTCATCAACATTCACTAAAAACAATATGTAAACCCCAATACGCCTAAACCACATGCTGAAAGGGTGCTGCTCCCCCTTTTGCTGATGGGTTTCCAATGTGAAAGGTTCTTAACTACCATTTGTGGTGGGATCGTGTGCATGTAAGCAAAATATGCTCCAAATCATAGAGTGATAGAATTGCAGAGTTGGAAGGGGCCCGATCCTCTGCATTACTGGAATCACACCTGAATGTTCCGACTTGGAACAGTCCTGATTTTGTTTGTTTCTTTGATAACTGAGAAATTCTTACCCGAGATATGCACCCAGGTTCTAACTGGTAAATCAGAGCAGGGCTTTTAGTGTGGCTGCCTCTGATCTGTGGAACAGCATTTCTGTCAAGATAGGACAGGCACCCAGAAAAAAATAGAAGACATCTTTCTGTTCCAACAAGCCTTCACAGCCGGATGAAGGAAGTTTGTGCCTTGACGGTCTGCTTGGTATTGGGGTTTCTAATTTTAAAGTTGCTGCTATTTGTTTTAAAATGTTTTTGAACTGTTTTTATTGCATTTTGTACGTTCAACGTGTGTTGAAAGTGATAAAATCATAAAGATAATGATAGGAAGAAGAGTACATTTATTTTTCTAATGCATGTGTTTCTCTTTTAATTGTGACAGCAAGTTTGTTAAAAAGAAGATGGCGTCTTCCAGAACACAGGAAACAAGTGAGAACAAACCACCTCAGAAATATCTCAAAGAAAGTAACCTTGTAAAAAGGGTGACCCTTCTGTTTATGCATTAAAACTGAAAACGGAGTCTAAAACATCTCCAAAGTACCATCTAGGCAAAGAGAACTTGCAGATCGCCAACAAAGTGATCATGATGATGGGAGCGTCTGGATCAGGGAAAACCACTCTCATCAATGGGATGATCAACTACATCCTGGGCGTGCAGTGGGGAGATAAATTCCGGTTCAAACTTATTCATGAAGTGACTGGCAGAAACCAAGCGGAAAGCCAGACATCCGAAGTGATGGCTTATGTGGTGAACTATCAAGAGGGTCTCAAGATCCCTTGCTCCCTCACTTTTGTTGACACTCCAGGATTCGGAGACACGAGAGGAATAGAACAGGACAAAAAGTTAGTGGAGAAGATCCGGGAGTTTTTCTCCATCCCAGGAGGCATTGACCACATCGATTGTGTCTGCTTTGTGGTCAAGGCTTCTACAAACCGCTTAACAGCAGCCGAGAAATACGTCTTTGATTCCGTGCTCTCCATCTTTGGGAAAGATATCAAGGAGAACATCCAGTTCCTGATCACCTTTGCAGATTCACAGACTCCCCTGGTCCTTGAGGCCATTAAGACGGCCAACGTTCCATGCGCCAAAGATGGCAAGGGGAACCCCGTGCATTTCAAATTCAACAATTCCGCCCTGTTTGCCAACAATGTCGTGGGGGACGGGGAGAGCCCTAACTTTGACGAAATGTTTTGGAAAATGGGTACGATCAGCATGAAGACCTACTTTGACTCGCTAAGCAAACTGAACGCGAGGAGTTTGTCTTTGACGAAGGAAGTTCTCAGGGAGCGGAAAGAGTTGGAGACGGTTGTGCAGGGCCTGCTGCCCCAGATCAAAACCGGGCTGGTCAAACTGGAAGAACTGAAGCAAACAGAACAAGCCCTTGACCAGCACAAAGCTGACATGGCGGCCAACAGAGATTTTGAGTATGAGCTCCCAGTCACCGTCAAAGTGAAGCAAGATCTCTCTGGAGCTCATCAATATGCAACCAACTGCAAGAACTGTGAGGTCACCTGCCACTATCCTTGCTGGCATACATGGGACCTGCTGAACCGCTTTTGCTCCGCTATCAGTTTCTTCTCAGGAAAATGCAACGTTTGTCCCGGCAAGTGCTCAGTCAACGACCACCGCAACCAGGATTACCAATTTAAGGACGAAATAAGGAAAGAGAAGAAGACATATGCGGAGCTGAAGAAAAAGTACGAGGATGCCCGCCGTGGGGTTATGACAGCGGAGGAGCTGATTTCGCACCTCAGACAGGAGTACATCGAGGTAAGAGAAAATTTGTTCAAAAACATTGAGAGAGCGTCTCAAAGCCTGCGGCGCCTGCAGGAAATTGCCCTGAAGCCCAACCCGCTCTCCACTCCAGAATACATCGACATGCTCATTGCATCCGAAGAGGAGGAATGCAAGCTTGGATATCAGAAAAGGATTCAGTTGCTGAAGGACGTGAAGAAAGAAGCAGAGATCATACAGAAGATTGCAAATAAGGAGGCTCTGCTGCCAGAGGAGGAGGAGATGATGAGCGAACTGAAGAAGGACAAAAGAAAATTTGTATTGGTACCCAAGTAATCCTCCCTAAATGAAGGGGCAACACAGCAGCTCCTGTTTAGCCTTAGATCTCTGTATAAGCAGCCCCCCCCCCATATCCTTTTTGCTAAGTGCAGGGACTCTGAGGCTGGATCTACACTGACCTGTTTAACGTTATAAGAACGCTAACAGATATATTGTCAAGGCATTTATTACAGGGTTCCGGGTCTGGATTCTTCCCATTCTTCCCTCTCTCCGGCCAGGCGTCTCTTCTGATCTGTGCACCCCCTGGGGGCGGGGGGGGGGGCTCTGCTCCCAGAGCATCTTCTGGCCTCCCCCCCCCCTCACTTGGCAAGATCCTTTTGTGGGCGGAGAGGGAATCCAAAGGCCGAGGAATAATTCTGGGGGTTCAGCAGCAGGGCAGCAACAGCCCCCGCCTCCCCCTGCTGAGTCTCTTTGGCAGAATGCGGGGGCCTGAGGAGGACCAGACCGGCTTGCAACTCGCACCCCGGGCCAAGCGCAGCCCAAGCAGCACCGCCAGCCTCTTCTGGAGTTTTAGAAAAACATGAACTTGGGCGGGAGCCGCTGAGAACGGAGATATGGCCGCTGACTCGCGCGAGGGTGGCGGGTGTACACGGGACTGGGTTGAATTCCCACGTGCGCGTGGCTGCGCGCATGCAGGGGTTGAAGTGCAGTGAAATCTCCCACTCCGGGGAGTGGAGATGGGCCTGGGACGTCTTAGCCCAAGGAGTGGGGGCCTTGCCTCCCCATCACCCACCCCCTTCTGGCTTGCGGAGGGGGGCAGTCTTGCAGGGACCCCGCCGCCCTTCAAACCTCTTCCTCAGCCAGCCCGAGATCTTAGAAGCTGTTTCCTCCGCCGCCGCCGCCACCCCCACCCCTTCAGGATGGGTTGCCCGGAGTTACAGGACTAGGGCTCTGCAACCGGGCGAGCCAGGGGCAGGTGGGGAGGAGAGAGATGCAACCTCCCCTTCACACGCACACGCGCAAAATCAAGAGTCAGGATGCTTCCTGGGCTCCCAAGAGGTGCGATCCAGCGCTTGTCTTCTTTCGCTGCCGAGAAGGAGGAAGCTCTCCAATTCCACGAGAACTGCTCCTCCTGCTGCATCCCGAGCTCCCTCCTGGGGCTTCCCTGATCCTGGAGAAAGGCTCAAATTCCTTGAGGATCTGGCTTGTGAATGGGGCGGGGGCGGAAGGGAGGGGAAAGCATTGCGCTCCCTCGCGTCTCCAAAGCAGGGGATGCATGAGGGTCCCAGGCTGACGGAGGGGAGGCAGTGACGGAGCCCAAGTCACCCGGTGAACTTCTTGGCTGAGCGGGGATTGGGTGCACCCTCTCTACCCACCCACCCCGCCCCACCTCCGAGCCCCACTGATTTCTCAGCCAGCGCAGAGGAGGGGATTATTGGGGTCTTCCCCGTTTCAGAGCCAAGAAGCTCCGCACATCCCTGTGACTTGAATTTTAAGGCACTTTTGCGGCCTCATTCCTGGTATAAGAGCAGGCGGGAATGAAGTCCGCCAAATCCTTTTTCTAGGTCGTCTGCTTTAGTGAGCCACTTCTGCTAAGTAACTCTGATGAACCTTCAACAGCCACCCAGTTGAAGGCCATTCCCAGATTCTCTGTTGTTCTGAAAACCAAGAAAGGCCCAGGACAACCTGGAAGCTGGCCCTGTTCTCCCCAGCAGTTTGGGTGCCCTTGGACCCAAAAGCGCAGGGTTCACTGGCTAGGAGATTCATTTATTTTTTAAGTAATTGCTTTGGTGCTCCCCAGGTCCCTCTGCATCTGAGCTGAAAGCAGCAACCCCCAGAGAATAAGACCCACGGGCAGCACTGCAGGGCTGTTGTGTTGCAGCTGGGCAAGGAAGGGGGTGGGAGATCCTCTCTCAGGCACCCCCCCTCCATCACTCATGCAAAATCATGCTGCAAGTCCGCTGCCTGATTTCCACCTCTAGAGGTGCAAACCTTTCCAGAAATCACGTTCAGCCTATTCACCATGCATGGGGAGCATTCTGTACCATATATTTAAAAGACTATAAGAATCTAAAAGAAACTAAAGGAGGGGTTAGGAGCATTAAACGGATGTGGAGGAGCATAAAAGATTAGTATATAAAAGACTACAACTATCAGTTTAGAGAGCACTATGATGTGAGTGTTCATGAAATCTAGTTTGTGGTGCAGGTCATCATCCGATGGATCTTGAGCGCTGCTGTGCAGAATCTGGCAACGTTGTATGTTGTAGCAGGGTTGGGATCTGACAGCAGCAGGGAGGTATAAAATTGTCCTGTGCACCTTGGGGTACTTGTGGTGTAATGGGGAGAGGAGGCTAATACAAATGTCTCTGTAATATAGGCAGTGGAGAAGAACATGCTCTGTTGTTTCTGTTTGTCCAGAGTCACAGGGGCATTGCAACTGATACAATAGCAAATAAAATACTAAGCAGGTGATTCTTAGGACATTGCACCCAGACAATCCGGTTTGTTCATTAGTTTATTTGTTTTTCTCCTGACACCTCATAAGAAGCTGGTGGGCTGGCTTTAAAAATCCCCAGCTTTGCTAAAGGGGAGATATTAAGAGGAACGATTATAAAGAAAAAAGTAAAGCACTGCACCACACACACATAAGGCGATAAATACTTTTCTGTAGCTGAAACCCTTGTGAGCTTTCCCTTTCCCCTCTCCCTTGGCCCTTTTCCTGCCTTCCGCCATGTAAGATCCAAGCGCTGCCTCCATGGATGGCGTCTCCAGGTATGGCTCTTCATTCCCCTCGACCATCTCCAGGACCATCTCCATCAGCTCAGAGACCTGGTCCTCCCGTTCTCCTAATGCCGCCCTGTTATTAAAAGCGCAGAAGCGCCCTCCGCATTCTTGGACCAGCTTCTGGAGAGCCTTGTTATCTGACTGCATCACGTAATCCCGCAAGGAGTCGCCTTCTAAGGCTTCTTTGCGGGTGAACAAGAGGATGGTGTGCTTCATGGCCTCCGTCCCAAACATCTCCCGGACTCGCTGGGCTGCCTCCTCGTCCTCCGCAGTGAAGCGGCCCACCTGGGTCACAAACACGAGCGCGTGAGGGCCAGGCTGAGAGAGGTCAAGGCAGCGCTTGGTCTCCTGGTCCAGCCTTTCATCGCAAGCTCCGGTGCCCAAAATATCCGCTGTGTCAATCACGGACACAGGATGGCCTCTCCAAGTGCAAGACGCCCTTTGACAGGACAAGGTGGTTGTCCTGGCCTGAAGTTTTGAATCAAAGAGCTTCTGGCCAAGGATGCTGTTTCCTGTGGCGCTTTTGCCGCCTCCAGTCTTGCCCACAAGGACAATCCTCAGTTCTCTCCTATTTCCTGCGGGTTTTGAAAGACAGCAAAGAGCTGGTCAGCAAAAATATCAGAGCAACCACTTCTGGTGGGATCCCTCTTAATATGTGATTGTTGAGAATTATATTGTTTTCTGATCCTCAGAGAGACTGAATGCATATGTAAAGCATAAGGTAAAGGTAAAGGGACCCCTGACCATTAGGTCCAGTCATGACCGACTCTGGGGTTGCAGCGCTCATTTTGCTTTATTGGCCGAGAGAGCGGGCGTTTGTCCGCAGACAGCTTCCGGGTCATGTGGCCAGCATGACTAAGCTGCTTCTGGCAAACCAGAGCAGCGCACGGAAACTGCCGACCTTCTGATCGGCAAGTCCAAGGCTCTGTGGTTTAACCCACAGCGCCACCCGCGTCCCTTATGTAAAGTGTACACATGTATAAATAAAAGCAGAAGAAGAACAGATTGGGAAACATTTGTGTACACCTGATAAATTCAACAGTGTAAATAAGTTTTGATGGATGCAATAATGGAATACTGAATGGTTTAGTTTTATGTAAAATATGCAGGGATTTATGATATGCATCTTGAATTTGAACAAGCGCTAGTTCCTTTTCCCAGCTCTGGTCAGTGCAGGCAAGAATGAGCCGGGAGAACCAGCGGCCTGATGCAGCCGAGGGCATCTTTCTAGGTTCCTGCAGATGTGCGTCAGGATGGCATCCCACCCAGGCACCTCCCACCTCCCCAAATCCCAAAATATTACACATTGGTATAACAATATTTTTTCTGCAAATAAATAAAATAAATGTCATTGGGGGTGCCGTGAAAAGCTCCTGCGAAATAGATCTGGAATAATCCACCCCACCCCAAGCAGTCAATCTGCCTCTGAGTCACTGGAACCCTTCCTTACCTCCTCTGGTCCCGTCCATCTTCCCCTGAAAAATGGCAAGAAATCAAGATGATCTTCTCAGGCAGCCTTCCATCTGCAAACCCAGCACCCCACCCCTAGTTCAGACATGTGGTATCTCAAAGGAGAAACAGCACATTGCAGACATAAAAATGTTCAGAATATTTTGCAAGCAATGAGAAAGGAAATGCCCACTGAACTGTGCCCAAACGCTGTGGCTCTTTCCTCAGGTGGCACTTCAACAGAATTCAATTTAAAACGTTATTATTATTAATTTCAAATATTATTTTCACGTATTGCAAGCAGAAGAACACCCCCTTCACCCTGAAGAGAGCGCCTGGCAAACATCAGTCTAAACATATAAGGCTTTATATGACATAAAGCCACATAATAAAACATCAATTATGTGTTTAGATCTGTTGGAAGCCGCCCAGAGTAGCTGGGGCAACCCAGTCAGGCGTGTGGGGTTCAAATAATGAAATTTATATTCTGGTGGAGTGTTTGCTTAATTTATTCATTTCATAAAAATATGCACCCCTTGATTGTAAAAAAAGGTGGGGGAAAGAATCTCAAAGCATTTTGCCAAAAGATAAAATCACCATCAAGAAGAATTAACAATGACTTTAAAGCTGAGTTAAAAAGTTAAAATGACAAGAGCTAAAAACAGATTAAAAGTCTCGCCAGCTTTCTAAGCATCTGAATAGGCTTGTCTAAACAAGATTAATAGGCGTTCCAAGTGTCCCTATGTTCCAGAGACATTCCCAGATTTACAGAAGCCCCTCCGGTTTCAGATTTGATCCCAGAATGTCCCACTTTTCCTTAGAATCATAGAATTGTAGAGTTGGAAGGGACCCCGAGAGTCATCTAGTCCAACCCCCTGCAATGCAGGAATATCCAGCTGCCCCAAATGGGGATCAAACCTGCAACCTTGGCTCTAACCAACAGAGACATCCAGGTTCAGGATGTCAGAGAAATGTTGGAGGGCCTGGAGTTACGGAACCCACGAGCCAAGGATATAAGTAACCAGACAACCTTTAGAAGACATCTGGATAGGGAAGCTGTTTAAAGTTTGGTTATGCTTTTATATACACGTTGGAAGCCTCCCTGGGTGTCTGGGGCCACCTAGTCAGATGGGTATAAATAATACAACTATTAATATTATTATGTGATAGGACGTCCCTATTTTCATTGGGTAATGGTTGGGAGTGTAAGGAATAATTTCAGCAAGCGCCAGAAAGAGTACAGTCTCCCTGACAAAAACAAGCCTGCAACTGCCCTGTTCCTGTTTGTGGTGAAAGAGAAGCCCCAGTTTGGGCGCACTCTTAAGCCACAGTCGGTCGATCAGCCTTTAAGGATCCTCCACAGGGATCCTTCCTTGCCTTTTGTTCCAACAGGCTAAACACAGCTGCTGCTTCCTTGGAAGCTTGAGGGCAGGGGCCCAGCCTGGTATGTCTGGGCATATTGAACGGAGCTGCTTCTGAGCGAGGAAGGTGCGCCCAGGAGCGCGGAGAGGCTGCCAAGGGCTGCCAGCCAGACAAGGGGCGTCTCCCGGGTCCTCTTGCAGCAGGGGCTCCCTTTGCAACGAGATCCTTCTCTCCCTCCTTCTCTCCACCACTCCGCCCTTCCCAGATGGCAGACCTCACCTCCTCAGCTGCTTCTGCAGATCCTTCCTCGTCCCGCGTCGTCTTCCACGCCGGTTTGAGTTTTCCTGCAGTGAACGGGAGCGAGAGACGAGCTGCTTCTCCGAAGGGAAAATGAAAGTAGCAGCTGAATTAGGTCCTCTTCTGCTTGGAATGGGCAGGACAAGAATTTCCCCCAGTGGATGCCTGGAGAACCAGCAGCTGGTTTGGGCGGTGGGTGGCCGCGTCGGGAGCTTTTCAGCTTAGAGAAAAGGCGAGCGCACGAGAGGGTCGTAGAATCAGAGAATTCTAGAGTTGGAAGGGACCCGAGGGTCATCTAGTCCAACCCCCTGCAATGCAGGAATATGCAGCTGCTCCATCGAACTTGCAACCTTGACATCATCAGCACCATACTATACTGAGAAGTGCACAGAATGATGCCTGGCAGGGGCTGAGGGGGACGAGCCTCCTAATATTCAGGGTGTTCTCACAAAGTGTAATGCTGGTGGTCAACAAAAGAGGTTCAAAGGCTCAAGGCAAATCTTTAAAAATGTAGCATAAACACCGACAACTGGGAAACACTGGCCTGTGAGCGCTCCAGTTGGAGAACAGCCTTGACCAAAGGTGTCCTGGGCTTTGAAGACGCTCAAACTCAGGACAAAAGGGAGAAACGTGCTAAGAGGAAGGCACGCTTGGCAAACCCTCGCCGTGATCAACTCCCACCCAGAAACCAATGTCCCCAGTGTGGAAGGACGTGTGGATCCAGAATTGGCCTCCAAAGTCACTGTTAAAACCGTGTTTATGGAAGACAATCTTACTCGGCTACGAGGGATCACCAAAGAAGACAGAAGATTCAAGGTGTTGAGCAATGTCGCACGCATGATGTCATGCACTTCACACAGCATCACACACATGATGTCATGATGTTGCTCAGCATCGCCCACAGGGCCCCCTCGATCCCCTTAAGGAGATGTTTATTATGCTTACATTTTAGGATTGTATTTGACTCTTGTAAATGGCTTTGGAGCTTTTCATGAACCCCATAAGCTGTCATGCTGACGCCTCTCCCCCCATCACTTATTAAAGATGATGAGGGTGTCAATCTGCAGAGAGAATTGGGGGTGGACTGGGGGCAATGGGGGCTGGACCCTAGGAAAGGAAAGGTCAGTGGGGCCCAAGCCCACAGGTCCATCTTTGTCCAGGTTCAAATGGCCTGTTCGCGAAAGGTGCCCATTGGGAAAGCCACCAGCTGAAGGTTGAGGTCCTCTTCTCCTGTGCCCGGGAGACGGTCCATGGCTCTGTGCTCCCTTGGGCCAGATGCATCCCTTCCTCCTCCTGCTGCCCTCAGCTGCAGCCACCATCTCCCATCCTCAGAGGCAGGAGCGGCCCAAGACATTTTGCTGCCTGGGGCGAAGGAGAAGATGGTGCAATTCCATTCTCTGCATCAAATCTGACTAGATTGGGAGTTGACTCTCAAGCCAACCCTGGTGATGTCATGATGTTGCTCGGCATCGCCCACAGTGCCCCCTCGATCCCCTTAAGGAGATGTTTATTATGCTAGGTGTTTTTAGGATTGCATTTGACTCTTGGTGATGTTCTGGCACATCGCATGGCACTCATTTCTTTTTTATTTTTTAGTCTTCTATTTATATTTTTCAAATTTATACATTTCATTAGTTTTGCAAACAATTTAAAATTTCCAAATTTTGACTTCCTTCCCCCTCTTTCTGTGGTTCCTTAAATTATTATTTTTCAAAAATATATTCTGCATATGCAAATTCATTTAACTTGCTCATTTATTTATCTACTGTAAATATGTACTCTTACAAAACTGCAGGTTATTACATTAATCCTGCTAACGTTTTTATCTGTTTACAATTTATCTGTAAATATTCAATAAACCATTTCTATTCTTTTATAAAAAGTTTGTTAACTTGATTTCTTATTCTTCCGGTAAGTTTCACCATTACTGCATATTCCGTAAGTTTTTGCATCCATTCTTCTTTTCTGGGACTTCTGCTTCTTCCCATTTTGGGGTGAGTAACATTCTTGCTGCTGTAGTCGCGTACATAAACAAATTTCTATACAGTTTAGGTAGTTCTACAATTCCCACGAGAAAATCTGAGGGTCAGAAAAGTGGCAAGAAAGGAGTGCTTTTAGGAAACATTTCTAGCCACTTCCTCGACCCTCAGAATTTTCTGCCTGAGGCAGCTGCCTCAGTCTGTCTCATAGAAGAGCCGGCCTCTTAGGAAGAGGTGGGGATGATGTTGGGAAAGATGGAGGGCCCAAGGAGAAGGGGGCAACAGAGGACCAGATGGTTGGAAGCTGCCAGCATGAGTTTGACCAAGCTGTGGAAGACAGGAGTGCCTGGTGTGCTCTGGTCCAGGGGTCATGGAGAGTCGGACACGACTAAACAACTAAACAACAACAACAGGCTGGCTTTAACAGAGGATGAGCTGAACTCCTGGAGGACAATGGCTTCTAGCCATCTGCTCCACTTCCACTGCCAGAGAGGAGGTTGCAGGATGCCCATCGCTGGGGGCCAGGAGGGGGAGAGTGCTCCTTTTGCACCCAAGTCCTGCTAGTGGGCTTCTTCCCTAAGGGACATCTGGTTGACCGCTGTGAGAACAGGATGCTCAACTGGATGGGACATTGGCCTGTTCCAGCTGTAGGGCTCCTTTTAGGCTCTTCTCTCATGTGGGACGATCCCCATTGCTCTGCTTAGAATCTGGATTTAGGAAAGTTGCCCCCTTCAACAACTGCAGGCAATTGCAGTGCAGTGAGAGGCAGAAGCTTCTTGCCGTTGGCCATTTCTGGGTATTCATGTGGTTAGAAAGAATATTCCACCCAGCAACTGAATATACAATTTTGATGCTGAGAAACAGGAAGTTGTTTCTCCTCTGGTGTGGTCTTTCTTTTCAAATGTTCCTCTTGCTGCACTATCTCTCTTTCTGCTCTTTTATCAAACAGCTCTGCAGAGATGTCAGAATCGCATTTCACAGAACCTGGGTTCGCCTTTTCCTCCTTCTCAACCCAGCTGCATTCCTTTAGAGACTGACCCACAAATGGCAAGGGCTAGGCTGACTGCTTCCAAACAGATCCCAAGAAGCTTATTGGATATTCCTCAGAAAGATCAGTAATGACAGGTGAGCTTCTCAGAGAGGCAGCTTGACCCACCAATGCATTTTTTTGAATATTCAGCATTTAATTATTTATTTAGTAATTAATTGCTGTTGTTGTTGTTCCTGAATTATTATACATTATTCAATTTATATCCACCCTTCTCCCAACGGAGCTCAGGGTAGCAAACATATCACTAGCAATATCAGTAAAGACATTCTGAAAACCGGGAAGGTATTCTAACCTTCTCACCCCCTTGAGAACTTTCCCAGATCAGTCAAAAGCATCACATTCTCTTGGCCAATGCCACTCACAGCCAGCGTATCAGCAGAATGGCAGCCTCTCCTCCTCCTTGCCCACTCTCCCACAGTCACCATGAGCTGCCCAAGGGAGGAGGCCAGAAGCAGTGGCCATGGAGAGGCCATGAGATGCTCCTTCTCACAGACGACTCCTAGATGGAGATGGACCAAGGAGCTGATGCAGGAGAAAAGAAATTTCAGGTATTCATAGGAAGTGGTGCTTGTGCAGGCAGCTGGTCTGAAGGTTAGTTCTGGTCTAGGAAGAGAACCAGATATACTCATGAAACAGTGAGATTATTCATTTAGTAACCTCTAGAAATAATCCAAAAGGAGCAGCAGGACAAGAGGAATTACCGTATTTTTCAATGTATTGGATGAGGTTTTTGACACAAAAATCATGTGAAAAAACTAGGGTCGTCCAATACACGGATAGTGGCATGGGGCGGGGAGATGTCGCAGAGAGAGGGAGCGATCTGGGGGCACTTGCTGGTGGCCCAGCTTCCCCGATGCCGCTGCACATGGGAAGCACTGCCTGGATCGTTTCCCATGCGCAGCGGCATGGGGGAAGGCGCCTTACGGCCAACCGGCTGCCCGCAGCTGAATGGGGGGAGAGGCTCAACAACTCTGGGCCATCTCCCCTCATTTTCTTAACAATGAGTCCCTCAAAATAGGGGGGAGTCTTATATATGGCGGCGTCTAATAGATGGAAAATATGGTATGAATAAGCCTTAGAATTCCACAGAAACATAGTACAGTTTGGGCTTAAGGAGGTCGTGAAGGCAAAGGTTGTTTAGATGCCTGATTATGGGCTTCCAAAGCAACTACAGTGTTACCTCGGGTTACATACGCTTCAGGTTACAGACTCTTCTAACCCAGAAATATTACCTCGAGTTACAAACTTTGCTTCAGGATGAGAACAGAAATCGTGCTCCAGCGGGGCAGCGGCAGCAGGAGGCCCCATTAGCTAAAGTGGTGCTTCAGGTTAAGAACAGTTTCCGGGTTAAGAACAGACCTCCAGAATGAATTCAGTTCTTAACCCAAGGTACCATTGTACTCTAATCCCAACCCATGAATGGAAAGCGAAATGCCGGTGATCAGCAAAAGAGGTTTAAATATGCTTTCAAGGCAAATCTTAAAAAATGTAGCATGGATAATTGAGAACCATTTGTGGGATGTGATACACAAGTAGCAGTCAAGTACAACATGCCTTGTTTTCCTAGAGTGGACATGTAAGGGGATGTTTGTTCCAGCCAGTCGAAAACTTCCTGTTTCCTCCTGGGTTGGAGCATCCTTCCTCTTGCGTGTGACTGGAGGTGGGCATGACCTTACCTGTCCAGGTGACAAAAGGACCAGGCACGCAGCCCGCCCGCCCACCCGCTCTCTCTTCGACTTCCTCCTTCATTGGAGCAACAGCTCTTTTTAGCTAGAGATTCTCAGTTGGCTTTCAGCTTTCAGCCAACAGACGACAAAGAGACTATCTCCATATGGGATAGACTCACATGTATATATATCTGTAACTAAGACTGCCTTCGGGGATCCATCTGTGAACTGAATGTGTGAGTAAACTTATTTTATATTCTTTACACAAGATTGTGTTGTGTCTATTCTTTTAAGAGGGAAATAAGGGGGATTTACCAGGAATATATTGAGAAGCTTAAACAAGCTTGCAACCAAGCTAACCACTGTGTGTTTAAAGGGGAATGTTAGGGCAAGTTAGGAAGGATATTATTAAACAATATATCCTCTCCTGCCTCCCTGAACATTCACACAACACTGACCTAGGAGAGCTCCAATTGGAGAACAGCCTTTACCAAAGGCGTCATGGACTTTGTAGAAGCACAAACTCGGGATAAAAGGGAGAAAAAAGCTGAGAGTAAGGCAGGTTTGGCAAACGCTCATCGTGATCAATTCCCACCCAGAAACCTATGTCTCCGCTGTGGAAGGATGTGTGGACAGCAGCAGAGGAAGCCTCTCAGGCACCTGGGGTGGTGTGCCCAGGGGCGGGGCAAACTCCCCATAGAGGTGGGGTGCAGTACCCAAAGGAGTGGGGCGTTCGGTGCCCATAGGGATGGCACAGGGCGCTCGGCCTTCCATGCCGTCCCTATGGGAACTGTGCCCCCTGTCCCTATGGGCGCCACACGCCACATCACCCATGGGGACAGCATGGCACGGGGTGTGCAGCGCCCATGGGGATGGGACAGGGCGCACAGTGGGGCCTCAGCTGCCCTACAGCTGTGGGGGGGGAGGCACTGAGACACATGGCTTGTGCACTCTGCCAGCCCCACAGTGACTAGTGCCGCCCGCCATTTTGTCACCCCCCCATCAGGGTGGCACCCAAGGTGAGTCGCACCCCTGCACCCCCTTTCCTACGCCCCTGTGTGTGGATCCAGAATTGGCCTCCACAGTCACTTATGGACACACTGTGGAGACCATGTTCATGGAAGACAATCTTACTCAGCTACGAGGGAAGGCAAGGGTGATGCCCTCCAAGCCGCTTATTGGTGAAATCTGTAGGATGTAAAGGTGCAGTCAAGTGCAACATTCTGACAGAGGACTAACGGCCTCCATGTTCTAACCGGTTGCTGTGACAACCAGTTTGTCGGTTGCTGGTATTTTTGAAAGATAACTGCTCAGTTGCACTCACCTCAGGACCAACTTCCCTCTGGTCTAGTTTATTTGGTTGTTATGTAACCTAAGCCTGCCTTCAGGTACAGTTCTGTAAACCTGAATGAATCTGAGAGTAAAATAGTTTTATATTAACATGAATCAGATTCGTGTGTGTATTCTTTAAGAGGGATTCAAAGGGATTTTTAACTAGGAGTCATCTTTATTAATAGAACTCAGACGAGTCAGTACAAGCTGATCACTGCATAAACTTATAAAGGGATTGTTTAACTCTGCTAAAGTAAACCTTCCCATTAGGGATTGTAGAATAAGACCTCCCAGGAAAACTTATTTATGTATGCTACAACAGCGGCAAGAGTCTTGATAGCACAAGGATGGAAGAATGAGGAAATCCCAACGAAAGAACAGTGGCAAGAAAAACTGATAAGCTATGAGGAACTGGCCAAACTGAGATACAAACTGCATGAAAAGGACAATTGTGACTTCAAGGAAGAATGGGAACTTTTTACAAATTAAAAGACAACAAAATGATCTGAACTCCTTGGCAGGTTTTGAATAAACATCCACAAATTTATTAGTTGAACACATGATAGATAAGGCAAGGATATGCACAATTTTATAACATGCAGAGAACAATAAGTGTAAAGAAATCAGAGAGGGGAGCTGAGGGAAGTCCCTGGTGGGGGGGGGGAGAGGGAGGGGGAAATGGGGAAATAATGTAATTGATTATGTGGATTGATGATTGGTTATGTTGAAATTGTTTCATAAAAATATTGTTTTTTAAAAATAAAGTAAACCTTCCCACAAAATCAACCCCCACAGTGTTCAGCTTACGTTTAGGCCAACAGCCTATGGAAAGGTTATCAGATGGAATACAGAATAGCAGGAAAAGTGAATTGGGTGACAGTGAGAACGGAAGGAAACCAGGAGAAATATACCATAGCAGGGCTTTGCCACAACACTCAATACACCTTTTGATAAGCTGCCATGACGAAACCGGGACTCAGAGAAGTGAGGAGATCAGTGTAAACACACTCCCCCAGTTCTTCCGGGGTCCTTGAAAAGGTAACAAAGGAGCATTTGTCAATCTGTGTTACCAATGAGAGGAAGCAGGAGAAAGTAGGAGTCATGTCAACTTATTGAGAGGGGAGGGGGAAAGGACATGAGAAGCCTCAGGTGCGCAACGGATACCAGGTGTCCGCTGCTGAGGCAGAAAGAGCTAAGTGATCTCAGAAAGGGAAGAAAAGGATGTTCCAGCTGCCTTGGAGCCTGGCCTCATAGACCAGCAGCTGCCAATATGTTTTCCAGGGGCACAATTGTGCCCTCGACACCTTCCCCTGGTGCACACACAGCGCCACTGAACTCCCCATGCCCACTGCCAGGGCCTGAGAGGGTTTTAAAGGCTCCAAGCATTTAAAAGATGTTGGTGCCCCCATATGTATCTGATTCAACATATGAAGAATAAGCTCATATTGATGGCCACCAACATGGATGACTTTAAAACAGGATTCTTGATTTATTTACCACACACTGGGCTTGTCCACTCTTCCTCAATCCCGTCCCTAGAAAGCACCGGTCTGAGCAGTTTCCCGCTTTTCACACTCCTCTCCCATGGAACACCCCCTCTTCTGCTCCAAATCAGAGCAAACATCAATTCCTGGGAAAGACGATTGACATTTGCTCCAACTGAGTGCCAAGGAGAGGGTTGCCTGTGGAGAGGCAGAAAAACAAGGGGAAGTGTGGATAAGCCACAGAATTCCCTGGATCCAAAATGTGAAACCCGGCTTAGGCTTAAGGAGGTTGAGAAGGCAAGGGGGATGAAGGTCGTGAAATAGTGCCACACGGAGGACGTGCAATAATGATGGGAGAACACAAATTATCCTGCTGAGTTTATTGATGATACTGCTTCCGTTTACATTGGAGGATGAGATCTTCCTGCTCCTCTTTGCCTTCTTTGGAAGCTTCTCCGGATTTTAGGGCAAAGCACGAACAAAGGGAGCCCACGGCAGAAGTCGATGCCTGTTGGAAACAAACCCGGGGTAAGTGATTGGTGTGGAGTCAAGAGAAAGGGAGAAAGATGTCAAGGAGGAGATGGGCGGAGAGTTCTCAAATAAGCAAAAATTTACCCCCCGCCCTTATGCCCAGGGAAGGAACCTCAAACGTCATCTAGCCCAACCCTTCTGCAACTTCTCAATAGGGAGCCCCCATACTCTGCTTAAAAACCTCTAATAGAAATAGAAATAGCATTCTTGTTGAGATTAAATAAAGGGGGGGAGAACCACTTGTGCCACCTTGAGTCCCACGGATATAAAGGTGGGATATAAATACATTAAATTAATAAATTCTTGCCCAGGACTATAAATTTCTTCCTAATGTTTAGTCTAAATCATTTTTCGTTTTACTTTGGAGCTGCTTGTTCAGCTCTTACCCTCTGGAGCAACTGAAAACAACCCTGTTCCATCCTCCTTTTCCAAGCTGGAATTTGTCTACCATGAAAGTCATCAGCAATTGGAAAAGACAGGGCCCCATTCTCATTCTTTGTACCCTACCTTCTTTGATTTCTTCTTCTTCTGCCCTTCAGGGATTTCTCCAGCATTCATTTCATCCTCCACTGGTTCCCCTGCTGCTGTCTGCTTTGAAGTCTCCCCAGGATTCCTTCCATCTGACCTCAGTGACATCTCCATCAGACACGGCTTGAGATACGGCTGGTCCCCGTTCTCCTGAACCACCTTCTCAATCAGAGACAGCAGCTCTTCCGCCTGGCTGGCCCTTTCCTCTCCCGTCCCTCTGTTGTTGAAAGCGCAGCAACGGCCCTTGCATTTCCCCACCAAATCCTGCAGGACTCTGTTTCCAGACAGCCCTATGTACTCCTGTAGGCTTTCTGTCTCTAGGTCTTCTTTGCGGGTAAACAAGACGATCATGTACTTTGTGGCCCCTGGGCCAAAGACCTCCTCCACCCTCTTCACGGCCACAGCGTCTTCCTCGGTGAAACGACCGGCCTGTGTCACAAACACCAGGGCGTGGGGACCTGGCTTACAAAGAGAGAGGCACCTCTGCACTTCCAGAATATCATGCTCTGTTTGAGGACAAGCATCAAAAATGGCCGGAGTGTCAATGATGACAACTTGTTTCCCCTTCCACTTCTCTGCTCGGACCTCTCTGCTGCATGTCTGGGTCACTGGCTTCGGGGAGAGTTTGGACTCAAAGGTCTTCTCCCCCAGAAGGGAGTTTCCTGTGGCACTTCTGCCTCCTCCCGTCTTCCCAACAAGAACGACCCGCAGTTCGGAATCCTTGTGGGATTAACTCTGGTTCCCAGGCTCTGTTGGGAAGGAATAAGGAACATTAACACTATTAAGAGTGTCGCTGAAATTTTGTCCACGCAGTATTTTAAAATGCATCACAAGGAGGAATTTCTCCTACTGCACAAGTCCATATTATGCTCCATCCTGTCTTTTGGATGAAAAGTGTGAGAATGTCTTGCAAGAGAGGTTTGTTAATTTCATACCCCACAGAGGGGAGGGAGGGAACGCAGTATTTGTAGGGCAGGGCTGGGAAAGTCTCCTGCCTGATACTCTGAAGAGCTGCTGCCACTCAGTGTAGACAGTACTGAGCTCAGTACAAGGCAGGTTCCTCTGTTCTATGTAACTTGTGCTTGAGAGGCCTTTGGCAGGATTCAGCTCCAGGGTTATCCTAAATTCTTAATACAGTAGACATTGCCTTTCTCCCTCCACCATGACCCAAATCCCTCCCCTCCAAATACACCAGAATTCATGCGGTGGATTGCACAAAGCAAGCTAACTCTTGCACCCATCTCCATAATTTGCAAAATGTTTGCAAGTTACAGAGCCACCCCCTTATGGGTGCAGAATTCTTCTGCCTTTGGGCTCTTCCTTGTACAAAGAAGAAGAGCAGGTATTTGGTGGGTCTCCTTAAGGAAGGGCTACCTTGAGAATCTCAACTCAGGGAGATCTATAACTGCTTCCGAATCATAATTTGACTCTACCTTTAGGGAATATACTTGGTCCTCCTTTGTCTGTGTCCATTGCTCCTTCCTCTGGTTTCATTTTGTCTGCGCTTCTTGTAGGTCCTCTTGGAAACAGCTCGAGGAAAGGCTTGTTCTGGTTGTCCATCATCATCTGCTCGATTTTCACCAGCAGCTCTTCCACCTGGCTGGCCCTTTCCTCTCCCGTCCCTTTGTTGTTGAAAGCGCAGCAACGGCTGTTGCACTTCCCCACCAAATCCTGAAGAGGTCGGTTTCCAGACAGCCCTATGTACTCCTCTAGGCTTTCTGTCTCTAGGTCTTCTTTGCGGGTGAACAAGACGATCATGTACTTTGTGGCCTCTGGGCCAAAGACCTCCTCCACCCTCTTGGAGGCCACAGCATCTTCTTCGGTGAAACGACCGGCCTGCGTCACAAACACCAGGGCGTGGGGACCTGGCTCACACAGAGAGAGGCACTTCTGGAGCTCCTCATTATTCTGCTGCTCTGGAAGGCAGGTGTCAAAAATGGCCGGAGTGTCAACGACAACAACTTGCTTTGCTTCCCATTTCTCTGCCCGGACTTCTCTCTTGCAAGTCTGGGTCACTGCCTTCAGTGAAGCTTTGGACTCGAACTTCTTTTCGCCCAAAATGGTGTTTCCTGTGGCACTTCTTCCTCCTCCCGTCTTCCCAACAAGAACAATCCGTAGATCTTCATGGAGGTTTCTGCTCTCGTGTGCTTTGGTGGTCTCTGGAAAGAAATTAGGAAGATGTCTAAGAATCCAAGACTGAAGAGTTTTAAAGGGATGTCAGTTTCATGGCACGTTGCAGTAGCCCAACTGAGAGATTACCTTGTAGAAACACCACCCAGGTTCTTATTCTCAAGAAAGACCCTAAGGTGGCTGACCCTAAGTCAGTCAGGAGTGAAAACAATATTGACCTGGCCACACTCACACCTTGGAGACCCAAGTCAACAACCATTCCTGCAGCACCACTAAGTCTTGTTCCTTAAGGGAGAGTGGGCTGCTCATTTCCCGGATTTGTGGGCCTCCCGCTTGCCTGGGAATTCGCTCCTGAATTGCCACCATCCAGGGTCCATACACTGCAACAATTCCCTAAGCACCTGGGGTCACCTCACCCTTCCAACTGTGGCCCACAAATGGTCCAACCTTCACCATTCCCTTCACGTGGTTCTTTCACAGGAGGGTCAGGAGAAGGGAGAGACTTACCTCTAACTTCCGCTCTCCATTCATCCATTGTCCAGGCAGAATGCTGAGCCGGAAGAGAACCAGAAAAAGAAGTTCATTAGCTCCTGCAATACAGTTTGACTAGTACTTTGCCCAAACTCCTCTCCATCACCAGAGGAAGCTTATGATGTAAACACAACCCTGAAAGAACCTCAAAGCACCATATTCTGCCCCTGCAGATTTGGGATTCAATTACTAGGGAGGCAGCTGATGACTTTTTTTACATGCATTGGTCCTAAATTAGGTTTGCTAATTTTTCCTGTTGATAATTTCATTGTTCTATCTTTTTGGATTTGAGGGTGTGTGGTTTTTACCACCAACAGGTGTATAAGCATTAATAAACAAACATGCCTAACACTTTGTCCTTCACAATCTCTTCAAGAATCTTCCCACCCTCTGCATTTGGGGGGGAAAGCACCCGGATATTCCCTTCCTCCAGCCAGAGCTGCATCTCTCCCCCTTACCTGCTTCTGCTTCTGCCTTGGGGGTCCCTGGCAGCCTGGCCTGATATCCTCCCTTCTGCAGCTCCCAGGCAGGTGGGCTGGTTTGGGGAGGGCCCTGAACAGCTGCAGCCACTCAGGATGATGGTCTGTAGGCTCCTTGGGGCCTAGTCTTGATGAAAATACCCTCCACAGATGACCACCTCTTAAAGGCAGCTGCTTTTCAGTGGGGAGGGGGCTGATGCCAACCACTTCCAGTGCCTCTCCGCCCCCCCTTTACCCAGCGGACTCTCTCCCACTTGCTTCCTTCTGCTGCTGCTGCATGTCGCCATTCCAGCCCCCCCTCCGCGGAACCTCCCCACTCAGAAGCCCTGGAGAAGCCACTGACTGCCAGTGTGGACAATACTAATCTAAATGGACCAGTCAGTCTGGTTCAGTACAAAACAGCTTCCTTTTTCTCCATGTGGTTTGGGGCAGGGGGGCACAGCTCAGCAGCTGAGCATCTGGTTTGCATAGAGATGGTCTCGGGTTCAACCGCTGGCATCTCCAGGGGGGCAGGTAGCCATTGCTGAGCCAGAAGGACAAAGGTGACATCTCCTTGCAAAGGGAGCTTCGGATGTTCCTAAGACAAGAAAGGAAACGGTACCTTCTTTGTGATGCCTCTGGAGCTTGAAGAAGACTCTCGGGTTCGATGGTCCCTCTGCTCTGCAGTTTCTTCTCTCCCTCTCTGTCGATGGCTGACTCTGTTCTGAGCTGAATAAAATGGAGCTCCACACACCCACCCCAAAAGCATTCATGGCTAGCAGCCAGATCATGTTCTGAGAAGCCAAAACAGCTTCCCAGAATTGCATATCTGTTTCTATTGGCTACAGGAGAGGACAAAACTGCCCTCTGGGTGGATAATTTCAGAGGAGCTGCATTTGGTCTCCTGCAGTTCTGGGAGAAGCACCCAAGAGGAGCAGCAGAAGGAGGAGGAGACCCACACGGAGGGAGACCCACACAGAGAAAGACCCACACGGAGGGAGACCCACACAGAGAAAGACCCACACGGAGGAGACCCGCACCTCAGACGGACCACAGGTTGGTATTTGGGAGCAGGAGCAGCAGCCACAAGGTTTGACTTTAAGCCTTCTGTGTCTCAACCTGCCTCAGAGATGCTCAAGGTCTGCTTTGTTTGACCTGTTGCTAGAGGCTGGGTTAGAGCTCTTGGGTCATTCCACGCCAAACAACCTGATTTTAATACTCGACCGTGCTCTCATGACTCAGATTTTCTTCAAAAAAATTTTCTGTGTAGATACCTATGAGATAACCTCAAATTAATTTCTAAAGTTTTTTTGGTCCAAAATTGGACATGGGAAATTTTTTTGAAAATTTCAATTTTCATGTGATTTAGGCTAATGCAATTTCTTGCAGAAGTGTTTTACACCATAAAATGAACAAGGGGTCTGAGATGCATTTTATTATTATATAATCAATAAAACTTAATTTTTAAAACAAATCAGATGACACTGTAACATAAGAGGTTACAATTTTAACTATTCTCATGAATGTGAGAGTTATTTCAGGTTCAAAGAGACATTAAACCTGTCCAAAGAAGTAATTTGTTTTGTAAAAAATTTACTTCAAAATCAATTTATTTTATAACCACAAAAAACACCCTCCTTATTTTTATAACAAGTACATGGTTAGCCCATTCTACAACAAAAGTATGATACATGTGTTAGTTGTGGTTTGCGCACTATGGCTTATTGAACCTACCAGGAATAAAATGACAAAAATTCACTTTGAATAGTCGGTGACCCTTTTCTGTGGCAGTTAATACCATTTTTATACCTTATTTTGAAAGAGACCACAATGACCTTTATTTTGATACCAAAATAAGCCCAATCGGTTGAAAAATAAGCAAAACAGGAGGTTTTTCCTACACTGACCCAGAAATTGCATTAGCCTAAATCGCCTGAAAATCGAAAATTTCAAAAAATTCTCCTGCACCCAATTTTGGACCAAAAAACCTTTCAAAATTAATTTGAGGTTATCTCAACATAAAACACATTAAAACTTTTTGAAGAAAATCTGAGTCGTGAAGCTCTTGGAAGCAAAACTTTGGCTTGCGTGTATAATAATGAATCTTTTCCTTTTAATTAAATGTGCAGTTAAAGGAGTCCCTCCATGGTGGATTGAGCCTGACAATCTGCAGGAACATCCCTCTGGGTTTTAAAGCTTATTTTTAAAAGAACATTTCCCTTTCCCTTTTTTCTCCTGCCAGAATTGCCTGAAATTTGCAGACATGGAGACTGACAAATCCCAAAATTAGAGCTGTAGTGTTTCCTTTGCCATTTTTGTTGGGGGGGGGGGGGGGTCCAAAAAGAAAAAGAAAAAATCAGTAGGGGGGAGGAATGGAAATGACTTCTTCTGCCCCACACCAGGGATTTTTCAGAACACAGCTTCTCCCTGCAAGAAAGAAATCTTTCTGGTTGTTTTTTTAAAAAATGTGTGTGTGTGGTTTGTTGGTTTTGGGAGGCGGGAAAGCAAAAGTGATCTCTCATGGGCCATTTCTGAGAATTCAGATGGTTAGAAAGAACACCCTGCCTAGGTCCAGAAGTCAACAGATAGGGAGGGTGTGTTGTTTTTCTTGCTGGCCATTTCCTTCTTTCGTTTGAGGAACCTTTCACCGCAAAACAGGATACTAACAGGATCTCTGCTCTTAGCAAAACAGCTCAGGAAAGATTTCCATGTTTTATGTTTCATTAATGCTGCATATGAACACATGAAGAGCCCTCTGGGATCAGGCCAGGGGCCCTCAAGTTACAGACTCATAGAACTGAAGAGTTGGAAGGGACCCCAAGGATCATCTAGTCCAACCCCCCGCAATGCAGTTGTCCCATATAGCGACCGAACCTGCATCCTTGGCATTATATCAGCACCACGCTCTAACCAACAGTGCAATCCAGTCCGGCCTCCTGTTCTCACAGGAGCCAGCCAGATGCCCCCAAGGGAAGCCTGTGAGCAGGAGCTGAGCTCAAGAACAACTCTCCCCTTCTGTAGTCTCCAGCAGCTGCAATTCAGAAGCATCGCTGCCTCCGACTGTGGCTAACTCCAGCTGTGCACAAACATTATTTCACATGCATAGAACTGGAGTGGGAGCTTCCGGGTCAGCGCCATCGCTAATGGCGGATTCCCTCTGATTCTCAGAGGGACCAGCTCAGCGGGATCGGGTCTTACCGCTGTGGCAAAGCGGGGACCCTTTAAAAACCACAGGCGGGGGAAGCCTGTGAACGTGGGGACTCGGAGGGCATCATTTGCGGCCCCCCCCCCAAGTTGCGAAGGGACCCTTTTAAGGGCTCCGGAGCGGGACGGGGTGAGTGGCACGGTGCTGAGAGTCGACTGCTTCTTCCGCGGAGTGAAGCCGCACAGCCGTTATCGGAGAGAGCTGACTTTTTCCTGGGATAATTGGATTTCGAAAGCAACTACCCGTGAGTAGGATTAAATTGGATTTAAAAGGAGAAAAAACAGCTAATTCGGCATCGAAGCGGGAAGGTATAACCAGGAAGTCTGCCTTCCTTTCTTGTAGATAGTTCAAAGTAAAGAGACTGTAAAGCGGAAACATAGAGAGACGTTCGGAAAAAAGACTTAGATCTTAACATCTGGAAAGTGGTCTCCCCTCCGGATTGCAGGAGAGGAGGGGGGAAGGTTTGAGTTGTATTTACCTGCAAAGAAAAGGGGGAAAGGAAGCTAAATCTGCTGCTTAAAACCTGGGAACGGACTGCCCCTAGACAAGGAATGCCGTTCAGTGGAAAGCCTATCGGTAAGCAGAGGATTTTTGACAGCTAACTCTGCAGAAGAGATATAGTGTTTCTGGACTTCTCCTGGCTTTATTTTTTTTTTTAAATAATTTTTTATTAAGGTTTTGAACAAAGAAAAAAGAAGAACAACACACACACACACAAAAAAAACAATACAAAATTTAACAATAAAAACACAAAACGTAACAATTAAAAACAAACTCTCTTTTCTATTCCCAATTTTACATTACTTATTTTCTGGACTTCCTCATACCTCCCTCTTTTGTATTCCAATCCACATTATTTGTCCAGCAGTTTCTTTTCCACTTTTTTAAACCCAATCTTTAATTTAATAAAATGTTAAAATATATAACTTCAACTTTTTTTAAACCTAATCCTTATTCTTAATGTCATATACCTTTAAATTTTTCCCTTTTATTATCAAATTTCCATTTCTTTAAACATCTTTAATCATGATCTTTAGTCTTAATCTGTCCTTAACTTTAACCTGTACAGCTGGAAACGACTTATTTTCAATCCAACATCACTCTAACATTCCTTAATTTTGCAGTGTTTCTGAAGATAGTCTTTAAATTTCTTCCAGTCTTCCTCCATCGACTCTTCTCCCTGGTCACGGATTCTGCCAGTCATTTCCGCCAATTCCATATAGTCCATAAGTTTCATCTGCCATTCCTCCAGCGTGGGAAGTTCTTGTGTCTTCCAATACTTTGCGATGAGTATTCTTGCTGCTGTTGTTGCATACATAAAGAAAGTTCTATCCTTTTTAACACCATTTGGCCCACTATGCCCAGGAGAAAGGCCTCTGGTTTCTTAGGAAAGGTATTCTTATATACCTTTTTAAATTCATTATATATGTTTTCCCAGAAAGCCTTAATCTTTGGGCACGTCCACCAAAGGTGAAAAAATGTACCTTCAGTTTCTTTACATTTCCAACATTTGTTATCGGGCAAGTGATAGATTTTCGCAAGCTTGACTGGGGTTATGTACCACCTGTATATCATTTTCATAATATTCTCTCTTAAGGCATTACATGCCGTAAATTTCATACCTGTGGTCCACAACTGTTCCCAGTCAGCAAACATAATGTTATGTCCAACGTCCTGTGCCCATTTAATCATAGCCGATTTTACCGTTTCATCTTGAGTATTCCATTTCAGCAGCAAGTTATACATTCTTGACAAATTCTTAGTTTTGGGTTCTAACAATTCTGTTTCTAATTTGGATCTTTCCACCTGGAAGCCAATTTTCCTGTCCAATTTAAATGCCTCCATTATCTGATAATAATGAAGCCAGTCTCGCACTTTGTTTTTAGTTTTCAAAACTCTGCAATTTCAGTCTATCTCCATCTTGTTCCAAAATTTCCCAATATTTCGGCCATTTGACCTCCATATTGACCTTTTTCAAGGCTTTCGCTTCCATTGGTGACAGCCACCTTGGGGTTTTGTTTTCTAACAAATCCTTATATCTTAACCAAACATTGAATAGCGCTTTCCTGACATGACTTCTCCTGGCTTTAAAGTAACTGTTCAAGTGCATTGAAACTGTTGTTTTTAAGTGAATTGGGGGACTTATAAAGACCATCTTTGTTCTTAAAAGTTGCAAGCTTTGGCTGTTACTGTGTCCCCCTAGAGGAGGCTGGACATTGCTACAATAACAACTGGGTTAGAGGAAAATTCCATTCCAAAACAAACTTTCAACTGTGGGAATGACCTTGGATTCTCATGAGAGTGTTATGGCAGATGGGAAAGGAAAGATAGAGCTGGCGCAGGAAAAAACTACTAGGTCTGGCAGACACTATCGGACAGATACTGCGCAGCAGCGAAGGGCTTCAACATCTGGAGCATCTGGAACATCAGGGGCTGCACCCCCACAGGTCAAACCAAAAGTTATGTCGTCCGAAGACGTTTTGGCACACGCTCTTGGAAAAATTAATGAATCTTTGGAAAATTTAGCTAAGCAGGTAGCTGAGACTAATAAACAAGTAGCTGAAGCATCAGGTAAAATTGATCTGAATACTACAAGTATTAATAATTTGGGACAGAAGGTGAACACCAATACAGAGTCTATTGAAAAATTATTACAGGAATCTGCTTCGACCCGAAAGATAGCTGAAGAAGCAAAAGATATTGCAACTGCTATTCAAGAGAAGATACCACCAGTATATAAGAAATTGGAGGACCATGATTTGACATTGTCTATGATTGAATTGAAAGAGAGACAAAGAAATTTAAGAATCAGGGCTGTACCAGAACGGGAGAAAGATAACCTGGCTGACTTTCTTACACAGGAATTTACAGACTTTTGGCAACAGGACTTGGGAAGGAAGAATTCAAGATAGTGAATGCATTTAGACTTGGAAGAGGACAAAGCAGGAACAAGGTGAGGGACTGCTTGATTACCCTTCGAACAAAAGAAGAGAGAGACAAAATTTTGAATTTGCACTATCAAAAGACTTTGGAAATTTACGACTCAAGTGTGGTGATATTTAAGGACATTCCAAAACATCTTTTGGACTTAAGGTTTAACTACGGAGACCTAGTTGCCCTGTTGAAAAGAAATAGAATTCTTTTCAGGTGGGAATTTCCTCAAGGCCTATCCTTTAAATACAAAGGAAGAAAGATAAAAATAAGATCAGTCAATGATAAGGACAGGTTCTTGAAAGATCACGAAGAAGACCTACAGAAAGAAGTGGAATCTGGAGAAGAGCCAAAAGGCATACTAGACATAGCAAACTTATCTTTTGGATTGCACGGCCCAGAGAAAGAGACACCACCTACAGAACAAGAACAGACACTTGGTGCAGTTGGAGGTAAAGTGAAGTAACCCCATCATGGCTCTGCAACTGTTAAGCTGGAATTGTAATGGTTTGAACTCCCTCGAAAGAGAAAAAGTGTTTTTCATCTACTAAAAAGGAACAATTGGACTTGATTTGTTTACAAGAAACACATATAACAAGGCTACACAGGAAACTACTGATTAATAAAAGATTGGGACAGGAGTTTATCTCATCTGACAAAGTTAAAAAAGAGGAGTTGTGATATATGCAAAGGAGAGACTATCACCGAAATTAATTTTTAAAGATGATCAAGGAAGATTCTTGGCAATTGAAATTCAAGTTCAAGGAGAGAAATTCTTGATAGTAGGAATTTATGCACCGAATGAGGGAAATCTGAATTCTTTAAAAAGTTGCACGAGACTTTACTGGACTATTTGGATTACAATTTGATTTTGATGGGGGACATGAATGGAGTAGTATCTACAAACATGGATAAGGCACAAAGACAGGTAGTTACCAAGGATGGTAGACTACCGAAAACATTTTTGAGATGACAGACAATATAGACTTAGTGGATATCTGGAGAGTAAAGAACCCCTTGGGAAGAGAGGGAACCTTCTTTTCTGAAGCCAAGATGACATGGACTAGAATTGACCAAATATGGATAACTAGAGGAATGGCACCAAAGATAAAGAAAGTAGAAATCTGCCCAAAAACCTGCTCCGACCATAATGCGGTAAGGATGGAGATGAAACAAATATCAACTGGATCCTTCAGATGGAGGATGAATGACACCTTATTTAGAGATGAAGATGTATATAAAAAGGCCCAAAAAACTTTGAGAGACTATTTTGAAATAAATATGAACACCAATGTAGAAAAAGAGTAATCTGGGACGCAAGCAAAGCGGTCATGAGAGGGTTTCTGATACAACAGAATGCAATAAAGAAGAGAAGTCAGAATGAGAAGAAAGATAAAATTTTGGAGAAAATAAAAGAAAGTGAGAAGAAATTGAGAGCAAAACCAAAGTCGCAGGAGATTCTGAGAGAAATAAAATTATATCAAGTACAATACATGAAAATGATGAATCAGGAAATAGAATGGAAAATTAAACAAATGAGACAAAAACATTTGAATCACCTAATAAATGTGGGAAATTGCTGGCCTGGCAAATGAAAAAAAGACAAAAATTAAATACTATTACAAACTTAGAAGTGGAAGGAAAGAATATACACAACCCAATTGAGATTAGAAACTGTTTCCAGAGGTACTTTAAACAATTATATACGCAAGGGCCACAGAAAGAAATGGACATAGACCGATTCTTGAAGACAAATGGATTACAAAAAATCTCTCAAGAAAGTAAATTAATGCTGAACTATAAAATATCTGAACAGGAAGTGGAAGGTGCCATTCAAAATATGCAATTGGGCAAATCTCCAGGACCGGATGGGCTGACTTCTAGATATTATAGATCCTTGAAAGAGTGGCTATTGCAACCTTTGAAGGAAGTCTGCAATGAAATTTTGGAAGGGAAAAGGGCACCAGAGTCGTGGAAAGAGGCGTACATTACACTTATACCTAAAACAGAGACTGAAAAGACTCAGCTTAAGAACTACCGCCCTATATCGTTACTTAATGTGGATTACAAAATTTTTGCAGACATTTTGGCCAAGAGATTGAAAAAGTATTGATGGAAGAGATTCATAAAGACCAAGCGGGCTTTCTCCCGGGAAGACACTTGTCTGACAATTTGAGGAATATAATTGACATTTTGGAAAAACTAGAAGTGAATATTAACACTAAAGCAGTTCTGATATTTGTGGATGCGGAGAAAGCTTTTGACAATATCTCTTGGAGCTTCATGAAGAAGAACCTACAGGGGATGGGGGTAGACCAAGGTTTTGAAAATGGTATAGGTGCAATATACTCTGAACAAAAGGCTAAATTAATTGTAAATAATGTGGTGACGGAAGAATTTAAGATAGACAAAGGGACACGACAGGGGTGCCCAATCTCCCCACTGCTTTTATATCGGTCCTGGAGGTTCTGCTGAATATGATTAGAAGGGACCGGTTGGTTAAAGGTATACAGGTCGGAGCCAAACAGTACAAACTGAGAGCATTTGCAGATGACTTAGTATTGACGTTACAGGAGCCAGAATCTAGCACTAAAAGGGTTTTAGAATTAATTCAAGAATTTGGTCAAGTGGCAGGATTTAAACTGAACAAGCTAAAAACTAAGGTTTTAGAGAAAAATTTAACACCGATTGAAAGAGAGAGGTTTCAGAATGAGACAGGTTTAACAGTGGTTAAGAAAGTGAAATATCTGGGGATTAATATGACAGCCAAAAATGGGAACTTATTTAAAGATAATTATGAAAAATGTTGGATGGAAGTGAAAAAAGATTTAGAAATTTGGTCAAATTTGAAGCTTTCACTGCTGGGCCGTATTGTTGCGATAAAAATGAATGTATTGCCTAGAATGTTGTTTTTGTTTCAGACATTGCAAATTGTGGACAAGATGGATTGTTTCAAGAAGTGGCAGAGAGACATTTCTAGATTTGTCTGGCAGGGCAAGAAGCCCAGAATAAAATTTAAGATATTAACTGATGCAAAGGAAAGAGGTGGATTTGCCCTGCCAGACTTTAAACTTTATTATGAATCAGCAGCTTTTTGCTGGTTGAAAGAATGGCTACTTCTTGAAAATACAGACATTTTGGATTTAGAAGGTTTTAACAACGTATTTGGATGGCATGCATATTTATGGTATGATAAGGTCAAAGCACATAAAGCATTTAAAAATCATATTGTCAGGAAAGCACTGTTTAATGTTTGGATAAGATACAAGGATTTATTGGAAAATAAAACCCCAAGGTGGTTGTCACCGATGGAAGCGAAAGCTCTGAAAAGGCTCAATATGGAGGCCAAATGGTCGAAATATTGGGAAATTTTGGAACAAGAAGGAGACAAATTGAAATTGCAGATTTTCGAGAAACTAAAAACAAAGTGAGAGATTGGCTTCATTATTATCAAATAATGGAGGCATATAATTTGGATAAGAAAATTGGCTTCCAGGTGGAAAAATCAAAACTAGAAACAGAACTGTTAGAACCCAAAACTAAGAAGTTGTCAAGAATGTATAACTTGCTGTTGAAATGGAATACTCAGGATGAAACGGTGAAATCTGCTATGATTCTCTCAGAGAAGTTGATCTGCCTACCTGGCCCTCCTCCCCAGCTGCTGGCCCTCCTGCTCTTGAGGAAGCTAGTCTTTCCCCACCTTTGGTCATCAGAGAGAAGCCTGCCCTGCCCACCCCATGAGGACGGGCAGCTTGTGGGCTCAATCCACCAGAGGGGGGGGGCAGATTAAATCCTGGGCCAACACGGGTGACAGAGCACCCAGAAGACACAGAACCAAAGGAGTTTCTCCCTTTGGGAAGATCTGCTTTGGGGGAGAGCAAGGGCAAGGAGCACCTCCTCAACGTCTTCTAGGGGGATGGTCTTGCCCTGATGGCTTTAACAGATTTTTAACTGGTTGTTTTTTAAAAAAATGTGTGTGTGTGGTTTGTTGGTTTTGGGAGGAGGGAAAGCGAAAGTGATCTCTCATGGGCCATTTCTGAGAATTCAGATGGTTAGAAAGAACACCCTGCCTAGGTCCAGAAGTCAACAGATAGGGAGGGTGTGTTGTTTTTCTTGCTGGCCATTTCCTTCTTTCGTTTGAGGGACTTTTCACCGCAAAACAGGATACTAACAGGATCTCTGCTCTTAGCAAAACAGCTCAGCAAAGATTTCCTTGTTTTATGTTTCATTAATGCTGCATATGAACGTATGAAGAGCCCTCTGGGATCAGGCCAGGGGCCCTCAAGTTACAGACTCATAGAACTGAAGAGTTGGAAGGGACCCCCAGGATCATCCAGTCCAACCCCTTGCAATGCAGTTGTCCCACACGGGGATTGAACCTGCAACCTTGGCGTTATCATTACCACGCTCTAACCAACAGAGCTCTCCAGTCCAGCCTCCTGTTCTCACAGTGACCAGCCAGATGCCCCCAAGGGAAGTCTGTAAGCAGGAGCTGAGCTCAAGAACAACTCTCCCCTTCTGAATTTTCCAGCAACTGCAATTCAGAGGCATCGCTGCCTCCGACTGTGGCTAACTCCAGCTGTGCACAAACATTATTTCACATGCATAGAACTGGAGTGAAACATATGTGTTGTGAAGGCAACAAGTGTGTGTTTGTGAACGTATCTGGCACACAGGTATATTCACCAGGGTGGCATTGATGATGATGATGAAATACTTGACATAAATAGGAACAAAAATCCAGTAAAGGTTCAGTAAACCCATTCTGCTGATCAGACCTGGTGTGGTCTGGCATCTGGAAAGTAACAGCATTCTGGTTGCAACTTGCTTTCTTCTGTTGTGAGGAGACAGTCAATCAGTTCCTTCCTTAGCAGACCACAAGCTTCACATGAGCCCACAGTGTGATGCAGCAGCAAAAAAGGCTAATGCTATTCCAGGCTGCCTCCACTGAAGTCTAGTGTCCCAATCAAGGGCAGTAATGAGTCTATCCCTCCAGCAGGAGAGAATTGGGGGGGGGGATATTTTGCAAATGCTACAATGCACCTTCTGCACTTGGTTTTGTAGGGGCAGTTCGTGGTTGGAGTCAAAGTCTGCCCTCCTGGGTGATGCACTAAAAGGGAGGGGAAAGGGGGCACAATCCATGCCAAGGATTCACCCCTTTCTGTTTTTATATAATTTTTATTAAATTTTCTATTTTACAATTTAAAATACTCATTTTACATCCTTAAAATATCAATGACATCCCTTCTTTTCTTTCCAAGGTTCCTTTTGCATATCATAAATCCCTGCATATTTTACAAAAACTATGCCAATCAGTATTCCATTATTACATCCATCGAAACTTATTTACACTGTTGAATTTATCTTAATGCTGCCAGCGTTTTCAGTTGTACACAATTATTTCCCATATATTCAATAAACATTTTCCTATCTTCTCTAAACGTATGTTCTTCTTGTTCTCTTATTCTATATGTTAAGTCTGCAAGTTGTGCATATTCCATCAACTTAAGTTGCCATTCTTCTTTGGTTGGGACCTCGCTCATTTTCCATTTGGGGGCTAAGAAAACAGGGGCTGCGGTGGTGGCACACATAAATAACTTTTTTTGACACCTGGGAATTTCAGTGTGAATAATTCCCAACAGAAAGGACTCTGGTTTTTGGAGGGAAAGTACTTTTACACATTTTTTCAATTCATTATGAATAATTTCCCAATACTCTTTTACCCTTTTACAAGTCCACCACATATGAAAGAACGTTCCCTCAACCTCTTTGCATCTCCAGCACTTATCTGATTCTGTATTATACATCTTAGCAAGTCTAAAGGTAAAGGTAAAGGGGCCCCTGACCATTAGGTCCAGTTGCGGCACTCATCTTGCTTTATTGGCCAAGGGAGCCGGCGTACAGCTTCTGGGTCATGTGGCCAGCATGACTAAGCCGCTTCGGGCAAACCAGAGCAGCGCACGGAAACGCCGTTGACCTTCCCACCAGAGTGGTACCTATTTATCTACTTGCACTTTGACGTGCTTTTGAACTGCTAGGTTGGCAGGAGCAGGGACCGAGCAACGGGAGCTCACCCCATCGCGGGGATTCGAACCGCTGACCTTCTGATCGGCAAGTCCTAGGCTCTGTGGTTTTACCCACAGTGCCACCCACGTCCCTATCTTAGCAAGTCTACTCGGAGTTAAATACAGGTAGTTCTCCTTCAAAGAATAACATGATGTAAACTTCAAGTCACTTTTCCAGAATTTTCCCCAGAGGTTAAACTCTATATTGTGTCCTATATCTATTGCCCAGTGTGTCATTGAGACTTTGACAAGCTCGTCTTTTGTTTCCCAGTCTAATAATAAATTATACATTTGGGACAAAGTTTCTCTTTGTTTTGTAGAAGTTCTTTTTCAAATTGTGAGCTTTGGTCCATAAAAGCATTTTTCCTGTCTGTTTTAAACATTTCATGTAACTGATGATATTGTAGCCACACTGTCACATGGCTCCCTACACTTTCCATTGATTTCAGTTTAGGTTCCCCCTCTGTAAAGTGTAGCAGTTCCCTGTAAGTTGCCCATTGTCTGTCCATATTAACTCTCTTAATTGTAATAGCCCCAATAGGAGAGAGTCATAAAGGTGTTTTCCTTTCCAGCAGATTTTTATGTTTCTCCCAAACGCTATACAAATTCTTCCTTAGAATATGGTTCATAAAACTTTTATAAATTTTCACCTTCTCATGATTTAAAATTCAGCGTATCTCCTTCCTCGTTGCTTTTCCAGGGCCCGGTGGTGGGAGTTGTAGTTCAGCAGCCTCAGGAGGGGCAAAGGTTCCCCACGCCTGCCTGAAGGGACGGCCCCATCACATTTATACCGGGAGGCAAACTCCTGTCAGCTCTTCCACCCCCTGAAAACACAGAATTTCCTCCTTCATCTGTGAGGGGTTTGGCGGGTTCCCCCAGAGCATGGCCCTGCTGCCCCCACAGTGCATAAAAATGGAAGATAATATTTATTGCGGTTGTTTGTATATTGCCCTTCACCCAAACATCTCAGGGCCCTCCTGCCGGGGTCGACTGCTTTTGCTCCAGAAAGCCTCTTTTCTCCTAATCTCATATAAATTGAGGCTGATTGTGGCTCAATTTATATGATGTTGAGGGAAACCTTCCTCTACTGCCAAGAGCCCACATGTCTGAGGCCAAGATGGAGGCCCTGCTGACAACCTCTTTCCCAAAAGCCCAGGGGGAAGAACAGATCCCCCGTGATGTCAATCCCTGCTGTATGAAGCCAACCAGCTTCCATGGATCCATTTTGGGTCCGGATACCAGGAAAGGGAGGGTTGTGCAATGTTACCGGAAAAATCCGAGGGCTCCCTTGGACAAAAAGTAAAGACACCAACCAGAGTAAATTGGAGCAAATCAGCAGCCTGTAGGCTTGGCCTTTATTGAACTGTTGCAACAGGGTGTTCCCCTCACTTGCAGGAGAGAGGAAAAGACACAGAAAATGGTGTGCAAGCCCTTATAAAAACTTTTGAAATTCCCATCCTCTAGGTCAAGCCCACCCCCAGAAACATCATGCATACATTACAGAAAGGAGGGGTTGAGGGAGGAGTTGTGGTGGTAACCTGAGTGTCCTGTCACCTGGCTGGTTCCTCCTTTCCCCCTGCCCATGAGTCACTTCCAGGAGACAAAGGGGAGTTGGCAGTTTCCTGCCCCCAGAGGGAAGATCTGATCATTGTCCTTTGTTTCAGTCCATGCTGAATCCACTCCCATATGCAAGTTCTTTGTGATCTTGATGGTCTTCTGTCTAGGACCATCAGGGTTGGCATAGCAACTGGGCAGGGCTCCTGTGGATGTGCTGGGATGGTGAAGGGATTATGGCTGACCAGAACCAAGCCACCCCCCTTTGATAGTCCTTGTCATATGGAGTAAAATAAAAATGGAACAGTGCAAATCCGATGTATGGTTGATTTTGGAATGAATTTATAACAGAAGTGTGGCATATGTAGTGTGTGAGTGTGAGTGTGTGAAGTTTGTAGAAACTGAATGATTGGGGTGGGGGGTTCCTGCTACAGTTCCCCCCTTCGGAGATAAGATTGCAAAGGTGGCTACTTTGCAATCCTTTTCTCCGCACAATTTAAGGTGGTAAATATTAACCTGCTATTCTCCGTCCCAGATGCGTGTGTCCATGTGAACCTGAAAGGGACTTGGATGTCACGCTTCTTAAGGATATTTGCATAGAAATATAACAGTGTAACAGTGCACATAGTTTTTTTTTTAAAAATAATTTTTATTAAGGTTTTAGACAACAAAGAAAGAGAAAAAAAACATACGCAATACATATAACAACAACACACACAAAAAAACAACACAAAATTCAACAATAAAAAAACAAAAAACATAACAATTAAAAACAATATCTCTTTTCCATTTCCATTTTTAAGTTACTTATTTTCTGGACTTCCTCATACCTCCCTCTTTTGTATTCCAATCCAAATTGTTTGTCCAGCAGTTTCTTTTCCACTTTTTAAATCCCAATCTTTAGTTTAATAAAATATTAAAATATATAACTTCAACTTCTTTAAACCTAATCCTTGGTCTTAATATCATATACCGTTAAAATTTCCCCTCTTAATATCAAATTTCCATTTCTTTAAACATCTTTAATCTTAATCTTTAATCTTAGTCTATCATTAACTTTAACCTGTACAGCTGGAAACCACTTATTTTCAGTCCAACATCACTCTAACATTCCTTAATTTTGCAGTGTTTCTGAAGATAGTCTTTGAATTTCTTCCAATCTTCCTCCATCGACTCTTCTCCCTGGTCACGGATTCTACCAGTCATTTCCGCCAATTCCATATAGTCCATAAGTTTCATCTGCCATTCCTCCAGCGTGGGAAGTTCTTGTGTCTTCCAATACTTTGCGATGAGTATTCTTGCTGCTGTTGTTGCATACATAAAGAAAGTTCTATCCTTCTTTACCACCATTTGGCCGACTATGCCCAGGAGGAAGGCCTCTGGTTTCTTAGGGAAGGTATACTTAAATACCTTTTTAATTCATTATATATCATTTCCCAGAAAGCCTTAATCTTTGGGCACGTCCACCAAAGGTGAAAAAATGTACCTTCAGTTTCTTTACATTTCCAACATTTGTTATCGGGCAAGTGATAGATTTTCGCAAGCTTGACTGGGGTTATGTACCACCTGTATATCATTTTCATAATATTCTCTCTTAAGGCATTACATGCCGTAAATTTCATACCTGTGGTCCATAACTGTTCCCAGTCAGCAAACATAATGTTATGTCCAACGTCCTGTGCCCATTTAATCATAGCCGATTTTACCGTTTCATCCTGAGTATTCCATTTCAGCAGCAAGTTATACATTCTTGACAGATTCTTAGTTTTGGGTTCTAACAATTCTGTTTCTAATTTGGATCTTTCCACCTGGAAGCCAATTTTCCTGTCCAATTTAAATGCCTCCATTATCTGATAATAATGAAGCCAGTCTCGCACTTTGTTTTTAGTTTTTCAAAACTCTGCAATTTCAGTCTATCTCCGTCTTGTTCCAAAATTTCCCAATATTTCGGCCATTTGACCTCCATATTGACCTTTTTCAAGGCTTTCGCTTCCATTGGTGACAGCCACCTTGGGGTTTTGTTTTCTAACAAATCCTTATATCTTAACCAAACATTAAATAGCGCTTTCCTGACAATGTGGTTTCTAAATGCTTTATGTGCTTTGACCTTATCATACCATAGATATGCATGCCATCCAAATACATTATTGAAACCTTCCAAGTCCAAAATGTCAGTGTTTTCAAGAAGTAGCCATTCTTTCAACCAGCAAAAGGCTGCTGATTCATAGTAAAGTTTGAGGTCTGGCAGGGCAAATCCACCTCTTTCCTTTGCATCTGTTAGTATTTTAAATTTTATTCTAGGCTTCTTGCCCTGCCAGACAAATTTAGAAATATCTTTCTGCCACCTCTTGAAACAATCCATTTTGTCCACAATCTGCAAAGTTTGGAACAAAAACAACATTCTAGGCAATACATTCATTTTTATCGCAGCAATACGGCCCAGCAGTGAAAGCTTCAAATTTGACCAAATTTCTAAATCTTTTTCACTTCAGACCAGCATTTTTCATAGTTATCTTTAAATAAGTTCCCATTTTTGCTGTCATGTTAATCCCCAAATATTTAACTTTCTTAACCACTGTTAAACCTGTCTCATTCTGAAACCTCTCTCTTTCAATCGGTGTTAAATTTTTCTCTAAAACCTTGGTTTTTAACTTATTCAATTTAAATCCTGCCACTTGACCAAATTCTTGAATCAGTTCTAAAACCCTTTTAGTACTAGATTCTGGCTCCTGTAACGTCAATACTAAGTCATCTGCAAATGCTCTCAATTTGTACTGTTTAGTTCCGACCTGTATACCTTTGACCAACTGGTCCCTTCTAATCATATTCAGCAAAACCTCCAGGACCGAAATAAAAGAAGTGGGGAAATTGGGCAACCTTGTCGTGTCCCTTTTTCAATTTTAAGTTCTTCCGTCACAACATTATTTACAATTAGTTTAGCCTTTTGTTCTGAATAAATTGCACTTATACCATTCTCAAAACCTTGGCCTACCCCCATACCCTGTAGATTCTTCTTCATAAAATTCCAAGAAATGTTGTCAAAGGCTTTCTCCGCGTCTACAAATATCAACACTGCTTTAGTGTTTATATTCACTTCTAATTTTTCCAAGATATCAATTATATTCCTCAAATTGTCAGACAAATGTCTTCCTGGGAGAAAGCCCGCTTGGTCTTTGTGAATCTCTTCCATCAACACTTTTTAAATCTCTTCGCCAAAATATCTGCAAAAATTTTGTAATCCACATTTAGTAATGATATAGGGCGGTAGTTCTTAAGTTGTGTCTTTTCAGTCTCTGTTTTTGGTACAAGTGTAATATATGCTTCTTTCCACGACTCTGGTGCTCTCTTCCCCTCCATTATTTCATTGCAGACCTCTTTCAATGGTTGAATTAACCATTCTTTTAAAGATCTGTAGTATCTAGAGGTCAAGCCATCTGGTCCTGGAGATTTACCCAGTTGCATGTTTTGAATGGCACCTTCTATTTCCTGTTCAGTTATTCTATGGTTCAAAATTAATTTATTTTCTTGAGATATTTTTTGTAGTCCATTTGTTTTTAAAAATTGGTCTAAATCTGTTTCTTTCATTGGCCCTTGAGTATATAGTCGTTTAAAATACTTCTGGAAACAACTTCTGATCTCCGCTGGGTTCTGTATATTCCTTCCTTCCACTTCTAAGTTCATAATCGTATTTAGTTTTTGTCTCTTTTTCATTTGCCATGCCAACAATTTGCCACATTTATTGGCCGATTCAAAAGTCTTTTGTCTCATTTGTTTAATTTTCCATTCTATTTCCTGATTCATCATTTTCATATATTGTACTTGATATAGCTTTAACTCTCTCAAAATCTCTTGAGATTTGGGATTTACTCTCAGTCTTTTTTCACATTCATTTATTTTGTCCATTATTTTATCCTTCTTCTCATTTTGAGTTCTTTTCTTTATCGCATTCTGTTGTATTAAGAACCCTCTCATAACCGCTTTACTTGCGTCCCAGATTACTCTTTTCTCCACGTTGGAACTAAGATTTATCTCGAAGTAATCTCTCAGAGTTTTTTGGGCCTTCTTAAGAAATTCTTCATCTCTAAATAAGGTGTCATTCATCTTCCATCTGAAGGAGCCAGTTGGTGTTAGTCTCATTTCCATCTTAACAGCATTATGGTCGGAGCAAATTTTCGGGCAGATTTCCACCTTTCTTGTCTTTGGTGCCATTCCTCTAGTTATCCAAATTTGGTCAATTCTTGTCCAAGTCATTTTGGCTTCAGAAAAGAAAGTTCCCTCTTTAGCCAAGGGGTTTCTAATTCTCCAAATGTCCACTAAATCCAAGTTGTCTGTCATATCAAAAAAAGTTTTCGGTAGTCTACCATCCTTGGTGACTACCTGTCTTTGTGCCTTGTCCATATAAGTAGATACCACTCCATTCATATCTCCCATCAGAATCGTGTTATAGTCCATATGGTCCATCAGGGTCTCATGCAACTTCTTAAAAAAATCAGATGTCCCATCATTTGGTGCGTAGACTCCTACAATCAGAAATTTTTCTCCTTGTGTTTGAATTTCAATTGCCACAAATCTTCCTTGGTCATCTTTAAAAACAAATTTCGGTGATAAATTGTCTTTTGCATAAATCACAACCCCTCTCTTTTTAACTTTGTCCGACGAAATAAATTCCTGACCAAGTCTTTTATTTATCAACAATTTCCTGTGTAATCTTGTTATATGTGTTTCTTGTAGACAAATTAGGTCCAATTGTTCCTTTTTTTTAATATATGAAATACTGATTTCCTTTTCTGAGGGAATTCAAACCCCGACAGTTCCATGTTAAAAGTTGCAGGGCCATGATGTTATTGTTTTAGTTCTCCTCCTACTGCACCTAGTGCCTGTTCCTCATCCGTCGGTGGTATCCCTTCTTTCGAACGGTCTTTTGGTTCCGGAAATAGTTCTTTTTGTAAGTCTTCTCCGTGGTCTCTGCAAAATTTGTCTTTGTCGTCTTCCGATCTTATTTTCCTCTTCTTTCCTTTGTAGCTAAAAGACAGGCCTTGAGGGAGTTCCCACCTAAAGTTGATACTGTTCCTTCTCAGCAGGGTAACCAAGTCTTTATATTTTGATCTGAGATCCAGAAGGTATTTCGGAATATCTTTAAATATTTCCACCCTTGTCCGATGGATTTCCAGTGTCTTCTTGAAATGTAGGCCCAAAATCTTATCCCTCTCTTCTTTTGTTCGAAAAGTAATCAAACAGTCTCTCACCTTCTTCTCTCCTCTTCTCCCAAGTCTGAAAGCATTTACTATTTTGAAACTGTCTTTTGCCAATTCTGGATCCCAAAAGTCCAAAAATTCCTGCGTGAGAAATTCAGCTAGATTGTCCTTTTCCACCTCAGGTACCGATCTGACCCGTAAGTTCACTTGCTTTTCCTTCAAATCTATCATAGACAGGGTCAATTTATGGTCTTCCAGTTGTTTGTGCAGTGTTGGTAATTCCTCTTGAACCTCTTTAACCTCTGTAGCAGAAGTTGTAGCAATTTCTTTAGCCTCCTCAGCAATCTGGCGTATTGAGGCCGATTCCTCTAATAATTTCTGAATAGTCTCTGTGTTAGTATTTACTTTCTGGCCCAAATTATTTATACTTGCAGTATTCTGATTAGTACTTGTTGTATTTTGATTGATACTTATTGTATTTTGATCAATCTTGTCACATGCCTCTGCTACTTGTTGGCTTATTCTGTTTAAAGATTCATTGACCTTGGCCAAAACTTGAGCAAAGACATCATCACTTGTCGTACCTTTTACTTTTGGTTGTGCCGATGAGGCTGTTGTTGAGGTTCCAGAAGGGCCTGAGGCCGAATATCTCCTTTGTAATCCTTTTTCTGTGCGAATAGTCCTTCCCGACCTTGTAGTCGATGCATCCGCTTTCTCTTTACCATCTGCCATTCCTTTAGATAATACTCAAGGTCAGTCACGTAGTTAAAATCAAACAGTGGAAATTTCCAACAAATCAGTGTGGGAATTCCTCAAGCCAGCTACAGTTTCAGTTATAACAGGTTGTAACAATTCCAAATTCCACTAGGGGGACACTGTAACAGTCATAAAAGTTCTTGGATACTTTAGTTTCTTTTTTAAGCCCCTCCAGTTTATTCAGGAAGAAAACAGTCTATACAAAATATTAACTTAGGACCAGGAGATATATATTCACATAATATGTCCAGACTTTTGTTTCCTGTGCAGGACTAGCTGTCAAAACATATTGCAAGACAGTACCTCTCTTACTTTCCTAAGTTACCTCTGGAGATCCTTTCCCAGGGATTTGAGTGATGGTTTAATCCCTTCTATTCCACTTCTTTATGAAGAAATCACATCCACAATTCTCCCCCCTTTTCCCTCAGTTTAAGGAGGGAAAAGTCCAGGTTAGATGGTTGGATTCAAGTCCACTATGCGTACTTTTCCAATGCTTCCGCTTTCAAGTTCAATGCTTTATTTTATCTACAAGGAAAGAGGCAGACTTCCTTTTATACCTCTTTCCGTTTTCGGCCAAATTCCAATTTGTACAGTTCCAATTAAATTATATCCTACTCACGGATCGTTGATTTTCAAGTCCGAATTTCAAGGAAAAAAGGCAGCGCTCTCCGGTCAACAGCTTGCGGCTTCACACCACGAACGAGCAGACAGCCCACAGCACAGCGCTCTCCCCCGCTCCGATTCCGAGCCCATTGCCGGGCTTTTACCGGGTTGGGGGGGGCGCCAAATGTGCCCGCTGGGTCCCAGGCTCACAGGCTTCCCCCGCCTGTGATTTTTGAGGGTCCCCCGCTGCGCCGAAGCGGGATTTGACCCTTTGTTTCGTGGCGAGATTTCCTCCGATCGAGGAAATCCGCCATTAACCGCTGGCGCCGCCTCCGGAAGTCCAACAGTGCACATAGTTAGACATAGGATATCACGTAAAATTAATATTTTGTTGCTCAGTTACTTGTGATATTCTAGCACCTTGGAATAAATATTTTCTCAATAGTGGTCTATGCTTTACATTTAGCAGGAAGGTCCACTAATGACTGAAAAATGCAGTTTGTTTTGTCCCCCGCCATTTTTGTGTTCTCAGGTGTCAAGGTAGCTCTTCTGTGGTCTCACATCGGCATGGTGTCACAGTAGTGGCAATCCCTGGTGAATCCACTTAGGGCTTTCATATTAACCATGTTGCCTGGCACTCACCACAGCTGGCACAGGTTTTGGACACGTCATGAGAGAAATGTCTTTGCCTTGGCCATTCTATGGGATTTTATTATTATAGGCTCTGGTCTTGCAGTCATGGGAAGTTGCTCACTTGCACTTTAAGGACCAAAAAGCTAATTGCAGGCTGGATACACTTGCCCAATTCAAACTGAGTCCAGTTTGAATTTATATGCCCATGGTTCTCAACTTTTCAAACCAATCTGTTAAAAGAAAACCATTCTTAAAAGGGCACTTGTCCAAATAAGTCAATTTAACTCTATAAGGGATCATTCCTGCTAAACCAAAGCATTTGCACCTTCATGTATCTTATCAGCTTCTCTTTGGTAAAGTGAGTTTTAGCACATTTAAAATGGGTAGGGAAGTTGGCAGAGTGCCAGGTGAAACAACGAAATGTGGTTATAAATTTATCTAATTCTAAACATTTGACTACACAATAGCCTGACCTATTAGAACGCATAAAATGTATGAGAATCCTCCACTGGGGTGTAAGGAATAAGACATTAAACATAAAAACAATTACACACAAAATAGCCCCCGATTTGTGGAAATTGTTGGTTTCTGCTTTCCTTCACTGTGCAGCTCTGCTTGTCACGAGACAGGTGTTTACATTCCACAGTCTGTACTGTTGGAGTTTCTCACGGGAAAGGGAGACTGGATGTGACGTACACTGGTTTCCTGTTTTTCACTGTGTGATTCTCTCCGAGCTGCTGAGGAGAGAGGATGCATTTTCTCTGCTCAGGCAGAGGCAAGATGTCTTTCTGTAATATACCAGCTTTGAACTGTAAATAAAGCAATATAGAGTATATAGCACGTATTGCTCATCCTTCCGCTGGGCACGACAGACTCTGCTTTAAATCAACACGTGGTTATGGGCCCAGAGGTCGAATCGGAGTGCCGGCAAAGGATCGGAATGCAGAGGGACAGATCGGAAAGGAATCTGCTCTGCGCGTAGAAGTGATTGATGAGGTATGTGCTACTGCTCCGGGCAGCCTGCCAGCTTCAAGTTAATGGCTTTATGGCTGGACTTTGAACTTTTAAAGCCGGTTTTGCCGGGAATAGGCAAAAGGCTCCCAGGCACAAGTCACTATGCTGGGGAAATCGAAGTAACTTTTAAGTGCGCTTTGTAATAAAGCAGCTGCAGCAGTGACGCAGCAAGATTTAAAGCAGCATATGACGCTGAAGGCTAATGCCAGAGTCATGATGGCCCTTCAGGATGCTTGTGGGATTCCTAAGCTCAACAAGAAAAATTACAGCGACTGGGTTCAGTATGCAGAGGCAATTCTGCGGAAAGAGGGTTTGTTTGAGGTGATTACAGAAACCCCCCCAGTTCCAGTTACAGATGCATGGGAAGCTAAGGATTCCAAAGCAAGGGGAACTCTTACATTGATAGTATCCCCAGAAGAGCTCTGTCTATTGCGTGATAAGACCTCAGCCAGAGAAATTTGGGACGCTCTGAGAGAGGCTCACTTAAGGACAGAAGCTGGATCCACTATGTATTACTTTAACAAGCTGCATAATATGGCTCTTGCTGAAGGTGGAGATGTGCGTTTACATCTAATGGAGATGCAAAATCTGAGACATGAGCTGCAACAGAGAGGACTCAACTTTCCAGAGGCTGTGTATTCTTTCATGATACTACAATCTTTGGGTTCAGGTTGGGAGTCTGTTGCAACCCAGATTGCTGTGCAACCAACTGCTCAGCTGACAGTGGACTTTGTTACTGCCGTGATTTTAAATGAAGCAGATCGCCGGGGTGCTAGCTGCATGGGCAAGGGGGGAGTCTTCACAGACGTCATCCCATAGTGCAGTGGAACCACCAGATGGCGCCAAAGCTTTGAAGGCAGTGAAATGCTACTCGTGTGGACGTCTAGGCCATATGAAGAGGGAATGCAGACATCCCAGGGCCAAGACAGAGCAGCGCAGCGAAAGCTCATCGCGCGGAAAAGGCCGAGGCAAAGGCAAAGGTCCGGTGTCTAGGACAACGCAGCACAAGGCTATGGTTTCACGCTTCACTCCAAAGGTTGCAGAGGTCCAGAAGACGTCTAGATCTTTCTTCGTTGTTGATTCAGCGGCCACCCACCACATGTGCAACGATAAGAGACTGTTTGTGTCTTTTACACCGCAGGAAGGTGCGATTCACCAGGCGGATGACCACACTATTCCCAGTAAAGGCTACGGAACTGTTGTTCTTCACAGTTTGGACTTATCGATACAGAATGTGCTTTACGTGCCAGACGCCAAACATAATCTGCTCAGCGTTGGACAGCTGAATGAGCGGAACATTGACGTTTCCTTCAAAAACAAGAAGTGCATCATCACAAAGAAAAATGATTATGTATTGCATGCAGAATATGTTGATCATTTGTTTGTTTTGTATTATGATGATGTGGTGCAGGATGACACTTGTTGCATTGCAGGTTCTAACAAAAGTTTGCATGCAGAATGTATTCACGATTTTCATCGAAAATTTGGTCATTTGCATTTTGAGGCAGTATCTAAAATGCCTGCCTTGGTTGAAGGTATGACTATTAAACCCTGCAGGTACCACATGAAGTGCAAAGCATGCGCAGCAAACAAGGTGAAAATGGCTGCGAAAGGTAAGGTGTCTAGTAGGAAAGCTACAGAACCATACCAGGTTGTTCATGCTGATTTGGTTGGACCACTAGCGCCCTCTTTGGGTGGAAATAGATACTTCATGGTTCTCATTGATGCATTTTCTAGATATATTTTTGTGTACAATCTCAAGCAGAAATCGGAGGCTTTTCCTAGGTTCAAGGAATTCTGTGCTTGGTTGGAAAATGTGCATGGTAAGAAGATAAAGACTCTTTTCAGTGATCGCGGGGGGGAATTCACTTCTCAGCAGTTTGAAGCTTTTCTGACTGAGAAAGGAATTCAACACGATTTGTCTAGTCCTCGCTCGCCATGGCAGAATGGACTTGCGGAACGGGCAAATCAGACACTGCTTCAAGGCTTAAAAACCTTGCTGCATGATGCCAATCTTCCAGAGAGTTATTGGGCCGAATCTCTCTCGTGTTTTGTTTACAGTTACAATCGCAGGCTATCTTCAGCGATTGGTTGTACCCCCTATGAGAAGATGTTTGGCAAGAAGCCATACATCAAACACATGAAGATTTTTGGTTCTGACATGTGGGTTCGCTCACCACAAAACTCCAAGTTAGACAAGCGTGGATTGCATGGTATCTTTCTAGGTTATCAGAAAGGGTCTTACAGAATAATGATGACTGACTCTAAGACAATTAAGCTCACGAGAAGTGTTGAGTACAATGCAAAGTGGGTGGAGAATGTGGGAATTTTCCAATGTTATCCTGATGACGGTGATGAGACTGAGGATAGTCAAAAGCAACCACAACAACCCACACCCACTGATGAAAGTTCTGAGTCTGAATCTGAAACTGAATCGGGTGATTCAGAGGATTTCAAGAGTGCGAAAGCCTCTATGCGACCCTCTGAAAGCTCTGATCAAGAATTGGAGGAACCATTGTTCACAATAGGTCGTTTTTCTCCTAAGAAGGAAGAGGAGAGTGTTGAAGACTTAAGGCTAATTCGTAGGTCACAGAGAGCCACAAAGGCAAACCTCCAAAGAGATTTGCTGATGAGTTTGCTACGATAGCAGTAACAGCTGTTAAAAGCTCCAAGAAGGTATTTGAACCTTCAAGTTTCCAAGAAATCCAGGGTTTGGATTCAAAGGAAGCTGAGCCATGGTTAAATGCCATGAAGGCTGAGCTTGATTCCTTAGAAAGGAACAAAACATGGGAGCTAGTTCCAGTAGTTCCAGGAATGAAACTGCTTGGAAGCAAATGGGTCTTCAAAGCGAAGACAGATCAAAATGGCAAGATAGTCAGACACAAAGCCAGATTGGTAGCCAGAGGTTTTGCACAGGTACCAGGTCAAGACTATCACGAGACCTATTCACCCACAGTGAGATATGAAAGCATTAGGCTTATGCTCAAGCTAGCTGCAGAGGAAAATCTACACATTAGTCACCATGATATTAATACAGCTTTTCTGTACGGATCTCTAGATGAATCACTTTATATGCTTCCACCTGATGGCGTACAGGTAAAACAGGGATTTGTTTGTGCTCTGAAGAAATCCCTTTATGGTCTCAAACAAAGTGCACGGTGTTGGCACACAAAACTCACTGAAGTATTGTTTTCTCTAGGTTTTCAGCAAGGGAAAGCTGATCCATGTGTATTTGTCAAAGAGGAGGGGCAAAAGAAACTGTACTGTTTGTTTTATGTTGATGATTTATTATTCTTTTGGAAAGATGTCGCAATGTACAATAGCGCCCTAGCTCAACTGAAAGAGCACTTTGACATGAAAGATCTTGGTGAGGTAAACAACTACCTATCTCTGGAAATAGAGAGAGATCAAGATGGTAACATTCTAGTACACCAGTCACGGAAAATTGCTGATGTGTTAAGCAAACTAAATCTGATGGATGCTAACCCTGTAGACACACCGATGACAACAGGTTATCAGGTAGATGACACTGAAGAAGCATTTTCTGACACTACACTGTACAGGAGTGTGCTAGGCAAGCTAAACTTCATTGCCAGATGTTCAAGACCAGACATTGCTGTTAGCTGTAATTTGCTAAGCAGACAAGTCAACAATCCTAGTGTCAAGGATTGGAAAGCTCTGAAACGCATAGCGCGGTATTTGAAAGGCACTATGCATTACAGACTGAGATTTAACAATCAGAAGTCTGGTGGTCTTGAGATATTTGCAGATGCAAGTTTTGGAAGTGACACTACAGACAGGAAAAGTACGTCTGGAGTTTGCTACATGTACAATCAGAGTCTGTTTGATTGGTCATGCAAGAAGCAAACAACAGTTAGCTTAAGTACTTGTGAAGCCGAACTGAATGCACTGTCTTATTCACTTAAGGATTGTGAATGGCTAGTACAATTGTGCAAAGATATGAAAATTCCTGTCAAATGTCCAATCCAGGTTTACCAGGACAACAAAGCATGTTTGGCTTTGCTGAAGTCTGAAGGTTGTAAGCAAAGCACAAAGCACTTGCAATTAAAGTTGCAGCATGCTAGGGAATGTATTCAGAAGGGACTCGTAACGGTGTCCTATATGCCAGGTAATGAAATTCCTGCTGATGTATTGTCCAAGATTGTATCAAGGGATCAACACTGTACCTATGTGCAGAAGTTGGGTTTGTACTGATATTGTGCAAACACGCTGCCCAGTGATGTTCACAGAAAGGGGAGGATGTTGGTTTCTGCTTTCCTTCACTGTGCAGCTCTGCTTGTCACGAGACAGGTGTTTACATTCCACAGTCTGTACTGTTGGAGTTTCTCACGGGAAAGGGAGACTGGATGTGACGTACACTGGTTTCCTGTTTTTCACTGTGTGATTCTCTCCGAGCTGCTGAGGAGAGAGGATGCATTTTCTCTGCTCAGGCAGAGGCAAGATGTCTTTCTGTAATATACCAGCTTTGAACTGTAAATAAAGCAATATAGAGTATATAGCACGTATTGCTCATCCTTCCGCTGGGCACGACAGACTCTGCTTTAAATCAACAGAAATAACACACTGTCATACACATTTCAACATTCCTACGTAATAACACATAATACAAAACAAACTAATTAAATATCAGTTGCATATCTTGAGACAATTGGGATATTTTATGTATGTATCTTTTGAATCCTGGAGCACAGTCTTGAGGTTCAAAAGTGAGAAGATGTCCTTGCAATTCAACTCCACCCCCCTTTGTCAGGCCCACTCCCCCGGCAGTCTATATCCTTTGAAAGAGATAGCTGTGGCCACTTTGAAACTTTGGTGTCTGTTGTTGTTGCAGGTCTTGTGGTGGCGAAGCTTTTCATTGGATCTGTAGTAACACATTTGTAGAAGTGATATCCTGTAAGGGGCAGGGTTTTGAGGACTTAAAAGACAGAGTTAGAAAAGGGAAGGGGCAAAAGGCAAAAAGGATGTCCTTCGGTTTCCGTTGGAAGCTGCAAATAATAAAAATCTTAGCGGATTAAGCATTTCATTCATTCCAATATTATTATCACATTTCCATATAATTACTGTTATTATCTGCCAAGTTTGTTTGCTTTCCTTCACTTAGTTTGGCTGTGGAAGAAACAGAGGGACAAAACCTTTGTTAATTTGAACACAGTTGGCAAGTTATTAAACATTTTGCTTATGTGGGTCCGAGTTCACGTATCCTGTTTTAAAGGGAAATTTTTATTTCCTTTGAAAATCTCTGTCAGGAATGCTGTTCCTATAATGCACACAAAGCCTGTTATAAAAGTTAAATCCCATTGGGGGTGGGAGAACTAGTCAAGAGTGGAACTCACAGTGGGAGCGCTTTGATATTTACCTGTGAAAAGAATTTGGCATGTTAAGATTTGAAACCTGGAAACCTCTTGACTTTTGATGGGCTAGTACTTAACCCTTTTGTCTTACGTAGCCCCTGGAGCAAAGGACACATTAAGGGTGATTTCCCTCAATGGTTCCAAGTTTTACATAAGGAAATTTGGATAAGTTTCTCCCTGCAGCCCAAGCTCTCGAAACCTCCTCTCCCCCCTTACAGTTCCCCCCTTCCTCTCTCTCTCTCTCTCTCCTCCTCCTTTTTTTGTTTAGCTGATCTAGCCTCTGTGCATGTGCAGAGTTCATGTCTCAGCAAACCTTTTATACTATTGAAAATGTTGAATCTTTGGGCTAAATTACCATTTGAATAAGGGAAGGGAAGGGTAAGGAGTAGATTTTAAAAATAGGGTTAGATTTTAAAACAAAAAAGAGAAACTCAGCGATTCAAGTATTCACCAAAGCTAGCAATTGCAGCCCAAGCAAAGGGACTGCTTCCTTTATGTACAGGAAAGGGCTAATATCCCTCTGGCCATTCGCGGAACAATGCCACGCCCTTATATATGGGGAAAATGGCCAGAGAGTCAGAATTCATAGGATTTTTTAACATTCTCAGTCATTTCAACATTACCATTTGCAGACAAAAAATTTTTCCCCTGCCCTTTATTTACAGGATTGGTCAAGGCGCATATGTATTTGTATGTGCTGAAACTTTGAATTGACTTTGAAGTCTGATTTTTAAATAGTAGACAAAATGATAAACACTGTAATCACTCAAATGCTTGATATTACCAGTTGTGCTTCAAAAACATCACGGCTTCACCTCACACCTTTTAAAACTAAAGAGCAAAGCTAGGCTGAATTTCAACTCCATCACCACACCAGAATTTAAGAATTACCCTCCAATGCTTGCAGACACATGTCCTTCCACACAGCCACAAATTGGGAGAGTTGAAAGGGACCCTGGGGTCATCTAGTCCAACCCTCCAAAATATAGGGTTCACAGCAAGATTTCACAGCAAGATTTGTACTACCAAAGAGACATACACATTTAAGTACAGATTTACAACTGGGAAAGGAAACATCTATGCTCCTATCATGTACTAAGGAAGAGGAAAATAAAAGTACCCAACTTTACACAGAACCCTTTTAGCAGATCTTGAGATAGTTTGAGTGAGTTTGCTTCCTTAGACTAAAGAATGCAAGTTCCTATAGAAATGATATTTAAAGGAAGATTGAAGTGAACAGTTTTTTTTTTCTAAGATAGGGAGAGGATCTTTTATTAAGCATAGTTAAAACAGCCATAGATTTGATTTAAAGGGAATACAAAAGTGAACAATTTTTTTCCTGAACTTGCAGAGGAATAGTAAGCCTAATTTAGATTATTATTTTTTTAATAACTACACATAGGAAAGTGAGATGCAGGGTACCTTAGGAAAGATTGCTCCCCCCTCTTTGCAGTTTCCTTTAAAGGAAGCTTACTCGGGAGTAAATTTACCTGGCACAGAAGTAAGAAGGGGGAAAAACCTGAAAGATACAGAATGAAACAAGGGGGGGCATTTTCTAAGAAAAGAGGCCAGGAAGTCTTATAGAGACTGATATCAGGACTGGACTCAGATAGACAATTTTTGCTGGCCATGGAAGCCTCTACATTTGGTAACAATTTTTCTTAGAAAGAACACCATACTTTCATAGGCATAGGCTTAATGAAATACATACACTGCATTTTAGCTTGAGAGAGCAGTTGGCTCAACTAGGCTTTTGCAGCAGAAACATTAGTTTCTTCACAGCACATTTCAAAATACTGGAACAAAAAGACTGGAACACGGATGTAGACTCACAAACTCAAAAGTTGCAGCAAAACATCATCTACCATCAACTTAAAATCATACTCCTCACTTAAGCTACTCGGAGGAAGACTCTTTGGAGCCTCTCTCAAATAACAAACATTTGCACACTTCATTCTTTTTCTTTTTTCTTTTTTTTTGTCCTGTTTAAGATTGATAAGGCCCAACATGGCTTTCTTAGATTTAAAATTTTTGAAGCAAGCTTGCAATTTAAAAACTATGTGCATTTAAGAACAGTCTGTGGATGCCGAGGCCAATGTAAATACAAACCCTTGAAATATTTCTAAATCTTTGAGTACATCTCTTATTCATTATTTTTTATTATTTTTATTTTTAGAGAAACTAAGATCTCTAATGCGTGGGCTCTCAGGCTGGGCTGTTATTATATCTACTACCTTCTGAGCACCATTAAGTTTACGGTTTCATGTTCTAGCTTTAGGTTATAGTTTAACAACACAAATTTGATGTGTTCAGCTCTCCCTAAGGGTTCACACCCTGATTTTGTTGAAGGATCCCTGAGGTGGCCGCTGTGCCCTGGGTTCCAGGTGGTGGGCCTAAGCCACCCACTAAAAGTTACAACGGTCTCGTACTTTGTACTTGGAAAGACCATTTTGCCCCTTTATTTATTTATTTTTTTTTCCAATTGGAGATGACAAGCTGGAGGGGCATATTAGAATCCTCTCTGGGGCAAAAAGGCTTCATGGAAGCTTTGTTGCCAGGAGTCCAGCTAGGGTGTTTAGTGAGCTCCCATTTCCCTTTAAGGGGGGGTTGCTCAGTAGATTACACTAGGAGATAGAAGAACGGGTACAAGAAAGGGACAAAGAAGGGGGGTAGAAAAGAATATTCTATCAGTATTCAAGTTATCTTTCAGCTAAAGCAATCTCTGCCTACCAGTAAACTACAAGCAATTTGTCTAGAAACCACAGGCCCTAGCCTGGAAAACCACAGGTCCCTCTAACCCGGAAAACCACAGGCCCTAGCCTGGAAAACCACGGGTCTAACCACCCAGAAAACCACAGGCCCAAGCCTGGAAAACCACAGGTCTATCCACCCGGACAATAACCACGGATCCGGAATTCTACCTTAGCGCTGCTTACAAAGTACCGCGCTTTCCCCGGCCACACTCCGAAAGGGAAAACGGGGGAGAAAAGGAGAGAGGGAGATTTGTAGGGACGCCTCCGGACGACTCCGAGGGAAGACGTCAGAGAAATAACAAAGTACCGCGCTTTCCCCGGCCACACTCCGAGAGGGAAAACGGGGGAGAAAAGGAGAGATTTTAGGACGTTCTTGGACGACTCCGAGAGGTAACGTCGGAAAGCAGCAAAGGTTCCATAATTTCCCCGGTCCAACTCCGAAAGGGAAATAGGGGGAGAGAAAGAGAAAGTTTAGGACGTTCCTGGACGACTCCGAGAGGTAACGTCGGAAAACAACAAAAGTTCCACAAACCTCCTTGGCAGGTTTTGAATAAGCATCCAAATATTTATTAGTTGAACACACAATAGATAAGGCAAGGATATGTACAATTTTATAATATGCAGAGAACAATATGTGTAAAGAAATCAGAGAGGGGAGCTGAGGGAAGTCCCTGGTGGGGGGGGAGAGGGAGGGGGGAGGGGGGAATAATATAATTGATTATGTGGATTAATGATTTGTTATGTTGAAATTCTTTAATAAAAATACTGTTTAAAAAAAATAAAGTAAACCTTCCCACAAAATCAACCCCCACAGTGTTCAGCTTACGTTTAAGCCAACAGCCTATGGAAAGGCTATCAGATGGAATACAGAATAGCAGGAAAAGTGAATTGGGTGACAGTGAGAACGGAAGGAAACCAGGAGAAATATACCATAGCAGGGCTTTGCCACAACACTCAATACACCTTTTGATAAGCTGCCATGACGAAACCGGGACTCAGTCAGAGGAGTGAGGAGATCAGTGTAAACACACTCCCCCCCCCCCCAGTTCTTCCGGGGTCCTTGAAAAGGTAACAAAGGAGCATTTGTCAATCTGTGTTACCAATGGGGGGAAGCAGGAGAAAGTAGGAGTCAAGTCAACTTATTGAGAGGGGAGGGGAAAGGAAATGAGAAGCATCAGGTGCGCAACGGATACCAGGTGTCCGCTGCTGAGGCAGAAAGAGCTAAGTGATCTCAGAAAGGGAAGAAAAGGATGTTCCAGCTGCCTTGGAGCCTGGCCTCATAGACCAGCAGCTGCCAGTATGTTTTCCAGGGGCACAATTGTGCCCTCGACACCTTCCCCTGGTGCACACACAGCGCCACTGAACTCCCCATGCCCACTGCCAGGGCCTGAGAGGGTTTTAAAGGCTCCAAGCATTTAAAAGATGTTGGTGCCCCCATATATATCTGATTCAACATATGAAGAATAAGCTCATATTGATGGCCACCAACATGGATGACTTTAAAACAGGATTCTTGATTTATTTACCACACACTGGGCTTGTCCACTCTTCCTCAATCCCGTCCCTAGAAAGCACCGGTCTGAGCAGTTTCCCGCTTTTCACACTCCTCTCCCATGGAACACCCCCTCTTCTGCTCCAAATCAGAGCAAACATCAATTCCTGGGAAAGACGATTGACATTTGCTCCAACTGAGTGCCAAGGAGAGGGTTTCCTGTGGAGAGGCAGAAAAACAAGGGGAAGTGTGGATAAGCCACAGAATTCCCTGGATCCAAAATGTTAAACCCGGCTTAGGCTTAAGGAGGTTGAGAAGGCAAGGGGGATGAAGGCTGTGAAATAGTGCCACACGGAGGACGTGCAATAATGATGGGAGAACACAAATTATCCTGCTGAGTTTATTGATGACACTGCTTCCGTTTACATTGGAGGATGAGATCTTCCTGCTCCTCCTCTGCCTTCTTTGGAAGCTGCTCTGTTTTTTGGGACAAAGCACGAACGAAGGGAGCCCACGGCAGAAGTCGATGCCTGTTGGAAACAAACCCGGGGTAAGTGATTGGTGTGGAGTCAAGAGAAAGGGAGAAAGATGTCAAGGAGGAGATGGGTGTGGAGTTCTCAAATAAGCAAAACTTTACCCCCCTCCCTTAAGCCCATGGAAGGAACCTCAAATGTCATCTAGCCCAATCCTTCTGCAGCCTCTCAATAGGGAGCCCCCCCCCAAGACTCTGCTTAAAAACCTCTAATAGAAATAGAAATAGCATTTTTGTTGAGATTAAATAAAGGGGGGGAGAACCACTTGTGCCACCTTGAGTCCCACGGATATAAAGGTGGGATATAAATGCATTAAATTAATAAATTCTTGCCCAGGACTATAAATTTCTTCCTAATGTTTAGTCTAAATCATTTTTCGTTTTACTTTGGAGCTGCTTGTTCAGCTCTTACCCTCTGGAGCAACTGAAAACAACCATGTTCCATCCTCCTTTTCCAAGCTGGAATTTGTCTACCATGTAAGTCATCAGCAATTGGAAAAGACAGGGGCCCCATTCTCATTCTTTGTACCCTACCTTCTTTGATTTCTTCTTCTGCTGCCCTTCAGGGATTTCTCCAGCATTCATTTCATCCTTCACTGGTTCCCCTGCTGCTGTCTGCTTTGAAGTCTCCCCAGGATTCCTTCCATCTGACCTCAGTGACATCTCCATCAGACGCGGCTTGAGATACGGCTGGTCCCCGTTCTCCTGAACCACCTTCTCAATCAGAGACAGCAGCTCTTCCGCCCGGCTGGCCCTTTCCTCTCCTGTCCCTCTGTTGTTGAAAGCACAGCAACGGTCCTGGCATTTCCTCACCAAATCCTGCAGGACTCTGTTTCCAGACAGCCCTATGTACTCCTCTAGGCTTTCTGTCTCTAGGTCTTCTTTGCGGGTGAACAAGACGATCATGTACTTTGTGACCTCTGGGCCAAAGACCTCCTCCACCCTCTTCACGGCCACAGCGTCTTCCTCGGTGAAACGACCGGCCTGTGTCACAAACACCAGGGCGTGGGGACCTGGCTCACAGAGAGAGAGGCACCTCTGGACTTCCAGAATATCATGATGTGTTTGAAGACGAGCATCAAAAATGTCTGGAGTGTCAATGACGACCACTTGTTTCCCCTTCCACTTCTCTGCTCGGACCTCTCTGCTGCATGTCTGGGTCACTGGCTTCGGGGAGAGTTTGGACTCAAAGGTCTTCTTCCCCAGAAGGGTGTTTCCTGTGGCACTTCTCCCTCCTCCCGTCTTCCCGACAAGAACGACCCGCAGTTCGGAATGCTTCTGGGAGAGACTCAGGTTCCCAGGCTCTGTTGGGAAGGAATAAGGGATGTTCATATAACTCACACTTCCCTTTCCTCCATGCTTCCCAGGCACAGTCCTCAGGTTATAGCTCTGTGTCCAATGACCTGGTCTTGGTTTCCGCAAGAAAACCTGCTCTTTAAAGCTGAATCAGAGCAAATGTCAATCCTTGGGAAACCAAGTTACAAGTTACAAGGAGTTACAAGTTACAAGTTACAAGGAGGAAATTCCAACTAAACAGCAGGAAGAACTTTCTGAGGGCAAGAGCTGCTTGACAGTGGAACCGTCTCCCTTGGGGGGTGAGGGGCTCTCCATCCTTGGAGGTTTTTAAGCAGAGGTTGGATGGCCGTCTGTCATGGATGCTTGAGCTGAGATTCCTGCATTGCCGGGGTTGGGACTAGATGGTGATGGGGCTCCCTTCCAATTCTATGATTTTATGACATTTGCTTTGATTCAGCTTTAGACAGTCGGTTGTTGTGGGGAAACCTCACAGCAAAAACCAAACAAACAAACAAACAAATGAACATTCTCGAACACAGAGTTTCAAATCATGGATGTGTGCCTGGAATGTGGTGGGTAAAATGTAAGTGTGGGTAATCCCTCAGTGTCAACTGAAACAACATTCAGGGCTGTCTGAATCTTTCTGGTCCCCATTTAAGGTGTTATCGATGGCTCTCAAGGCTAAACTGACCTGGGACCAAAGGGTTCCTTGGAGCACTTCTCCCTCCATCGGCCATCCCAGAGCCTCCTGGGATCAGCAGGGGGTTCCTTTCATCCTGTCCTATTGGTTGGGGAGGCTCACGGTGCCGCAGTGACGTGGTGTGGCCAGGCCTTCCCAGTGGTGAGGATGCAATTGTGGAGTCTCTTCCCCTGGTGGCATCAGAAGCTATCCAATACGGACTTTCTGAAACAATATTCAAAGCAAAACAACCATCCATTGAAATCCACATTTCTCTGAATTTATTAGTGCAGTTTTCCAGCCAAGTAAGGTGTACAAAAATGCATATACTAGAGTATATGTTGAAATGTGGAGAGCTGTGCTTAATTTGGGGGGAAAGTGAGAAGGAGAGAGAAGTCAAAACTTAAGAGATTCTCCCATATGTAGCCAGGAGGAAGAACACAGATGTCCACCTGCCTATGTCCTGGCTAGCACTGACTCCACTCTGGACATTATGAAACAGGGTCTGAAGGGGCTTCTAAGCACATTCAGCCGAACACAATTAGAAGCCATCCCACAACCAGGAGCCCCAATGACCCGGAATTTCCCACCATTGGGATGCTGGGCACATGGTATGCATGTGTGAATCAAATGCCTGCATAGGTCTCATGTGCTGAATTGCATAAAGCAAGCAAACTCTTGCACCCATCTCCATAGTTTGCAAAATGTTAGCAAGTTACAGAGCCACCCCCTTCTAGGTGCAGAATTCTGCTCCCCTTTGAGCTCTTACTTGAACAAAGAAGAAACACAGGTATTTGGTGGGTCTCTTTAAGGAAGGGAAACTCAACTCAGGGAGATCTATAACTGCTTCAGAATCATAATTTGATTCTACCTTCAGGGAATTCATTTGGTCCTCCTTTGTCTGTCTCCATTGCTTCTTCCTCTGGTTTCATTTCAGCTGCGCTCCTTGTCGATCCTCTTGGAAACTGCTGAAGGAAAGGCTTGTTCTGGTTGTCTATCATCATCTGCTCGATTTTCACCAGCAGCTCCTTCACTTGCAGCTCCTGCTCATCTCTTGTTGCTCTGTTGTTGAAAGCGCAGCAACGGTCCTGGCATTTCCTCACCAAATCCTGCAGGGCTCTGTTTCCAGACAGCCCTATGTACTCCTCTAGGCTTTCTGTCTCTAGGTCTTCTTTGCGGGTGAACAAGACGATCATGTACTTTGTGGCCTCTGGGCCAAAGACCTCCTCCACCCTCTTCACGGTCACAGTGTCTTCCTCAGTGAAACGACCGGCCTGTGTCACAAACACAAGGGCGTGGGGACCTGGCTGACAGAGAGAGAGGCACCTCTGGAATTGCAGAATATCATGATGTGTTTGAGGACGAGCATCAAAAATGTCTGGAGTGTCAATGACGACCACTTGTTTCCCCTTCCACATCTCTGCTCGGACCTCTCTGCTGTAAGTCTCGGTCACTGGCTTTGGGGAGAGTTTGGACTCGAACTTCTTTTCGCCCAAAATGGTGTTTCCTGTGGCACTTCTGCCTCCTCCCGTCTTCCCAACAAGAACAATCCGTAGATCTTCATTGAGATTTTTGGTTCTGCTCTCCTGTGCCTTAGTAGTCTCTGGAAAGGAATTAGGAAGATGTCTGGGCATCCAGGACCGACCTTGTGGGATGTAACATCACAAAGGCAGTCAAATCAACATTTCTTGGTTGCCTAGAGTGGACACACAGAGGATGTTGCTCCAGCCAGGAGGACTACCTGTCACACCTGATCTGGAGCATCCTCCCCCTGCATGTGACCAGGTAGATGGGCGTGACCCTGGGAGACCCCATAAAAGGGTTGGTCATGCAGCCATCTTCCCTTTTTTCCTTTTGCTTTTTCACCTTGTTCCATCTTGATGCCCTTTTGCTGTGTGTAGGCCCTCAGTCAGCAGCACATGAGCTCATCCCTCACTAGAGGATGAACCCTCACCTTTCCCTGCAGCTAAAAGCAAAAGCCTGCCTTCAGGATCATACTGTGAACTGAATGTGAGTAAATCTTATCATTACCTTCTAAAAGAAGACTGTTGTGCCATTATTGTTCTTAAGAGGGAACAAAGGGTGTTTACCAGGAACAATCCAATCTGGACAAGCCAGACTGGATTTCATAACTCAAATGGTTCTGACGAATCCATCAACTCACTTCCTGCAATGTGCAAGGGAATGTGCTCTGCTACTAGCTCGCTAGCATGAGTGAGGAAGGATAATATATAATCATATATATATATAATATATACCCTCTCCTGCTATTCTCAACATTCCCACAGAATTGTTGCCTGGAAATTTGCCCCCTGAATTGCCACCATCCAGGGTCCATACACTGCAACAATTCCCCTAAGCACCTGGGATCACCTCACCCTTCCAACTGTGGCCCACAAATGGTCCAACCTTCCCCATTCCCATCACGTGGTTCTTTCAGAGGAGGGTCAGGAGAAGGGAGAGACTTACCTCTAACTTCCGCTCTCCGTTCATCCATTGTCCAGGCAGAATGCTGAGCCGGAAGAGAACCAGAAAAAGAAGTTCATTAGCTCCTGCAAAACAGTATGACTAGTACTTTGCCCAAACTCCTCTCCACCACCAGAGGAAGCTTATGATGTAAACACAACCCTGAAAGAACCTCAAAGCACCATATTCTGCCCCTGCAGATTTGGGATTCAATTACTAGGGAGGCAGCTGATGACTTTTTTTACATGCATTGGTCCTAAATTAGGTTTGCTAATTTTTCCTGTTTATAATTTCATTGTTCTGTCTTCTTGGGAACGGCTTTGAAGGCATGTGGTTTTTATCACCAACAGGTGTATAAGCATTAATAAATAAACATGCCTAACACTTTGTCCTTCACAATCTCTTGCAGGAATCTTCCCACCCTCTACATTTGCAGATATACTTGCTTCGCCCTCACCACCCCTCAAACAGTTAAGAAAAGCACCCGGATATTCCCTTCCTCCAGCCAGAGCTGCATCTCCCCCCCCCCTTACCTGCTTCTGCTTCTGCCTTGGGGGTCCCTGGCAGCCTGGCCTGATATCCTCCCTTCTGCAGCTCCCAGGCAGGTGGGCTGGTTTGGGGAGGGCCCTGAACAGCTGCAGCCACTCAGGATGATGGTCTGTAGGCTCCTTGGGGCCTAGTCTTGATGAAAATACCCTCCACAGATGACCACCTCTTAAAGGCAGCTGTTTTTCAGTGGGGAGGGGGGCTGATGCCAACCACTTCCAGTGCCTCTCCGCCCCCTTTACCCAGCGGACTCTCTCCCACTTGCTTCCTTCTGCTGCTGCTGCATGTCGCCATTCCAGCCCCCTCCGCGGAACCTCCCCACTCAGAAGCCCTGGAGAAGCCACTGACTGCCAGTGTGGACAATACTAATCTAAATGGACCAGTCAGTCTGGTTCAGTACAAAACAGCTTCCTTTTTTCTCCATGTGGTTTGGGGCAGGGGGCACAGCTCAGCAGCTGAGCATCTGGTTTGCATAGAGATGGTCTCGGGTTCAACCGCTGGCATCTCCAGGGGGGCAGGTGGCCATTGCTGAGCCAGAAGGACAAAGGTGACATCTCCTTGCAAAGGGAGCTTCGGATGTTCCTAAGACAAGAAAGGAAACGGTACCTTCTTTGTGATGCCTCTGGAGCTTGAAGAAGACTCTCGTGTTCGATGGTCCCTCTGCTCTGCAGTTTCTTCTCTCCCTCTCTGTCGATGGCTGACTCTGTTCTGAGCTGAATAAAATGGAGATGGAAGCATGAGCTCCACCCCCCCCCCCACACACAAAAGCATTCATGGCTAGCAGCCAGATCATGTTCTGAGAAACCAAAACAGCTTCCCGGAATTGCATATCTGTTTCTATTGGTTACAGGAGAGGACAAAACTGCCCTCTGGGTGGAAAATTTAAGAGGAGCTGCATTTGGTCTCCTGCAGTTCTGGGAGAAGCACCCAAGAGGAGCAGCAGAAGGAGGAGGAGACCCACACGGAGGGAGACCCACACAGAGAAAGACCCACACGGAGGAAGACCCGCACCTCAGACGGACCACAGGTTGGTATTTGCGAGAGGGAGCAGCAGCCACAAGGTTTGACTTTAAGTCTTCTGTATCTCAACCTGCCTCAGAGATATTCAAGGTCTGCTTTGTTTGACCTGTTGTTAGAGACTGAGTCAGAGCTCTCAGAAGCAAAACTTTGGCTTGCGTGTATAATCATGAATCTTTTCCCTTTGATTAAATGGGCAGTTAAAGGAGCCTGACAATCTGCAGGAACATCCTTCTAGGGGTTTTAAAGTTTATTTGTAAAAGAACATGTCCTTTCCCCCTCCCCTCCCCCCCTGCAGAATTGCCTGAAATTTGCAGACATGGAGACTGACAAATCCCAAAATTAGAGCTGTAGTGTTTCCTTTGCCATTTTTTTTGGGGGGGTGGTACAAAAAGAAAAAGAAAAAAAATCAGTAGGGGGGAGGAATGGAAATGACTTCTTCTGCCCCACACCAGGGATTTTTCGGAACACAGCTTCTCCCTGCAAGAAATAAATCTCTCCATTAAATAGGCTAGAGAAAGGAGAGGCAGAGGAAAGAGAAAGGGTCCCTCTGAAAAATCAATCCTTCGTTGGCATCTCTTCCCAAATCACTGGGAATCGGGAAAGGGCGGGGCTGGGGAAATAATTCAGGGATCAAGACCTCGGCTCGCCGGTCAAAGTGAACTCTCCCCCTTCCCTCCTCTGTTCTCTCCAGCCCATCCGCACTCGAACTCAGAGCAAGGGAGTCTTTCGCCAGGAGGGAGAATCAGCTCAGCTGCCCTGCATGCAGAAGGTCCGAGGTTTGACCCCCGGCCTCTCCAGGTGGGGCTGGGAGAGAGACTTGGGCCTGGGAAGCGCCTGCCAGTCAGTGCAGGCGACATTGCGCGAGACGGAGCGAGGGCCCCACTCTGCGCAAGGCGACGTCTGGGGTTCCCAAACGCAGAAAGAGAAGCGCACCTTCTTCGCCGCGTTGTCTGCGGTGCTTGGAGAGAGCAGCTGCGCTTGATGGGCGTTATTCTCTCTCTCTCTCTCTCTCTCTCTCTCTCTCTCGGACGAGGGACTCGGTTCAGAGAGGAATAAAACGGAGAGGGGCGAATCCAGCCCCCCTCTCACCCTGCAGTGCCACCAAATATTTCTGGCTAGCAGCCCAGACCCGTTTTGGGGAAGTCAGGGAGGTTTCTCTGACTTGTTTCTCATTCACCAAAAGATTTGCCAAGCGGAGACGACTCTGCTCGCCCCATTGAGTCTTCCGCGGCGCTTGCAGAAGCACCCGAGAGGCAGAGGAACCCCACACTTCCCTCAGACCCACAGCTTGGTGTTGGGGAGGCGCGAGCAGCAGCTGCAAGAGTTGAAGGTCCGAGTCTGCAGGTTTGGGAAGCAGATCAGTCTGTGTTGGAGATGCTCCGTGTCTTTCCTGTTCGCCTTTTAATTTGGGACTCTTGTTAGACATGTGGAAAACGCAGCTTTGTTTCCGCCCCCCTCCTCCCACCCCCTACAATTGTGACTCTCGAAATGGCTGTAACATTCTTTCCCCCTTCCGTCCTATGAAACTTTTAGGCGAAGGAGCCTCTCCTCACATAGTTACGCCTGCCAACCTGCAGGCAGAGCCGGCCAGGCAGTGGCCCCCAAACTGGGAGATGCCACCCCGTGCTTGGGGGTTGGGGGGCGGTGGGGTTGCCTAAGGGGGCGGCAGGGGGGACGCTGGAGGTCAAATGGCTTTGAAAAGCTGGTATCACTGAATCGAGTTCACCAGCATGGTTGAGTGAATTAAACAAAATAGTTTTGAATGATTGTGCAATTGTTGCTGTCGTGCAAAATGTTACAATTGTGTTACTACCTACCTTTTTTACACAGCAGATTAGGGGGTAATGGAGATGAATTTGTGGGACCAAGAGGGGGTGGCCCAGAAAACTTCGGTTTTCGCACAGGGTACCCTTTAAAGAGCATTTGTAAAGAACTCTGGGGCGATTTTCTTTTCTGCCAGAAATGGCTGCAATCTGCAGACATGGCCACCCTTTCTAAAGGGGTGAAGTCTGCCAATTCTCATAATGAATTTGTTCAGTGGTTGGACTCAAGGGCTTCCGAAGTCTGTTCTCAGGTGCAAAAGTAGCCTTTGTTTCTCCCTGGTCAAAGACCCAGCTTGGCAACGCCCCCCAGGCATTTGGGTACACAGACACACAGGCTGGGATTCTCAGTGGCCAGGGTTAACTAACACACACACACACACACACACACACACACACACACACCTGTCTGCTCTAAGCCTAAAATGCTGTGGTTCTAACTGGAGCAAAAGCCCCATATCTTTGAAATTTAATAGTACAATTTAAGGAGGGGGGCAAAGCCCCATTAAGTTTTCATGGAGCTTACTCCATGAAAATGTGCATAGGGTTTGTTTGTGGGGGAACAAAAAATACTTGACACCCCCACCCTACATACCTAGCCTTCAGTCCTGAAATAAGTCAATGGGATCAATAATAACCAAAATACAAAACTAACCTAATTGCAGGATTAGGTTTAGGCAGTCTGAAAGCAGGAGCCCTTAAGCATCTCTGAGACCCTGATCCCGGGTGGCGCTGTGGGTTAAACCACAGAGCCTAGGACTTGCCGATCAGAAGGTCGGCGGTTCGAATCCTTCGACGGGGTGAGCTCCCGTTGTTCGGTCCCTGCTCCTGCCAACCTAGCAGTTCAAAAGCACATCAAAGTGCAAGTAGATAAATAGGTACCACTCTGACGGGAAGGTAAACGGCGTTTCCGTGCGCTGCTCTTGTTCGCCAGAAGCGGCTTAGTCATCCTGGCCACATGACCCAGAAGCTGTATGCTGGCTCCCTCTGCCAATAAAGCGAGATGAGTGCCACAACCCCAGAGTCGGTCACGACTGGACCTAATGGTCAGGGGTCCCTTTACCTTTTTAAGACCAGTGCAATATAATGAAGCTTACCACTGAGTCTACAAAGACAAGGGATTGTACTGAACTTTCTAGTGAAAGACTGGCTGGCTTAATTATTCCATTAAAATCAATGGGAGGTGAAATTGTTTAACTGGTATCGGGGTCATGAGCATAGCTAAGGGGGGCAGGGGGCACAGCTCTCCCACCTAGTTCAAGTAAAACAATAAAAATACTTAACTGACAAATCATGTCAGTTCTGCCCTCCTCCCAACAAAACTCCTGGCTGCCCCGTGATCAGGGTCTTTTCCTCCCCACTCCCAACCCAGAAAGTTTTACACAGGAGAGAATGCTGGGATTGTTCCAAATGATCCATGTGAGCAAATGCAATTGCACAGGTGGCCTTTATTTGGGCTGGAGATAAGTGCGGTTGCGAAATAAAGTTTGGAGCTTTTTAAAAAGACTTTCCTCCCCGCCCCTTGAGTTGTCCTAAAATAAGGTATTGTGTGGATTTGGGGTCTTACCAAAATGGTTCATTTTTTCTTTTTTCTTTTTTTATAAATATTTATTAAAGTTTTCACAATATTACATAATGAAAAAGAAAAAAGAAGAAAAAATACAAAATAAAAAACAGTTAAAAACAATTCCATCTTTTTGTCACTTATCTTTCATTTGCTTGTTTCCCGGACCTCCTCATACCTCCCTTTTTTGTATTCCAGTTCAATTTATTAGTTCAGCAATTCCTTTCCCTCCTTATTTTATCCTGATCTTTAATCTTAATATATTATAGCATTAAATTTTTACCTGTTAAAAATCCAATTTTTTCATATTCTTTTATACCATTACAGCTAGAAACCACTTAACTTCAATCCAACATCATTCTAACATTCATTAATTTTGCAATATTTCTGTAAATAGTCTTTAAATTTCTTCCAATCTTCTTCCACCGACTCTTCTCCCTGGTCTTGGATTCTGCCAGTCATTTCCGCCAATTCCATGTAATCCATCATTTTCATCTGCCATTCTTCCAGAGTGGGTAGTTCTTGTGTCTTCCAATATTTTGCAATAAGTATTCTTGCTGCTGTTGTAGCATACATAAAGAAAGTTCTGTCCTTCTTTAACACCGATTGGCCGACTATGCCCAGGAGAAAGGCCTCTGGTTTCTTCAAGAAGGTATATTTAAATACCTTTTTTAATTCATTATAAATCATCTCCCAGAAAGCCTTAATCCTTGGGCACGTCCACCAAAGGTGAAAGAATGTACCTTCAGTTTCTTTACATTTCCAACATTTATTATCGGGCAAATGGTAGATTTTGCAAGCTTGACTGGGGTCATGTACCACCTGTATATCATTTTCATAATATTCTCTCTTAAGGCATTGCATGCCGTAAACTTCATACCTGTGGTCCATAACTGTTCCCAGTCAGCCATCATTATGTTATGATCCAACATCTTGTGCCCATTTAATCATAGCAGATTTCACCGTTTCATCCTGAGTATTCCATTTCAACAGCAAGTTATACATCTTTGACAAAATCTTAGTTTTGGGTTCTAACAATTCTGTTTCTAATTTTGATTTTTCCACCTGGAAGCCGATTTTCTTATCCAAATTGTATGCCTCCATTATCTGATAATAATGAAGCCAGTCTCGCACTTTGTTTTTTAGTTTTTCAAAACTCTGCAATTTCAGTCTATCTCCATCTTGTTCCAAAATTTCCCAATATTTCGGCCATTTGACCTCCATATTGAGCTTTTTCTGAGCTTTCGCTTCCATCGGTGACAGCCACCTTGGGGTTTTATTTTCCAATAAGTCCTTGTATCTTATCCAAACATTAAACAATGCTTTCCTGACAATATGGTTTTTAAATGCTTTATGTGCTTTGACCTTATCATACCACAAATATGCATGCCATCCAAATACATTGTTAAAACCTTCTAAATCCAAAATGTCAGTGTTTTCAAGAAGCAGCCATTCTTTCAACCAGCAAAAAGCTGCTGATTCATAGTAAAGTTTAAAGTCTGGCAGGGCAAATCCACCTCTTTCCTTTGCATCTGTTAATATTTTAAATTTTATTCTAGGCTTCTTGCCCTGCCAGACAAATCTAGAAATATCTCTCTGCCACCTCTTGAAACAGTCCATTTTGTCCACAATTTGCAATGTTTGAAACAAAAACAACATTCTAGGCAATACATTCATTTTTACCGCAGCAATACGACCCAGCAGTGAAAGCTTCAAATTTGACCAAATTTCTAAATCTTTTTCACTTCAGCCCAGCATTTTTCATAGTTGTCTTTAAATAAATTCCCATTTTTGCTGTCATGTTAATCCCCAGGTATTTAACTTTCTTAACCACTGTTAAACCTGTCTCATTCTGAAACCTCTCTCTCTCCATTGGTGTTAAATTTTCTCTAAAACCTTGGTCTTTAACTTATTCAATTTAAATCCTGCAACTTGACCAAATTCTTGAATCAGTTCTAAAACCCTTTTGGTACTAGATTCTGGCTCCTGTAACGTCAATACTAAGTCATCTGCAAATGCTCTCAATTTGTACTGTTTGGCTCCGACCTGTATACCTTTAACCAACTGGTCCCTTCTTATCATATTCAACAGAACCTCCAGGACCGATATAAAAAGCAATGGGGAGATTGGGCAACCTTGTCGTGTCCCTTTTTCTATCTTAAATTCTTCCGTCACCACATTATTTACAATTAATTTAGCCTTTTGTTCAGAATATATTGCACTTATACCATTTTCAAAACCTTGGCCTACCCCCATACCCTGTAAGTTTTTTTTCATAAAAGTCCAAGAAATGTTGTCAAAAGCTTTCTCCGCGTCCACAAATATCAAAACTGCTTTGGTATTTATGTTCACTTCTAGTTTTTCCAAAATATCAATTATATTCCTCAAATTATCAGACAAGTGTCTTCCCAGGAGAAAGCCCGCTTGGTCTTTATGAATCTCTTCCATCAACACTTTTTTCAATCTCTTGGCCAAAATGTCTGCAAAAATTTTGTAATCCACATTGAGTAATGATATGGGGCGGTAGTTCTTAAGCTGCGTCTTTTCAGTCTCTGTTTTCGGTACAAGTGTGATATATGCTTCTTTCCACGACTCTGGTGCCCTTTTCCCCTCCATTATTTCGTTACAGACCTCTTTCAAAGGTTGTACTAGCCATTCTTTTAAAGATCTGTAGTATCTAGAAGTCAGTCCATCCGGTCCTGGAGATTTACCCAATTGCATATTCTGAATGGCACCTTCTATCTCCTGTTCAGTTATTTTGTAGTTCAACATTAATTTATTTTCTTGAGAGATTTTTTGTAATCCATTTGTTTTCAAAAATCGATCTACGTCAGTTTCTTTCTGTGGCCCTTGTGTATATAGTTGTTTAAAGTACCTCTGGAAACAATTTCTAATCTCAGCTGGGTTCTGTATATTCCTTCCTTCCACTTCTAAATTTGTAACTGTATTTAATTTTTGTCTTTTTTCATTTGCCAAGCCAACAATTTCCCACATTTATTAGCCGACTCAAATGTCTTTTGTCTCATTTGTTTAATTTTCCATTCTATCTCCTGATTCATCATTTTCATATATTGCACTTGATATAACTTTATTTCTCTCAAAATCTCTTGCGACTTTGGTTTTGCTCTCAATTTCTTTTCACTTTCCTTTATTTTCTCCAAAATTTTATCCTTCTTCTCATTTTGGATTCTCTTCTTTAATGCATTCTGTTGTATCAGGAACCCTCTCATAACCGCTTTACTTGCGTCCCAGATTACTCTTTTTTCCACATTGGTGCTCATATTTATCTCAAAATAGTCTCTCAAGGTTTTTTGGGCCTTCTTAAGCACTTCTTCATCTCTGAATAAGGTGTCATTCATCCTCCATCTAAAGGAGCCAGTTGGTGTTAGTTTCATTTCCATCTTAACAGCATTATGGTCGGAGCAGGTTTTGGGCAGATTTCCACTTTTCTTGTCTTTGGTGCCATTCCTCTAGTTACCCATATTTGGTCAATTCTTGTCCATGTCATTTTGGCTTCAGAAAAGAAGGTTCCTTCTTTAGCCAAGGGGTTCTTTGTTCTCCAAATATCGACTAAGTCCAAGTTGTCTGTCATCTCAAAAAAAGTTTTCGGTAGTCTACCATCCTTAGTGACTACCTGTCTTTGTGCCTTGTCCATATGTGTAGATACCACTCCATTCATGTCTCCCATCAAAATCACATTATAATCCAAATAGTCCATCAGGGTCTCATGCAACTTTTAAAAAATCGGATTTCCCTCATTTGGTGCGTAAATTCCTACTATCAAAATTTTTTCTCCTTGTGATTGAATTTCAATTGCCACAAATCTTCCTTGGTCATCTTTAAAGATAAATTTCGGTAATAATCTCTCCTTTGCATAAATCACTACCCCTCTTTTTTAACCTTGTCCGATGAAATAAACTCCTGACCAAGTCTTTTATTAATCAATAGTTTCCTGTGTAACCTTGTTATATGTGTTTCTTGTAAACAAATCAAGTCCAATTGTTCCTTTTTAATAAATGAAACACAGATCTCCTTTTCCGAGGGAGTTCAAACCATTACAATTCCAACTTAGTAGTTGCAGAGCCATGATGTAGTTACTTTGCTTCTCCTCCAACTGCACCCAGTGCCTGTTCCTGTTCTGTCGGTGGTATCACCTTCTTCAGGCGGTCTTTTAGTTCAGGAGGTAAATCTGGTATGTCTAAAGTTTCACTTACAAGTGCTCTTAGCTCTCCTGTAACTTTCTTCTGCAGGTCTTCTCCGTGGTCTCTCCAAAATTTATCTTTGTCGTCTTCTGATCTTATTTTTATCTTCTTCCCTTTATAACTGAAGGATAGGCCTTGGGGAATTCCCACCTAAAAATGATTCCGTTACTTCTCAACAGGGCAACCAAATCTCTATAATTGGACCTAAGGTCCAAAAGATGTTTCGGAATATCCTTAAATATCTCCACTTTTGACTGATGTATTTCCAAGGTCTTCTGGAAGTGCAGACTCAAGATTTTGTCTCTCTCCTCTTTTGTTCGGAGGGTGATCAAACAGTCTCTCACCCTGTTCTTCCTCCCTCCTTTTCCAAGCCTAAAAGCACTCACTATCTTGAAACTATCCTTCCCCAAATCTGGGTTCCAAAAGTCTGCAAATTCCTGCGTAAGAAATTCAATCAAATTGTCTTTCTCCAATTCAGGTACGGCCCTGACCCTTAAATTCGCTTGTTTCTCCTTCAACTCAATCATAGACAGTATTGACTTGTGGTCTTCAAGTTGTTTGTGTAACGGTGGTATCTTCTCTTCTACAACAGTGGTTGTAGCAGTTGCAATTTCCTTTGCTTCTTCGGCTGTCTTTCGTGTCGAGGTGGATTCCTGCAGTAATTTCTGAATAGTTTCTGTATTGGTATTTACCTTCTGTCCCAAATTATTAATACTTGTGGTGTTTTGATCAATTTTGCCCGATGCCTCGGCTACTTGTTTACTTATTCTTTCCAAAGATTCATTAATTTTGCCTAGTGCCTGAGCCAGGGCATCGTCAGCTGCCATACCTTTAGGTTTAGGTTGTGCCGATGAGGTTGCTGTTGGTAAACCAGAAGGGCCAGATGTCGATGCTCTTCTTTGCAGCCCACCGTCTGTGCGAAATACTCTGCCAGACCTCGTTGCTTGTAACAAATCTATCTTCTCTTTCCCATCTGCCATAACCCTCAAGATATAGCCCAAGGTCAATCCCACGATCAGAGTCAAAGTTGTTTTGAAGTGGAAAATTCCCTTAGCCCAGCTGCAGTTGTGACAGTTTCGAACTTCCTCTAGGGGGACACAGTAACAGTCAAAAATGTCTTAAAGTAATTAACTTCTCCCTTTCGCCCCCCAATTCACAAAAAGGACAACAGTTTCTATCTCAATTGTTTCCTGTTACTTTAAAACCAGGAGAAGCCAGTCAGCAATATTGTATCTTAGTTGTATCTCAGATGCAGAGTTAACTGTCAAAGAGTACTTTCAGCAACAGCGCAATTCTCAATACGGCTTTCTTACTGTCGCTGGGAACCCGTTCCAGGGTTTTAAGTGGTGGATTTTAGCTCCTCTTCCTCTCTTTTTTTTGCAGGGAAATAACGTTCAGACCTTTTCCCCCCTCCTCCCCTGCAATCAAGGGGGGGAAATCGCTGTTTTGATGTTCGAATTATAATCCTTTTCCAACGTCTTTTAAGGTTTCCGCTTACAAGTTCATTGCTTTACTCCATTTACAAGAACGGAAGGCAGACTTCCTGTTTATGCCTCTCCGCTTCGGTGCCAAATTAATTATAAAGTTCCTTTAGTTCCGAAATTAGCCTACTCACGGATCGTTGTTTTGCAGCCAAATTGTCCCAGGAAAAAGGTAGCGCTCTCCGGTAACGGCTACGCGGCTTCACTCCACGGAAGAAGCAAAGGACTCACAGCACCGCGCCACTGCCCCGCTCCGCTCCAGAGCCCATAACCGGACTCCTTTGCCAATTGGGGAGGGCGCAAACGGTGCCCGCCGAGTCCCACGGTCACAGGCTTCACCCGCCTGTGATTTTTGAAGGGTCCCCGCTGCGCCGTAGCGGTACAGACCCGATTTCCGCAGAGCCGGTTCCCTCCAAGTCAGAGGGAATCCGCCATTACCGATGGCGCCACCCCGGAAGTCCCAAAATGGTTCATTTTTTCAGGGGACACTTGAAGGGCAAGAAAAATGTACATTCGCAAGGTGGTATTTTGAAAATTAAGCTCTGGGAAAAGCAAAGGAAAATGCAGTAATAAAATAAAATAAGAACCTTCCCCTGAATTGAACTTCCAAGCATATCCACCCACTTTATCCCACTTTCAGATTGTCAAGACCAATGAGAATCCCGTTGAGGATGCAGATCTGTTGATCCCAATCCAGTTCTATGGAACAGATCATCTTGATTTTAAAAGCACTGGTCTAGAGTTCAGTGGGACTTGCACTATGAATACTTACCTAGCTACAAGTCCTATTTATTCTTTAATAAGTATAGTTTTATTGATTTCCAACATATAACAATTACAAAAGAAAATTGAAAGTCCATAGAGGCTTTGTGAACCATATTATAAGGAAGCCATTATATAAGGTATGGGAAAAATACAAAGACTTACTGGAACCCAGAACTCCTTGGTGGCTATCTCCTATGGAGGTGATAGCAGTTAAAAGGAAGAATATGGAAATGGAGTGGACTACATATAAAGATCTACTGGGGGAAGAAGACAATAAATTGAAACTGAAAAAATATGAGGAAATTAAACATAATCTGACAGAATGGATCCAATATCATCAGATAAATGAGGTCTTTAAGATAGATATCAAAAAAGGTTTTGCGAGAGAAGAATAAAAAATAGACAAAGAATTAATACAAAATAAGAAAAATGTAATCTCTAGAATGTATGGATTTCTTTTAGAATGGGAGGTAAAAGATGAGCAGGTGAAAGAAGTAATGATTAAGTGGGCTATGGACTTGGGTAAAACTATTCAATTATCAGCATGGGAAAGGTTGTGGAACAAAGAATGGAAATTTATGGCCTGTTACTCATTAAGGGAAAATTTGTGGAAGATGTTTTACAGGTGGTATATAACCCCTTGCAAAATATCTTAAATGTACAAAAAGAAATCTAATATGTGCTGGAGGTGTAATCAGGTAGAAGGGACACTATTACATATGTGGTGGAGCTGCAAAAAAATTAAGAATTTTTGGGATACTGTATATGAAGAGCTGAAAAAAATATTTAAACACACACACACACACACACACACACACACACCATAAGCTTTCTTATTGGACATATTAGACTCAGACATCCCAAATGAAAATAAGAGAATATTTTTATACGCAACAACGGCAGCAAGGATACTAGTAGCAAAAAATTGAAATGGTGAAATAGTACCAACAAAAAAAGGATAGACTATTCGAATATTTTGAAATGGCAAAAATGAAGGACACGATTAGGGGACAGTCTAACCAAAAGTTCCAAAAAGAGTGGGGAATATATAGAGATTATTTAAAAAAAAACCAGTGTCCCCAAATAAAAACCTGGACTTCCTTTGAATAATTTTCACAAACCACAATTTGCTCTAGAAGTATAGTGGACAGAGAAGGTTAGGAATGAAGAATTGAGAAAGAAACAGCTTTACAAGTAGGAAAATAGACCTGCTTTGAGGAGGAAGGAAGTCTATTAGAAATAAAAGAAGAAGAATGAGAAATATAAAGTAGGGTAACATAAGTTCGTGGGCAAGAATTTACGGATTTATGGTTATATGTTCGTTATTTGTTATATGGTTATGTGTTTATTACCTGTTCTCTGTTTTTCTTTTTAGTTTTTGTTGCTGTTGTTGTTATATTTTAATGTTATGGTCAGGTTGCAGGATTTAAACTGAATAAGCTAAAAACAAAGGTTTTAGAGAAAAATTTAACTGTGATGGAGAAAGAGAGGTTTCAGAATGAGACAGGTTTAACAGTGGTTAAGAAAGTGAAATACCTGGGGATTAACATGACAGCTAAAAATGGGAATCTATTTAAAGACAATTATGAAAAATGTTGGACTGAAGTGAAAAAAGACTTAGAAATTTGGTCAAATTTAAAGCTTTCACTGCTAGGCCGTATTGCTGCTATAAAAATGAATGTATTGCCTAGAATGTTGTTTCTGTTTCAAACACTGTAAATTTTGGACAAAATGGACTGTTTCAAGAAGTGGCAGAGAGATATCTCTAGGTTTGTCTGGCAGGGCAAGAAGCCTAGAATAAAATTTAAAATACTAACAGATGCAAAGGAAAGAGGTGGATTTGCCCTGCCAGACCTTAAACTTTACTATGAATCAGCGGCTTTTTGCTGGTTGAAAGAATGGCTACTTCTGGAAAACGCAGACATTTTGGATTTAGAAGGTTTCAATACTGTATTTGGATGGCATGCATATTTGTGGTATGATAAGGTCAAAGCACATAAAGCATTTAAAAACCATATTGTCAGGAAAGCATTATTTAATGTTTGGATAAGATATAAGGACCTATTGGAAAATAAAACCCCAAGGTGGCTGTCACCGATGGAAGCGAAGGCTCAGAAAAAGCTCAATATGGAGGTTAAATGGCGAAATATTGGGAAATTTTGGAACAAGATGAGAGATAGACTGAAATTGCAGAGTTTTGAGAAATTAAAAAACAAAGTGCGAGACTGGCTTCATTATTATCAGATAATGGAGGCATACAATTTGGACAAGAAAATTGGCTTCCAGGTGGAAAAATCAAAATTAGAAACAGAACTGTTAGAACCCAAAACTAAGATTTTGTCAAAAATGTATAACTTGCTGTTGAAATGGAATACTCAAGATGAAACGGTAAAATCTGCTATGATTAAATGGGCACAAGATGTTGGTCATAACATAATGATGGCTGACTGGGAACAGTTATGGACCACAGGTATGAAGTTTACGGCATGTAATGCCTTAAGAGAGAATATTATGAAAATGATATACAGGTGGTACATGACACCAGTCAAGCTTGCAAAAATCTATCATTTGCCCGATAATAAATGTTGGAAATGTAAAGAAACTGAAGGTACATTCTTTCACCTTTGGTGGACGTGCCCAAGGATTAAGGCTTTCTGGGAGATGATTTATAATGAACTGAAAAGGGTATTTAAATATACCTTCCTGAAGAAACCAGAGGCCTTTCTCCTGGGCATAGTCGGCCAATTGGTGCCAAAGAAGGACAGAACTTTCTTTATGTATGCCACAACAGCAGCAAGAATACTTATTGCAAAGTATTGGAAGACACAAGATCTACCCACCCTGGAAGAATGGCAGATGAAGGTGATGGACTACATGGAACTGGCGGAAATGACTGGCAGAATCCGAGACCAGGGAGAAGAGTCGGTGGAAGAAGATTGGAAGAAATTTAAAGACTATTTACAGAAATATTGTAAAATTAATGAATGTTAGAATGATGTTAGAATGAAGTTAAGTGGTTTAAGCAGCAATGTTTTAAAGGTGTATGAAAAATGGATTATTAACAGGTGAGAACTCAAAGTTATATTATATTAAGTTAAAGGATTAAGATAAAAACAAAGAGGGAAAGAAATTGCTGAATCAACTAATTAAATTGGAATACAAAAAAGGGAGGTGTGAGGAGGTCAGGGAAGCAAGGATATGAATATATGATATGGAAAGATTGATGTGTTTTCTTTTTAAATGTTTTTTATCTTTTTTCTGTATTTTGTATTTTTCTTTTTCTTTTTTCTTTTTGTCTTGTTTTCTATTCTTTTTACTTATGTAATTTTTTTCCCTTTGAAAACTTAATAAATATTATATATATATTTTAATGTTATGTAATAAAAAGTTAATAAAAAGCATTAATAGAAAAAGAAAGTCCCAGTCCCAGTCCCAGGGGTGGCCATTCGGACTGGGGGAGGGGTGGGAGGCAGGGAGCCCAAGAGTGGGCGGAGCCAGAACCACTGATGGGTGGAGGCAACTCTCTCTGTTGTGGTCCCCATCCTCCTCCCTACTGATGTCTAACAAGGCAACTCTGAGGAGGAGGAAGATGTTCACAGCTGCACCCTAGAGCAGAAGGAAGGAAGGAAGGAAGGAAGGAAGGAAGGAAGGAAGGAGCGAGTGGGGGCTGGGTGGGGCAGTGTCCCTCTTGCCCCAGTTGGCCAGCCTCCATTCTGGGGCAGCCGTCAGTGGGGGCCATTCCTGTTTTGTGGGACCTGCCATTTCTCCCCAAGACATTCTTTCCTGTCAGCACATACTGGAGGGAAATGGTGGCCCCATGGCTCCCCAGAGGAATGTATCCTATGGAGAAACATATCAAATACTAAGGCAGCAAACTCCCTTCAGATGCCACCTGTGAGTCTGAGGTAGCCATCATGGCTGCTTCACAAGTCCATGACTCTCATCCTCTGGAGCTTCACCAAAGGCTGAGCTAAAGTGTCTTTTGGAAGAAGCAGAGATGCTTTACATTTGCTACAAAGGTGTGACGTTTTAGTCAGTGAAAATTTGGGAGTCACTGGTCTTATTCTGAACATGAGCCAGTGGGGTGGCATGGGACACAAAAAGAGTGAAACACACCCATGATGGCCAAGTATTTGGGACAGCAGACACTTAGGAAGATCCCTTTGTAAAGTGTAAAAAGAATTTTGTGAGGCAAGTTTTTGGGGGGAGCAGCACACATTTCTGCCTAATACAGAAAGCTCCCCATTGGCTGATTCTGTTTCCTTTTGCTTCCGATCTAGAAATCCTAAATATTGGCTTGTGAATTTTTCTGCTTGTCTGAATATGGCTGGAAGAAGCACAGGTAAGACCGAGCTGATTTGATCTCATTCTCGCAGATTCCTGGACGGTGTTGGATGGAATCAGTATAACCATGGGAAAGACATTAGCTTGATTCATGGTTTGTTTCCAGACCATATTCAAGGTGCTCACATTGGTGTTTAAAGACCGAAATGATTCGTGTCTCCAATACTTGAAAGACCCCCCCCCCTTTCCCTGCAGACCCTCTTGGGTGCCATGATTGGGGGAAGGGTCCTCTTGGTGGTTCTACCACCTACAAAAGGTCAGCCCAGGACCTTCTCTGTGGTGGCCCCATGGATGTGGAACTTCCTCCCCAGAGAGGAGCACCTGGAGCCTTCATTGTGCAGCTTCTGGCAAAAGCTGAAGGTGCACCTCTTTTGAAGCTTGAGGTGTCTAACTTTAGCACCCGTCTTATTTCTGTAATTGTAACCTGTTTTTAAGTTTGTGTTTTATTTGTAACCTACCCTAGGACCTTAGGGTGAAAGGTAGCCAATTATTATTTTAGTATTTTATTTTAATGCGGACCTACTTAATTCACACTACCCAAACAAATACATGAGCTAAAAGATGCAGTTCAATCAAAATATGTATGAAAAAGCATAGAACAGGGGGAAATTCACACAAATATATTTATATCTGTTGGGAAATGAATTATATTAGAAGAAACTGCTTACAGAAATGTTTATAGTGGGCATAAATGCACACAGAAACAGGTATAGGGTGAAATGCGCTTTAAACGTGTACAGATTGTCATGCCAAAAAGTGGGGAACTGAACTTAATTCTGGAGAAATGAGAACCTGAGGGAAGGAGAACTTGACCGATTTGTTTCTCCCTCCCCACAGCTTCTGGGTGATGGAGATGGGCAAGGGAGGGGTGGTGCCCATGTTCTCCTCAGTTTCCTCTCTGGCCTCTGTGACAATGCAGAAGAGTTGCTCACCATCTCTTGCCTCTTTCTTGCAGAACTGAGGATCGCCCTGGTGGGCAAAACTGGAGCTGGGAAAAGCGCAACAGGAAACACCATCCTGGGGGACCAGAGGTTTTCATCACGCCTCTCTCCTACCTCCGTGACATCAAACTGTCAGAAAGGGGACACTGTCATTGGTGGTAGGAGAATTGTGGTGGTTGATACACCTGGCTTTTTCGACACAAATGTTCCAGAAGATGTGACAACCAAGGAAATCAAGACCTGCGTGAAGCACATCTACCCAGGACCCCATGTCATCATACAAGTCATTCAGCTGACTCGTTTCAGCAAGGAGGAGAAAGCCGTTGCTCAGTTAATCCAGAAGATATTTAGCTGCAAAGCCAAGGACTACATGATCATCTTGTTCACCCGGAAGGAAGACCTGGATCAGCCTTTGAAAGAGTTCTTGGCGGAGGGAGACCAGGATCTGCAGAACCAGATCGCTCAGTGTGGCGGGAGATGCCTGGCTTTCAACAACCGGGCGAAAGGGCAGGAAAGAGAGGAGCAGGTGGCCGAATTGCTTGGGATGATCAACCACCTGGTCCAAAAGAACAAGGCAGCCCCCTACTACACGGAAGACATGCTAGAGGAGGACCAAGAAGAGATTGAGAAGATGAAGAGGAAAATACGTGAGGAGGTGGAAAGGGAAATTAATGAAGAGAAGAGAAGAAAGAAAGAAGAGTCGTCTGACTCAATATGCAACATACTGTAATGCATCTAGTGGGAATGATCCACTTAAACACCAGAACATTTTCACTCTCAGTAGGGATGTGCTGAAATGCCTCCGTCTGTCCTGATTTCCACTTGTACTTTCAGCCACTGCAATTGGTTTATTTTGCACAAATCAGTATTCCACTTTGTCGTCTACTAATGTGGAAATGCATATAGTTCTACGTAGTTTGTCAATAGAAACGCGATCAATCAACATGTATTTACTTTTTAAAAATATATTTTTATTAGACAATTTCAACAAAACAAATTATCAATCCAAATAATCAATTACATTATCTCCCCCCTTTTTATCCCCCTCCCCATCCCTCCCTCTCCCCCCCACCAAAGACTTCCCTCAGCTCCCCTCTCTGATTTGTTTGCACATGTTATTCTCTGCATGTTAAAAATTGTACATATTACTACTTTATATATCATATATTCTATTAATAAATTTGTGGATGTTTATTCAAAACCTGCCAAGGAGTCCAAGTCATTTTGGTTTTTTAAAAAAAGAGTTGATAAAAAGTTCCCAATCTTCCTTGAAGTCACGATTGTCCTTCTCCCGTAGTTTGTGTGTCAACTTTGCCAACTCTGCATAACGCATCAGCTTTTCTTGCCATTGTTCTTTCGTTGGGATTTCCTCCTTCTTCCATCCTTGTGCTAACAAGACTCTTGCCGCTGTTGTGGCATACATAAATAAATTCTTTGTTTTTCTTGGCAGGCCTCGTCCTAAAATCCCTAACAAAAATGCTTCTGATTTCTTTACAAATGTCATTTTAAACATTTTTTTCAATTCATTATATATCATTTCCCAATTTTTTAAAACTTCTCTACATTCCCACCACATATGATACATAGTACCTTCTTTTTCTTTACATTTCCAACATATATTTGACCCGGTTTTGTACATTTTTGTTATTTGTACTGGTGTGGAGTGAATTTCAAATCCACTTTCCACAGCTTTTCCCAATCCTCAAATTGTATATTGTGTCCTATATCTTGTGCCCATTTGATCATAACTGATTTGACCTCCTCATCTTTTGTTTCCCATTCTAGCAGAATACTATATGCTTTCTTCGCATCTTTTTCTATAAATACCTTTTGAAATCTAGAGATTGTATAACTAAACCCTTTTTTATTATCTTCCTTATACATCTCATGTAATTGTCTGTAATGCAGCCAACTCTAAAAATGGTCTTTAATTTCCTCATAATCTTTTAATTTCCATTTTCCTTCTCTATATGTAGGCCACTTCCCCTTTTTACCAACCACAGTGCTTGGTAAAATTACCTTGAAATTACCCTAGGGGCTGATGGGTGAACTGGGGTTTACTGGTATTTTGAAATATATGGTGGGAGCCATATATTCATGTCCTATTTGGTGGTAACAGCAGTGACAGAAGATGGTTTTGCTACAAACTCTTTGTACTAAATTTGAATATTTTCCATTCATCAAGCTGCATGAATTCTCTAGTTGCTCAGATATTAGAATGTGATTCTAAGATTGGTTCCCTTCACATGCATCTCAGCTGTTCCAGAAACTCCTCCCTGGAAGAGGCAGAGAGACAAAGAACTGTCCATCCCATAATGACTCCAAGGTCGCTTCCAGCAATGTTAGAAACTGAGAAATGAAAGCTAGGAACTCAATGGCACCTTAAACCGAGGTTATGGGAGCAACAACGGAATGTCTAGGTGTGCTTTTTTAATAACAAGAATACAAAGCTGAAAAGGAATAGATTGCGGCTAAAATATTATCTTCATTTTTCACATGGTCTAGTCCTTCCCCTGCCCACCCCCCTAATATTCGTAAGAGGGTCTCTTCTTAAGAGAGTAGCTGGAAGTCGGGAGGCAGAAAAGGGTCCTCCTTTCCTTCTGCTCTGCAGTTTTAATCTGAAATCAGTACTGCACCCAGAGGTCAGAAACTGCTCGCTGTTTGAATGAAGTGTCGCAAAATGTGAGTTTCAAACACCGGCTCGCTGTCCATGCATTCTGTCTGACCTGCTTGCAGGAAAGTGCGAGTTGCGTGACAACAGGGCGTCAGAGACAAGCCCATACTCCACACTTCGCAGGGGCATTTCTCCTCCAGAAGTCGGATATTTCAGGCTCACTTTGGGGGGGGGGGCTGGGGAAACGGCCACTTTCCAGGCACGAGCTGCCCACCCACAATGCATTTTGCGTGTGCCAGAAGAGGGCCGGATTGAGGTTTGATGAGGCCCTCAGCTACTGAAGGTAATGGGACCCTTTCTATGTCCAGCTGTCCTTTGTCAACAACAAATGGTCACTGTTTTTTGTGTTGAATATATGCTATATGGTAATTTATGGACCTCACAGGTATCTAAAGCCATTTGCACATAACAAAATATGTGGGGGGTTTTCAAAGTAATTGTTGAACTGAAATACAATTAAGAAGTATATTAATAGTGAAATACAATTAAGAAGTATATTAATAGTGAAATACAATTAAGAAGTATATTAATAGTGAAATAATTATTAAGCTCTAACTTAAAATGATTTATTCATAATGAACTTAATAATGCAAACACATTGGCATTTGGCAATAAAAAAGTTCCTTTAGAAACACCATTTGCAAAGACTCATCATCTAGTCTCCAGAAACTTGCTATAACATGAAATAATAATAGGTGTAAATATATGATGCAAACTACTATTAATTAAATAGCAGGATGTAGGCACCCTATATATAGAAAGGAGCAAACCAGGGATATTTGAGGGAGCAGGCGAGCAGGCGGGGCCCAAGACTTACATCATAGGAGCCTGCACAACACAAAATGCTGTTGCTCTATGTAGGTTTTATTTTATTTGTTTCTTATCTTATATTTCGGAAATGTACATCCAGGGGGGTTTTTCCCTTTAAGTTTTTGCCCCCCCCCCCCAAGAGAGTGGGGCCCTGAGCGATGGCTCGTTGAGCTTATACCTCGATCCGGCACTGTGCCAGAATCTCTCAGCCTTGAAGGTGGATGGACGCGGAGCTCAGCATCCCACGATCGCGCCTCCTTTTGTTCCAAGACGCCCTTCAGGAGGGAGAGCAGAGGGTTCCTGGAAGCTCAGCTGAGCGCGCTGCCGTGGCGCGCATCTCCCTCCTGATTCCTTGGCCAGAGGAGAGACCCGGGGAGACCGGGCGTGGGGAGCGCCTTGCGCTTTCCCGGTTCAGCGTCAGAGCCAGCTTGCAAGAGGGAAGGGGGATCGGGGCCCATGGGCGATGCCAAGTCCATCCGTCCGAGGTCCCTCCTCCTAGCACGAAGCCTGCCCAGGGCAGCAGGAGTCCTCACGCCCAGCCCCGCGCTGTCCTCTGGCGCGAGTCTCCCCGCGTGATGCGCGAGGACCGGGAGACAAAGCGGGGATTGTGGGGCCTGGAGAGCCGCTGCCGAGCCCCCCTCCGCCCCTCCCCGCCCGCCCAGCTGGTGCGCAAAAGCTCCGCCCGGGTGGATGGAAACGAAACCGAAAGTGCCATCTCTGTTGCGCCGCGCGTTTGCGTCTGCCTCCCTGCCCCGAAAGGAACTGCGAGTCGCTCACTTTCTCCTTCATTTCTTTTTTTGGGCTCCAAAACTTCGGGGGTAAGATTCCGGGACGCTGCTCCCGAGGAAACCCATAGAGGTTGCTCCGCTCCCATATTTGGGAGTTTAGATCTACAGATGGTTCATTCTTCTTGTTGTGCAATGCCAGAAGATTACTGTTTGTTTATGTCGCTGGACCTCCCGGGAGAAGGGGATCCCTTTTCCAAAGCTATGCTTGGAGGACGCTTGGAGATCCGGGAGCTGCCCAGAGCGCTCTCCCGACAAAAGATTCCCTACCTGCCTCTTCTGTTTCCTCATTTCCTGGGTCTCCCTTAGTAAGATATTTTCTTATACTTGCTGCTGTGTTGTTTTTTGAAGGTATAATGCAGTAATGCAAAGGAATCTGTTCAGGGGTCCAAAGGATGCTCTGACTCATCCCACTTGCAGGAGGGAAGTGAGGATGGCATGAAACTCAGGCCATTTCCAAGGTTCAGGGTTTTTATTTATTATTACTCTGTTTGCACAATTCCCCCCCCCCCTCTCTCTCTCTCACACACACACCCCTTCAACCCACCAGGCCTCATTTGTAAGTGAAGATATAGTGAGGTGTTTGGTGCTTCCCCACCTGGACTCAAATGGCTGTTTAACTACCTGTTTAGCTACCGGTTTTCTACCCAGTGGTCATCCTTGGTTAAAAACAAAAACAAAAAAACCCCTCCTTGACCCTCATTTTTCCTTCTGAAGAACAAGTGGGGGCTTTATACAGCCCCTGTTTGAAACAGTCAAAACTACTGCAGCAAAACTTAACAGTATTTTACAAACTTGGGAGGTGGGTGATCCATTTTTAGTCAGTTTTATTCTGTCAAGACTGTGTGCTCCTGAAATGAAGCATGAATCTTCCAGTCTTTGTTGTGTAATGGATAGAATAGAATAGGGTTTGGATATAAATGCAATAAGGGACGCGAGTGGCGCTGTGGGTTAAACCACTGAGCCTAGAACTTGTATATCAGAAGGTCGGCGGTTCGAATCCCCGTGACGGGGTGAGCTCCCGTTGCTCGGTCCCTGCTCCTGCCAACCTAGCAGTTCAAAAGCACGTCAAAGTGCAAGTAGATAAATAAGTACCACTCCGGCAGGAAGGTAAACGGCATTTCCATGCGCTGCTCTGGTTTGCCAGAAGTGGCTTAGTCCTGCTGGCCACATGACCTGGAAGCTGTACACCGGCTCCCTCGGCCAATAAAGTGAGATGAGCGGCGCAACCCCAGAGTCGGCCACGACTGGACATAATGGTCAGGGTCCCTTTACCTCTATAAATGCAATAAGACAATGAAATGAATACTAAGCATTGTGGAGCAAAGCCTGTTTGCTGCTCTGCTTGTTCTCTGTGTGTGGAAGGGACCTTCTCAGCACAGGAAGGTGAGAAACTGCAAGGGAGAGGGCGTTCCTTGGGGGAATTTATTGTCCCAAATTCATGGTGGAAATTCACTCATACTTTTTTGTGAGAATTCAGAATAAATTGTTGAATTTGGATCCTTCTTGGCTTCTCAATTTTTATTCACCTCAATTCCAGGAAGTGAGTTGAAAGAAATGACCACAAGGAAGCCATCTCTGGAGTTCAAAATCAGCAGAGAGAGGACTCAGCTTGCACTTCTCACAACGCGTTCCTTTTTGCTATTTTATACCAAGCCACATGAAAAAGGCAATGATTTAGAAAATTATGAAGAATAACTGGCAAATGATGAAAAGTGGCAAATTTTTAACATAGTAAAAGCACAGTGCAACAATACCTTATATGGAAATGTTTGCAATACAACTACTAGGAGCACTGTATGGAAGCAATAGGAAACTGTTTGCATTAGCAAAGCAAAGGTAAAGGGGTATGTCTTCAGGATTAGGCAGGAATCTTTCAACGCAGCTGATTTGCAGAGGTCATTGCCTCTCAATCATAGAGCACAGTGTTGCTTTGCTGATCAAAATGAGAAAAACCTTGTGAACCACCTCTGTCTCCTTGAGGAAAAGTCAGTAACAAGGGTAAACTTTTTTTAAAAAATGAACTAAATATTTTTTTTCCTCTCTCTACCTATTGACAAATTCTTATTTCCTGACCTCCCCCACAGCATCATATATTCTCATAATGTAATTGAGCTCAGGTGGTTCTGGAGGTAAGTGATGGTGAAGCCACTCTTTCCCTCTTCCTCACGTGCAGAGCGTTGCACAAAATGCCCAGATGATCATCATCCAAACAAGGACAGAGATCAATGTGTCCCCAAATTTATCACCTTCCTGGCTTATGGAAAACATTTGGGGATCATCTTAGCTCCCATTGTCCTCTTTTTGTCTTTAACAGCAGGGAGTGTGTTGGATGTCAACGTGGTATGTGTCCAACCAGATTTGGTGTTCACCTTTGAATAGGCTAGGATTTTGTACTGCTCCATATCCCCAAAGCAGCCATTTTGTGACTGGCAGGGGCACCAGCTCCTGGGGGCCGAGACCTTTTGTCCCCCTCCCCCATATTATGGGTGGTATGGATACCCTGCCAATGTTCAAAAAGCAGGGAGGCGGAGTGTGGAGCCAAGGGTGGCCCAGCTCCGGCATCTGGCTCCTCCTCTTCCTGCTGTGGAAGGGAAGGAGGTTCAAAGCAGCCTCCTGTCAGTGGTGGCCCTGGGAGGAGGAGAGGCAGAGCCACTGACCACTGAAGCCACACAGCTGCTGCGTTCAGCTCTGCCCCCAGCTCCTCTTGACGTCGTGCCATTGCACACACGACGTTGGCCCCTCCAGTCGCTTTCACAAGCTGGCACCTCTGGTGACCAGCACAGCACCCACAGCACTTTCTCAGAATTTGAAGTGTTCCCAGTGGTCCAAACCGTTGGGTGACCCCTGGTCCACAGCATCTTCCTCATAGTTCCCACCTGAAACAAGAACCACAACATTAGTCATTCATGTATTATTAACCTTCATGCTCCAAAAGGGGACATCCACCCCCCACCCCCGTTTCTCTCTCAGCATTATTGCACCCCACGAACACATTCCACACCATGAGAAGTATGTGAGGAGGCTGCAGAGCTGAGCCAGTGAGGAGTGGAGCCCAGGAGGCAAAGGGCTGTGGCCAAGGGAGAGCCCTGAGGCATCTTCCTTCAGCTCCTGGGCCTGAGGTTCCCCATCCCAGATATAGGGTACCGTTAGCCCTCTAAAAAGAACCTTTCTAGAGCAAAATAGAGGACACATTTGCCAACTTCAAGTTTTAACTCTGGATCGCTCTCTACCCACGAAAAAGAGGACGTGTCCTGGAAAAGGAGGACATATGGCAACCCTGCAATGCCCATCTCATTCTGTATTAGGGAGAAGTAATAAATCCAGGAACCCTTTTCCTGTTGGTGACAAACAAATGCCCCTTTCACTCTCCTTTATTGACTTTTATTATCGTATTAATTTGCAATAAAAAGGAGAGTAACTACCAAATACAAAAGAAAATTCAAAGTTGAAATACAATAAAAGAGAAAGTGGATGAACCATTTCAAAAAAGTGCATCTGGGTAGGAAGTTAACTTGTAGTGAATAAATGAGACAAATGAGCCGCTATTTCACAATTCCAATATTGGGCGGACAGGGTTCATCTTTGAATAAATTTGTTTTAACAACTACTGTATATAATTTTCCTGTTAGAAGTTTGCTTTCTTTGCCTCTGCTTTGTAACTATAATTTTAACTCTGCTGTTTGATGCTGCTTTTACTTCGTTATATTAGGGGTTGACATCTGTCAGAGCTGCTTCCAGATCCTAGCTCACAGAGGATCACGCTAGCCAGCGATCATTAAACAAAAGTCTTTATTGAGTTACAGTTTCCATTCTCAAACTGCTGCGTGCAACTCTACGTCTCATGGTTAGACCGGCGAAGCTCCGTCTGAGTCTCCGCCCCTTGTACACCAACTTAATATCCTAGCCCTGCTCCACCTTTTCCGCCTGACTGTTCTTCTCTGGGTCCCTCTGCCCCCTGGGGTCTCTTCTTTCCGGGATTCCTCTGCCGGTGACGCTGACCCCCCTGACTCTTCTCCCTCCTTTCGGCGGGCTTTAGGACCTGGCTCCCTTTCCGGGCTGCCTACTGTGCCACCTTCCTGTGCATTTGAACTTGGCGCGCGCGCCCAACCTTCCACCTTCCGTCTGACCGTTTCTTCGCTCCCCGATGGAGGTGTGGCCACTCCTGACTCGTGCCCTCCCCCCTGTTGTGAGCTGCCAGCGCTTGATCCCTGGCTCCCTTCCTCTTCCCTGCTCTCTGGCGGTGACGCTGGTCCCGATTTCCAACTGCTCCCCTCTGAGTCCCCTCTGGCTCTATCTTCCTGGGGCGTCCCCTAGGCTCCCCCTTGCCCTGGCCACTGGTGCTCCTTTCTGTGAATCTTCTGATTCACTGGAAAGACTCGGAGATCTCGGGTCGTCGTCATCACTCATCTTTTCTTCTGCCTCCTCCCCCTCGCTCTCTGTTTCCTCCCTTGCCCTTGCCTCTGCTCCTGAACCCCTGACATCCATCCCCCCCTCGAAGCCCCCTCTGCCCCCCTCCCCTCCTTCCGGTGCGGGATCTGGGTGCTGCCGTGTCAGGGGGACGAATGTCGGATACAGTTCGCTTCCCGTGGCGGGCCGCCATCTGAAGTCTTCCGGGTCTTCCTCCCTGCTCTCGTTGACGACGGTCACCTCCGCTTCCATCTCTGTGCCGCCGTGCTCGTTACCCGGGTCGTCCCGAGGGTCCATGTCCGTCTCTCCCTCGTTACCTTCTGGAGACGTTGCTCGTCCTGGACCCTCCAGCCACCTTCTGCGGAACTGCTCCTCTGGTCGATCATCCCACCAATACGAGGGTTCTGAAGCAGATCCCGAGGTGACCCCTCCGGGGAACGGGCGTCTCGTGTCGGTTCCTCGTCCGAGTCGAACCCCGGAGCGTGCTGGCTGAAAGCGTGGGCGTGAAAAGCCAGTCGTCGAAAAAGTCTGCTGGCATTGGCCTATGTGGGAAGAGGGCATGAAACTCTTCTTTGAGCAGAGGTTCGTCTAAAGCGTAGCCCGGCACCCAGCTGTTGGCACTGGCCGGGGTGCCCTCCTTGGCGAGAAGGTATTCTACCCCCTCTTCCCCCATCTGGAGTCCAAAATCTCCGTGGCTTCGTTGATGCGCTCCTCCCGTGCCACTCCCCCCTGCCCGGTTCTCTCTCGGAGCGGACCCGGTGCCGTTCCTGGTTCCTGAAACCTGTGAGGTGCCTTGTATGGAGTGAGCACCGATCTGTGGAACACCGGATGCATCCTGGAACCCTCCGGAAGAGCCAGCCTGAAAGCCACCGGGTTGACCTGTTCTTCGACTTGGTAGGGCCCCAGTTGTTTATGCCCTAGTTTCTTCTTCGCCAACGACCTGGCCGGCACTGCGTGGGCTGCTAACCAGACCCAGTCTCCCACATGGATCTCTTCGCCAACCCTTCTGTGTTTGTCCGCTTGTACCTTGTATGCGTGTTTAGCCAGCTCCAGGTGCCGCCGCAGCTGATCGTGGACCTCCTGCAACTCCGTCGCGAATGCATCTGCTGTCTGCGGCTCCCCCTCCCCCATTCTTTCCAGTCCCGGGAAGGTTCTGGGGTGCCTCCCGTTGTTGGCGAAGAACGGCGTGACCCCCGTGGACACGTGCTTCGTGTTGTTGTAGGCGATCTCGGCGAGAGGCAGGTAATCCACCCACGTCGCAGGCTGTTGATTCGCATAACATCTCAGGTACTGCTGCATGATGGCATTGACCCGCTCCGCTTGCCCATTGGTCTGCGGGTGTCTAGCCGACGCCAGGTTGATCTTGACGTTCAGGAAGCCCATCAGCCTCTGCCAGAAGTTCGAGATGAACTGTCGCCCTCGGTCGGACAGAATAGACCGCGGCAGACCGTGAACCTTGAACACGTGGTCTATGAACAGTTTGGCGGTTTGTTCCGCCGTGGCCACCTTCGCACACGGAATGAAATGTGCCATCTTGGAGAACAAGTCCACCACCACCAGCACAGCCGTCTTGCCCCTCGAGCTGGGCAGATCCGTGACAAAGTCCAGGGCCACTCTCTCCCATGGTTCGAACGGAGTTTGCAGCGGTTCCAGCAATCCGGCCGGCGGTCTGTGCACTGGTTTGGCCCTCTGGCAGGTGTCACACCTCGCCACGTAGTCCGCGACTTCCCCTCTCATTCCTGGCCACCAGAAGTCTCTGGCTACTAATTCCACCGTCTTCTCCTTGCCAAAGTGCCCGGCAGTGGGCGCGTCGTGCAGCTGCTGCAGTACCTTGGCGCGAAGTTCGTCTCCCGGCACGTAGATGGCCCCTTTACGGATGAGCAAACCATCTCGCAGCTGGAACTCGTCGGTCGCTGCCGTGCCCCTGTGCGCCTCTGCCATCTTTGCTTGCGCGAAGGAGTCATCCTGCAACGCTCGTCGCACCGCCTCCAGGTCAACTGTTGCCGCCGTGCACGCCCACACTGTCGGTGCGAAGATGTGCATGGCGGCCGCTGGCGTTGCCTCCTCCAGATACTGCGGCTTACGGGAGAGAGCATCCGCCATGATGTTGGTGTCCCCGGGACATACTCTATTCGGAAGTCGAAATTCGCAAAGAACTCAGCCCAACGTATCTGCCTCTGGTTCAGGAACTGTGCCGTGCGCCAGTGCTCTAGATTCTTGTGGTCCGTGCAGACCTGCACCGTGTGCTTGGCGCCGATCAGGAAGTGCCTCCACGCTTTGAACGCTGCATGAATGGCCAGCAACTCCCTGTCCCAGATGGTGTAGTTCTGTTCGGACTTGCTGAGCTTCCTTGAGTAAAACGCTCCCGGCCTCCAAACCCCCTGCGGGTCCTTCTGCAGCAGGACTGCTCCCACGGCTCTGTCCGAGCGTCTGTCTCCACCCTCATCGGCTTGCTGGGGTTGACATGAAGCAGTTGCCCTTCCGACGCGAAGAGGCGGCTTGAGTGCCTGAAAGGACTGCTCCGCCTGCTCTGTCCAGATGAACTTCTTTTTCTTGGAGCTGAGCGTGTCCGTGATGGCCGCTGTCTGCATGGCAAAGCCTTTGATAAACTTGCGATAGAAGTTCGCAAAGCCGACAAACCGTTGGACCTCCTTCCGGTTGCGTGGGCTTTTCCAATCCAACACTGCTCGGACCTTGGCGCTGTCCATGGCGAGCCCTTTATCAGACAACTTGTAGCCCAGGAAATCCACCTCCGTCACGTCGAATTGGCACTTCTCCAGCTTGGCGTAAAGCCTATGTTGCTGTAGCCTGCTCAGCACTTCCTTGACGTGTCTGTCATGCTCCTGCTGCGATTCCGAAAAGATCAGGATGTCATCCAAGAAACAGACGCACGTCTTGTAGAAGAGCCCCGCCAACACGTGATGCATGAAAGCTTGAAAAACGTGGGAACCATTTTGCAATCCAAAAGGCATAACTCTATATTCGTAGGTGCCCAGGGCGTGAACATGGCTGTCTTCCACTCATCTCCTTCCCGCATGCGAATGAGGTTGTACGCCCCTCGCAGGTCCAACTTAGTGAACACGCTGCCCTTCCGTACCTTTGCGAGGAGGTCGTCGATTCGGGGCATGGGGAAGTCCGATGGCTTGGTCACGCTGTTCAAAATGCGATAGTCCACTACAAGTCTTTTCTGGGGCGTGTCCCGCTTCTTAACAAAGAATACCGGACTGCCCCCCGCTGCCTTGGACTCTCGGATGAAACCGCGCTCCAAATTATGATCTATGAACTCTTTGAGTTCCTGCAGTTCATCCTCAGACATGGAATACAGCTTCCCTTTGGGCAGCGCCGCCCCGGCAGCAGGTCAATTTTGCAGTCATATGGTCTGTGGGGGGGTAGCCTGTCTGCCTCCTTCTCGCAGAAAACCTCCAAAAATTCTGCGTACTTGTGGGGAACCGCTTGCAGCGTGCCTAGCTGCAGCTGTGACTCCTCTTCCTCTCCTTCCTGCCGGGGCACGATGCAGTGTTCAGCGCAAAGGAAGAGCCGAAGGTCAGCTGCCTCTGGTACCAAGCCAGCGTCGGGCTGTGCTTGTCCAGCCAACTCATGCCCAATACAATGGGCGTGTCCGATAGTTGAGTGACATTGAAGCTGATGATTTCCCTGTGATTCCCAAGCCGCATCACCATTGGTGGCGTCTGCTTCACCACTTGCCCCCCTAGCAGCTCCCTGCCATCCACCGTGACAACCTGCAGGGGCAGCGTGGCAGGCAGCAACTGTATAGCGTGCCGGTCGACAAAGTCCTGCCCTATAAAGTCCGCATTGCTTCCGGAGTCAATGGTGATTGGCACGTCCATGGTGATTCCATTGGGCAGCTGGAGCGACGCGGTGAGCCTCACTACTGGTTTGGGCGGGAGGGGGTCCATGGGCTGTAAAATCTCTGGGGACTGCTTCACTGACACGTCTGGCTGGGCCCCAGTGCCTCTTCCTCCAACCAGACTCCGTCGTTTCCCTGCTGTGGTTCTCCTTGCTGCGTTGCTGCAGTTACCATTGCTGAAGCTGCAGTGTGCTTGTGGAGCCTCTGGGGACACTCTTTCGCCATATGCTGTGGAGCATCGCAGATGTAACACTTCCTGTTCCCTCTAGGAGGCTTCGCTTTCACTGCTGCCGGTGCTAGGGCTCTGGCTGCTGACTGAGCCCTTGCACCTCCAACCTCCATAGGTTCCGCTCCTCCTCCTGGCGGAGCGTGGATTGCGCACGCGCTGCTTCTCTGGGAAGGAAGGAGGAGCCCCTGGCTGGTTCGCGCCCTCCACGCCCTTCGTCCCTGCTCCACGGACGTTCTTCCAGCCGCACCCCCACCGCCAGCGCCCTCTGACCGATCTCCTGCGTGGTCCGGGGTCTCTCCCCCCTCGCAATTTCATCTTTAACCGAGCCGTGCAATCCCTCCCAAAACAGGTCTCTTACAGGAGCCGAATCTCTGTCCCATTCCAGAGCACTGACCAAAGCGAAAAAGCGGGCATGGTACTGCCTTACGCTGGCCCTCCCTTGCTTCAGTCCATGTATCTGCTGCCGAGCAAGATCCACGTCAATGCTTGATAAAAAGCACCCATCCATCGCTTTAATAAAGGCATCCGCATTTTGGAGCGCCGGATCCTATCTCTCCACAAATTGCGCAGCCATGCTTTAGCATCTCCATGCAAATGGGACATGATGAATCCCACCTTCTCTTGCTCATCTCTAAAGTCTTTGTCCAGCAGTTGCAGTGCACACATTACATCTGCTCTAAAGTTGGGGTACTGTTGCAAATTCCCATCGAAGTGAGAGACCAGACCGCCTGTTCGTCTCCCCAACCCAATCCCCTCCGGTTTGGGTGTCAGTTGCCCTTGCTTCGTAAGCACTTCCAACCTGACCTGGAGATCCCTGTAGGCGGCAGCTGCGTCCTCCTCTCTCTTCCTGGATGCAAGAGCCTCGGCATTCAGTCGTGACACTGCTTCTCTGAGTTCCGCTATCTGCTGTTCGGCCGTCATATTGTCTGCCTTTCGTGAGCTCGCTAGTAGGCACCCGCTTTCTCTCCTCTCCGCGAGGCTGTAGATGCCCACAATTTATAGAGACGGAGCTTACTGTCAGAGCTGCTTCCAGATCCTAGCTCACAGAGGATCACGCTAGCCAGCGATCATTAAACAAAAGTCTTTATTGAGTTACAGTTTCCATTCTCAAACTGCTGCGTGCAACTCTACGTCTCATGGTTAGACCGGCGAAGCTCCGTCTGAGTCTCCGCCCCTTGTACACCAACTTAATATCCTAGCCCTGCTCCACCTTTTCCGCCTGACTGTTCTTCTCTGGGTCCCTCTGCCCCCTGGGGTCTCTTCTTTCCGGGATTCCTCTGACGCTGACGCTGACCCCCCTGACTCTTCTCCCTCCTTTCGGCGGGCTTTAGGACCTGGCTCCCTTTCCGGGCTGCCTACTGTGCCACCTTCCTGTGCATTTGAACTTGGCGCGCGCGCCCAACCTTCCACCTTCCGTCTGACCGTTTCTTCGCTCCCCGATGGAGGTGTGGCCACTCCTGACTCGTGCCCTCCCCCCTGTTGTGAGCTGCCAGCGCTTGATCCCTGGCTCCCTTCCTCTTCCCTGCTCTCTGGCGGTGACGCTGGTCCCGATTTCCAACTGCTCCCCTCTGAGTCCCCTCTGGCTCTATCTTCCTGGGGCGTCCCCCTAGGCTCCCCCCTTGCCCTGGCCACTGGTGCTCCTTTCTGTGAATCTTCTGATTCACTGGAAAGACTCGGAGATCTCGGGTCGTCGTCATCACTCATCTTTTCTTCTGCCTCCTCCCCCTCGCTCTCTGTTTCCTCCCTTGCCCTTGCCTCTGCTCCTGAACCCCTGACAACATCCAACATTAGACATATCCAGAGTGGGAGCAATGAAATAAATTGACTTAAATCTACTGATATCTATAGGTCTACTCTATGACTAATGACAGTTATCCCTCTTCCATTCTTGGAAAGGAAGGAAGGAAGGAAGGAAGGAAGGAAGGGAGGGAGGAAGGAAGGAAGGAAACTTGGCTATTCTCTGATCCCAGGAGTAATTCCTTGGGTTCTTACCACTTGCATAAGCACAGTTGTATTTGCTGAATTTCCCAGCAGAGCAGAGCTGTATGCGGGTTGTACCATCCACATCCTTTCTGGAACTTACAACCCTGAACTGCTCATAGGGTGGGATCAGAACCTCGTCCTCAACGGGCATGTCAGAAAATTCTCTGATGAGAACCCCATGACAAGTGTAAATCTCAAAGATGGTTTTGGCCACAGGCTGTCCAACTCTCGATTCAGGATCTGCAGCGAAACCATGGGCAATCCCCTCTTGCCGTGATGAGGACGTGAATTGCCCGAAACGGATCGTATCCTTAACAGTAGCGCTGAAGTGGATATTTCTGACCCCTCGAAACACCTCGTAGCAGGGGGGGCTGGGGGTGTTGGAGGTCCTCAGGTCCTGAAGGGCTCTGGTCAGGAGAAAGTGGAAGGTCTTGAAGTTGAAATTATTCCGGTAATATTCCTTGGATTCCCCAGCTTTTCTTACAGCTGCGTTGAAATCAGGATACAACTTGGGTTCTTCACGGGTATAAGCCATGATTGCTGCAGCGTACTCTGGCTTGAGGTTTCCGGGCCATTTGCTATCATCCCTCAAGTTGGCTGCTAATTTCCAGGCTTTGGCATAAATTTTGTTTTTGAGGAGCTCGGTTTGGTTTAGCCATGCAATCTCCTTCTCCATCGTCTGTTCACAGCCCTCGTATTGGTCATCGAAGGAATCCAGGGCCATGTCAAGTGTTGGCTCGTTGCCTGAAAAACGGTCTTGTCTTGGGCTGGAGCTAGGGGAGACCTCAAGCAGAAAAGAACAAGATGGGTAAGCAGCTTAGCATGCGAAGAGGCTGGGAAGGTGAGACTTTGCGATAGAGGCTCCTATCACAGGTCAAGGTTATGCAGCATGCCTGACAGATGGCCATCCACCCTCTGCTATGAAACCTCCAAAAAAGGAGTGTCCTTCAATCTGTTTCTACTCTATTGTTGTTTTAATTTTTTTGAAAGTTTTACATTGTTGATTTTTCTTATTAATAAGAAAACCAGGCAGAGGGCCTTCTTGGTAGTGGCGCCCGCCCTGTGGAACGCCCTCCCATCAGATGTCAAGGAAATAAACAACTACCTGACTTTTAGAAGACATCTGAAGGCAGCCCTGTTTAGGGAACGTTTTTCATGTTTGATGTTTTGTTGTGTTTTTAATATTCTCTTGGGAGCCACCCAGAGCCAAATGGGCGGGGTATAGATAATAAATTGTTGTTTTTGTTCTATTTTTTTTTGTAAAGCACATTGAGGTTTGTTTAGTTTTCACAAATCAAGCAGTGCATAATTTTTTATGAATAAATAAGGTGTTCCCCAAATCACTACCTGCTCTAAGAAAACAATAAAAAGGAAATGAGACCTCTTTACAAACTGCCCCCTTTCCTTGTTTGGGGTGTGTGCTGAGGCTGTTTCCAACTGCACATGTGCAAAAAACAAAAATATATCTTTGCCCAAAGTGAAGAGGGTCTGGCTTCCTGGAAGTAGGATTGTGTCCAGTTAGCACTGAGAACAAGTGTGCTGGTCCCGGGGGTAAGGTACCTTGGGTGTAGCAGAGTCCACACGAAGAGGGGCAAGGTCCGAGGCAGAGAGCCGGGCGGGGAACAGGAATGCTGGAACAGGAGGCTGTGCAGGAAACAGGAACACCGGATGGTCGGGAACAGGAGGCCGGAGCAGGGAACAGGAGTACCGGATAGTCAGGAACAGGAAGCCGGGCAGGGAACCGGAGCCCAGGAAGGTCCGAAGCCAGCAACGACGTTGCTCCCGCAGCCTGGGGCCGGGCTGACTGGGCTTTATCCTCTTCTAAGGCCAGGGGCGGTCCCGGTCCCCAGGAGCCCCGCCTCCTCTGGCCTTAAGGCGAGCACTCCTCCTGGGGGCAGCCAGTTCCCTTCGCCTCTCTGCCCTAAGCCTCTGCAGATCAGGAGAGGCCGAAGGGTTACTGGGCCCTGGAGGAGGCTCACCTGTGGCCACTGAGTCATCAAGCCCCTCTGGGGCCAGAAGGGCTTCACCTGGGGCCAGCTCCTGATGCACTGCCACAGGTGCAGGCTCTTCAGCATCTAGGCCTTGCCCCAGTTCAGCCGGCCCTGGAGGCGGGGACTCCTGTGCAGGCTGGGATTCCTCTGTTTCATCCTCCGAATCGGAATCCCAGGCCATCACACCATCCCCCCTCCCAGGCCCCCCCCTCACCCGAGGGTCCGGACCCGGCGGGCCGGGAGACGGCGGAGGGAACTCTCGGAGGCAGGCCGGTGCGTGGACATTGGCCGCTGGTTCCCAGGAGCGGTCCTCCGGTCCGTACCCCTTCCAGTCAATGAGATACTGCAGCTTTCCCCTGCGGTATCGGGAGTCCAGGATGCGTTCCACCTCGTACTCAGGCTCTCCCGAACCAGCACTGGCTGCGGTCGGGGACGGTCCGAGTGGAACTCGTCGGGTGGGGCCACCGGACTCAAAAGGGACCTGTGGAAGACCGGGTGAACCTTCAGGGTTGCGGGTAACCGGAGACGGAATGCCACAGGAGAGATTTGGTCTACGATAGGGAGCGGGCCGGTGAGCGGGCGTCCAGCTTCCGCGAAGGTCGAGAGGGGTGGAGGTGGCGAGTGGAGAGCCAAGCCAGGTCACCGGCCAGCGAGTTCCGGCCCCACCTGGCGGTGGCGGTCGGCCTGGGCTGTGCGCTTCCTTGGCCTGGTGCAGTTGCTCCACCAAAAGCTGTTGCTGGGACTGGAGCTCTTGAAGCCACTCCGTCACCGCCGGGACCGCGGATGCCGGCAGCACCTCTGGAAACAGCCGTGGATGATAACCATAACTGGCCTGGAGCAGGGTCTGCTGGGTGGACGCATTCACCGCGTTGTTATAGGCGAACTCCGCCAATGCCAGGTGGTCGACCCAGTCATCCTGCTGGTAGCTGCAGTAACACCGGAGGTACTGCTCCAGCACCGCGTTCGCCCGTTCCGTCTGGCCATCGGTCTGTGGGTGGTAGGCTGACGAGAGGCAGACCTCTGTCCCGAGGGTCTGGTGTAATGCTCGCCAGAACCGGGATGTGAACTGAACGCCCCGGGGTTCCACCACGCGCTCAGGTAGTCCATGCAGGCGGAAGACATGCTGAAGGTACAGCTGAGCAGTTTCCTTGGCTGTGGGTACAGTTGGACAGGGAGCGCAGTGCACCATCTTGGTGAAATGGTCGGAGAAAACCAGAAGGCAGGTACAGCCACGAGGCGAGGTAAGTCCACTACAAAGTCCAACGAAACCGTGTGCCAGGGCGCGGTGGAACTGGCAATGGCTGAAGTAGGCCGGGGGTCGCCCGGTGGGTCCCTTGGCGCGCCGGCAGACATCACAGCCAGCAGCGTAGCGAGCCACGTCAGCCTTCAGGCGGGGCCACCAAAACTCTCGACTGACCAGATGGGTGGTCCGATACCGTCCAAAGTGCCCCGCTGCTGGGGCATCATGGGCCATCCGGAGAACCTCCAGCCGTAGTGGCCCTGGCGGGATGCTACAGGCGACCGTGGTGCAGCAGAAGGCCCTGATGCAGGACCAGCCCCGGATACTGTGGGCTGGACCCTTCAGCCAGCTCCCGGAGTCGTTCCTGGGCCCAAGCGTCGACCCGCTGCTGTTCCCGCACCCGAACCTGCAGTGGCTGCGCCTCCTGGGTGGCCAGGAATGCAGCCGGAGGTAGGATCGTGGTGGGTTCTGCTTGCTGTACCGTGTCTGCGTTGTCTTCGGGTTTTCCGGGACAGGGCATCCGCCTTCTGATTCTGAGAGCTAGGGATGTAGCGGATCCGGAACTGGAACCGGGAAAAGAACAACGCCCACCGGATCTGTCTTTGGTTCAGCTTGCGGGTGGTCTGGAGGTACTCCAGGTTCCGGTGGTCGGTTCTCACCTCCACCGGATGTCGTGCCCCCTCAAGATGGTGGCGCCAGACCTCAAAGGCTACCTTGATGGCCAGTAGTTCCCGCTCCCACACAGTATAGTTACGCTCCGCTGGTAGGAGCTGGCGAGAATAGAAGGCACAGGGTAAGAGTGGCGCTTCAGGACCAATCTGTTGAGACAAGACGGCACCGAGAGCCGTACTGGAAGCGTCGGTCTCCACCACAAAGGGTCGAGGGGGTCAGGATGTTGTAAGATTGGTGCCCTCTTGAAACACGCCATCAACCCCATAAACGCCTCCTCTGCCTCCTGGTCCCAGGAAATCGGCGTCTTTGGGCGCAGTAGCCGGGTCAACGGGGTGGTGCGATGAGCATAATCAGCGATGAAGGTCCGGTAGTAATTGGCGAACCCCAGGAACCGCTGCTGGTCCTTGCGGTTCCGGGGTGCCGCCCATTCTTGAACCGCTGTCACCTTCCCGGGTCCATTTGCACCCCATCTGGAGAGAGCCGGTGACCAAGGAAGTCCACAGTCCGCTGATGGAACTCGCACTTGCTGAGCTTTGCGTACAAGCGGTGCTCACGCAAGCGCTGCAGCACGGTCCGGACATGTCCCTCATGGCAAGCCGGGTCACGGGAGTAAATCAGTATGTCATCCAAATACACCACCACGTACTTGTCTAACAAGTCCTGAAACACGTGGTTGATGTAGCGTTGAAACACAGCAGGCGCGTTGCACAAACCGAAAGGCATAACCAAATATTCGAACTGCCCGTACCGGGTCCCAAACGCTGTCTTCCACTCACCCCGGCTCGGATCCGAATCAAGTTGTAGGCCCCGGAGGTCCAGCTTGGTGAACACCTGTGCCCCTTGCACCCGCTCCAGCAGTTCCGAGATAAGGGGCAAGGGGTACCGGTCTGGGACGGTAATTTTGTTCAGGGCTCGGTAATCATGGCAAGGCGGAGTTCCCCACATTTCTTCTTAGCAAAGCACGGGTGCCGCGGTAGGCGAGGTGGAAGGCCTAATGAACCCACGCTCCAGGTTCTTGCGCAAGAAGTCCTGCAAAGCCTCGCGCTCTGGCTCTGTTAGGGAATATAAGCGACTCACTGGTAAAGGCGCTCCGGGTTGGAGGTCTATGCCGCAGTCAAAAGGCCGATGTGGCGGCAGCTGGTCTGCCCCCCGTTCCTCGAACACGTCCTGGTAGTCCTGGTACACGGCTGGGAGCGTGGGTGCTGCCTCCTCTGAGGCGCGGCCGCCAGCGTTCCAGTTGAGCATGGGAACATGGGTCTGGGAAGTGCACGGTCCGTTTGACCCAGTCAATCTGAGCGTTGTGGGCTTCCAGCCAGTCCATCCCGAGCACCAGGGAAGCGGGGCATAGAGGCAATGTCCAAAGTCCGCAACTCCCGGTGCTGCTGGAGACACAGGACCAAGGGCTGGGTCTCCTGAGTAACGGCACCTGAACGCAGAAGTCGTCCGTCAATCGCTTCCACCTGGACCGGTACTGGCTTGTTCCAGTGGCACCTGATGATGGGCGGCAAAAGCAGCGTCCATATAGGAGCGGGTTGCCCCTGAATCTACCAAAGCATGGGTGAGGATCCAGGGCCCACCTGGAGGGTATAAACGTACTGAAACCATAAGATGTTGCAAGTCCATTGGTGCGGGCCCATTCTGTACGGTTTGGGACCCCCGGCAGCTAGGGCCATCAGCTACTGGGGTTGGCGGTTTCCCTGCGGCTGGCGTTTCTCAGGGCAGGACCGGCGAAGTGTCCACTTCCGCCACAGTAAAGACAGAGATTTCCCTCCCGGCGCCGCGCCTTCTCTGCGGGGAAAGGCGTGGCCGCACTGCCCCGAGCTGCAGAGGCTCCTCCGTTAAATCAGTTGTGACCGTGGGGCTGCCGGAAAAAGCTGGTGCCGTGAACTGGAAGTGTCGGCGACCCGGGCCTGGCGCCGATCCTCCAACCGGTCGTCTATTTTTAGACTCCGTTGAATGAGAGTTTCAAGCGTTGTGGGGCGTTACATTTTGGCCATGTGTTCCTGTACCTCGTCCTAAGCCCTTCGAGATACTGGTCCCGCAGTGCCTAGTCATTCCAGGTCAAGTCCTGTGCCAGCAGCCGAAACTCCGTGGTATATGTGGCCACCGTGGACTTGCCCTGTTTCAAGCGCCTGAATCGCCCGGTTGGCTTGGCTCTCTTTCTGGGGGTTGCCGAGCGCGGCCTCCAAGCGATTGCAAAACCCCGTATAGTCTGCCAGCAAGGGAGTCTTACCTGAGTAGCGGCAACGCCCACTTGGCCGCCTGGTCCTTTAACAAACTAATCCAAAAGTGCACCTTGGTGCGGTCGTCAGGAAAGTTCCGGGCTCGCCCCTGAATATACAGCTTGGCCTGGGCCAGGAACATGGGAAAGCTGGCCGGGGCTCCATCAAATTTCTCAGGCAAAGCCACTGGGTACTTGCCCGGGCCGGGCGTCGGCCCCAGGAGCCGGTAGGGCTTCCAAGCGTTGCTGAAGTGCCACAGCCGCGTCGCTGAGCTGCTGCACGGTGTGATTCAAGGCCTGGTTCTCCTGGGCCAAAGCCACCAGTGCAGCCGCCTGTTCAGCCATGGCCTCTGGCTCTTCCCGAGCGCACCCCTACGAAGGGAAGTGCGGGTGTGGCGGGAGCAAACTGTGCTGGTCCCGGGGTAAGGTACCTTGGGTGTAGCAGAGTCCACACGAAGAGGGGCAAGGTCCGAGGCAGAGAGCCGGGCGGGGAACAGGAATGCTGGAACAGGAGGCTGTGCAGGAAACAGGAACACCGGATGGTCGGGAACAGGCAGGCCGAGCAGGGAACAGGAGTACCGGATAGTCAGGAACAGGAAGCCGAGCAGGGAACACGAGCACAGGAACGTCCGAAGCCAGCAACGACGTTGCTCCCGCAGCCTGGGGCCGGGCTGACTGGGCTTTATCCTCTTCTAAGGCCAGGGGCGGTCCCGGTCCCCAGGAGCCCCGCCTCCTCTGGCCTTAAGGCGAGCCCTCCTCCTGGGGGCAGCCAGTTCCCTTCGCCTCTCTGCCCTAAGCCTCTGCAGATCAGGAGAGGCCGAAGGGTTACTGGGCCCTGGAGGAGGCTCACCTGTGGCCACTGAGTCATCAAGCCCCTCTGGGGCCAGAAGGGCTTCACCTGGGGCCAGCTCCTGATGCACTGCCACAGGTGCAGGCTCTTCAGCATCTAGGCCTTGCCCCAGTTCAGCCGGCCCTGGAGGCGGGGACTCCTGTGCAGGCTGGGATTCCTCTGTTTCATCCTCCGAATCGGAATCCCAGGCCATCACACCAAGGAAGCGATGTTTCCCTTGGTATCTTCTAGGGCTCTCAGCAAGCCTTCCTTCTGACTACTTCTTCCAGCTCCATGCAAAGGCATTGATCCCTCTGCCCCTAGTTGTTGAGGGTTGGGGGGGGGTGGAACAGTGAACAACTTCTTCAGTAAAGATCTGGATCTTTAGGGGGCAGAGAAGGCTCTCCATGATGGCTCTGCTCTGCCTCCACAGCTGTGTGCAGTAATGCTTCTGAATACCAGTTTCTCTCGCACTTGTGGGCTTCCCATCTGGTTGGCTGCTGTGTGGACAAGATGCTGGACTAGATGGACCACTGGCCTGATCCAACAGGCAGGCTCTTATGTTTTCCAGGCTGCATCTCGTCTGGTATCCAGTTACCTACAGTGCCCACTGACCAATCAGATACTTGCAAAAGCCAGCCCTTGCCAATGTATAGCACCCTCGACCCTGGAGGTTAGCAGTCAGTGACTGACCTCCTTGGAGAATGCCTGGACCGAGTCTGAGGAATGACCAAAGCCCTGTGTTAGAGCAGAAGGTCCCAGGTGGGCATCTCCTGAAAGGGCTGGGAAAATCCCTTGCCTGAAACCCTGTAGGCAACACTGGTGGCTTCTCATCTTCCAGATCTGGCCTTCCTGGCCACAGCTACTGGTTCCTCCAGTACTGTTAATAGGAGGCTGGTGAAACCCAAACTCCGGATTTAAGATTGAATTCTGGACTGAAGCCCACCTTTGCCCCCTCCTCCACCCTCCAAGGTGCCTTTTCATACCTGATTGTCTCCTGTGAAGATTCCCATCAGATGCAACACCAGGACTCTGTGGAGAGGGGACTTCATTGTCCACACCTGTTCGTTTTTGCAGTGAAGCAAGTTAGGTGCAGGCAGAGTGGATATCTCTATCTGCACGCTTGCTTCCATTTGAAACTTACTTGCAGCTTTATGTGTTTTTTCTCACCAAAACAGGAAACAGGCCGATTTGAGGTTTCGGAGGCAGGGGAAGCTCACTTCCTCAATGTTCAACTAAGTTCATTCTAGCAAAAACATACCCAATGATAGGTCTCATTTTCACAGAGATTCCTCCAGTAACAGGAAGAGGGAGAGGCTTGTTTCTCTACATCCTTCCCCTCAACACCATCAAAGAGCATTTCAATCTGCACTTCTGGTTTGTTACTCAGCCACATTAGAGGGGCGACTATTAGTATACAAAGCCCTCCATAGCTTGGGATCAGTTTACTTGAAGGAGTGGCCTGCCTGACTCCCATCTCCGGAACTGGGACTTTTCACAAGTGCAGAGCCGTCTTTCCCATTGGGCTTAGTGGCGCATTGCGCCAGGGCACCGGCCTCTCAGGGGCGCCCCAGCAAGTGGGGGAGCTGCGCGGCTTTGCCTCCCCTTTCCCTGCACGCCTGCCAGCTGTGCCCATCAACCATAGGGCTGGTGAGCGTGCAGCTTCCTTCCCAAGCCTCCTCGGGAGGAGAGCGATCCCTGCAGAGGATTGGGAAAAGGGCGACAGCTCTGGGGAAGGGGCGGGGAGGGATCTTTGCCCCACGGCACCAGATATGCTTTAGACGGCCCTGCACAAGGGCCACATAATCTCCGTCCTTCATTGGGCAGGCTTCTTTTAAACATTGCTTAAACTTCCTTTCCACAGGCAAGCCTACAGAGACATGGAATTTCATTGGGTACATTGCTTTTAAAAAGCTATTGGTTTGTAGATATATCTCAATAATTCAGATATGTTTAATGTTTTTAAAGTCTGTTTTCATCAGTATTTTAAACTATATAGGTGTGTGCGTATCTTGCTAAATAAGAATAAATAAATACATGACACCCCACTGCACTGTACTGTATTCCATAGCTTAGGTTGGGGTTAGGGGTGGGCAAATTTTGGTTTATCTTCATTTCTCATTTTTCGATTCTCAAGTCCAGTACTCCACATTTCCACATCAATTTGTGAGTATATATTTGTTTCAAGTCCTGCTGAAAATTCACCCCATCTTAGTTCAACTTACTCCTAATATACATAGATTTATATGAAAGTTTGTCTAACACGTACAAGCTTGCAAAGCAATTTCTCCTAAAATAATGCATTTCTCTATTCCATTTTTGACAATACAGTGGTACCTTGGTTCTCAAACTTAATCCGTTCCGGAAATCCGTTCCAAAACCAAAGCGTTCCAAAACCAAGACACTCTTTCCCATAGGAAGTAATGCAAAAAGGATTGATTCATTCCAGACTTTTAAAAACAACCCCTAAAACAGCAATTTAACATGAATTTTACTCTCTAACAAGACCATTGATCCATAAAATAAAAGCAATAATCAATGTATTGTACTATTAAAATGTATAAGACAGTATTGTAGATGATAAAAAAAATTAAAACATTTCTTACCTGCACTGATGATAGTCATTGTTTGAATGGGGGGCTTTTATCCATTTCCGCAGTCACACAATAAATCAATCAATCAGTAGTTGAACTGGGTTCCACACAGTCACAAAAACAAATTAACTGAAAAAGCCTCAAAAACAAAAACGCAAAATAAATAGCCAAAACAAAAGTGCCAAATACAGAGGTACCTTGGTTCTCGAACTTAATCTGTTCTGGAAGTCCATTTGACTTCTGAAATGTTCAAAAACCAGGATGTGGCTTTTGGTTGGTGCAGGTGCCCCAGAAACAATATCCAACAGCTGCATCAGACATTCGGCTTCCAAAAAAACACTTCCAGGTTTTTGGTGTTTGGGAACCAAGTCATTTGAAAACCAAGTTTGTTGTTGTTGTTGTTGTTTAGTCGTTTAGTCGTGTCCGACTCTTCGTGACCCCAAGGACCAGAACACGCCAGGCACCTCTGTCCTCCACTGCCTCCCGCAGTTTGGTCAATCTCATGCTGGTAACCTCGAAAACACTATCCAACCATCTCGTCCTCTGTCGCCCCCTTCTCCTTGTGCCCTCCATCTTTCCCAACATCAGGGTCTTCTCCAGGAGTCTTCTCTTCTCATGAGGTGGCCAAAGTACTGGAGCCTCAGCTTCACGATCTGTCCTTCCAGTGAGCACTCAGGGCTGATTTCCTTCAGAATGGATAGGTTTGATCTTCTTGCAGTCCATGGGACTCTCAAGAGTCTCCTCCAGCACCATAATTCAAAAGCATCAATTCTTCGGCGATCAGCCTTCTTTATGGTCCAGCTCTCACTTCCATACATCACTACTGGGAAAACCATAGCTTTAACTATACGAACCTTTGTTGGCAAGGTGATGTCTCTACTTCTCAAGATGCTGTCTAGGCCTGTCATTGCCCTTCTCCCAAGAAGCAGGCGTCTTTTAATTTCGTGGCTGCTGTCACCATCTGCAGTGATCATGGAGCCCAAGAAGGTAAAATCTCTCACTGCCTCCATTTCTTCCCCTTCTATTTGCCAGGAGGTGATGGGCCCAGTGGCCATGATCTTCGTTTTTTGATGTTAAGCTTCAGACCATATTTTGCGCTCTCCTCTTTCACTCTCATTAAAAGGTTCTTTAATTCCTCCTCACTTTCTGCCATCAAGGTTGTGTCATCTGCATATCTGAGGTTGTTGATATTTCTTCCAGCAATCTTAATTCCGGCTAGGGATTCATCCAGCCCAGCCTTTCGCATGATGAATTCTGCATATAAGTTAAATAAGCAGGGAGACAAAATACAGCCTTGTCGTACTCCTTTCCCAATTTTGAACCAATCAGTTGTTCCATATCCGGTTCTAACTGTAGCTTCTTGTCCCACATAGAGATTTCTCAGGAGACAGATGAGGTGATCAGGCACTCCCATTTCTTTAAGAACTTGCCCTAGTTTGCCGTGGTCGACACAGTCAAAGGCTTTTGCATAGTCAATGAAGCAGAAGTAGATGTCTTTCTGGAACTCTCTAGCTTTCTCCATAATCCAGCGCATGTTTGCAATTTGGTCTCTGGTTCCTCTGCCTCTTCTAAATCCAGCTTGCACTTCTGGGAGTTCTCGGTCCACATACTGCTTGAGCCTTCCTTGTAGAATTTTAAGCATAACCTTGCTAGTGTGTGAAATGAGTGCAATTGTGCGGTAGTTGGAGCATTCTTTGGCACTGCCCTTCTTTGGGATTGGGATGTAGACTGATCTTCTCCAATCTTCTGGCCACTGCTGAGTTTTCCAAACTTGCTGGCATATTGAGTGTAGCACCTTAACAGCATCATCTTTTAAAATTTTAAATAGTTCAGCTGGAATACCATCACTTCCACTGGCCTTGTTATTAGCAGTGCTTTCTAAGGCCCATTTGACTTCACTCTCCAGGATGTCTGGCTCAAGGTCAGCAACCACACTACCTGGGGTATATGAGACATCTATATCTTTCTGGTATAATTCCTCTGTGTATTCTTGCCACCTCTTCTTGATGTCTTCTGCTTCTGTTAGGTCCTTTCCACTTTTGTCCTTTATTATGGTAATCTTTGTACGAAATGTTCCTTTCATATCTCCAATTTTCTTGAACAGATCTCTGGTTCTTCCCATTCTATTGCTTTCCTCTATTTCTTTGCATTGCTCGTTTAAGAAGGTCTTCCTGTCTCTCCTTGCTATTCTTTGGAAATCTGCATTCAATTTCTTGTATCTTTCACTATCTCCCTCGCATTTTGCTTGCCTTCTCTCCCCGCTATTTGTAAGGCCTCATTGGACAGCCACTTTGCTTTCTTGCATTTCCTTTTCATTGGGATGGTTTTCGTTGCTGCCTCCTGTATAATGTTGCGAGCCTCCATCCACAGTTCTTCAGGCACTCTGTCCACCAAATCTAAATCCTTAAACCTGTTCCTCACTTCCACTGTGTATTCATAAGGGATTTGATTTAGATTGTATCTTACCATCCCAGTGGTTTTTCCTACTTTTTTTCAGTTTAAGCTTGAATTTTGCTATAAGAAGCTGATGATCTGAGCCACAGTCAGCTCCAGGTCTTGTTTTTGCTGACTGTATAGAGCTTCTCCATCTTTGGCTGCAGAGAATATAATCAATCTGATTTCGATGCTGCCCATCTGGTGATGTCCATGTGTAGAGTCGTCTCTTGTGTTGTTGGAAAAGCGTGTTTGTGATGACCAGCTTGTTCTCTTGGCAGAACTCTATTAGCCTTTGCCCTGCTTCGTTTTGATCTCCAAGGCCAAACTTGCCAGTTGTTCCTTTTATCTCTTGACTCCCTACTTTAGCATTCCAATCCCCTATAATGAGAAGAACATCCTTCTTTGGTGTCACTTCTATAAGGTCTTGTAAGTCTTCATAGAATTGGTCAATTTCAGTTTCTTCAGCACCAGTAGTTGGTGCATAAACTTGGATTACTGTGATGTTAAAAGGTCTGCCTTGGATTCGTATCGAGATCATTCTATCATTTTTGAAATTGCATCCCAGTACAGCTTTTGCCACTCTTTTGTTGACTATGAGGGCCACTCCATTTCTTTTACGGGTTTCTTGCCCACAGTAGTAGATATGATGGTCATCCGAACTGAATTCACCCATTCCCGTCCATTTTAGTTCACTGATGCCCAGGATGTCAATATTTATTCTTGCCATCTCATTTTTGACCACCTCCAACTTACCCAGGTTCATGGTTCTTACATTCCAGGTTCCTATGCAATATTTTTCTTTACAGCATTGGACTTTCCTTTCACTTCCAGGCATATCCGCAACTGAGCGTCCTTTCGGCTTTGGCCCAGCCGCTTCATCAGCTCTGGATCTACTTGTACTTGCCCTCCGCTCTTCCCCAGTAGCATGTTGGACGCCTTCCGACCTGAGGGCTCATCTTCCAGCATCATAACTTTTATATGCCTGTTGTCTTTGTCCATGGAGTTTTCTTGGCAGGGATACTGGAGTGGCTTGCCGGTTCCTCCTCCAGGTGGATCACGTTTGGTCAAAACTCTCCACTATGACCTGTCCATCTTGGGTGCCCTGCTTGGCATAGTTCATAGCTTCTCTGAGTTCTTCAAGCCCCTTCGCCACGGCAAGGCAGTGATCCATGAAGGGGGAAAACCAAGTTACCACTGTATTAACTTTTATATGCACTATTTGCCCTGTCATGTGCATTTTTACGCACATTATTTGGCTAGAGGACTGGGTTACAAAATCCAAAGAAGTGAGAATTCCAAAGATGGCTGTCTTTTGGTTTTCGCGCTGTTTGAGAAAGTGTGAATTAGGTTGGTTCACCTTTAAATGTGAACTGGAGCACATTTCCATGCTTAGTTGAGAGGGCCTGCCCAGGTGACGCCCAAGCTCACTTGGGGTGAAAAGTACTTGCGGGGTTGCCAGTGATGAAACAACTTCTGGTCCAAGAGACGGCTGCCTAGGATTTTCCAAGGCTTGGGCACAATCCACTTCCAAAGCAGATTTGGGCCTGGGCACAGGCAGATTTTGAAGAGACCCCTCGATTTGACTGGAGGAGACAACAGACAGAACATATCTCCCTTGATCCTTAAAAGAATTGGGGGGGGGTATTAAAAGTGTGTTTTATCAACACTGCTGAGCAAACTGGCTTGTGGTCCTTCATTCTCCACAGGGAGTCCTGCGAAGGGTATTTCAGTGGAGGAGGCGGAATATTGGGGACAGTGGCGTAGCAAGGTCAGGTGGTACCCGGTGCAGATAGGATTGGCTGTGGGTTGAGTGATGATGAGTCACCGGCTGTTTACGTCTTGCTCGAGTACAAACTGCAGAGACAGACTTCGGCGGAAAGAAACACCCCCTGCCCTTCCTTATCCATTTGCTCTCCACTACACAGCATCAAGTTCAGCCGTGTTTTGTTGCGTTTGTTGACTGAACTAAAAAGTTTCAATATGTATTGTGTTGACTTGCTGAGGTTAATTAATTGTCAGACAAAGTTATTGAACTCGTTTTAAATAATATTATTTTTTCAAAAAAAGTGCCATGAGCCCAATTTTTAATTTTTAAAATTTATTTTAAAAACACGTATTTTGCCATTTTGTCACACCCCCCCCCCCCAGTGGTGACACCCGGGGCGGCCCGCACCCACCGCACCCCCCTTCCTACGCCACTGGTTGGGGAGAATCTGTGCGGTCTAAAATAAACGTATACAGTGGTACCTCGGGTTAAGTACTTAATTTGTTCCAGAGGTCTGTACTTAACCTGAAACTGTTCTCAACCTGAAGCACCACTGTAGCTAATGGGGCCTCCCGCTGCTGCCGCGCCGCCGGAGCACGATTTCTGTTCTCATCCTGAAGCAAAGTTCTTAACCTGAAGCACCATTTCTGGGTTAGTGGAGTCTGTAACCTGAAGCGTATGTAACCTGAAGCGTATGTAACCCAAGGTACCACTGTACTGAGCTCTCAAGAAGATTGTCCTGCATTGAGGCAAACTTCCCTCAATGGTCCCTAGATGTCAGTATAGGCCTAGGAGCGTTCCATTTCTTTGCTTTCCCTTATTCTGTTTAGGAGAACTCTCCTCTGGAAAACTCATCCCATGCCAACACTGTCCCTGTTTAGGTGCTAAGGGAGTGGGATTCTGAATCCCTATGCTTTTGTGTTCTACTTCAAGATGGTCTCATTCTAGCCCTGTTTTGGGGAGAGCGGAAGCCTTCAGGAAACACACCCTGAGGCAACACCCTCCCTTGCCCTGTGTCTCCAGCATATCTTTGATTACCAGGCAGACAGACCCCAGGGCTGGCTCTACTTATCTTGTAAGTCACGATATGTTGCAAATTAGAAACACATAACTCATAACACTTCCATTAAACGCTGCAAGAACCACCATGGCCAAGACATGGAAATAATTACAAATAATGGTTGATTGTGGACCAATAGTCTAATGCAATCTGGCAAACAACAGGATTGGAAAAACTGCCACAAAAATTAAAAGTAGCAAGAGGGCAAAAGAATCATGATGATTTTTATGCAATCTGATGTGACTTTATTGATTACACAAATAAAGAGGCATATGGAAGAACCGTACCCAAAGTTTACAGCACAGTCTAGCGTGCATGAAGGACATATTTTAACTTCCCCCTACCCCTTTCCTATAAATTCCTATAAATTCTAATTGTTATTGATACAAAATTCCTCTTACCTATTGTCACTGTTACTTTGCACCATTTCATATCTGTAGTAATTGTCATATTTTTGCTATATACACTTTGACACAACCTTGTCAGAAACATTTGTCTGTGTGTTTATAGTTGCTTTAATTTTATGTAATTGTTGCATGTCATATGCTCTAATGTAAACAAAGATATATCTCAATGCAACCATGATAAACAGCTTAAAGATGAAAAGGAATAAGAACTATGTTACCCTCCCCAAAAAAAGAACTGAACTGCGTTGAATGAGGATACGCAAACATTTCTCCCATAGTCCATCCAAGCAGCAGTTAAACATTCCTAAAAAGTATAAACACACACGCAGCGAGATAGAGTTGCATTACTTGTGCCTTCCTTTGTCTCCATTTCTGGGCAGGTTCTGGACCGTCAAGGACTGACCACACCTGCCTTGTCCTTAAGGACCTTCATACCTGCACCATGTCCCAGTCCCCACCCCCACCCCCTGCACCACTGCTGGTTTGGTTGGTCTTCCAGATCTATGGGTGGTGTTGGTGCTGGGGAGATGGCAGGAAGTGACGTTGCTTGCAAGACATATCCATGCTACTAATGCAGGGCAGGAGCCCAGCTGATGTAAGGACCATGCTGTGTGACTGGGAAATGCCCTGCTCAAAGATCCTCTGTTGGACCATGCTGGCTAAGTATTGGTGGGATTGTGGGTTAGATGGCAAGGGAGGCAGTGGCAGCACACTGTGCTACGGAGCTGGGAAACTGGGTCCCACTGACTCTCCCACCTCCTTGTTGGGGTGAAGGAACATCAACACAGGTCTAGGGTAGAAACTCTGGTGCCTCCAGTGGGCCTTAAAATCCCTGGGGCAGGAAGGCCAGCACTTTGAGAAACACGCCCCATCCTTAAATGCCATGGTCTGGTGGTACTGGAGGAAGAAGTGGGAGCAAGCTCTGCTTTGGGCCTTCTCATGCCATGCACAGCTCGACAACTTTCTTGGCCAGCACTGGGAAGCTTGTGTCCAGGAAACACGAAGGGCGTGGGGAAGAGAGAGGTCAACATCCCAATGCTTTGCAAGGTGAACGCCAGACAGAATGCAGCTCCCAAGGTCCTTGTGGCTTGGCTTCCGAGTCCTGGTAAGAGCTCAGGGCGTGGCTTGGTGGACGTCCTCTGAGCGAAGCACTTTGTAGACCACCCAGTAGAAGATGTTGAAGACCAGGAAGGTGAAGGGGAAGACCGCCCGAGAGATGGTGTCGATGCGCTTGGCCCTGTCCAGGTAGCGCCTCCGGAGCATCTCGTCCTCCCTCAGGAGCGAGGTGGGAGGGGGTGGCCTGTAGATGTCAAGACTTTCCATTGCCCCACCGTCCTTCATGTGCTGCAGGCAGTGGCCCAGGCCGTAGCCCCGGAAGTAGAAGCGGCTCTCGCGGACAACCTCTTCCTCCTGGGGAAAGAGAAAGGGAGGGAGCAGCCCAGGGAGCTGGGGTCATTGCTTTGGAGGGGTAGTCACAGCTTAAAGGTTCTCCGTCTTGTCTACAGGACAGCGGGGCCCTCGATGCTGCCGCATCATGGCTCAAGCCCAAAATCCTTCCTCCAAGGATGGTGGCTTGAACCAGGGCACTGAAACTAATGGGACCCAATTGCTTTCGAGGTAATGCCGGAGACATGCCACAACAGAGCAGGTGGGATGTCTACAAGGCAGTCAAACCAACAAGGTGTGTTTGCTAGAAAGGCAAACACAGGGGAAGTTGGATCTCTACAGGAAATCCTCCCTGGGAAAGCCACTCCCACTGTCTCTAGCCAGGTAAAGGTGAGCAGCCTATATAAGCTGGTCACATCCCTGGCCTGCTCCTTCTCTGATACCTAATCTCCAATCTCTTCTCTTCAATGACTAGGGATGTAGGACATGCGCTGAGTATGAGAAACAGCTCAAACTCCACTTTAATCTAAACTACCATATATGTCTGTAACGACCTTTTAAGCCTGGTGCAGGACTGCTGCTGTGAAACCGGGTGAGTACCTAAATCTATCTTTACTAATAAGAATACTGTGTGTTTATTGTTTTACGGGGGGGGAGGGGAATACCAGGAAATCCAATCTGTGATAAACCATCCTGGATTGCTTAAATTAAAGGGCTAACACTAGTTTATCAACAGCTTTCTTATTATTATTATTTTCAGCAAAGAGGATGTACTCTGCTGAACTCACAAATGTGAGTAAGGAAGGATAATATCTAACAAATATATTATCTCTTTATTTCTATACGCATCCCATGAGAGCATGTGAAGAGGGGCTGCAGCCTTCTCTATTTCCAGCTTCTATAGTGTGTGTCTGTCGAAGAGCTGTGTGCCACTCAGAACGCATGCATGCCCTGATAACAGCTGCCCTTCGGTCCTCCTAAGCTCACTTCCAGCACATCCAACCCTCTCTCCCTCTGGGCTCCTTTGGCTTCCAAGGGCTGCGTGGTGACCCCACTGCCAGCAAAAACCCTTTGCTCCCACACATACAGGGGGTGCTGTGCATTTGTGGGCAACACTGCAGGGTGGGTTTCTCACAGGCAATGGGGAAGGCGGTGCAAGGGAGGGAGGGGGAAAACATGAGGGTTGGCGTGGAGAAGGGTGACAGGCGGAGAGCAGGAGACCTGCGGGGTGGGGTCAGGGTGTGGGGAAGGGGTGTGTGCTTGCTTTTTACCCTGGAGTCGGTGCTGCCGAATTGAGAGAGGGTCTCGCAGGTGGACTCGCTGCTGGGCGTGACCTCCAGCTGCCGTAGGGACTCCAAGCTGGGCGTCTGGCTGTTCAGACCCTTTTACAATCCAGCAGGGAGTGCAGATCAAACAGAAACAGGAGAGTGGATGACCGAGGGTTCGGCTGGCGCACAGCGACTCTGGGCGGGAGCCCGTGCAAAGGGTCTGTCCATTGATGCCCATAGGCGTGGCTCGCTCTGGCTCAACAGGTCTCCTCTTAGAGAGCTTGGTTGACTACAGTCCTCTGGGTGGACTCACACATGCACAGAACGCCCAGGTGTGCCCCATCATTCAACAAGAGAACAGACAGGGGAGACCCACCAGGTGCCTGGCAGGCCTGCCCTCTCCTCTTTGGAGGATGGCAGCAAAAAGGCAGTGGGGCAGTGGGGCTTAGAGGCCCTGGTGGGTGGAATCACAGAACCGTAGTGTTGTGGAGTTGGAAGGGACCTGCCCAACCTTCTGCAATGCAGGAATCTCAGCTCAAGCAGATGGCTCTCCAAGCTCTGTGTCAAAACCTCCAACAAGAGAGAGAGAGTTCACCACTTTCCAAGGGAGTCCGTTCCACCCAAGGACAACCCTCATTCCCACAAAAACACACACACACAATGCCTCCAACAAAGGGCTCAAAATGGTGTGTGGGCTTTGACGGCACATTCACACAAACCAGCCATTCAGGAGCTCCCAGCTTAGGCAGGGAGGAGGAGGGGAATGGAGGAGGATGAAAGGCAAGGTTTTGTGGGAGCTTGTGGAATGGCAGCATCATTACATGCGCACACACGCACACGCACACACACACATACCTTGATAGGAACTGAACCAATGGATTCAAATGACAAGGAAGGAGATTCCATCTCAACATCAGAAGAGCCATTGAACCATGGAATGGACTCCTTTGGGAGGTGGTGGACTCTGCTTCCTGGGAGGTTTTGAAGCAGAGGTTGGATGGCCATCTGTCAGGGATGCTTGAGCTGAGATTCCTGCATCCCTGGGGGTCTCTTCCAACTCTACAATTCTATGATTCCGTCTCGGCTTGCCAAGTGGCCAGCCTTTAAGGCTGCAGATATAGAACTGGGAGGGTTTAGTCAAGGCTTGGTGACATCTCAAAAGAAGGCCATGGGCTAAGGAGGGTGAGGAGAAAGGGGCTGAGCAGGATTGCCCAGGGTCCTTCAGCATTCCTGGCCCTTCCTTGCAACTCCCAGAAATGGATGGATGCCAAATAAGCCAAGCTACGCAAATGTGCTTTCAAAAATGTGCTTTCAACATTTGCTTTTCCTGACGATTTCATTTATTAAAGTGTGGGCCTCTACAAATGAGATGGTTGCAGTGGGGGTGGGCACTGGGGCGCATGACTCAGGAAAAGGGGGGTGAGGAGAAGGGGAGAGGGGTGGAAGGAGGAAGCAGCAGCAACAGCAACAACACAGTCTCACAGACACCCTCGAAGACCAGTAGCTTTATCTCTGGGGGTACAAACCCAACTGGGAACCCTGCCGTCACGCCCAGGAAGGTGCTTCCTCTGAATTCTAGGTCTGTGTCTGGCTTTGCTGCAGCTAGAGAAGGCCGTTTGCACTCTGCACCTGCTCAGAGATGCTCCCTCCAGCTGGGCAACATCTCATCCTGCTCACAGAATCATAGAATCGTCGAATCACAGAGTTAGAAGGGACCCTGAGGGTCAGCTGGTCCAACCCTATTCAAGGCAGGAATCTCAACTAAAGCATCCATAACCGATGGCCACCCAACCTCTTTTTGCTGCTGCATCTCACTATTGAGTCACGTTAAGCTTGGAGTCCACCAAGACCCCCTAGATTCTTCTCACATGTAAGCCAGGTTGTCCCCCATTCTTATGTTCTTACAGCTCCATCCATTGAATGGCAGCAGCTCTCAGATCAAGCATCTTCTCCCTGTTAGTGTAGTCTAAAAACAGGCTTGAAACGATCCTTGCATAGTTTTGCCCCTAGCAACAAGTTTTATCCCAGCAACAGGTCTTCCCCAGCAACAGGGTTTCCTTAGCAACAGACTTCTCTATTAGACAGGCTCTGAATGAGAGAATTTTGGCTGTTACTCTGGCCAGACAGCTAAAGAGCAGAGAGGAGGAAGGATTCTCTGTGCATGGTTTTACTTTATTTTCCTCAGACCAGTGGTTGTAATGTTGATTTTTCAATAAATACTTTAAGCAGGACTAGAATGGGTGAGGTGTTTGTTCCCACATGGGAATTCACCAACAGATGAAGTGGACTGAGAAAGAAGGTTCTGGAGGATTTTCTGGGTGATTCAGCTGACTGAAAAGGAACCCGCAAAAGGAACAAATTGCATTGATACACCTGGCCCTCCCTGGAGAAGCCGTTGGGAGTTGTACCTGTGGCCTTCTGCAGGCACTGAGCTACAGCCCTTCCCCTCAAAATAAAGATTTGTCCTCATGGTTCAGAATGAAAGACTCCAACTAGACCTTGAGAGCTCTTGGGAGTTGGTGGCAGCGGCCAATGATAATGTTGTCATATCAGATTCAAAACCTGTTTTGTTTTGTTTTTCTTTTGCTACAGAGACTCAGGGCAGATTTGGTGAACCTGATGAAAGAAAAACACCTGCAAAACAGGTGGGAGGCCTTGAAATATCTTCTGGGTGCCATCTGTTTCTCAACATGCTAGTTTGAGCTACAGCCCAATCCAAAGCCCCTGCCTCCCCACCACATCCTGGGTGACTTTCAACAAAAATTCAGGGTCATCTGGGCCAGGAATCTGGGAGGGAGGGCAAGTGGCGGCAATCCTGCTCCATTAGGAAGGGGTTGAGCAACCCAGCAGACAGGGATGGCTCAGCTATTGCCACTTGAGAAGGGAAGCCCTGATCCTGCCCACCCCTCCCTTTCCCCAACCCAGGATCATGGCCATTGTGTCTGGGCTGAGAAGAGCAGCTGGGAATACAGCCAGCGAATCGCCCCCTTCCATCAAGAAGACAGCCAAGGTGGGGGGCGGGGCAGGTGGGGGTGGGGGGTGTCAATCCGCCTACTCACCATCTGCTGCCGCCGCTGCCTTCGGCGCAGGCGCATGAACTCCTTGTGCTGGCGGGAGACGAAGTTGACGGCGGCATACTCCAGCAAGGCAGCGAAGACGAAGAGGAGGCAGACAGCCATCCAGATGTCAATGGCTTTGACGTAGGAGACCTGCAAAGGAGGAAGGGAGAACAGGGTGGCCCCTCAGAAGTGGGTTGCTAGGCAGGGCCTGACTTAAAAGACTCTATCCCCCTTGGGGATCTGGTCCTCTACTCAGCAAGAGCACCCTAATGTCCCACAGTGTCTTAGAATAAAATTATCCTAGAATTGGAAGGGATCCCATGGGGCAATCTAGTCCAACCCCCTGCAATGCAGAAATCTCAGTTCAAGCATCCATGGCAAATGACCACCCAACCTCTGCTTAGAAACCTCCAGGGAAGGAGAGCCCACCACCTTCCGAGGGAGACCTTTCCACTGTTGAACTGCTCTTACTGCTAGAAAGTTCTTCCTGAGGTTTAGTCAGTACCTCCTTTCTCATAACTTGAAGCCATTGGTTCGAGTCCTACCCTCCAGAGAAGGAGGAAACAAGCTTGTTCCCTCTTCCATGGGACAGCCCTTGAGATATTTGAAGACAGCTATCCAATCTCTTCTCACTCTCCTCTTTTCCAGGCAAAACATACTCAGCTCCTTCAACCGTTCCTCATAAGGCTTGGTTTCCAGACCCTTGATCATCTTGCTTGCCCTCCTCTGCACACCTTCCATCATCCTTCTTAAATTGCAAGGGGTTAGACTAGATTGCCCTCAGGGTCTCTTCCAACTCTACATTTCTATGGTTCTATGATGAATTCTATACTGATGCATTGGAAGACTAAAGATCTGATCCTCTTCAGTCAATGGACTGACAACATGACAACACTCTCAACATATGAACGGATTGCTGGTAGACATAGACTTTGAGTTTATACAGAATATAGTAGGTTTTTAACAAGCATATACGTATTAGGATAATGATACCACTTATATCTATATAATAATGTATGGAAATGTAACTGGTTATAATAATGGTATTGTCTTTTCTGCAAAAATAAAAAATTCTATGATTCTAGGAACTATGTACACTACCTTGAGAAAAGGTGGGTGGTGGATATGATGAATAAATAATAAACCTCTCCTTTTTTCTGTCCCTGACAAAGTATCTTTGGTTATGCAATCTTGTCTTAATAGCTTCCAGAGATAAGCTGCACAGGATGGTGATTTTAACTCTGCTGAAGTAGAGATTTGCATTCTCAGAGAAGTGAGAAAGAGGAAGGAGTGTGGCTAAATAGAACATCCTCTCCTACTCCTCAAAATCCACGTATGAGGCTTTGAGCTCCTTGGAGGGAAAGGTGCGGTGGGAATGCAATAATGAAACAAATATTTGCAAGACGCCATCTTGGGGACTGGAGAGGCTCACTTGCCTCCCTCCTTGGGAGAGCGCTATTTCTCCCCTTCCCCCTCAAACCACCTGGCAGCACCAACCTTTGGCAGAGACGCCCGGGAGCCTGCGCTCTGCGTGGTCATGGTTAGCACCGTGGTGATGCCAAGGCCCACCCGGGCAGGGGCAGCATCCATGTTGATCCAAAAGGAGACCCAGGAAAGGATGACGATGAGCAGGCTGGGGATGTACATCTGGATCAGGTAGTAGCCCATCTGCCTCTCCAGGTGGAACTTCACCTCGATGCAGGTGAACTTCCCTGCAAGGGAAATGGCAGAGCAGGCCCAGTGCCGGATTGACGTATAAGCTAAACCAGCTACAGCTTAGGGCCCACTCTCTTGGGGCCCCCAAAAAATTAAAGGGGGAAACGATGTACATTTCCAAAATATAAGATAAAAAACATAAAATAAAACCTACAATTATTATTTCATGTTATAGCAAGTTTCTAGAGGCTAGATTATGAGTCTTTGTACATTGTGTTTCTAAAGGAACTTTTGTTATTGCCAAATGCCAATGTGTTTGCATTATTAAGTTTGTTATGAATAAAAAATCATTTTAAGTTAGAGATTAATAATTATTTCACTATTAATATACTATTCACTATTTCACTATTAATATACTTCTTCTTAATTGCATTTCACTTCAATGACTTTGATAAAATACATATTTTGTTATGTGCAAATGGCTTGAGATGCCTATGAGGTCCATAAATGACCATATAGCATACATTCAACACAAAAAACAGCAACAATTTGTTGTTGACAAAGGACAGCTGGACATTGAAAGGGCCCCATTACCTTCTGGAGCACCTTAGGGCCTCATCAAACCTAAATCCGGTCCTGAGCGTGCCCATGAGACACTGCTGATTGGGAAAGATTACAGAAGGAGTATTTGAAATTTACAGCATGCTGTACATTGAAAGAAAACTATGTGAAAATGATGTGCTGATGGTATTTGACTCCCACAAGATTAGCAAAAATGTAGAAAAATACTACCAACCTATGTTGGAAGTGTAAAGAGAATGAAGGCACGTTCTAACACATGTAGTCGACGTGCAAAAAGGGGTGAGCATTCTGGGAAATGTTATTTACTGAATTGAAAATAATGTTTAAGATAACTTTTGTTATTAAAAAAGGAAGCTTTTAAATCGGCATTACAGGAGAAGAAATACCAAAGGACTTAAAAAGACTGTTTATGTATGCAAAGACAGCTGCAAGAATGCTTTTTGCCCAAAGATGGAAGTAAGAGGAAACGCCAACCAAGAAAGAGTAGATAGAGAAAATGATGGACTACGCAGAAATGGGAAGATCAGGCACCAAGATGACAGTAAATTTAAAAAAGAATGGCATAAATTTATAGAGTATATTAAGGAACCATGTAAAAATTTAAAGACATTAGCAAGATTGATGTAGCACTTGTAATTTTAAACTGGTAAGGGATTTAATTAATTCAATTTAATTAAAGTTGGATATATGCAATTAGATGCAGTCAAAATTTAAAAAATATATTTGAGGAAAACCAGAAGGGGGATGAGGGAAGTCCAGGGGTTAGAGAATCCCACAAAGGTATAAATATTGCTGAATTTAAGTTTGAATGATGTTAATGATGAAAAAACTGAATATATATATATATATAGAGAGAGAGAGAGAGAGAGAGAGAGAGAGTGCCAATGAGACAACGCTGAGGTTACAAAGGTTGTTTGGGGGGGGGGCTCCATGTGTCCTCCTCATAAAGAGGTTGTTCCCCTCTTTATTTCATTTATTTGTGCCATTCCTAGAATGCCCATGGACCAAGTTCCCCTGGATGGTTTGCAAAAACCAGTCAAATATGCAGATGTGATACCATCAGTTAAAAAGACTCTGTACAAGATTGGGATCCTTAAAATTAAAAGAAGGGGGGGGAGCAGAGTCAGGAAATCAAGAAGAAAGAGGAGGAAACACCTGGGAGGTGAGATGCCCACCATTGGCACAAGCCCCGTGGCAAAGGAGTGGGCAGCGTTGCGGGTGGGAAGGTGCTCATTCTGTGCTGGGACAATGGAAGCATCTGACGGAGGGAGGCTGGTTACCTGTGTTGTAAGACTTTGTGCAGTAGCCCAGGTCCTTCTCATCCCGCAAAATGAACTGAGGGAGCGTCAAGCCTTCGGCCACCTGCACAGCTTCCTGCTCCTTCACCCACTCAAAGATCAGGTCGTTCATGGTGTAGCCAACTAGAAGGCAAAGGCAGCGGGTGAGGAAGGAAGGGTGAGAGGGGAGAGCATCCCAGAGTCTTCCAGCCATCTGCACAAAGCCACAAGGGCTGTCGGGCATCCTCCCCCCTCCCCCAAACCACAAGGCCTTCATAGAATCATAGAATGGTAGAGTTGGAAGGGACCCCTGGCTCCCTGGGTGCAATGTGTGTAACGGTAAAGGGGTAAAGGGACCCCTGACCACTAGGTCCAGTTGTGGACGACTCTGGGGTTGCGGCGCTCATCTCGCTCTACTGGCCGAGGGAGCCGGCGTACAGCTTCCGGGTCATGTGGCCAGCATGACTAAGCCGCTTCTGGCGAACCAGAGCAGCGCACGGAAACACCATTTACCTTCCTGCCAGAGAGGTACTTATTTATCTACTTGCACTTTGACATGCTTTCGAACTGCTAGGTTGGCAGGAGCAGGGACTGAGCAACGGGAGCTCACCCCGTCGTGGGGATTCGAACTGCCAACCTTCTGATCGGCAAGCCCTAGGCTCTTTGGTTTAACCCACAGCGCCACCCGCGTCCCTTATCATCCAACTTAGTGTTTCCCAAAGTGGGTAATACCACCCCCTGGGAGGCGCTGGAACAATCCAGGGAGCGGGTAGTAGCCGTGGGTGCAAGGGGGTGGGCGTCGAATAAAGCATGAAGAAAGACGAGAAGAGAATAAAATTTTGAAAAACCATTTGTACATGTTTCATTTGTTGTATAATGATGCTTATCAATGTAAAATAAAGTCAGAGTGGTTATCTGCTTAGGACGTAGCTAGAAATAAAGATACATAAAAAGAATGCAAATTTGTCACGGCATCTTTCTGTTTGTGCACTTCACAAAGGTAGATTTCCAGGAGGCAACTGAGTATTTTTTTTCTGAAAAGGGGGCACTAGGCCAAATAAGCTTGGGAACCCTCTGATCTAGTCCAACCCCCTGCTATGCAGGAATCTCATCTAAAGCATCCATGACAAGTGGCTACCTAACCAGTGTTCAAAACTCCCGTTCTAGGAGCATTTTGAGCCATGGAATTTCATTGGCGCCAGCAGTTTCTGAGCTCTGGGTGCAGCAAGTCCTGATTTCAGATTAAAACTGCAGAGCGGAAGGAAAGGAGGACCTTTTTCTGCCTCCCCACTTCCAGCTACTCTCTGAAGAAGAGACCCTCTTAAGAATATTAGGGGGGTGGGCAGGGGAAGGACTAGACCATGTGAAAAATGAAGATAATATTTTAGTTGCAGTTCATTCGTTTTCAGCTTTGTATTCTTGTTATTAAAAAAGTGCACCTAGACATTCTGTTGTTGCTTCCACAACCTCGGTTGAAGGTGCCATTGAGCTCCTAGCTTCCACGTCTCCGTTTCTAACACTGTACCCAACCTCTGCTTAGAAATCTCCAATGAACCAAAGTCCACCACCTTCTGAGAGAGTCCATTCCACTGTCAAACAACTCTCACTCTCAGAAAGCTCTTCCTGGTGTCTTTAGTTGGAGTCTCCTTTCTTGTAACTTGAAGCCACTGGTTCAAGTCCTACCTTCCAGAGCAGGAGGAAACAAGCTTGCTCCATCTTCCATGGGACAGCCCTTTGCTCACTGCCTCTTCCTCTGCTCAGCACCAGTCACCTTCCCACCCCATAGCAAAGGGAACGCAGACCAGATCATGCTCAACTACAAGTTCCACTTGTGGGATGTGAAACACAAGAGCAGTCAAGTACAACATTCCTAGAGTGAACATGTTTACACATGGGGAGGAATGTTTGTCCAGCCAGCAGGTAAACTTCCTGTTTCCTTCTGGGTTGGGACAGACTTCCTCTGCATGTGACTAGAGGTGGGTGTGGCCTCACCTGTGCAGGTAACGACAAAAGCACAGGGCAGGGCAGACATCTCTCTCTCTTTGACTACATGCATTGAAGAAACAACATCTGCTTAGCCAAAGATGCTCTCTTGGCCTCCAGCCAAGGACAAAGGGACTGTCTCCTTATGAGATAGTTTCCAGGTGTATGTTACTTTTCTAAGCAAAGTCTGCCTTCTGGGATCCTATTGTGAACAGAATGATGTGTGAGTAAAGCTTTTTATACTTTTATAGAAGACTGTGACATGTCTTATCTTTTATGAGGGAATAAGGGGAAAATACCAGAACAGTTATTATAGAGGCTTTAGCAAGCCTGAGCAAACGCATCCGCTGCGAATTTTAAAAAGGGGGAATGTTATTCTGCTAAATTGTGAACAGACAATATATCCTCTCCTGCATCCCTGAACATTCCCACACCACTGTCCTCCCTTGCTGGTTGGGATACATGTTCCCTGCCCCAGGGGCTATTGCCTTTCCCCTTGACCTGCTCCTCCAACTCCGCCACTCAAGGCATCATTGCTTTCTGAGAAGCCCCAGAGCTGCTTTGAAATGGACTCTTCCACTGCCAGAGTCTGCTGGGACTTCCAGAACCTCAACAATGACTTTGGGGAGCCACCCTGGACTCAGCTGGCAGTCCTTCCACTGCCCATCTGCTGGCCACTCCGTGCAGCTCACTGGCAACAATTTGGGGCAGCATCCTTCCTCCTTGCCTCTAAACATAGATTGCAGGTGCGGCAACTGTCCTGCACCTGGCACCGCAAAAAGGTTTTGCCCTGGTACTCACAACTCTCCAGTTGCATCGTGCAGGTCTGGATGTCCATCGGGAAGTTCTTGAGGTCCATGGGGCAGGACAGGATTAGTGTCAGCCTAGGAGGGAAGGGGAGAGAAAGGAGGGGGTCAGGGGGGAAAGGGGTCTGTGTCGGGCCCTGCCCTGCTTCCGAGTGGCAGCAGGGAGAGCCCATGCCAGGCGCCGCTGGGCCCACCTGATGCTGTAGAGCACGTTGCCATTCTTGAAGATGCGCAGGAGCTTGTTGTCGGTGGTGACCTCGTGGAAGTTGGCGCCCTTCTCATTGGCAAAGAACAAATCCGGCTTCCAGATGGAGTCCAGCATGGATGGGTCGAGGTCCAGGGAGTCGTCAGGGTATTCCCGGTAGGCCAGGCGGGGGTCGTTCCACTGCTGCCTCAGGAAGACGTTGACGCGGTAGTCCTTGAGAGCAGAGAGGAGCCGTCACACGCGGGGGCAAGCCGCATGACACAGGCATGCACCTGCACACACACATGCATCCATGTGCAGTGTTGGTTCACGGCCTCTGGTATCCTGGCCCGGGAGTGAGCAAGGCAGGTGGGAAGAGATTTGGAGAAAGGCTCTGGAACTCCTGCACATCAATGGCTATTGATGTAGGCTACGCTCTCCCTGCATAGTTGGGGGCAGGAATAATAATAATAATAATAATAATAATAATAATACCAAGTGAAACATCGCTTCCTTGTTCTCAGTGCTAACTGGACACAATCCTACTAATGACTTTGGATACCAGTTGCTGGAAACCACAGGAGGGGAGAATCAATGCTGTAGAGTTGGAAGGGACCTGGGGGTCATCCAGTCCACCCCCTGGGAGAGAGTTCTTATGATCATAGTATCCTACTTGCAGGTTTCCCACAGGTTTCTTGTTAGCCACTGTGCCCATCGTAGCTCAGTTGGTAGGGCCTGAGACTCAGAATCTCAGGGTTGTGGGTTCAAGATCCGCACTGGGCAAAAGATTCATGCACTGCAGAGGGTTGGACTAGATGACCCTCGTGGTCCCTTCCAACTCTGTAATTCTATGATAGACTAAGACCCGTATAAATAAGGGTGCTGGACTAGGAGGGCCATGGGCTTGATCCAGCTACAGGGTTATTTGTGTGTTCTTATGCACAAGCCACAAGGCTCTTCTCTGCCTTCTTCCCAATTGTCCTCATCACCTGAACCTCCACCTTTCCCACCACTTTCCTCTCCCTGCCCCCCATCAACCTCCAAGGGAACAGCAGCCACTCAGAGGCAAGCACAACCCCCAGGGATCGCTGCCCAGCCAGCCCCAGGGCAGAGGAGGACCCTTGTGCTTGGGGCGAGGCAAGCAGTCAGAGTCTCACCATGGTTGTTTCAGTGACCGAACCAAAACTGTTGATGAAGATGTTGCATGTCACGTTGACGGGCGGGCCTGTAAGCCAATGGGAAAGCACAGGTGAGTTGACAAGGTTCCAGGGCGCAACTCAAAGCCGCCTTCGACCAAGTCAAAGCATTGGTCCACCTGGAGGAGACACCTGCCTTATACAGGTCACTTGTTTTCCCAATGATCCCAGGACACGTGTGAGAGGATGTGCAGCCAAATCACAAATGCGTGATTCCTAGATAGTCACAAACAGGGGACATGATGATGTCATAGCCTCTAAACTTTTGTGGCAGGAAGAACAATAGAAACTTAATATTTACTTCTTCCTGTCTCTGCACACTTTTCTCCTGCCTGCAATGGGGTAGGTTGTGTGTAAGCTCTCCTCCAGAAAGCACACTCCATTTTGAACTAGACTATGGGTGTTTGTAATATTTAAGGATTACCGCCTGTCTGATTTTCATCACCATACTTGTTGAATCCTGGCAAGACTTTTGATGTGAGTAAACCTTATATTTTCTTGTTTTACTAAATAGCCCAAGAGTGATTTCTTTGTTAGGAGGGAAATATGAACAGGAGCAGATAATCCAAGTCTGCCTAGAGCATCCTTGGATATCATAATAGTTCTAGAAGGACGTGCAACCTTGTCCTAACAGCTTCTAGAGATAAGCTGTGCACAGATGGTGATTTTAACTCTGCTAAAAAATAAGTATTTACATTCTCACAGAAGTGAGAAAGAGAAAGAGAAAGGATAATGACTAAATAAAATATCCTCTCCTACTCATCTAAATCTATCCAACACCAGGAGTCTTGCAATATAATTCCCAGGGATGACACTCCCCCATTTCTACCCAGGAAAGGGTTCTCTTGTCTTCTAGTGTCTCTCTTTTTGTGTGGGGAGGGGCTTTGCATCCCTGGCTATCTTTCAAACTTCCAGCCTCCAATATTCTTGCACACAGAGTGACCTTCAGCACTGGAGGGATGTGTATGATGTCCTGGATTTGGCAGCCCTGATGGGGAAATGTTGCGACAGGATGGGAAGGATGTGAGCAAAGTCCTCCTTTACCTTTGAAATTGGGTCTGATGCGGGCATCGTACCCCGACGTCCGGCCCATGAGCTTGTCCAGGAAATCAGAGGGAGACATTGGTTGCGGGAGACTCCGTGAGGCAGACTTTGCTTCTCCTTTCCCTGACACCAGTCTGGGAGGAAGAGAGGGGGATGTCAGTGTGGGAATGTTCTGGGGTGCAGGAGAGGATATATTGTGAGATTATATCCTAATCCAACTTGTGCTAACAAGTTCCCAAAATATCAGCAGAGTTTATGACATTCCCCTTTAAGTTCGCAACGGTAACGTCTGCACAGGTTCGCTAGAACCTCTATAATAATTACACTGGTAATTTCCCCTTTGTTCCCTCTTAAAATACAAGACACAACACAGTCTTCATAAAGGTATAAAAGAGTTTACTCATGTTCTGTATCACAATATGATCCCAGAAGGCAGACAGGCTTAAAAAGATAAAATACATTTAGAATCTATTTTATAGGAAGATAGTCCTTTCCTCCTCTCTTGGCTGAGAGCCAAGAGGGCATTCTTAGATGTTGCTTCCTCGAAGGAAGATGGCAGAGAGAGAGAGATGGCTGCCTGCCCTGTGCTTTTATCATTACCTGCACAGGTGAGGCCACACCCACCTCTGGTCACATGCGGAGGAAGTCTGTTCCAGGAAGTTTACCTGCTTGCTGGACAGACATCCCTCCCCATGTTCTAACATGTACACTCTAGGAATGTTGTCATTGACTGCTGCTGTGTTTTACATTCCACAGTCAGCAGGCTGAACCCCACTTTTCTACACACACACACACACACACACACACACACACACCACTGCTGGAAATAGGAGCTGGCATCATCTGGGCTGCCTGTCGCCATTCAGCCCTGCTGGGTTTAGGTGCCTCAACATGCAGAGGTAGAAGGCAGCAGTGTGGTACAGTGGGTAGCGCATCAGACTAGGACCTGAGAGAGAGTTCGAATCCCCACTCAGCCATGAAGCTCACCAGGTATGGCCAGTCACTGCCTCTCATCCTACCTTGTAGGGTTGTTGTGCTGGCTCAATGAGGACAAAGAGAGCTTTGTATGCCACCTTCAGCTCCTTGAAAAGGTGGGACATTATTTTGATGCATAAAATAAATAGTCTGACCTCTTGGTGCCACTCAAGCTACTCCTTCTGTCCCTTCTGTGAGAGACGGGACTCCCACTGTGCCATGACAGAGGGATGGCAGAGCCATATATATTAACTTACCTCCCTGGGCAAATGTTCTCTTTTTCAGCACTTTCCCCCAAGCCAGAAATGTGAGAACATCTGCTGAATCTGAGCTCCAAACTCAGACTCCATCTTAAGCTAGACTTAAGCAAGTCTTTGTAACTGAATTACCTAAGCCTGCCTGAACAAAGCTGCTGCATCTGTTACTCTTCAAGAAGTATTGTGAGTACTGCAATACCAGGTAGACTTCCGGGTTGGCGCCACCGGCAATGGCGGAATTCCTCTGATCGGGAGGAATTTGCCTCGTGGAAATTCGGGTCTGGCCGCCATGGCGAAGGCGGAGACCCACTAAAAATCACAGGCGGTTGGGATTCGGCGGGCACCTTTTGCGCCTCCCCTACTCACGGGGAAACCCGTTTTCGGGGATCCAGAGCGATGTGGGGTGAGCGGCGCGGTGCTTCGGATCGACTGCTTCTTTCACGAAGCGAAGCCGCATAGCTGTTGCCGGAGAGCGCTGACTTTTTCCTGTGGACAATTTTATCTTAAAGCAACTACAGTGGTACCTGGCAAGACGAAATTAATCCATTCCGCGAGTCTCTTCGTCTTGCGGTTTTTTCGTCTTGCGAAGCACGGCTACTAGCGGCTTAGCGGCTTAGCGGCTATTAGCGGCTATTAGCGGCTTAGCGGCTCTTAGCGGCTTAGCGGCTTAGCGGCTATTAACGGCTTAGCGGTTTAGCGGCTTTAAGAAAAAGGAAACAAACTCGCAAGAACTCGCAAGACGTTTCATCTTGCGAAGCAAGCCCATAGGGAAATTCGTCTTGCGGAACGACTCAAAAAACGCAAAACCCTTTCGTCTAGCGAGTTTTTCGTCGTGCGAGGCATTCGTCTTGCGGGGCACCACTGTACCCGTGAGTAGAGTGAAGAATTGGATTTTTAAACGTTTTAATTTGGCACCGAAACGGGGAGGTTCAAAACAGGAAGTCCACCTCCCCTTTTTGTAAATAAGACTGAGGCAAAGAGGCTGCAAGCTAAAGTCTTGGAAAGCCCATTGTAAAGGACTAAATTCTCATCAATAAAAAATATTAAACCCCCCCTTGGAAGCAGGAGAAGAGGGGGGAGGCTTTGGACTGTATATCCCTGCAGGAGTGAGTGAGGAAGTTAAAATACCACCGTTCCGAACCTGGAAACAGGCTGCCAGTAAAATCGACGTGCCTTGGAAGGTTCATTGACAGCGAATAGAACGTTCGGTGACAGCTAGCATAAGAGAGATACATTGTTTCCATTGTCTTCGTCTGCACTTAAAAAGGAGTAAAGTAACGGAAAATTGAAACAATCTTACTGAACTTTATTAAAAAAGGAGGAAAGTAACTGAAAATTGAAACTAATTTTGGATTATTGAAACTGTGTTTAAAAGAGGACATACTGACCGATACAAATACAACTCGCTTTCCCTAGTGGAAGTTTTTGAAATTGGTTACTTGATAGGAGCTGGGCTAGGGGATTTTCCAGCTGCAAGATAAGAAAGTGTGAGACTTTGGAATTGACCTTGAATCTTTTAAGTGTTATGGCAAACGGAAAGGAAAAAACAGACGGGATGTTGACAGAGGAGACCTTAGTGGCTGCATTATTGAAAATAAACGATTCGCTGGAACAACTCCACAAGAAAATAGATGCGAGAAATGTGAAATTCAATGTTGCAAATATTGAAATTGATTCAACTGTAGAAAGCTTAAATAACTTGGGACAAAAGGTGAATACTAATTCAGAAACCACTCAGAAACTGACACAGGAATCTACTTCGATATGGCAAACTGCAGATGAAGTTAGGGGAAAAACCCTTGCTGCTGAATCTAAAGGAATACAACTGGAGAGGAGAGTCCCATCCATACAAAGACAACCTGACGAACATAAGTTGACATTCGTTATGATTGAACTTAAAGAAGAATGGATGAATTTGAGGACCAGAGCCCTATCTGAATTGGAAAAGGAAAGCTTGACAGAGTTTCAGGAGGCGATACTAACATTGGTTGAGAAAGAGAGGTATTTGGGGGTTGACATGACTGCCAAAAATGTGAATCTGCTTAAGGATAACTGTGAAGGATGTTGGATTGAAGAGAAGGGGATTTGGAAATATGGACAAATCAGAAGTTGCCACTGTTGGGCCGAGTTAGTGTGGTGGGGATGAGGTCTGCTGTGTTGTTGGGAATGTTGCTTTTGTTTCAAACACTGCAAGCTCTGGATGGGATGGAGGGTCTCAGGAGGTGGCAGAGGGATGCTCCTAGAGTTGTTTGGCAGGGCAGGAAGCCTCGAGTAAAACTTAAGATATTGATGGATGCCAAAGAAGGAGGAGGACCTGCCCTGCCAGACCTTTAAATTTTGCTGTGAACCATCTGCTTTTTGCTGGTTGAGAGAATGGTTGCTTTTTGAAAACATTGAAGCGTTGGACAATGGCAGATGAAATTGATGGACTATATGGAATTGGTGGAAATGACTGGCAAGATCCGAGACCAGGGTGAAGAGTCGGTGGAAGAAGATTGGAAAAAGTTAAGACCATTTATAGAGATATTGTAAAATTAAGGAATGTTAAAAAAAGGTTGGAATGAAATTATATGGCTTTAGCAGAAATGTCATAAGGAATTAGGTATAAATAGATTAATAGAAAATTAAAGGAAAAGTATGGCAAGAATGTGTAAAGATAATTATAGAACAGAAAACAGAGTAAGATGGAAAGGAATTGCTGAAACAAATAATAGAAGTGGAATACAAAAAGGGAGGTGGGAGGAGGTCGCTGGAAATAAGTGAATGAAATATAAGATATTGAAAATGTTTGAGGTGATTTTAAACTGTTTTTGCTTGTTTTTATTTGTTTTTTTAGTCCATGTAGCGTTTTTGTATTGTATTTGCATTGTTTTTTCATTTTTTCTTTATTCTTTGTTTGTTTGTGTTGGAAATGTTAAAAAAGTAATAAATATCATTTAAAAAAAAGAAGAAGTATTCTGAGTGAGGAAATGTTATTTTTTCTCCTTTTACAAGACTGTGTGATTGTTGTTTTAAGGGGGAGAAAAGGGGGAAATATACCAGGAGAACCCAGTTTGTCTTAAGCATTCTGGATTGCTTAAACTAAAACGCTAAAACTAAACTAAACTATCTAAGCTTCCCTTTTTAAGCTGCCAAAGGATGGCACTCTGCTGAGCTCACAGATGTGAGGAAGGAAGGATAATATCTAATAATTAGATCCTAGCATCTCTTCACATCCCAACAGCAGGGCAAAGAGAGTTATCCAGGGGGCCAGCGGTTTCCCCTTTGCTGCCAGTCTGGGCCCAGCTTGCATCTCGCCTGCAAGGCCTTGTGCTGGCTCTCCCCATGGAACAAGGGGTGCTTCCCCAGAGCTCTGCTCAGAATTAGGATGGTCATTAAGCAAATTAAGGAAACCAGCACTGCAAAAACTGGACATCAGCCTTGGCAGCCTTTACAGGGAGATGCCATCTTCCTCCTCCTCCAGTTCCAGTCTTTGTGTAACTGCCAGGGCAAGAGCAGACTTTTCCACCGCCCAAGGGAGTTTGCTGTCACTCCTTGGGGGGTGCTGCTCTCTGCCCGCTCCCTGTCCATCCCCAGGCAAGAGGGCACTGTGGGCACTGCACTCTCTCTCTGTCACCCGCCCACCTTCCTCTGAGTGTGCCCAGCCTGCAGAGGCCTCTTCCCAGCTGTGCTTGAGAGGGGCAGGCAGGCACTGCCCCCCACCTCCCCCCAGACAAATAGGACGTTGTTTAGTTTTTCAATGAACAAAAGATTTTGTAAATTGTTCTTCTTCCTGAAGGAGCGTCTCCACCCCCATCGTTCTGCCCGAACACCGAGG